AGTTACAATAGGTGAAGTTTCTGCAAATACTCCTCTCTGTCCTCCATCCAGCATTATAGATCATAGAACCATAGAGTTGGAAGGGACCCTGAGGATCATCTAGTCCAAACCTCTGCAAGGCAGGAATATGCAACTGTCCCATATGGGGATCGAACCTGCAACCTTGGCATCATCAGAACCATGCTCTAACCAACTGAGCTATCCAGGGGCTGCCACATAACTCATTATCTGAGTTCATTTTACCTTGCACAGCAGGCTAATTTCTACACCAACACCCTTCTCACTCCTCCATCCAGGCAAACAAGAGGTATGATCAGAGCTCAAGGGCACATTCCAGCCAGGCAAAAACACTCAAGGAAGGCAAGACCCATGAGAGGTGTGGCCTGAGAAGAGAGAGAGAGAGCGGCCAGGGAAAAAGCCAAAGGGGCAGATAGAAAAAGGGCCCCCGGTTATGGGGCTCCCCTGCTGCATTGTAATGCCGACTAACATCCTTACACATTAATAACGGCAAACAATGTTGAATATTTTTATATCGGAAGGGAATCTGTACCACACTTAATTACATGCAACACACTTCACCAGGCAATTAAACCTCCATTTCCCCCATCCCGTCACTCATTCCCCAAAGCCTAGAAATGTCAACAAAACTCCGTTGTAATTAGAAGAGTCTCCTATAATATTTACCCCCCTTTTTTGTACATAAAGCATGTTCCAACTTGTCCCCCGATTCTTAATTTCTGATCACGGCCAGCGTCTCTGCTAATTATGGGACGTAATGAGAGAAAATCGATAACAACAGCTTGTGGAAGTTGCCCTCAGCTTTTAGGGAAAGGCTGCAAATTGCAAAAGGAGAGGTAGGTAAACAAGTCACTAATTGGGTTAAGAGGGGAAATTATAGAGACTCCGGGGCTGCTTTTACATATATGGCCTTTGTATAGCTTTTAAATACTATGCCCATAACAACACAATACACAACAGTAAAATCCAATGCAATATGTCATCACATTTTAAAAAATGTTATGGGTGCATTTGCAATTCATATTACAGGTAGTACAAAACCAAACCATTTTAAAATTCAATGTGCTCAGAGAAATGTGTATATTAAATTGATGAAGATTCATACTTTCCTTATTCTCCATAAATGTCATACCTAAATGAACACAACTCAATTCCAGTATGCTGAGAGCTTGCATCCACCCTCCCTGCCAGAAAGAATGCTTGTGCCTGAGTTTGCTTTTCACCTCTTCCCTCCCAGTCAATTTTCCTTTTCTGTTGTGTCACAATAGTAAGTGCAAGGGCAGGGATTGCCCTTGCAATCTGCTTGGGAGCTTTCTTTAGCTGAAGAGTGGGGTAAAAATACCTTAAATAAAATATCTGTTTCCTCCCCCTAATAGAAGTCACAGGACTAGATCCTAGACTGAGGCATCACTTATTGTGGAGTAAACCCCATTGCATTCCAGTGGACTTTCTTCTGAGCATACATGCTTAGAATTGCATGGTGGTTTAGTTACCGGTAATTTAAAGGTAAAGGGACCCCTGACCATTAGATCCAGTCACGAACAACTCTGGGGTTGTGGCACTCATCTTGCTTTATTGGCCGAGGGAGCAGGCGTACAGCTTCTGGGTCATGTGGCCAGCATGACTAAGCCACTTCTGGTGAACCAGAGCAGCACACGGAAACACCGTTTACCTTCCCGCCGGAGTGGTACCTATTTATCTACTTGCACTTTGATGTGCTTTTGAACTGCTAGGTTGGCAGGAGCTGGGACCGAGCAATGGGAGCTCACCCCGTTGCAGGGATTCGAACTGCCGACCTTCGGATCAGCAAGCCCTAGGCTCTGTGGTTTAAATCACAGCGCCATCTGCGTCCCTTGGTAAAGGGACCCCTAACCATTAGGTCTAGTCATGGACGGCTCTGGGGTTGCGGCTCCAATCAAATTAATTTAGCTCCAGTCAAAATTGGCGTGGTGCAAGTTAGGTGATGAGAAAGGATGAGGGATATATTCACACAACAACATATATTATATTAGGATAAAAATGTCCTTACAAGGCAAAATCGCATTAAAAAATGATTATGTTGGAAGAAATATGCTGTAGAATGCTGATGGGTTTTTGTATATAATAGCAAGCTGATCTAGAAATGTGGTATACTTAAGACTTAAGACAAAATGAGAATCAGAGAGAATTTGAAAATGGCAGCATTGCCCATCCTTGGTCATTGATTTCAGTGGGGTCTATGCTCAATTCGCTTGTTCTGGATTTGACCCAGGCACAGAGCTGAAACTAGGTGATCTTGCGCCCCTGGGAGAACTGTCCAGATTGCACCCCTTATTTAAAGAAAAATAGGGAAAAACAGGGCCCCCGCATATCATATAAAGACCCTCTATTTAAAACCTTTTCTTATGAGGCATTAATCAATATTTTTATTTATAGACATATTTATGACACATTTTAAAGCCTGCACCTCTGGTGGGGGCCTTCCTCACCTCCCCCAAGCTATGGCCCTGCCCCGGCATTTCTTTAGGATTAAGATGGCCTCTTCCTGAGACAAATGGGAGAGAGAATTACCGTATTTTTTGCTCTATAAGACTCACTTTTTCCCTCCTAAAAAGTAAGGGGAAATGTGTGTGCATCTTATGGAGCGAATGCAGGCTGCGCAGCTATCCCAGAAGCCAGAACAGCAAGAGGGATCGCTGCTTCCGCTGCGCAGCGATCCCTCTTGCTGTTCTGGCTTCTGGGTTTCAGAATATTTTTTTTCTTGTTTTCCTCCTCCAAAAAACTAGGTGCGTCTTATGGCCTGGTGTGTCTTATAGAGCGAAAAATACGGTAATTTACAGATGGAGTGATGGTGACTGGCAACCCAGTCTGGCTCCAGCATAGTTCCTGATTCTGAAGATATCTCTCCCAATTAATAAAGCCTTGCATTTGTTTATCGGGTTGGGAGAAAACAGAAAAACGCTTTAGCAGCCCTCTTTTCCAGAACAGCCACAAAATGTTCAAGGGACTGGTTGTGAAATGACCTATCTGAACCACACACACACACACACACACACACACACACACACAGAGCTTGTTGCCTTTTGAAGAACAGACACATTTTTTGCCTTGAATAGCTGCATGACACAGGCAGAAACCCAACAGGTATGTCAATGCTCATTATTGCATTACCTTACTGGTGATGGAGAAGCTTTACCAGCGAAGTTCCACCTGTTATGTAGCTGCCATAGTCTTAGATGGCAATGTGTATCATATTGCTTATCCAGTTCCCCATCTTTTGCAGACAATTTAAGTGTGTGTGTGTGTAAAAAATGGGATGGAATGGGATGGAATGAATTTATGGCTCAGCATATATGACACCAACACAGACCAGAAGCAGAGGGTTGCCTCCAGCTATATTTTACTCACTCTGAAATTAATGGACCCAAGTTAGCCATGACCATTATGGGTCTGCTGTGAGTAGGACTAGCATTGGACATGAGTAGGAGAAGTAAAACTGGCTAAGCCTTTGATCTGCATGGTGGTTCCATGGATCTAGTGCCGATATAAGGAGAACATTGCAGGATTAAGGAAAGCAGTCTGGAAAAAGAAGCACGATGCACGTCTGCGCATTTCAAGATCGTGTGTGTGGCCTCCAAAGAGTTTACTTTATGCAGAAGTTTTAATAGGCCTTAGCCCCAGCTTGACCCAAAGCTTCATGTTTGCCATATTGCTACACCTGATGACAAGGAAGCAAAGTTGTTTGCTGCGGCTGCACAGGTCACTCTTATCCAAATAATCAGATCAGGTGTGCTTCAATAAAACAATACAGGGCTGTTGGCATGAAATGGAAGGTCCAATGTCAGGTGATCAATTAGCGCAGCCTTTGCCAACCTGGTGCCTTCCAATTAGAAACATAGAATTGTAGAGTTGGAAGGGACCCTGAGATTCATCTTGTCCACTTAAAAATCTCCAATGAAGGAGAGTCCACCACCCTCCAAAGCAGTCTGTTCCACCGTCAAACAGCTCTTCCCACCAGAAAGTTCTTCCCATAGCCCTCCAGATGCTTTTGGGCACCAGTTCCTGGTAGCCCCAGACAGGGAACTGGAGTGCAGTGATTCCTGCATTTCAGGGGGTTGGACTAGATGACCCTTGGTGATCCCTTCCAACTCTACAGTTCTGTGATTCTAGGTTCCTCCTTCCTGGCTAAGATCGTACCTGCGGTCAGAATTTTGCCTACACTATTTAACCAACAAAGGCAACCACTTAATCGGATAACTGTGATTTGAAGCACCTTTACTCAGAAATAAATTGGGCTGTGTTTGAACGGACTGACTCCTAAGTATGTACATACAGGATATCAGCTGAAATGTAACAGCCAGTGGCCTCTTCCAGAACAATTATATATTGAGCATTCATCCCACATTGCTTCTACAAAGCTTACGCAGAGGTTAGATGGCGTTCAGGTCTGCTCATTCAGATGTTATCTGACAATAAGCATTCATCACAATTTGCTCGCACAATCTGTCATTCCATTAATCATTTGCTCATCTGGCGCTTGTCAGTGCACTTTCTCCTAACGGTTTCCTAACTGCAAAACAAGGAGGTCTGTTTCTTTTCCAAAGAGGCTTTGTCGCGCTGAGGCAACGGAGTGCTTTAATCCACTTTGATTGCTGCGTAAACCTGAATTTCCCCGGGATGCCTTTTCAAATCCCCTCTGCAAAAATACGGATAGCCTGGGAGAGGCACCCCGAGTTACAAAGGCAGATGTAAGCAGGGTCATATACCTACGCAGAATCTGCAAAAGGTTTCGGATGCTTTCAGGAGAGTTTGCAGGAAAAGGGGGGGGGGAGGAATCGGATGACCAGGTGAGGCAAGTTGTCTAGGGTTTCCGCTTCAGGGCCTGCTCTCTAATTCCTCAAGGCAGGGACACAGTTGGGGGAGTGAACAGCCCCTCCCCGCCACACTTGGCGTTCCAGGAAGGAGTGCGCGGGCCTTTGCCACACATTTCACATAGCTTTCGACAGCTCCAATGTCATCACCTAGGCGACCGGGACGCTACTTTGTCAGCGGGTGCAGTTAAATAACTCAGAATCTCAACCCTTTAGGCCTCTCTCTCTCTCTGTCTCTTTGAGGGAAACCCAAACTTACTGGGGGCTGCGAACAGGTAAGAGGACACATTCCCCTTCCCCTCCTTCGCTCTGCTCTAGAAGCATTTCTTTTTTCTTTTAAAAGAAGGTGTGATTTGCACACATTTGATGGTCACAATCAGATCCTGGTGTTGCAGGCTGCGATGTAAGGGAGAGGGGGTAAGATTTGCTTCCCTGGCTAATCCCCCTCTGGCAGGAAAGATAGGTCTGCATTTTTGGATGGGGCATTAGCGCTACAACAGACACATGACCCGTTGGCAAAAGTTGTGTGTGGATGACTTGGCTCTAGAGAGTGATGCTTGCCGGCGTTTGCGTTCAACTGTTTCCATAATTTCAATAGGAATGGAAGGGTCTGCTCAGTTTTGGTTCTTTGGAGTTCTCATTTCCCCCAGTCTTGAATTCAGTTATTCCCCTTTTTTCAGCAATTTGCAGTTAAAAACAACAACTCCTCATCAGCATTTTAGCGCAAATTTCTTCTAAAAAGCATATTTCAGCAAAGCAATTTCCACTAATACATGCATTTGCATGCACACTTTACCCCAGTATGTGCCAATTTTTTTGTACACATTACCTGGATGGAAACCTGCATTGCAAAATCAGGACACATGTGAATTTCGGATGGTGGTTGCGTATTGGTTCGCATATACGTTCGCATGTACGGGTTGTGCAGGCTCACCTTTAAATGTGAACTGAATCGCCCCCAAACATATATGTGTTCTGAATCACAGCCTCAGTCTCCCACTGAAACCATCAACAATTTCCAATACTGAAGTTTGACCAGACTGAGCCAATGCTCTCACGAAGTTTTTGTTTATGTGGCAAATGGTTATTGTTGCGGCACCACCTGTGAAAATGCATTACAAAGTTACATAAATAGAGAAGTATTGCTTCAATCTAAAATGGACAATGCAGGTGAGAAACAGTCACAGAAGGGAGGGGTCAAATCACCTACAACCCCTCCCCCCCGATTCCACAAATATTATTGAAAAGCATTGAAAATTTTCTGAGGTTTTGCCCCCTCGCATACAGAAGCTTGCCCCACCAAATGTCCTGCTGATACGGTATTTTTATTTTTACCTGTGATTTCCCAAGAAAGGCTCAACAACTTTGAGTCCCTAAAAAAAGCTCAACAATGGGGGCTGCCCAAAAAGAGTTGTTTTAACTGTAAGAATATAAATACACTCATACCTCGGGTTACAGATGCTACGGGTTGCACACCACACTGAACCTGGAAGTACTGGAATGGGTTACTTCCAGGTTTCGGCGGTTGCGCATGTGCAGACGTGCCGAATTGCGACATGCGCGTGCGCAGATGCGGTGCTGTGGGTTGCAAATGCTGTGGGTTGCAAACGCGCCTCCCACATGGATCACGTTCGCTACCCGAACGTCCACTGTACCATAAATGTGTCTTCAGTAGCTGGTCATGGAGAAAGGCAGACTGCAGCCTTTCCTTGAACAAAAACGGAAGAACAAAATGGAAGTAGGGGGCACAGAGGGTGACAGCACCCAGAAAAACATCACCACAGGGAATTTTTCCCCCCTCAGTCAAAACTCACAGAAACTCAGTTCCAGCACCTCTCAGGTGGGCACCATTGCCATTGTAAGAGAACAAGGGGAGGTGTTTGTGGTGATTTCTGACACATCTTTTCCTAGAGAAATAGCACTGGTCACAGGTACACACCCCCACCCCACCCAGGAGCAGGCAATATCCCAATCAAACAGGTCTTCCTCTTCCCAAAACCCCACATTTCACAACTTAGGAGTACTGTGAGTGGAGGCTGGGCGAACCACATTGGAGACCCCAGGCCTAGTAGTAGGGGCAATCTCATCCTTTATTTGCACACTGTGGCTCCAGTCCAAATCATCTGTCAGGAGAGCTATTCCCAGGATGCAGGCAGGAGGCACCCATGAGGGTGCTGCCTGGGGGGGGGAGGGGTTTCTGTTGCCTCAGGCAGCTACTTCACGCCACTTCATGGGTGGGCTGGCCTTGCCTGAGGTCATTATGGGCATGCACACTGGTATCTGTTTACCTGTAAGCACAAACCATTGTTTGTTTGTTTTTTAAATACAAATTTCTCAGTCTACTGATTTGCACAAAACAGCAGCCATCTCTCTCTCTCTCTCTCTCTCTCTCTCTCTCTCTCTCTCTGTGTGTGTGTGTGTGTGTTCCTCCAAGCCAAGAAACCTGAGGTCCATGGGTATTTCTCTACATGTGCTCATACACCTTTTGTGATTTACCATGCTTGCACAAAATAGCAATCCAAAACTAAAAATAAGTGATGCCTCACTCCAAACTAGGTAAGGATTTGGAATGAGGCATATTGAAAAGCATGTACTCAATTATCTGAGGTTCTGCCCCCCCACTCCCGCTCAGAAGCCTGTCCCCCGCAATGTCTTATTTACAGGGCATATTTATCTGTGATTTTGATTTGCCCATGGGTCAAATCAATGATATGTACTTAGAATTTGGAAGGAGTACTGAATGGATGAACCAAAGACCATACAGTGGTACCTCTGGTTACATACTTAATTTGTTCCGGAGGTCCATTCTTAACCTGAAACTGTTCTTAACCTGAAGCACCACTTTAGCTAATGGGGCCTCCTGCTGCTGCCGCGCGATTTCTGTTCTCATCCTGAAGCAAAGTTCTTAACCTGGGGTACTATTTCTGGGTTAGCGGAGTTTGTAACCTGAAGCATATGTAACCTGAAGCGTATGTAACCCGAGGTACCACTGTATTTAAAAGCAGGGGGTTTGTGGGAAAGAAAGAGCGATGGAAGGGCTGTAGCTCGGTGGCAGAGTTTCTGCTTTGCATGCAGAAGGTCATTGGTTCAATTACCAGCATTTTCAGATAGGATTGGGATAGACCCCTGCCTGCATCTCCAGATAGGACTGCCTGAATTTTTGGAGAGCCACTGCCTGTCAGCGCAGACAATACTACTTGGTATGGGGGTAGCTTTCTATTGAAACAACTATTCATTTAGAACTATTCATGATAACTGGAATCTTATTATCGTTGAGAAAGGGGTTGCAGCACAGTGAGATAGCAGCTTCCGGTGTGTGGCAGCAAGAGTTTGTCTAGAAAGAGCAGGGCTGGTGTCTGGTTTGAAGGGGCCCTGAGCAGTTCTTATCAGAGAGCAGCAGCACTGGGACAACTGAGCAGGCAGTGGAGCACAACAGCAGCAAACAGCCCAGAACTCTGAAAGTGCTGGGCAAGGTGGCTGAAGACTCTGCCCCCTTAATTTCTCGAGAATGCCTCTGAACATGAGAAAAGTCTTGCCAGAGTAAGCCAGTTGCTAGGGAATTGCAAGAGGTGAAAGCATGGCTGCTCTCTGGTTCTGCGATTGGATTTCCCAGAGGTTGCTGGTTGGCTGTGGTTGAGAACCAGATTCTTATGATAACCTCAGGAGAAAAACCCTATCCAGTTTCCCTACAAGTCACCAAAGTTTCATATATGCAGGTCCACTGTTACTCATCCACTGTGACACCTCTATGAGGAAAGGTTGCAGCCTTTGGGACTTTTTAGTTTGGAGAATGGAGAAAACTTGTCCTCTCTCTCTCTTGTAATGTTAGAACTCATGGACATCCCATGAAGCTGCAAGGCTCAGCACAGATAAAAGGAAGTGCTTTTTTATGCAACACACTTTTCAACTTTGGAACTTCCTCCCACAGGAGACAGTAATGGCCACCAGTTAAGATGGCTTTAAAAGAGCACTGGACAAAATCAAGGAAGAGAAGACTGGTGACTGGGAGCGGACACCAGGACCATATAACACCGGTCCTAAAGGATCTTTATTGGCTCCCAGTGCATTTCCAAGCACAATTCAAAGTGTTGGTGCTGACCTTTAAAGCCCTAAATGACCTCAGCCCTGTATACCTGAAGGAGCATCTCTTCCCCCATTGTTCAACCAGACACTGAGGTCCTCCTCTGAGGGTCTCCTGCTGATTCCCTCCCTGAGAGAAGTGAGGTTACAGGGAACCAGGCAGAGGGCCTTCTCGGTGGTGGCACCCTCCCTGTGGAACACCCTCCCATCAGATGTCAAGACCACCACCCACCTGACTTTTAGAAGACATCTGAAGGCTGAAGGCAGCCCTTTATTAGGAAGTTCTTAATGTTTGATGTTTTAGTATGTTCTGAAATATGCTGTGAGCTGCCCAGAGTGGCTGGGGAAACCCAGCCAGATGGACAGGGTATAAATAAAATCATCATCATCATCAATAACCATTACAGTTATGCTCTGCCTCCATGTTCAGAGCCACTAATGCTTCTGAATACCAGTAGCTGGAAACCAAAGGAGGGGAGAGCGCTTTTGCACTCGTATCCTGCTTGCAAGTTTCCCACAGGCATCTGTGTGGCCACTGTGGGAACAGGATGATGGAGTAGGCAGGCCATGGGCCTAATCCAGCAGGCTCTTCTTATGTTTGTTTCCTAAACTAAAAATCCCCGTACATCACAACCTTTTCTTCCAGGTGTGTTACTCCAGCCCTTTGGTCATTTTCAGGGTCCAGAAGCATTCTGGAAACTTCAGGTGGTGGCTGTAGCTGCCTCACCAAATGCTTATTTATAGAGGGTCCCAAGGAGGCTGATGTCACCAGCATGGCTGTCCATGTCAAGGCTAGCACCAGCAGTCAGCCAGGCTGATCCCTTGCCAAGGGCCCCAGGACTTGGCCCAACTCCTGGCCTGTTACTGGCTTTCCCCCCTTGACCTCCTTGCCACGTCTGGGCTCAGAGAAATTGCTAAGTGGGACCTTCACAGAGCCTGGCTTACTGGGAGAGGTGGCCAGTCACTGCCTGCCCTTCCCCATGGGATTCAGAATCCACCTGAAGAAGGGGAACATCATCCAGGCACATGGCAATTAGGAACAAAAAGCAAGGGGACAAAAGAGATATTTATTAATTCAAAGCAGCAGCAGCTCTAAATAATGTATCTTTTCCCAAATTTCAACAAAGAAGAACCACTAGAACTTGAAATGTGGTAGATTAATACCTTCCTGGCTCCCCCCCCCTTTGCTCCTACTTCCAGTTCATTTGAGGTTTTCCATTTTTGTTGCATCATGGCAATTATGGCTTCTCTTAACAGTTTTGCTCAATAAGTTGTTCAGTAGATGTAAGGGTCCTCAGAAATGGATAACAGGGAAGGGGCATCTATTTTGCATGTAGAACCTGCTTTCCCAGGAATCTGTTTCCCCAGGTTTGAATGCCTGACATCTCCAGGTAGGGCTGGGAACATTCTGAAACCCAGAAGAGCTGCTATCTGTTAGTGTAGGAGGTGATACTGAGCTAGATGGACCAATAGGACCATAGCAGCACAAGGCAGCTTCTTGCTTCTTGAGGAAGGGTCATAGCACCTGCTTTGCATGCAAGAAGGTCCCAGGTTCAATCTCCAGCACCCTCAGGTAGGACTGGGAGAGACTCCCTGCTGCTGCCAGTCAGTGTAGACAGTACAGAGCTAGATGGGCCAATGGTTCTGATTCGCTTTAATGCAGCTTGCTGTGTTCATAACAAGGTTTAGAAAACACAACTGATAGGTCAAGAGCCACAAGCTCAAGAAACCCAGAAAACAACCAGCAGCCCCTCTGGGGTAGGAGCCAGTGTGAACTAGCTGCCTACCAAAATCCAATGAGATGAGATTAGGACACCTGCATATTCCTGCATTGCAGGGTGTTGGACTAGATGACCCTTGGGGTCCCGCCTATTCTGCAATTCTATGATTCTAAGTAAATAGGCAATTAATTATAGGCCTGATGCCTTTTTTAAAAAAAAGAATGCCAGAAGCTGTTTACCTTTGACAGCCAAACAACAGGCTGAAATGGGGAGGACATGATGGTGTGAGGGGGAGACTCTATACCTGCTGAACTTCTACCTGTGACCCTAATGTGGAAAGCGAAAAGAGCATCTATCCATAAAGCTGGTGGCAGGGCTAATTAATTATGTTTTAGTTTTATATAGAGGAACACCAGAGCCTCCAACCTCACTGGTGTGCAGGTTGCTTCCTTCCTTAATCCCTTGGCTGGTCCCCTGATTCCAAGAGCTTGGGGATCTAGCACTCATCTCCTCTGCGGCCTTGTGCTTGGAAACAAAAGCCCTGTAGAACTCATTACATTGAATTGTTGCCATTTCAGCTCTAGGCAGAACTGGAACCTGGCCTCAGATGCAGTAGCAAAGCATTGTAGCGTAGTCTGGGGCAGAGGGAGGCAGTAAGCCAGATTGTTATCCTCCTCCCCCTGCATGCAGTCCAAATTTGACAGCTGAGTGGTGTATCACAGTGACACCTGGTTGACCCTTTTTGCCTACATGATTCAACACCAAACTATGCAGGCAAATGCACTCCACAGGATTCAGCAATCAGCTTATTGGGGGTGGGTGTCTTGCAAAGGGCTTTTCAGGTGCCGATCAGCTGATTGGTGGTGCTTGTCCTACCAGTTTTGGCTGAACCAGGACTTTTACCTGTACATAGGAAGAGAGAAAGCTGCTGAGCCAGTCCATCTAGCATTGTCTACACTGGCTGGCAGTGGGACATTCCTAGCCCTGAGATGCTCTGCCACTGAACTATGGCTCCTCCCCTGCACGATACCTAACTTCTTCTATGACATATTAGGTGTTGGGCAGACGGCTGCGGCTTGGCTGAAATGGCCTCGAGGGCCAAATGCCGAGGCTTGGTGGACCTAATCTGGTTTGAAGGCCGGAAATTTCCCAACCTTGATCTATCTTCACAGTCAAACATCTATGGCTATTCAAAATCACCTTATGATTATCTGCACTTTTATTTTTAAGGCACTTTGTGTTTTAACATGTACGCCACCTTATTTTATGGCGCAGCAGTATATGAACACTTCTATAAATAAAATACCTCAGAGCTTGCTAAGCTGATTTCCTACTCCTTTTCTCCCCTTTAGGGCCATCTATCCTTCATCAGAGACCCCTGCTGTGAAGATGTCTGAGTCTTCCCCAGCAGACGAAGGCACCACATTCGAGCACCTTTGGAGCACCCTGTAAGTATCACCTGTATGCCACTGTCTAGGTGAACGGAGCTTTGCAGTGATAAGCCCCTGCCCCAAAGAGCTTACAGTAATGTCCTTGTTGCCCTGACTTTCCATCCATAATTTTGGCTAATTTTCTCTCCCACTGCAGGCAAACAGGAGACCCCACATGTATTGTTTTTTTGATGCCATACCTGGATTTAGGAGCTTCACCCAGCTGATGCAGATAGCAGAAAGGGCTTATTCCCCCCCCCCCATTGTCAAGCAGGTTACATCAACCTGCACAGACATCAGCATTACAGTAACCTGTGCTTTTGGCCAAGACCCCACAGAGGAGCTGGCATGACTCAGTAACAGGACAGGCGTTCAGGACCCTGGCCAGCTCCTTGAAGCACAGATACCACCAGCTAAGGATGCAGCTCCAGCAAAGGTGCAGAGCCACCTGGGGGGGGTTAAATAATATTGCAGCCATCTAGCTCCACCCCCTCTGTGGGAAACTGCTGCACTTAAAGAGGTCATGCCCTATTTAGGCCAGAGGTTGCCAACATTTCTGGGGGCTATGGACCCATCTACAAATAGAAGAAACTGTTGAGGGCAACAGATGCACACTGTTCAACTGGCTGTAGCAAAGTGCTGCCTTCAAGTCTAATTTTAGCAGAAGGAAAGGAACTGTGGGCTCTTACAGAGACAACTCCTATCTTAGGCATTGGCACCAGCAGGGCTGGGGACCATCATTGCTGCTCCAGACTGCAGAGTGGTAATCGCAAAGTGCCCTCCCTCCACTGTGGATAGTTCCAAAGGGGACTTGTCCTCGGAGTCAGAGCCCTGTCCAGTGGGAGTTGACAATGCAGGGTTGGTGTTTTCAGGGCTCTTATCAGGCCTGGCTCTGTCTGAACAGTTTCCCCCCCCCCCATCATCTCTATCATCTCTTCACCAATATTTCAGCCTTCACCAATCTGGAGTGCTCTAGACTGGTGGAGGTTGATCTATGCCATCAGGATTCTGGGACCACAATGAATGGCTTTCTTAAAATAATAAATAAATAAATAAATAAATAAATAAATAAATTCCACAGGGTAATTTACAACTTCAGTAACAGCCATGCAACAACCAACATGCATGCATTTGTATTCCATATGAAATTAGTTTGCAGAGATGCACAGTTTTGAAAGACAATTTTAAAATGCATGCATTCAAAATGATGTATATCACAGGGACATAGGAAGCAGCCTTCTTCGGAGTCAGGCTATTGGTCTTACAAGCTTAATATTGTCTGAACTGCCTATATGGACTGGCATCAGCTTTCCAGAGTTACAGGCAGGGATCTATCTCCCACCCCTACATAGAGATTCCAGGGACTGGATCTTCTGCAGGCAAAGAGCACCACATAATGCCTGCTCTATGCTTGCAAGGAATCAGTCCTTCAGTGTGGCAGCACTTCTTATTTGGAGCACACCGCCCATTGATATTAAGTAAGTGCCTTCACTGTACTGTTTTCTGTGTCCCAGACAGGTAAATTTGACATGCTATTAAATTTGCAAATTTATTTCATTATGTATATATTTAAACTGCTGGCTGTATATTGCAAAAAGCAGCCCAGCTAACACCTGATTTTATTGGTAATTTTAATGAGGGCCTTATATTGTATGCCTGCCATGTACCAAGCAATCCTACGTTTTGCCAGATGACCCTCACCTCAGCTGGGCAGAGCCCTGCTTAAGCTAGGATGTGGGACTTACTGACTGAGCTAAGGGTGGGGAACTTACTCTAGTGTAGCTCCAAATCAGTTGTGAAAATGCAAGATCCTCTAAACCCATACTCTCTCATCCTAGGGCATCTTGAATTTTGATTGCACCATTGAAGATTTTGGGGATTAAGCTGGTATATATACCTTGCTAAAAATGAATGAATGAATGAATGAATGAATGAATGAATGAGTAGAAGTGCAATGTGAGGCTACATTCATTGGAGACCAGACCAGATGCACTGAAGTCTTTTTGTTTCCTTTCCACCAGGGAACCCGACAGCACTTATTTTGACCTTCCCCAGTCGGGGCATGCAGGGAGCAGTGAAGCTTCTAACCGCACAGAAGTCACCATGGATGTCTTCCAGATGAGAAGCATGAATGACTCCGTAATGGTAAGAGATGGCAAGAAAGTGGAAGGCTTTGTTGACTCAGTTGAAGCTGCAGAGGAATGACATGGTGATGGGTTGGTTCAAGGGATACGTCAGACTTCAAGCACTGGTGTCTGGACTGGTAGGGCAGAAGGTAGGGAGATGAACAGTAGGTGGCGCCAGAGCCAAGGGTAGCCAGAGCCAACTGATCCCAGTTTTGTCTCCATCTTCCTCTCTACTGAGTTCTGCAAGAAGCAACACTGAGACTAAGGAAGTGGAAGCTGATAGGCAGTGCCACCTCCTGGGCTGTAAGTAAGAAGGCAATACAGCTGGAGACTAGCTGAGATCATAGGGCCCCTTTGACCCTAATGGAACAGCCTTCTTCTACTACTACTACTACACAGAGAGAGAGAGAGAGGGAGAGGTATTTCCCACTCCTAGTCTGAAATGGTACTGTCTGTCCTATCATTTCAAAACTCTACCAACATGTCCTGCAGAGGTTTGGCCTCAGGAAGCATTTGCACCAGCTAAATTCTCTTTAAATAATAATAATAATAATAATAATAATAATATTTATTACTTTTCCAACAATTTAAACACTACAAAAACAATACAATACAATACAAAAACACTACATAACATTGACACATTAAACACATTGAACTAACAAAACAAAACAAAAACAATAAAATAAATCAAACAATTTCATTATCCCATCTTTCATTCACTTATTTCCACGACCTCCTCACACCTCCCTTTTTGTATTCCACTTCTGTTAATTGTTTCAGCAATTCCTTTCCATCTTCCTCTGTTTTCTATCCTATAATTATCTTAACTCATTCTAACCTTATTTTTTCCTTTAATACTCTATTAATCTATTTATACTTAATTCCTTATAACATTTCTACTAAAGCCATATAACTTCATTCCAACATTTTCCTAACATTCATTAATTTTACAGTATTTCTGTAAATAGTCTTTAAACTTTTTCCAGTCTTCTTCCACCGACTCTTCTCCCTGGTCTCGGATTCTGCCAGTCATTTCCGCCAGTTCCATATAGTCCATCAACTTCATCTGCCATTCTTCCCGGGTGGGTAAATGCACCAGCTAAATTCTCAAGGGAAGGAGGAGGTGAGCTCTTTCAAGGTTGCCCCAATCCAGTAGATTGCTGCTTTAACGCTACATCCTTTTCTTTTACATTTTGAATTTTGCGTGATGTGATTTCCTCACAATAAACCTCATTTTTGTTAATCGCACTGCCTATGGATATATAAAGGAAACAATTTGGGGGACCACTTTTGTCATCATGGCATCACAGCAAAGGAGCAAAAGAGCAGCCAGTTCTTCTTCTTCTTCTTCTTCTTCTTCTTCTTCTTCTTCTTCTTCTCCTTCTCCTTCTCCTTCTCCTTCTCCTTCTTCTTCTTCACCACCCTTTGTTGGTCCACATCCATCCCATGACCCCCTCCAGACACTGGTTCACTGTCTGCACTGTCTCTCCTGATCCAGATAACACACAGAGAGATAGATATTGATGATGCTTTGCTTCAGATCTCTTGAGGACTGGTTCCAATGGATCTGTGAGGTTTGCTAAATAGAATGGGAGAGAAGATTCAACCTTATGGGGAGGTGGTGCTCACAGATCAGTTCCCATGAGGCTGATCAAATATTTCCCAATGCTATTCTCTGAAACACCCTTGGATATCTTATCTACTCTAACTGATCCTTTTACTGGAGATTCTAGGGATTGACCTAAGACCTTCTAGATGCAAAGCAGATGCTCCACCATTGAGCTATGTTCCATCTTCCAGAGTTGCTTTTGGCTAAATCAGACCATTGGGCCACCTTTTGTCTTCTCTAAATGGCAGCAGCTCTCCAGAATCTCAGGCAGATGTCTTTCCCATCAGATGGTGAACTCAAGCCCCTTGACTTTACCCACACATCAGCCTTGTGAAGTAGGTCAGGCTGGGAGACTGATGCAAGGTCCTCCAGTAAACTTCACAAGTGAGCAGAGATTTGAACCTGGGTCCCCCCCCCCCGACACTCTCAGTACACTAGCAGTGTGATGAAATGTGTCCTCCGATTTCTCAAAAGCTTGCTTTCCTTGCAAATGAAGCTTCAGGTTTTCTGCCTCATTCTCAAGGCATTTTAGAATTTCTGTAGGATTTCTCTCAATGCAAGGGTTGGAGCTCACTTTATTGCTGCAAAGGGGTCACAGGTGGTTGATGTTACTTTCTTTCCCAGTAAACATTTCTCCAGGGCTCTGCAGCCTCCTGCCCAGTTCCCCCCGCTTCCGATTTGAGAAAGAGCTATGGGATGAGTCACTCACAATGGTTTTTCCTGGGCTTTGATTGGAACGTGGGCACCCAGGAAGGCTGCAGACCACTGATGAGATGATGTGTAGAATAAAAGCAAGGACATTCACAGACCACTCCCTTGGCCCTCTCAAAAGGTATGCATGGCAAACAAACAAACAAACAAACAAACAACCCAAGAATTTCTCTAAAAATTTCATCTCCCCTTTCAATATTTTGCAAATGCAATTTCCTTTCATGTTATTGGATGGGAAAATGGGAGGGGGAGGGGATGCAGGAGAAGATTTTGGCACAGCACTCCTTTATATGCTGGATCAAATTAAGGACCCTCTGCATTCAAAAAGAAGTGATTTACCATGGAGTTGTGTGCCATCCTCTTCACACAGAGGTACCTCTGATAACTTTCCATGGATCCCTCAAGGCTTCTCTCTGGGAGACAGTGGTGGAGGCTACTCCATTAGGGCCAATGTGGCACACTGCTCCACCAATATCAGTGCACCCTTTGCATGCCACGTTGCTTACACCCAGTCAGGGGAGTAGCACTGCCCACCACTTCCTCTTCCTGTGTCTCTGTGTTGCCCTTGTAGAACTTCAGCAAGGAGGAGTGGCGGGGACCAACCCAGAATCAGCTGGCTCTGCCTGTCATTGGTTCTGGTGCCACCTACTGCTGGACTCCTGCCTCCTGTCCCACTAGCCCCAGTGGGCACCTGTTGCCAGAGTTTCAAAACCAAAGCTGAAGCCACTGCCTATAGTTTCTCTTGGTTGGTTCCCTCTCCTTCCCCTCCCTATTCTCTTATCATGGTTGGGCCCATGGCTGCTGGGGTGGGGAAGGATATGAAGTAAGAGTCCCAATAAGGAAGACCAGCTTTCTTTCTTTCTTTCTTTCTTTCTTTCTTTCTTTCTTTCTTTCTTTCTTCCTTTCTTCCTTTCTTCCTTTCTTCCTTTCTTCCTTTCTTCCTTCCTTCCTTCCTTCCTTCCTCCTCCTCCTCTTTTTTTTTAAAAAAAGTTCATCCACCTCAGCTGAACAGCCAAACGTCTTTCAGGTGTAGGAATGTGAATCATAGAATTGTAAACTTGGAAGAGACCCTGAGGATCATCTAATTCAACCCCCTGCAAAGCAGGAATATGCAGCCAGGGATTGAACCTGCAACCTTGGTGTTTATCAGCACCACGCTCTAACCAACTATGCTATCCAGGTTTAAAGCTTCTGTTGCTTGACGGGACAAGCGGAAGGCAAACATTCTTGCAGTAGGTGGAGCACGTCAACAGCACAAAAGCAGAGGCTCTAATTCATGCTGGTATAGAGTTATGCCGCAAGGAACCGTGAAAATGTTTTCCTGCGGTGATACTGATGTTGCAGTTCTAGGAATACAGGAAGGAGCCTTATACCGACTCAGACCATTGGTCCACCTGGCTCAGTATTTTCCGCACAGAGGGCTCATCCACACTTCTGCTTGTTTCATGCCTAGGAAGCAGGGTCTTACCGAATTCCTGCTTGCCTCATGCTTTCTAGGCATGAGTCTGAGTGGTTTTGCCTTTGCCCCAGAAAACCTACTCTTTAGCCCTAAATTGGAGCAAAACTGCATTCTGCAGGGAACCGGCTGCTGTTTGTTCCGATTTGGCACTAAACTGCAGGTTTCCCCTGAAGAAAGCAGGGGACAAACTGAGGAGATGATAAGCCCCAAGTTGCAAGTTTTCAGGCAGGGCTTTCTCACCAGCCCTATCTATAGATGCTGTGGACTGGACCTTCCACACAAAATGCAGGTGCTCTAGTGCTGAGCTACAAACGTTCCCTGAAGACACAGCAGCACAGGATGGTGAGTCAGACCATTAGTCCATTTCACTATTGCCTACACTGACTGACAACAACTCTTCAGGGTTTCATACAGGATCTCTCCCAGCTTTACCTGGAGGTGCTGGGGATTGGATCTGGAACCTTCTGCATGCAAAGCAGATGTTCTACCACTGAGTTGTGGTTCTTCCCCCTATGCACACTTGCTTAGGGGGTCAGCCCCTCTGAACTCATTGCTGTGTAGACATGCCTAGGTGGAGTAGCATTGTGTACAGAGACTGGCAGGAGTTCTCCAGGGATTCAGTTAGAGGTCTTTCTGTCATGCTTGCTCCTTCGATCTCTCAGAGGCTAGTTCAAAGAGGACCTGTCATCTTGAGGTCTAAGAAAGAAGTGTGAGGAGGAGGAGGAGGAGGAAGTTGTAAACACGGCACCTAAGATGTATCAGCCTAAACAGACAGGAGACAGAGAAAGAAGCTGATAGGTTAAAGGCACAGGGATCATCTGGGGATATGGATGCCCCTCACTCTATCTCTCTTAACCCCAAGCAGAGTTGCACCCAAACTTCCAACACTTTCATCACCTAGCTGAAGACTCTGGGAATTGAACCTGGGGCCAGCTGGTTGTGGGAAGAGGGGCAAGACACTCTGACTAGAGATCTGAACTGATAGTTTGCAGAGCGGTTTTGAAAGTTGGGTGCATGCAGCCCCAGAGGCAGTGGAGACTGGTCCATTAGAGCAAATGGGGTACTGCCCCACCAACCTTAATTCCTCTGGATGTGCTTGGATAGCTCAGTTGGCTAGAGCATGGTGCTGATAATGCCAAGGCTGCAGGTTCGATCCCCGTATGGGACAACTGCATATTTCTGCATTGCAGGGGGTTGCACTAGATGATCTGTAGAGTCCCTTCCAACTCTATTATTCTATGTCCACTTGCCTTCTTACTTGCAACTTGCCTATAGGGTGGCCCTGGCTGTCTTCTTCATACTCGGCAGGGGGTTGGACTCGATGGCCCTTGTGGTCTCTTCCAACTCTATGATTCTATGATTCTATGATTCTACTCCTTAGTCTCAGTCCTTGCCCTTATAGAATTTAGCAGGTATGAAGAGTAGGATGGGGAGTAAAACTAGAATCAGTTGGCTCTGTCATTGCTTCTGGTGCCACCTGCTGTTGACTTCCCTGCTTTCTGCACTATCAGTCCCACTAGGCATCAGCTACCATTGCCTAGGGCAAGGATAACCAATGCGGTGCTCTCTGTGTTGTTGGACTATAGTTCCCATCAGCCCCAATGACAAATGATGATAGGAGTTGGAAGTCAACATCTGGAGAGCACGACATGGCTAGGGCCACAGGTTTCCCAGCCCTCTTGGAAGCAAGGATCCTCTGTAACATTTTATTGCAGGTTCTGCTTGTGGAGTGCTAATATGCCAACCCCTGTCAATAATATCTGAGCTGAATCACTGTAACCCCACAATAACAGCCCCTTACGCGGGAGCCCAGAGGATGTGGTTGCATCCAGGTGAGTCCGGCTCAAAGAAGACCCGCTGAAATCATTGGACCTAAGATAGTCATGGTGAGGACCTTCACTGGGTATACTCTGAGTAGGATCCAATCCGTGGTTTACAGAAGAACTGATCTTGCCCAGAGTTGTAAAGTTCTGCACCAGCATCTATATCTGGGTTTCCCAAACTTCGGTCTCAAGCCGTTTTTGGAATACAATTCCCATAATCCCTGACTAGCTCCTGCTAGCTAGGGATGATGGGAGTTGTAGTCCAAAAACAGCTGGAGACCCTATTTTGGGAAACCCTGATCTACAGCCTAAGATACTGTGGGCTACAGGGCAGTGTTGAGGTCACTTGACCCAACACAAACCATGTCACATACCCTACTTTATAGAGGACAGCCTCTCTGTTGAGAGACCTAGGAGATGCCCAGCCACAGTTTCCACTTGGACAGTAGCTCATGCTGACCAAGCATGGTCATCTTCACTATGCTGAGAAGTTCCATTTAAATTGTTCCAATTAAATTGCTGTCTTTATCTCTAAATCTGCCCCTGCACATATAAATTAGCATTATGCAAATGTGAAGCAGATCTCTGTCCTCTTTTGCCCTCTTTTCTGGAGAAGTGAGAGTGGTCGTTCTCGCTGCCCCTCAGACTCTTTCAAGTCTGCTGGGAAAATGGAGTTCCATTGCTCATGGAAAGTATATGGATAAAGGGATGGGGGACGAATGCAAGAGAGATGGGCAGGAGGCAGCGAATGATAAAAGGAGGCTTCATTCCAATATCTCCAATGGTCCTGAGAGTGTGAATGTGGATCCAGATGAGCCTGTTGGTGGATATGCATGCACTTGTTAGTATGTGCACTCTACATCTCAGAGTGTTAAGAAGTTCTTTTCCTATGGCTGGTTAAGTTCTAAGTGCTGGTTTTGGTGTACAAAGCTCTCTATGCAGCATGGGACCAGGACACCCGAAAGATCATCTCACCCCTTATATACTCAGTTGATCACTGCGCTCTGCAGGTGAGGGCCTCCTGCAAATGCCATCTTACCAGGAGGCTCTTTGCTCACAACGTAGAAACCGGGCCTTCAGTGTGGTGGCTCCAGCTCTCTGGAATGCCCTCTCCTTGAATATTCAACAGCTGCTGTCTCTGTCGTATTTTTGGTGCCTACCCTCCTCCTCTCCCAACAAGCCTTTTAAGTTGAGATCTCTCCCAGTCTGCATCTGTATTGGAATTGTTTTCAAGGTGGTCTTTATCGTTTTATCACTTGTTGCTTGCTTGCCCTGGGCTCCTTTGAGAAGGAAACGCAGGACAGAAATAATTCCTTTGGAAGGAGAAGCAACTTGGAGTCCTGCTTTTGGCAGGCAAAAGCTCCTAGGTTTGGTTCTTGATAGAATTGGAAATGGGCCCTGTCAGAAAGGGTGGAGAGTCACTGTTCAGCATACACCAGGGGTTAGGAACCTCAGGCCCAGAGCTGAATGTGGTCCTCCAAACCTCACTTTTTGACCCTTGGAACTCTTCCCAAGCCTCAACTATATCCAGAGGCCCTGGGGAACAAGCTGGACACTGAAGAATCACCACGGTGTCAGGGTTCGTTCTTGCTCAGATCTGGAACCAGGGGTCTCATTGGAGGAAGAGCAGGGGGAGCACAGCCGCTCCTTGAGTGCTTCTGCTCAGCTGGAACATCCCTCTAGCTTGCCTGGTGAAGGATAGAGATGAGTGTCTGCAAGTGTGAGTAGAAATCAATCTACTGCACAAAGCTGAAGCTTACATTCATTGCTCCACCTGCTCTTGCCTCTGGTACCACCCACCACTGGCATGTGGCCCCTGGAATATTGCCCAGAAGGCAATGTGGCCCTCAAGCTGGAAAAAAATTCTGCATCTTTGCCGTTGATGATTCTGAGCTGGATGGACCAGTGGTCTGATGCAGTAAATAAGGCAGCTGCCCATCACCCTCCATGCTTCCTGATCCTCTCTTTGCCAGTCCTTGAGACACACACACACACACACACACACACACACACACAAAATCAAAAGACAAACTATCCAGATCCACACCATACATTCAAAGCACATTCAGCACTCATGACTTCCCTCAGAGAATCCTGGAAACTGTAGTATGTTAAAGGCATGGGGGATTGTTGCTCCATGAGGGGTAAACTACATTTCCCAGGGTACTTTGGATGAAAGCCAGGTACTTTAAATGTGCGATGGAGATGCTTTAAATGTATAATGTGCAAGGTTACCATATTTCAGAAAGTGGAAATCCGGACACAAAAGTTGTTGAGCTTCTTTTGCAAAATCTCTTGCAAAAAACATGGGTTGCCGTACGCCTGGGTTTTCACAGACATTTTGACCAATTTTTGGAAATTCCGCCCAGTCGCTATTTTTGGTGGATGAATCCCGGCTTTGTCTAGGAAATTCCAGACATATGATAGCCCTAATGGTGTGGACTAAAGCCTTATAGGTCAACGGAGAGAAGCTTTCATGCAGCTTGCCAGCTTGCAGACTTCATGATATTAAAATCCATTCATGCCAGTGGTATGGAAGCAGCACAATCAGTACCCCGCTTTGCACTCTTGCATATACAGTGGTACCTGAGGTTAAGTACTTAATTCGTTATGGAGGTCTGTTCTTAACCTGAAACTGTTCTTAACCTGAAGCACCACTTTAGCTAATGGGGCCTCCTGCTGCCACCACGCCGCCGGAGCATGATTTCTGTTCTCATCCTGAAGCAAAGTTCTTAACCCTAGGTACTATTTCTGGGTTAGCGGAGTCTGTAACCTGAAGCGTATGTAACCAGAGGTACCACTGTATCTGCATCTATCGATCGATGGATTGATACATGTTTTTGTTGCAGAAAGAAGGCCTTCTCTTTAAAACACAGACTTCTATAATCTATTACTATCTGTCTTGGGAACAGACCTTTTTTCCAAGCTTCACAAATACACACACACAAACACACACCTGGGGACAATTCCGTTTGCCCGTGCAGAGAAATCTCACTCTGTCCATGACAAAGCAACATACCACCGAAATCTGTTTCATGCAGCTAAAAAAATATTTTGGACATGGGAATTAAGTCTGGCTCGGTTTTATTCTGCAGAAAGGACACCCACCTCACACTCCAACCCCCCCCCCTTTCCACTGAGAACCAGTGGTACTGTCCAATACATCACCGGGCAAGTCTAGGCCTGCCTATTTCTTTAATGAATAGTCATGAGAGAGGGAAAGGGGTGGGTATGAGTTTTGTTGTTAGATGCAGCTAGATGACAGAACTAAGGTGTGGGGAGGGTGCCGGGGGTGGGGGTAGAGAAGCAAGCAAAATAGCCAGCCACCAAAGTAGCCAGCCCCACATCTTTCCACTGCCCTTTCCCCATTGGCACACCACAGGCACTTCACCGCCCTCCCCACTTTTGCATGCCGTTTAAATGCCCCCCGCGGCTCCACCGTCCACCCCTTGACTCCATGACTCCGGCGACAGGGATTTCCCCTGTTACTTTTAAACCCCAAGAAGACTAAAATGCTGTACGCTAGCAACCCAATGCAGCACTACACCACGGTAGGTGTCGACTTTTCTTCTGCCGAGGGCTCGGTTCCCGTGACGCGGTGGCGCTTGGCTAGACCTAAACAGGGCACCTGTGGATTCTTGAGGAATGCCAGTGTGGGCTGGCTCAGGATGGGTTGAAACAGGGTAGCGTTTGCTTTGCCTGTTAGCAAGTGGTTCAGTGGCACAGGACATCTGCTTTGCATGCAGAAGGTCCCTGGCATCCCCAGGTAGGACAGAGAGAGTCTGAAAACCTGGAGGGACACTGCCAGCCACTGTCTTTGCACTTCTGAGCATGTGGGGAGACGCATTGATCTCACTCTAGCAGGCTTGCATTGACGATGGAGTTGGGTCCTACAGCACAGGATGCTTGTTTGGCAAGGCATCTGGTACGGTGGCTCAGTGGTGTATTTTGACCTTTGTCTCCAGTTGAGATAAAGGATTGGGCTCTGACTTGACTCCCACATGTCAATTTTTTTAATGCTTCTCTTGCGGGTATTTCCCTATGCATCCATAACTTTGTAAGGGAGGCTGTTTAGGAAGCTGCTCAAGAGGACTGGGGACAAAAAAGGATCTGTAAAACCAAAGACCCGGTACGTTTAGGATATGGCAGTCAACAAAGACCACAGGGGAATCTACGTTGTCCTTTTTAGGAATGGGATCCTGCGATTTAGCCTACGCTGTGACAGTTCAGCTGTTTGCAGGGGTTCCAGCAAAATGCAACACAATGTTTTGGTCCTCAGCATGGTCTTCAAAGAGTGACAGAGGAGGGTTTGTCAACATGCCCACAGAATTTGGCTCCTTACCACAGTGAATCGGAAACGAGCTTCCTTAGAATAAAAGAAAGGCACTCACTGGCAATTACTGATGAAGTGCTTGGCTCTTATTTCAAATATTATAAGTAGATAAATGCCTTTAATCAATAGTATGTGTCAGTTAAGTAGTCCATTAAGTGTTCCATTAAGCAGTCAGTTTGATTTTGCTCAGAGTAGACCCATTAGGCTTTATCTAACATTAGTCCTAGAGTAGACCAATTCATTCCAATGAGTCTATTTTATGTTAAACTTAGTTGGATACAACCCATTGAAATTAATGGGACTAATGTTTGATAAACCCAGACTCTTGTGTTGATGCCCTAGCCTTTGAAATTATCGGATTATTGCTTGGTTACAGATATGAAGGCTTGTTTCTTTATGGGTTTTCTGTGTTTCACCGATGGCATTCATACGTTACTGTATGTGCTTTTAAGGCAAGTATATTAAGCACTCTTAACAAGTGAGAAAGGAAGACTGAGAAGAATGAGACTTCTGCTTGAACATGTTACGTTCAGGTGGTGTGCTTCTTAGCTTTTCTGACATTATTTATCCTTGACAATCTCAAACAGTAAATACCTTTTTATATAGAAAAATCACCATGTTATACTCTTAAAGCTATCTTGCAAAGAAAGCAATTTCACAGTAATTATTTCCATTTCTCTTTTGCTTTGATCCATGAAATCGCAGAACAATTAACAACCCGCAAGAACATCTCCAATGGCACAGAAATTTCCACGAAGTTTACGATGACAAACAATCCCCCTCTCTCTCTCCCTCCCCCCCCCATATATATGAACAATGGCAATGTTAATTCATGCTCAAACCCTTTGCTGTAACTTTAAAAGTCGCTCCAGAGCCTGGCTTCTAAGTTGCATTTATTAAATCCTGGCCATTTCATTGGGATCCTGCTTCCTAGCTTGGACCCTAAATGTATTACCTAGAAGTGAATTGCACTAAAATCAAAGGGATTTATAATCTGATTCTTCACAGTTAGAAGTTATCTGTCAATTTATCACTCAGCATTTAAGGTGATCTGCCTTAGACCTTGTTGTCTACCAAACAGTGTAACACACCCATGGTGTGTGCTCGGTGGGGTCTGACTCTTAACTTGCGCTAATTGGCGTGAGTCACTCACGGTAGCTGCCTCCGATCCTGTGTAATGCTCACAGGCCATGTGTTTTCTGTAACCTTAGGAGATAATTGCCAGAGTCAGGGTGACTGTGTCTCTTTAATTTACTTCACCAGTAATCGCCACCGTTGTGGTTTTGTTTCTTCTTCTTTTAAAACAAGCCATTTATTATCTGTATATCTTGCACTCCCGGTAATCTCTCGTCTAGATTTCTGATCTGATCCATGCTGGATTACATTTAGTAATTCTGTCATAGTACCACATACTAAAGCTCTTGAGGGTGTAGCGCAGTTAAAATGCTGACCAAGTTCATGGCATTTTCTTGTGATAGTACACACAATTTACCGTATTTTTCGCTCTGTAGGACACACTTTTTCCCTTCTAAAACGTATGGGAAAATGTGTGTGCATCTTATGGAGCGAATGCAGGCTGCGCAGCTAAGCCCAAAGCCAGAACAGGGAGATGGAGTTCTGCGCAGCGCTCCGTCTCGCTGTTCTAGCTTGGGGATGGCTGCGCAAAGCCTCCGCAGGGCAGTGGGGTGAAGGTACCCCACTGCCCTGCGGAGGCTTCACAGGCTGTCCCTGAAGCCAGAACAGCAAGAGGCTATCCCAGAAGCCAGATCCCTCTTGCTGTTCTGGCTTCTGGGGTTCAGAATTTTTTTCTTCTTGTTTCCTCCCCCCCAAACTAGGTGCGTCTTATTGTGCGGTGCATCCTATAGAGCGAAAAATACGGTAAATGCCATACATACACTTACTCACAAGGAGTCTTCCCTAACATGATGCATTTTCACTAATATATGCATTTCACTAGCATTTCTATGCACACTGCCGCTCCAATATATTCACAGCTTTGTACACATTATTTGGTTACTGAACTGCCACCAACTTTGATGGCCTTCAAAAGAGGATTGGACAAATTCATGGAGGAGAGAGCTACCAATGGCTACTAGTCGTGACGGCTATTCTCTGCCTCCATAGTTGGAAACAGCCATCCTTCTGAATACCAGTTGCTGAAAATCAATGGAGGGGAGAGTGATCTTGTACTCAGATCCTGCTTGCGGGTTTCCCATTGAGGCATCTGGTAGCTACCATGAGAACAGGATCCCGGGCTAGATGAGCCTTTGTGCTGATCTCACAGGTTGTTACTGTGTTCTTTTATCTTTTCAGAAAGTGCCAGTTAGGCAGAGGTCCGCAATAGCATCCTAACTAAAGTGAATCCATACCCGCTGCCCCCATTGCAACACTTCTTTAGAAATCTATGGTGCAATCCCATGTGGAATGCTGTGCCCAGTCTCAGAAGAGGTTGCAAATCAGGAAAAAAAAAGGAGTAGAAAAGAGCAACTAAAATGATCACCAAGGTGCAGCAACACCCCTATAATTTTATTTTCTTTTTTTGAACTAAGAAGCTCCTATCCCTGCAGCCTTTTTGGTTCAAGAAAAGAAAAGAAAGTTCGGATTTTCCAAGTGCCCCTATTTTCCAGGGACAACCCCAGATTTAAAGAAGTCATCTGGGTTTCTGAATTGGTCCAGGAATGTGCTGCTTTCCCTTAGGATGTCTCTGTTTTCATCAGAGAAATATTGGGGGTATGGAATGGGACGTCCCTATTTTCACTGGAGAAATGTTTAGTTTGAGTAAAGGTGGGTGTGGGACTTGGCAGAGGTTTTTTTTTTAGAAAGTTAGGCATGGTGTAGAGAGAGTGGATGGAGAGGGTGGTTTTTTGTTTTTTTACCCTCTCTAATGAGACAAGGACACAGGATCAGCTGAAGAAATGGATTGGTAGGAGATTCCAGCCCAAAGGAAGGACTGCACACAGGGCATAGATAAACTATGGAAGCTGCTACTGCAAAATTATGTCATGGCTTGTGATGGCTTGAAAATGGGGGTTAGACACATTCTTGGTGGTAGAGGAGGAAGCTATCAGCAGCATCTAGTCATGATTGCTGTATATTATGCCCCTGATGACTGGTTGTTGGGGAACAACGGTGGGATGGGCTTCTTGCAGCCATATCCTTGTGGTGGGCTTCCCATGTGCATCTGGTTGACCAGCTGGGGAAACTGAATGTTGTACCTTTAGTCAGATCCCGAAAGACACCTCTGATGTTCTTGTTGTTGTTGTTGTTTAGTCATGTCCAACTCTTCGTGACCCCATGGACCAGAGCACGCCAGGCACTCCTGTCTTCTACTGCCTCCCGCAGTTTGGTCAAACTCATGCTGGTAGCTTCGAGAACACTGTCCAACCATCTCATCCTCTGTCGTCCTCTTCTCCTTGTGCCCTAAATCTTTTCCAACATCAGGGTCTTTTCCAGGGAGTCTTCTCTTCTCCTAAGGTGGCCAAAGTATGTTCTTATGCCTGTTCATTTCCCCATCATTAGCAATGGAAGAATTTGCTAGTTTGTGGCATCCCAGTATCTCATTTTTCCAATCTTAAATTCAGTTCTATCTCTTTCTGCAGCAATTTGCAATTCAATCATCATCATCATGAAAATTCTTCAGCATTTTAGTGTGAATTTCCTCCTGATAAACACATTTTTGCATTTTCATGTGTTTTTCAGCCAGAAGTCTGTCCTGTCCTGTTTTTTAATAGTTTTTTTAAAAAAATATTTTTAAAAATGAAAATGTTGTGCTTAAATTATATACATCCTTGTACACACTTTCCCCTGAAATATGCATTTTTTGCACATACGTTTTATGCATTTCTGTTATAAAGTTCACACTTTATATGCCTTTCACCTTTGTACACATTAGATGGTATCCAGTGCTAGTCCTACTCAGAGTAGATCTTCTGAAGTTAATGGGCACGAACTACCTTAGTTTCAGTAATTTTGATGGGTCTGGTCTCATTAAGCCTAGCATTGGCGGCAACCCATTATTCTCATAAAATACAGATTTCAGTATATGTCTTTTGAACCAATACTGCATTTAAAAAAAATGGACTCTGCCGACTCTGTTCAAGCTGCATATTAGCTGGAGAACTGCGAATTTGGTTGGTTTGCTTTAAAATGCAGACAAGACAAAATTCTCCTCAATTCCTATTCTTGGGGATCTCTGTCTGAGGAGGCACCTTGAGTTCCATGGTGCGGAGGGCAAAAGCATCCTGGAACTGTATTATCAAAGAGGACAAAGGAGTTTTGCATGCATATTTTCGGGGAGAAAAGAGGTGTTCTCCACCAGTGCAAGTTCAGTCTTGCTCCGAATTCCAACTGTTACTCACTGAACACTGATGATATTGTAGGAGTTGCAACGCGCTGGAGGTCTTGCTTGACATGGATGTCTCATGTTGGTACTTTTTTTAAAAAAAGGAAAAGAAAGGAAGCTATTAGAGTGCAACATCAGAAAGTTATCCGTGGGTGAGGTTCGAGAATCCCAAGTTATAACTTGTCCCTTGATTCCAAAGTCTGGTTAGTTTTAAAAATCTTAAGATTGATGGCATGTTGGTAAGGAGGGGAGGGTAACTAAGTTTCATTGCTGTGTTGAACTGGGGATCTGCAAAATGAAATCCATCCAGCTTCTGTTGCTTTGCAGACACATCTTCAGAGTTTTGCTTTATCTGGTGTAGAGTCAGGCGTTGGGTGGGATCCAGTGCTAGAGTAGACCCATTGATGTTGATGGGCGTGGCCAAAGAATGTATATGATAAGGTTGCCATACGTCCAGATTTCTCCAGAGAAGTCTGGGATTGCAATGGCGGAATTAGCGTCTGGAGGGGGGAGGATTTTGGGAAATCGGCAAAATGTCTGGGTTTTGGAAACTCCCCCCCAAAAAACTGTCCGGATTTTTAGTTCTTGAAATATGGCAACCCTAGTACATGCCAACCAGATGAACCTCGGGGTCCCTTACAAATCTACAGTCCTATGATTCTATGGCTGTACTACCCTCTCACCAGCAGAGCTGTCTTTCCTATTGGGATTACTGGTGCGTTGCGCCAGGGCGCCAGCCTCTCAGGGGCGCCCCAGTGGGTGGGGGAGCTGCGGGCTTTACCGGCAGCCTCCCCTTTCCGTCCTGTATGTCCGCCAGCTGTGCCCTGTCAACCATATGGCTGGTGGGCATACAGCTTCCTTCCCAAGCCCCCACGGGAGGAGAGTGATCCCCGCAGAGGCTTAGGTAAAGGTTGACAAGTCTGGGAAACAGGGGTGGGGCGCTTGAGGGAACTTTGCACCACGGCGCCGGATATGCTTAAGACGGCCCTGCTCACCAGCAAGGTAAGGTTAGCTCCAACAGTTTCCGGCGTATGCTGAAAACAAACCAACCCACACACTTATTTGCCTAAGCATTTTTCTGGACACAGATATAGTGCTGATATTTGCTGCTGGATGTTGTAGGTGTTGTTGCTCTGGCGTTTCAGTGTTGGCTTATTGCATTTTTATAGTACATTATCATTATCATCATCAGTATTATCGTTTGACTGTAAACTGTCCTTAAATCTTCTGAATAGAAGCAGTGGTGGAGCATACAGTATGCCCACACTGCCCAGGGCAGGTGCGCACCCGAGGAGGGCAGGGGAGTGGAGCTCACTCCCGAGGGGGGCAGGGTGTGGAGGGTGCCCTCCCAGGCACGGGATAGCCACTCGGGTGCATGGAGCGGCATGAGTGCCTGGAGCCAGGGGTGGAGCGAGCCGCTGATGGGGGACATTCAACACACTGTCCACCCATGACTCCCAAGCCTCTCTGAGGTGTCAAAACGAAGGGGGAAGGGGGGAATGGCGCCGACAAAGTGGCGCAGCTCCCGCCTCCCCCCCAACAGCTCGGGGTAGGCTTGGAAGTCATGGGCGGGCAGTGTACCGAATGTCACCCCTCTCAGCGAAGGCACCCGGGGCAATCCGCCCCCATTGCCCCCTTCCTCTGCGCCTGAATAGAAGGTGGCATATAAGTTTGTTTTTAAAAAAAATATATTTCTAAATTATTTTAACTCATATGAGTAGATGATGATGATGATGATGATGATGATGATATTGTACTGCTGTTTGATTCTTATGTACACTGCTCACACATTCATGTTCTGGGTGAAGGTGCAGTTTAGGGATTTCCCAAAGAAATAAATGGCAGTATTTTTCATGCCAGTAGTGAGGAAGGTCAGTTACAGAGCCTGAATATGCCTCTCCAAGCCTCTCTGTTTGACCTTCAGTGCTATCCCCATCCTCACACCTTCCTGGGCAGGTTTCACACCCTCCTTAAACCATCATAACCCCTCCTTCTTGGACCGCTTTGGGTATCTCCTTCTCTCCTCCACATTCGCTTCAGATCTCTTAAGGGCTTAACCAATCAGTTGTTGTGCTCTCTATTTTCCCCCTTGCATGCCATGGTAGCTGGTGGATGTTTGGACTGGTGGGGCGGAAAGCAGGGAGCCCAACAGCAGGTGGCGCCAGAGCCAACGACAGGCACAGCTAACTGGATCTAGCTTTGCCACCCTTCCTTCTCCCAACTGTGTTCTGTAATGGCAACCAGGAAGCGGACTTTATTTTTTGAGCCTGAGACCTAGAGTGTGGATACAGGTAATGACCCAAGCTTTCCTTTGAACACACCAGAGCAGACTTTCCTGTTGTTGGACCACAGCTCCCATCATCCCTGGCAGCTAAGGATGATGGGAGTTGTAGTGCAACAACTTCTGGGGACCCAAGGTTGAGAAAGGCTGCATTAGAGCCTTGAAGAACTCAGCAGAGAGGAGAATGGCAGCAGAAACTAGTTAGTTAGAATCATAGAAGCTTATAATTGTGGAGTTGGAAGGGATCCCAAGGGTCATCTAGTCCAACCCGCTGCAATGCAGGGATCACAGCTAAGTGGTAGTTGGCCCTGCCTGTCATGTGTTCAGTGTTCTGGGCAGGGGATATTCCCAGCTGTACCGGGAGATGCCACTGATTCAACCTGGGGCCTTGTCTGTGCAAAACAGGAGCTCTAACCATTGAGTTTATGGTCCCTCCCCAGCGAGTGATGTTAGAAAGCTATTGAAGCCCTGGCATGGGCCTTCAGCATGGACACCAAGCACAAGGCAAGGGAATCTGTGTGCCTGTTCTGGGGTGGAAGACCTACGTACGTGCGCAGGCTTGCCTCTGCCAAGACCAAAAATATACTTTGTTCAAACACGCTCACGAACTGCCTCGAAGACCTCAAAAAGGTGGGAGATGCATACGTTGAAATAAGGAAAGCGGATCGGAAGGAGGCTTTGTAACTCAGCAAGAGGGCCTTTGCTTTCTGCGCAGTATCCTCAGGTGTGGCACTGTGGTGCCCATTGGGAGTGGTGGGGGCCAAAGGGAGGAGGCCCAACAGCAGGTGGCGCCAGAGGCAGAGCCAACTCATTCTAGCTGTGCCCCATCTGCCTCCTTCTCCCTGCTGAGTTATACAAGGGGCAACACTCAGGCTAAGGTGGAGGAAGCTGATGGACAGCGCCCATCCCCTGTTGACTAATGAAAAGTAAGAAGGCTGGCAGGTGGGGGTTGGCTAAAGGTAGCTAGCAAGCCAGGACCTCATTTGCCCCCAGGGAAGATTCTTTGCAGAGTCTTCAAGATTCATTTGCCCATCCAGGGAGAAATCAGTGGGGTAGCCTCATGGGTGCCATGCCCAAAGCCCATGGGCCACATCCATTGCAGGGGACCCACCAGCTCCCAGCAAAATCAGCACCCTCTTTTCTCCATCTCAACGCTGAGCTGAGCGGCTTAAAGCCCCTCTGCACAGCTCAGCACTGCAACGGTGAAATGGCCCAGTCAAAGCATGGAGTTGTATGGAGAGGTTTATGCCACTCAGCCCAGCACTTCAGTGGCAATGAGGGTGGCATGACCTGTGTGAGTGGCTTTATATCTGCTGCATGCGTGTGGCATGTTCCTTGGACACGTTTACCTGCACAAGGAAGTAGAGAACTGCTTTATTCCGAGCCAGACCCATTGGTCTATCTAGTTCAGTGTTGTTTACACTGACTGGCTGTGGCTCTCCTGGGTTTTAGACAGAGGAAATCCCCAGCTCTGCCTGGAGATGTCACAGTTTGAAGCTCTGCTCTGCATGCAAAGTTGATGCTCTTTTGATTGAGCCACGGCTGCTGTTCTCTTAATAGTTGTATGCTTCTCCACAGATGACTGCTGTGCTCATTCAATACATCTGTGGATGAGAATGCACTGCAGCCCATTGCAAGTACACTTGCCCATAGACTTACAAACCTGGAAGGATTCTTGGACATCACCTCCTTTGTGGGGAACCTATGGGCCATCCAGAGGTTGCTGTACTGCAGCTCCCATCATCACTTTTGGCTGTATGCTGGCTGGAGCTCAGGGATGGAGGAGAAATTCATTTGGTCTGCATTTTAATACAAACTTCTCAAATCTGCCCCGCCCCAAACAGCTATGTGAACCGAAACACAGTTCTCTTTTGAAATGAGCACTTCTCCAAGAGAAGATTTTCAATGAAATAGTCCAAGCAAAGACTGCATATACACAAGCACACACGTATTAGTGAAAATAACAGTCAAACTTGCATCCTATTGGAAGATGGGGGAAACCGGTTGCAAAAATGCTCACAGAAGGCAAATATGTGTTGCAAAAATGCACAAATAAGGAGAAACGTGTGTAAAAATGCACACACGCACACATTTTCATGCTGTCTTATGTAAAAGGGGGGGGATGCAATGTGCAATCTAGATTTAAGACTGGAAAAAGGAGAGGAACTGAAATGGACATCTCTTTCTATCTCTACCCACAGCTGCACCTCAAGATACGTAGTTCATGAGGGCCAGTCACTTATGCAAATGCCTTTAGTCTCACTTTCAGAATGGACAGCGCCCAAATCACAAAACCTTTAGCTCTTCCCAAGGGCAAAATGCAAGGGTTCCATTTTGCTAAATGTGTTATATGTATTGTATATGTATGTATATATGTATATATCCTGGATTGTGGGGGTTTTTTTGGAGGGGGAGGGTTGCACACATGTCATCTCCATCCTGGACCAAGTTGAGGAACAAGGTCAGACTTGTTAGAAAAAAAGGCAAAAGGCAAAAAAAGAGAGTATCCTTCTCTTTTTCTAACAAGTGGTGGCTTGTTTGGAATTGGGGGTGGTGTAGTGGCTAAAGATAAGAAGCTGAGCCATGAATGGCCCACGCTGGTTTTCTCTGGAGTGAGGCTACCCCTTTAAAGGTGCCTGTAACAAGACACCTGGAAAACTTTTTCTTTTGCAAAAAAAAGGAGTGTGTTGAGATTTCCATGTGTTTAAACTGGCGGTGTTATTTCTCTCCATCCCTTCCTTCCTCCTCCCCCCCCTTTCCATCCTCCTCCCCCTCCGTTTCCTTTCCTCCAGTCTCAGTTTAATTTGCTAAACAACAGCATGGATCAGAGCACTGACAGCAGGGCCGCCTCCTCTAGCCCTTATAGCTCCGAGCACGCCTCCAATGTCCCGACGCTCTCGCCTTACTCGCAGCCCAGCTCCACCTTCGACACCATGTCCCCAGCGCCTGTCATCCCGTCCAACACTGACTACCCGGGGCCGCATCACTTCGAGGTCACCTTCCAGCAATCCAGCACAGCTAAATCTGCGACCTGGACAGTAAGTTGCATGGCTTTATTTTTTTGGCTCTTTTGGGGGGCAAGGCCACAGCTCAGTGGAGGAACAGCTTCCCTTTGCATGCAGAAAGTCCCAGGTTTGATTTCTGGTGTCTCCAGGTAAATCTCATGCCTGAAGGTTTAGGCTGGAGAAGGGGAGACTGAGAGGTGATAGGAGAGCCATCTTCAAATACCTGAAGGGCTGCTGCATAGAATATGGAGAGAGCTTGCTTTCTCCAGCGGGTAGGACCCAAAACAATAGATTCAAATTCCAAGAAAGGAGATTCTACCTAAATATTGTGAAGAACTTCCTGACAGCAAGAGCTGGTTTGATAGTGGAATGGACCACCTTGGAAGGTGGTGGACTCTCCTTCCTTGGAGGTTTCTAAGCAGAGGTTGGATGACCATATGCCATGGATGCTTGAGTTGAGATTCCTGCATTGCAGGGGGTTGGACTAGATGGCCCTTGAGGTCCCCTCCAACTCTACAATTCTGTGATTCAGTGAAGCCCTGGAACACCACTGCAAGGCAGAGAAGACAATACTAGGGTAGATTGACCAATGGTCCTACTCAGTGCTTTTTTTCAAGGGGTACTCAAGGGCAGCACCATTTTTTGTTGTTGTTAAAAAGTGTGTCACTTACTATAACAACTTCATGGTGAGTACCAGTACCTATTTTTCTAGGGGGGAAAGCACTGGTCCTACTCCATATAAGGCAGCTTCTCATGTCCTTCAGCTGGGGATTTGCCAGCCAGGAATGTACTCCCAATAGGTTGCCATCTTATTTATTTATTTTAGAACCTAAGCAACTGCCTTGTGCAGACTCAGGACACTGATCCATCTAACTCAGTGCTGCCTACACTGACAGGCAGAAGCCCTCCAGGGTTTCTGAAGGACCTGGAGATGCCAGGGATTGAATCTGAGCCCCTTTCCATGCTCAACATGTGCTTAACCCACTGAGTTATGGCCTTTCCGCAAATGCTGGTGCATGACAATAGGCTTTCTTTTAAATATGCATTTGCCCATATTGGGCAAGCGGACTTTTCAGATGTGTCAATGCATCTTACAACCATTTTGCCTTTTTTGCTCTTCAGTCCAACTTTGGGAGCTAGGTCACTGGTATGTCCATTATATGTCTCAACAAGCCAGTTCCAAAATCCCATTATACCTGGTGCAATGCAAGCAAAAGGGTGCAGGGCATAGCCGAACAGATGTGTCATTTAATGTTCATTTATTACACATATATTTGATCATACAACTTAGTGCAGCATAGGCGGGGTTTCCCATGTAGCGTTGCATCCATGTGCTGACCAGACCTGATAACAACAACAACAACAACAACAATCTGACTTGGTTGCCCCAGCCACTGTGGGTGGCTCCAGCCACTCTGTTTAAGTATGGCAAGTTGGCTGTGTCATATCCCTTTAGACTAGCAGTAGCCAAAAGTGTTGCCTTCCAGATTTTGTTGGGCTACAATGCCCATCATCCCTGGCCTTGCTGGCTTGGGCTGATGGGAGTTGTAGTCCAACAACACCTGGAGAGAGCACCCTGTTGGCTGTAACTCTTAGACCGTGCCTTCAGAACTGGCTTCATTCAAAGTGTCACCCACTGAGCTCTATCAGACAAAGCAAACTAGCCACTTTCCGCAGCAAGGTTGAGAGGGGTCTGAACCCACTTCTCTGGTATCACTCAGGTTAAGTGGCAGGTTTAGCCAGTTCCCTTCCTCAGCAGTCTCAAATGGTCACCACACACGTGGTACACGGTACATAAAGAGGCATCCCTCTATGCTGCTCCTGTGACACACACAGCCTCCCTTCCCACATGGTTCCTGTCAGTAGGGATGGAGGAGAAACTTGACTCACTTCACAGTTAAAGCCGAGCCTACCTGTTCCACGCTTTCCAAAACAATATGCGAACGGAAACATGGCCATCCTTTGAAATTTGCGCTTCTTTGCATTTTTCAAGGCAGCCAAGTTATGTGCACCAAAAGCGCATTGGCTGGGATGAAGAAGCATGCATGAAAATGCATGACATTAAGTGAAAACAATATACAAAACTGTATTCTGTTATGGGAAACTGCTTGGCAAAAATGTGTATATTAGGCAGACTTGCAGACAAGCATGCGTATATTAGGAGATGGCCACATTAAAATCATGGCGAATTTTCACAAGCACTTTATTGGGGTTTTTTTTGTTTTTTGTTTTTTTTTGAGAGAGAGAGAGAGAAAAAAAAATAATAATAATCAGGAAATTGATGTGGAAAAGTGGAGAACTGAACTTAAGACTAAGAAAAGAAACCGAGAAGCTGAAGATGACAGATTCACTCATCCTTATCAGTCAGGATAATGCATCGTGAGTGGTGAGGAGAGTGCCAAGGGCACCACAGCACCTTTCTCCTCCTAAGTAAACTGTTTATTTGGGTACAAGGGCATTCTCGTTGGCAGGCACGTGGCTTTGGAATTCATTGCCAGACCACAAATGCTGCAGGCTTTCCTGAGATATTTGGGGACTCAGCCCCAACCCAAACCCTTTGCAGGCTCTCCTTCGAAAGGTTGTTACTGGGTTTCCCTTTGCTCCAGGCCTTTCATGATATTGTCGTAATTTTGAGTGGGTCGGCCTGCCTTATCTGTTACTGCTCTCCCAGTATTCTATTTGCTAACTATAGCCATTGCATTTCTGCAATGCAAGCTGTCATGAAGGAAGCAGCATATAGCTGTTTCAAACCCATAAAATGGTGCTGTTAAGGGCACCATCTCTGGGCAAAGCCTAGCCTCCATCACAGAATATAAGAAGCCACCTTAGACTGAATCAGACCACTGGTCCTTCTAACTCAGTACTGCCTTCACTGGCTGGCAGTGGCTCTCCAGGAAATCTATGCAGGAGTCTCTCTCTGCCATCCTTGGGGATTGAACCTGGGATCTTCTGTATTCAATGCAGGTGCTCCACCACTGAGCTACAGCCCTTTCCTTAAAACACAGGAACATAGTCAGCTGCTGTATACCGAGCCAGACCATTGGTCCATCTAGCTCTGTCTTTTTGACACTGGCTGGCAGCAGCTTCCCAGGGCTTCGGGCAGAGGACATTCCCAGCCTCCCCTGGTGATTCTGCAGGGTTGTAGGACCTGCGCTCTTCTGCATGAAAAGCAGGTGGTCTGCCACCAGGCTTCCCTTCCCTAAACTGAACTCCCTTAGCTGAGTGGCCCAGCCCAGAGTGACCAGGATCCCACAGGAAGGCAGAATTTCTTTTCATGGCACAGACCTTAACGTGATTAGTAATAGCTCAACAGGTTAGAGCATGGCTGCTAATGCCAAGGTTGCAGGTTCAATCCCTGTATGGGACGGCTGCATATTGCAGGGGGTTGATCCTCAGGGTCCCTTCCAACTTTACAATTCTATGATCATTGACTAGTGGTTGTTAAAAGGAGAGCTGGCACTGAGGCATAAAAGCCCATTGTCTGCACACGCATGCAAATATTGTAGCAAGTGTTCCGCTAGCTGTTAAATCATCGTGGTAATATTTCTAAACCAGCCCAAGTTAAATGGCACGCACAAAACGCTTCTCATACTGGAAGGTGTTAGGATGAGCTCATCACCAGTCTTACATGCTACTGTCTAGCATTAAGATTTCAACCGATTTTTCACCACAAGCCTAAGCACACTTACAGTACCTGGGAGCCGGGTATGATGGGGGAAGAAACATGATTCAGTTTGCATTTAAAGGTGAACCTAATCTGTACTTTCTGCAACAAGACACAGTCATCCTTCGGAATGTGGATGTCTCCGAATCTTGCTTTGTCTTTCCCCAGCGTATCAGAATGCATATATTGGGGTAAAGATATCCATAAAGGGTGCATATATTGGTGTAAATGGTGTACCAAAATGCGCTGCGCTGTGGGGAAACTGCTTTGCAAAAACTGTGCATGTTAGGAAAAACCTCATACCAAAAACTAGCAGGAATTCACAAATGTGACTGAATTTTCATGAGAAGTATATAAAAAAATTGGAATTCAGGTGCTGATGTGGAGAAAACATGGGCTTGCGTTAGGAAAAACAAGAAACTGAAACAGACAGGTTTTGCCCATTCACACTTGGGAGTAGCCCCGTTGAATTCAATGGAGCCCAACTCCCGAGGAAACGCACATGGATTCTGGATGCACATTTCCTTGACTATAGTCCTGCAGACAGTTAGGCAGCTGCAATCTCAATGTGGAGATGCCTAGACAAACTCACCCGGGAGTGAGCCCCACCAAACATACTTCCAAATAAACAGGCATAGAACATGACTGCAATTGTGTTCAGAATCTGAGATGTTGCCTGCTCTGTGCAATGGTGGCTTGCCTGTCTATCTATATCTATCTGTCTATCTATCTATCATCTATCTATCTATCTATCTATATCTATCTATCTATCTATCTATCATCTATCTATCTATCTATCTATCTATCAATCAATCAATCATCTATGTTTATCTATCATCTATCTATCTATCTATCTATCTATCTATCTATCTATCTATCATCTATCTATCTATCTATCTATCTATCATCTATATTTCTATCTATCATCTACAGTATCTATCAATCATCTATATCTATCTATCATCTATCAATCAATCAATCAATCAATCAATCAATCAATCATCTATATCTATCTATCTATCTATCTATCTATCTATCTATCTATCATCTATCTATCTATCATCTATCTATCATCTATCATCATCTATCTATATCTATCTATCTATCTATCTATCATCTATCATCTATCATCTATCATCTATCATCTATCATCTATCATCTATCATCTATCATCTATCATCTATCATCTATCATCTATCATCTATCATCTATCTATCTATTATTATCATCATCATCTATCTATCTATCTATGCTTTAATCTCCCACCTTTGCTTCAAGGAGCTCAAGGTGACATACATGGCACTCTTCCTCTCCATTTTATTTTAACAACCCTGTGAGGTAGGTTAGGCTGAGATGATGACTGCCCCAAGAAGACCTGCTGGGAATGTAAGCTGTTTTGCCTCAATGGGGATACTTTTCAGTAAGTGTTGCTAGGGACAGAGTGTCCATTGATCAGATATCCTGGGATTGCACATTATTTATTTATTATTTAGCATAATGTATATATCATTTGAATACAATAAACCTCTAAGTAGTGGTTTTCAAGAAATATTAAAATGATCAATTTTTTAAAAGTAACGCTAAACACATTTGAAAGAGAATTAACAATGGTAAATAAAATGAGATCAAAACACTTGTCAGCATTGTTGCATTTTAATATTTTGCTGGAAGCTGCCCAGAGTGGCTGGGGAAACCCAGCCAAATGGGTGGGGTATAAATAATAATAACAACAATTTATTATTAATATTCTGCATGTCTGGATAGGCTTGCCAAAACAAAAATATTTCAAGCAGGTGCCAAAAAGAGTATAGCACAAAGGCCTCTCTGCCTTGTATCAATAGGCAGGGAGTTCCAACGTGTAGGTGCTCCTACACTAAATGATTGATTTCTTACAATTGTAGAACGAGTATTATGTGGCGTCTGTAACAGGGCCAGTTCTGCTAATTGAAGCGGTCAACTGGGCAAACATGGGGTAAGGCTATCCCGCAAGTAAACTTTCCCCAAGCTGTTAAGGGCTTTATATACCAATTGTGATACCCTGAACTTGACCCAGTAATGAACAGGCAAACACTCCAGGTCTCTGAGCAGAGGTATTGCATGTTGACAGGGCCTCACTCCTGTCTGCTCTATCTGCAATTCCCGGGTCAAGCACAAGGGAAACCCCACATAGAGTGCATTGCAGTTATCCAGTATGGAGGTCACCACTGCCTGATGTACTATAGTTAAGCTGACACATCTGGTTAAAGGAGCTTCTAGCCACTGTAAGTTCATGGGCCTCTGGTGGTAAAGCTGAGTTGAGATAACAGCTTGTCCAGGGCAACCCAGTAATGTCTCAGGAGTTTGGACATAGATTCTCCAAGTCAATCCTATGGACCAAAGTAGATCGTTCTCCATTTCTCAATGTGCAGTTTGGGATAATCAGCCTCCTGGTGGTTTGAGAGAGGTTGTGCTTCCAGAAGAGAAAACAACAACAACAACCACCACCACCACCACCACCCAGGGTTGCTTTCAAGTATGCTATACTCAGAGTAGACCCATTGAAATTAATGAATGCTGTAGGGGCCTCCCATTCTAGGGCAGAGATACCTGTACAGTGGTACCTCAGGTTACAGACGCTTCAGGTTACAGACTCCGCTAACCCAGAAATATTACCTCGGGTTAAGAATTTTGCTTCAGGATGAGAACAGAAATCTCACAGTGGCAGCATGGCAGCAGCGGGAGGCTCCATTAGCTAAAGTGGTACCTCAGGTTAAGAACAGTTTCAGGTTAAGAACGGACCTCCAGAACGAATTGATTATTGAAAGTCCCTAGGGGAGGGTAGAGATCTTCCAAAGGCCACTGTTTCCCTTGCTCCTACTCTGAAGAGAAATATATTTAAGGAGGATATTGACAAGCTGGAACATGTGCAGAAGAGGGTGACCAGGACGACAAAGGGCCTGGAAGCCAGGCCTTATTAGGAACGGTTAAGGGAGTTGGGTATGTTTAGCCTGGCGAATAAAATACTGAGAGGTGATATGATAGGCATCTTCAAATATCTGAAGGATGCCCCATGGAAGATGAAGCAAGCTTGTTTTCCGCTGCTCCAGAGGAGAGGACACCAACCAATTGATTCAAACGACAATAAAGGAGATTCCAGCTAAATATTAGGAAGAACTTTCTGGTGGTAAGAGTTGATTGATGGTGGAGCAAACTACCTTGGAAGGTGGTGAACTCTCATTCATTGGATGTTTTTAAGCGGAGGTTGGGTGGCCATTTGTCAGGGATTGTTTAGCTGTGATTCCGGCATTGCAGGGGATTGGACTAGATGACCCTTGAGGTTCCTTCCAACTCTGTAGTTCTATGATTCTATACATGTTGCCCAGGGCTTTTTTTGTCAGCTGGAACTTACTGGACAGCTATCTGATACGGAGATGCGGGCTCTGAATTTCTATAACTCAATAGGGGTTCAACTAGGATCCCCTTTAGATGAACTATTTATTCTGCATTCATTATGATTTGTTTGCAGGGAGGCTATACGATGTTGCATTAAGCAATTATTATCCCACATTTTCCATTTCATTTCCTGGTCACTTTTCTCATTCCATTTTCTGGTCACTTTCTTTATTCCATAATTTTTTATTGGGGGTGGTGGGGTGGGTGTTTTGCTGTGCAAATCAACTTTAATTGTACAACCTGGATTTGCTAGTGTGTGGCTGAATCCTACCTGAAAATATCGGCAGTCTTGAAGCCCCCAGATGCCCTATCAGCAGAGTGTTGCAGAGAGGCAAAATGTAATGCAAAATTTTGCTACTAAACTAACTCTCTCTCTCTCTCTCTCTCTCTCTCTCTCACACACACACACACACACACACACACACAATGTTTAGGGGTATGTGTACCCCTGCATCCCCCCAGAAAAAGCACTATATATATATATGAGACTGTGTGCTGCAAAAATCTATATATGCTACTCAAGATATTCCAAATTTAATTTAATAAATTAAATAGATTTAATAGATTTAATAAATCCTGTCTTTATTTATCTGTTCCTCAAAGTACTGAAATAACCCTGTAATGAAAAAGCTAGCATGTATGAAGGAGTCAATAAATTTTGACTTTGAATGTTTTAGCATTAGTATTACTTCCACGATGGAATGTTTTTAAATGATAGTGGCTCACTGTTGCTGTTTAGCAATTAAAATATCATTCGGCACCTGGATGTTCCCTTCTGTTATTCTGGTTCATCTTGGGACTCTTCCCCACACTTTTTTGTTTTGTTTTTAGCTTTGTGTTCTTGGGGGCTTCATCACGTTTGCTGAGGGGGTGAATTCCCTGGAACTCTTCAGCAAAGATTGGGAGGAATTCAGGTTCCCAGAGAGCACCTGCTGGAGCAAGGCTGTGCCTTCTGAGGCAATAGGATGGGCTTGGGTGATTGACCACACAAATCTGGCTTCCTTGGAGAACAGCAGAGCAGTTCCAAAGGGAGTTCATGACGGAGGCGTGTACAGTTTATGCATGGTGTAGACAGGAAGAAGTGCGTCCTCCTCTTAGAATACTAGGTCTTTGGGACCATCCAATGAATCTGAATGCTGGAAGATTCAGGACAGACAAAATTAAATACCTCTCTACACAGCCCATAGTTAAACTATGGAATTTGCTCCCATGAGAGATAATGATGGCCACCAACTTGGATGGCTTTCAAATAAATTTATGTTGGAGAGAGAGGTTTGGAAGAGAGATCCAAGTTTGCTTCAGCATATAAGACACCATCTTGAACTCCATGGCATTTGTTCTTCTCAAAGTGCCCTGCAGACCCTTTCTTGTCTAATGCAGAGACCTTTAGCATGTTGCAGCTCAGACTTGGAACAGACGAAAACATCAGCCACATTGTTGGCCTCTTGGGTTGTCGTTTACTCTGCATCTTAATGTTCTGGATCCCTTGTTTTGGATCTCCATTACATCACTGTTTAGAAATCAGAATGTTCCTGCTCGTGGGTTCTAGACTCTTAAAGAAATTCCTGTTATGGGAACGGTGAGAAGAACACCCACTGTTGATAATCCTGTGAGAGGGATCCTGTAGGAACATATTGCTCATGTTGCTCTGTCTCCTTCTATTTGTTCACATTCCTCTGGGGCTTCCCCCATTGTTGTCTAGAATGTGTTGCCTTGTGGGTAGGGTTGCTGCTCCAGCACACATTGGCCTTGTGCCCCTCCTACCCACATCTGAAGCAAGTGAGAGGCTGTCTCTTGGGCAGGGCATTCTGCCTTGAATGGGAGAAGTCATTTGAGTCAGAAGGCTCTCTTTGTGATGAAAGGAACATTTCATCCTTTGGGGAGCAGTGTTCTTTCAGAAATGCCATGGCTCTGTCCAGGGCATCTCATCATTCCAACACTGTTGCAAAAGCATCAAAATTATCTCCTAGTGAGCTGATCAGAACTGAGATCTTTTGCTCGTCATAAAAAAGCCTGTTAGGGCCAGTTGGTCAGTTGGTTAGCACGCTTGCCACAGTCTCTTTCAGAATTCAGCCTTAGCCTGAATAGTTCCTTCACCCATTTTGCCTGATGCCTCTTGCTAACAAATCCAAATGGAAATTCTGGCTTTCTTAAAGCTTCAGCTGCAGTTTCACAATTCTCAAGATGGATCAGCTGGCAATTCTCTAGGCTTTGCATAACAATCCCCATGGCAGAATTGCTTTCTGTGTCCCGTTTGGGCCTGGGATTCTCAATGCGATTTAATATGCCTTTCGCCTTTAAAAAGGATCTCCAATCTCATTTTGCAATGGACAATTGTGGAGTTTGTAAGCTTTGCAAGGGTGGAATTATGACAGATCATTGGATTCAGGGCTGTCATGTTAAAAAACACGTTTCCCCAAAATGCTGGAAACGCACACACACACCCCCCGCTAAAATTGCAAAAAATAAAATAAAAAATTGCTTGATAATAATAATAAAACCTTTCTGGAGATTTGAGCACAAATCTGGTGGATGGGGAAGAAAAGAAAAAAATGGTGGTGGATACCTATCCCCCACAGTAAAAACAAATGGTCAAAGAGAAGTCTCAAAAACCCTTTCATGCACACAAGTGTGAGTCACTAACTGTATATTACAACAGTTTCAACCCATACATGGAGGATAAGCCTATCAATGGCTACTAGTTGCTGGAAACTGCAGGAGGGGGGAGTTGCAATTACACTCAGGTCCAACTTGTGGGCTTTCCATTGAGGTATCTGCTTGGCCAGTAGGAAAACAGGATGATGCAGCAGGTAGGCTATTGGCCTGATTTTGCAGGGCTCTTTCAATGATGAGGAAGTTCTTTGACATAAACCTCACTAAAATAAATGGAAGATACACAAAGGGGAGGTGGACAAGCCTTTAGCCAGTGCTAACCCAAGACATGTTGCTTCATGAGGCAAAGGATAAGGTGCCCTTCCCCCAATTACATTCCCAAAATCTGGCCAGGTGGACAGTTGATTCTTATTTCAGCTCTGGTGATGGGACAGCAGACTAGTTTGGAGGATAATGATGATGATGATGATGATAATAATAATAATAATAATAATAATAATAATAATAATAATTTATTTATACCCTTCCATCTGGCTGGGTTTCCCCAGCCACTCTGGGCAGCTCCCAACAGAATATTAAAATGCAATAGTCTATTAAACATTAAAAGCTTCCCTAAACAGGGCTGCCTTCAGATGTCTTCTAAAAGTCTGGTAGTTGTTTTTCTCTTTGACATCTGGTGGGAGGGCGTTCCACAGGGCAGGTGCCACTACCAAGAAGGCCCTCTGCCTGGTTCCCTGTAACCTGGCTTCTCACAGTGAGGGAACCGCCAGAAGGCCCTCAGAGCTGGACCTAAGTGTCCGGGCAGAATGATGGGGGTGGAGATGCTCCTTCAGGTAAACTGGATCAAGGCCGTATAGGGCTTTAAAGGATGGAGGTCAGACTGTGGGTGGCATCTACAGGACTTCTTTCCAACGTACTGCCACCATTTTCTGCTTCTCTTCATTTGTCACCAGAGGCAGAAACCTCACTGAACCTTGGCTGCAGGCAGCTGTCCAAGATGAGAGTGAAGAGGACCAGGAGGGTGTAGCCAATGAATTAACCAGAGAGTCAGAAATGGGGAACCAATCAGTAGGGATGGAGAAGAAAGCCACTTCCGTTTGCATCTAAAAGCGAGCTTATTTACTCCCCGAAACAAACGGGTGAACCGAAACAACAGCCTTCCTTCAAAATATGCACTCCTCTAAATTTTATAGTGCAGTTCTCCAGCAGAGTAAAATATGCAAAAATAAATTTAAAAAATGCATCTACACGGGTAATGTGTGCAAAAGTGAGAAACCAAAACTGACAGATTTGCCTGTCTCTGGCTGTAGTTCCCAGAGAAAAGGATCAATACTGTGGGAACTGTAGGTCTGTGAAGGGCATGGGGTCTCCTAACAACTCTCGGAATCCTTAGCAAACTAATGTTCCCCTGGATTCTTTGCCATTTAAAGTGGCACCATAGGGCTTTAACTGCATGGCGCAGATGAGGCCTTAAAGTTGAACAGCTGCTGGAATGCCATAGCTTCCCCATCCCTGACTTCGGGAGGTGTTCAAACCTGCAGTTCTCTGGCTCACCAGAAGAGTCCCAGTTTGATCCCTGGCATCTTCCTACAAACACCTTCACAACTGCCATGCAAGCTTCTGGTATTTACAGCAGCTCCAGCCAATCCAGAGGCTTCCCCTCTGCCAGCCAATCAAAGTTCTGGCATTACAAACCACTATTCCCTTTTGTGCCTGAAGGGAGTGCGCCTGAGCTCTGAGCATACTCAGGTCTCGGGTAGCTTATCATGGCTAGCCCTCAGCCTCAAGCCATGGTGACTGCTGCAGCAAAGGATTGCTTGGGTCTCTCTTTAGCAGCTTCTGCTGCATCTCCATCTCCATCTCCATCATCATCATCATCATCATCCATTCTTGAACAAGGACCTCATAGGGTAAACGTATTTATTTAGAGCAGGGGTGGCGAAGCTCAGGCCTATGGACAGATTGTGGACATCCAGATTTCTCTGCCTGGTCCTCAAGGCTTGTCCCAGGCCACACCCCTTCCCCACCTATATCCCCTTCCCCAAGGCCACACCTGTCACCAGCCCCAATTAGCACCTTCATCGGGCGTTTTAGCCTGGGTGGAATGTGTCCTTGACCATGACTGTTGCTGACCTGGATGGAGAATAGAGAGAGGGGTGTTTGTGTGTGCTTGTAGAAACTGGTCCATTTTACAAAGACAAAACTTTACATTTCTTGCTCTGACCCCTTTTGTCTCTGTCCGAACCCGCCACCAGTGTGGGGCCTCTGGAAGGTTGCCCAGATGAGAATGTGGCCCCTCAAGCAGGAAAAAGTTCCCCACCCTTGATTTAGAAGGTTTACACCCAAGCTTTTAATCAAAGTGACTTGTAATAGATTGCAACAGCACGCCCTATATCCATACAACCATGTACTCTCTTAGTCCTCTGGCTGGTGGATGATGCCTGGCTGGTTGCTCCCCAAACTATGATGTGCTTCCTAAGAGGCAGAGGGTGAAATTTCTCATTAGCCTTAGTATTGCGGCTGTTAAGATCACAGAATCATAGAACTGGAGTTGGAAGTGATCCTAAGGATCATCTAGCCCAGGCATAGGCAAATTCAGCCCTCCAGATGTTTTGGGACTACAACTCCCATCATCCCTAGCTAACAGGACCAGTGGTCAGGCATGATGGGAATTGTAGTCTCAAAACATAGGCCGTTTGCCTATGCCTGATCTAGCCCAACCCCCAGCAATGCAGGAATATGCCGCTGTCCCATATGGGGATTGAATCTGCAACCTTGGCATTACCAACACCATGCTCTAACCAACTATAAATAATAGTACCAGAGTGTGCCTCTGTTCAGTTTTATTTTTAGTTTTAAAATTATATACTCCTTGATTGCAGGGAAAGTGGTATACAAAAAAAGAAAAAACAATAAACTTATCAGTAAAAAGTAAATAAATACAACCATGATTTAAAACATACAGAAAGTTCAAACCACAATAGAATAGACGAAAGACAAATGGAAACTCCTACAAACTTCCTAAACATCTGGGTAAAGGTAAAGGTACCCCTGCCCGAACGGGCCAGTCGTGACCGACTCTAGGGTTGTGCACTCATCTCACTTAAGAGGCCGGGAGCCGGCGCCGTCCGAAGACACTTCGGGTCACGTGGCCAGTGTGACGAAGCTGCACTGGTGAGCCAGCACCAGTGCCACACACGGAAATGCCGTTTACCTTCCTGCTATAAAGCGGTACCGATTTATCTACTTGCACTTAGGGGTGCTTTCGAACTGCTAGGTGGGGAGGAAAACATCTGGGTAGGCTTGTCTAAATAAGAAGGCAGGCACCTGGGCAACTGGCAGATGGGACAGAGAGGGAGAAGTCCACTTCCTGCATCTGTTCCTTCTCTGGCTGATGGAGGGGCCTGGCTAGTCTTGCCCCCATTGCTACAAGCTTTTCCTTGAAAGGCAGCAGGTGCACCCTCCTAGTGCCCTTTGGCCTCCTGACTCATGGACCAGTGGGTGCTCCCCTTCAGCTCTGAGGTCCTGGGTCAGCTTGTAGAAACCCCACATCCTGGCAGTATCCCCCCCTCTCCTGTTTGTGATTCATTTTCATAGTGGGTGGGAGGCCAGAGAAGCTGGCTCTCTGATCCATGGGCATGATGGAGCATGTCAGTAGCCCGACAGCATGTGCAAAGCTATCAGGCTGTCTGCCTGCAGGAGCTGCCTGGACGTGTCAAAACCGGGAGCTGATCGCAGCTGCCATATCTGCCCCATGCCCCCCCTCCCCTTGCCACGCCAGCCAGCTGGTAACTGATAGATAATTAGTATTTTTCTCAAGTCCAATCGCAGCAGCAGCAATGGCAGCTGTGGGACGCGCTGCCTCCCTTCTTTAGCACTCCCCCAAAAAGCATGGGGGATGCTTGAAGTGAGAAAAGCACCTTTGGCCCTCCACGCCTTGCATGCCGCAGAGGAGACTTGCAAGAACGTAAGGGCATAAGCACACAGAAGAAGAGGAGGCCTGATGGACACCTACCCGAGCGTCCTGCTCTCAGGGTCACCAGCCAAATGCTTGTGGGAAGCCCACAAGTAAGAGCCGGATGCAGCAGGGAATGCAAACTTCACTGGAGGCTTCTAAGCAGAGGTTGACCGTGGCCACATTGACAGTGATTCTTTAGCTGTGATTCTGGCATTGCAGGGGGTTGGACTAGATGGCCCATGGGGTCCCTTCCAACTCTCCAAGTCCATGATCCTGTGATCCCCTGCAATTCCCAGCAACTGGTATCCAAAGGCACACATTGTCTCCATCTGTGGAGGCAGAACATAGCCATAGCAGAGAGTAGCCACTGGTGGGTATCCTCCATGAATTTGTCTAACCCTTGTTTAAAGCTTATTCAAGTTGGTGGTCATCACTGCCCCTTGTGGGAGTGAGTTCCATCGTTTAACTATGCACTGTGTGAAGAGGTACTTTGCCTGTCCTGAATCTTCCAGCATTCCACTCCATCGGATGGTCCTAGTATTATGAGAGGAAGAGGGAGAACTTCTTCACATCCTCTTTCTCCACATAACTGCATACAACTCTATTATGATCTCCCTTTGGGAGCTGCCCTGGTGTTCTGCAAAGAAGTGGCCTTGTATGGTCCAGAACCCAAACTGTCTCCTGCTTCAGGCAAAAGAAGGGGTAATGAACATGTCCAGCTTGCATTGTTTATATTCTGCCACCAGCGTACGCTACACTTAATAAATTTAACTCTCTGCTTGAGATGCTTCAAGTCTAAATTCAGACCAAAGGGTTGGGTTAGGGTTGCCATGTGTCTGGAATTTCCTGGATGTAGCTGGCAATCGGAAACATTGTCTGGGCAGAAATAGCTGAAACTATGGCAAGCCATGTTGGCAGGTCATTTTTGGTGCCCCCCCCAAAAAATAGCTCAAAAATGTCAATATTTTCGAGCTCAACAACTTTGATTTGAAATATGATTCCAGATTTGAAATATGGAAACCCTAGTTTGGAGTGAGGAGGTGGGCAAAAGAGGAGAGGAAATGAATGGAGAGGAAAAGGAAATGGGAATTATTTCCAGCAATCCAGCAATCGCTATCATGCGCACGCATTGGTTTCTTCCAGTTTAGTTTAGAAATGTTCATGTGAAGCAGCCTTATAGCTCAGACTCTTTTTGTTAGTCTCACCTAGGCTGCATTCACATGGCAGTTTGTAGCATTGTCACAACTTTCCCCTTACTGTAACGTTCCACATTAAATTTGAACTTTCATGCGTTGTAAAAGCCACTTCTGGAACTATAGAGGAATATATAGTGCAACTTTAGTGCTCATTTTCATGTTATTTGCTTCCAGGGGGAAAAACTCATTTGCAAATAATATGGAAACGAGTGCTAAACTTGCACTATATTCTCTATAGTTCTGGAGGTGACTTCTACATTGTGTGAAATTTCAGGAGTTAGCAGGGCCATAGTATGATGAATTCGCTCGCAGGATTTGTTCTATGAGCAACAGAAGGAATTAGAGATTATTGAATCATTGTTATGATATAAAAGATAGAAGGGTGCCACAAGGGGGAGAAATAAAAAAACACAATGGAAAAGGGGATGTGAAGTTGACAAAACAAAAGAAAAATTAGTGATTTATTGGAGTGTATATGTTACATTGTCATGTATCGGAATGTTTATGTGAAATTGCTGGAAATTTATTAAAATATATTGGAAGAAAAAAAGAGTTAGCAGGACCAGCCCACCCATTAGACAGGGTGAAGCAGCTGCCTCAGGCAGTGGAAGATCTTTGGGTGCCAGCAGAGAAGTGGCACCAGCAGCAGTGACAATTTCTGGCAAGATCTTGCTGGAAATTGGCACCAATGCCAATGGCAGAAGCAGCACTGTGTAGGTGGCACGGCAGGCGGCTCAATGGGTGGAGCTGCACCTCAAGCATCAGTTGAGGAAATGTCATGCAGAATGGAATAAACTGCCCTGTGAATGCAACCCCAGTTTTTATCCAGCAAACAGAGTCTTTGGGCCCCTCCAAGTAACCCTCTTTACTGAGCCTTCATCCAGATTTGCTTGCACAGACAAGAAAGAGATTTGACTGGGTTGTCTCTCGCGTTAGTCCTACTCGTTGCAGACACACAGGAATTAATTGATGTGACTAACCTCAGTCCATTCATTTCAATGGGCCTACTTTGGGTATGACTTAGTTGGCTGCAACCCTTTGTTGTTGTTGTTTAGTCGTTTAGTCGTGTCCGACTCTTCGTGACCCCATGGACCAGAGAACGCCAGGCACTCCTGTCTTCCACTGCCTCCCACAGTTTGGTCAAACTCATGTTGGTAGCTTCGAGAACACTGTCCAACCATCTAGTCCTCTGTCATCCCCTTCTCCTTGTGCCCTCCATCTTTCCCAACATCAGGGTCTTTTCCAGAGAGTCTTCTCTTCTCATGAGGTGGCCAAAGTATTGGAGCCTCAGCTTCAGGATCTGTCCTTCCAGTGAGCACTCAGGGCTGATTTCCTTAAGAATGGAGAGGTTTGATCTTCTTGCAGTCCATGGGACTCTCAAGAGTCTCCTCCAACACCATAATTCAAAAGCATCAATTCTTCGGCAATCAGCCTTCTTTATGGTCCGGCTCTCACTTCCATACATCACTACTGGGAAAACCATAGCTTTAACTATACGAACCTTTGTTGGCAAGGTGATGTCTCTGCTTTTTAAGATGCTGTCTAGGTTTGTCACTGCTGCAACCCTATGCCCAGCCTTTATTGAGTGTTTGTTATATGACATCAATAATTTCTGCTGATTTGCTTGCACGGTGTTTACACATCTTTGTGTTGGTCGTTTGTTCATCCCATGCCTTTCGGTCCCATTTCCTTGTCACTTTCCTAATTGCCTAATGCCTTTTTCTTTAAGTGCATTTGTTGTGCTAGGGGTGACAGAGCACTTGAATCCAGTTTAACAGTGGAAACCCCAATTAACAGGTATGCGCTTGAAGCCTCCCTGCAAAGTACTGACTATCAGAAGATGCCCTAAATGAGAAACGATGATAAATTGCAGGTGATCAATGACTGCTTGTCAAGATGGCTGTGTATTACCTCCCATTTCAGAGGCAGCATGGTGCTGAATACTGGTTGCTGCAAATCACAAGTGGGGAGAGTGTTGTTGTATTCATGTCCTGCTTGTGAGCTCCTCAGAGGCATCTGGTTTGCCAGTGTAGGGATAAGATAGCCCCTTGGTGCAATTCAGCAAGGAACCTCGCCGATTGCTAGAAGTCCAAGTGCAATGGTTGCTTTTCTTGTTGTTGAGTTCACCTGGAAGGCATTCCTGCCTTTCCCCCTCCCCCTTTAGCTTGTTGAGGCTCTCCAATTGCATGGTCAGGATCAAAGATGATCCCTTGTTGCATTAAGGCCAGATTAAGAGCATTAACCATAAACTCCCACAAATACTCATGCCAGATTTCGACAAGAGTCTCGCATATTTGAATGCAACACTAATTTTAATTGCTTTGTTTTCCTCGCATTGGAGTGATTCTGTGAATTCAACACAGGCTCCCTCTGGGACCCATCCCAATACCTCAGTTTCACAATCTGTAAAATCAGTAGGCAGGGGAAATAGTTGTTCACCTTCTTGCGCTCTAAACCTGGGTTTGTTGACATCAGTGCCATAGCAGGCAGATAGAAAGTTTTGTCCATATAAAGCAGGGGTGGGGAATCTCTTTTGACCTGGGAGCCACATTTCCTTCCAGACAACCTTCCAAGGGCCACATGCTAATAATGGGTTGGTCCAGTGGCTATACTGGGTGGCGCAATGAATGTAAATTTCACCTTTGTACAGTAGGCTAGTTTCTGCATACACACACAACTCTCTATCTTCCATCCAGACAAGCAAGAAGCACGGTCAGAGTTCAATGACATATTCCAGAAAGGCAAAAACAAGCAAGGAGGGTGCGAAATAGGGCACGGCCATTCTAGCTGGGGTTGATGGAAGTTGTAGTCCAAAACATTTGAAGGGTACTAGGTTGGTGAAGTCTGTTCTGAAAGTAGCCAGGGCTGTTATCTTGGTAACATAGCAATAACTATCAAGTTTCTTCCCTTATAGGGAAAGTGGTTTTGATTTCACAGGGCCATTCATGTTTGTTATCAAAGGGCTTGTTTCTTTTATTCCTCATTAATTGAAATGATACTGGGTTGGTCACTCAGGGTGACAACCAACAGCGTCCTACTTGGCATCCATTGAAATTAATGGAACTAAATTTGGCATGCCCATTAATTTCAATGGGTCTGCTTCGTATAGGACTAACGTTGAATGCAACTCACATTCATAAATGTCACATTCATTTTGTTCCTCACATTTTTATTAATTTACGCATTCTTAAAATATGCTGCTTAATGCCATACTGGTGTGTTATGAAAAGACATTAAAATTAAAATTTAGCAAAAAAAATTAAAACCTAGATAAAAACAAGACAAAACTTCTTATCACAAATAAAACTGAGCATTATACAGAGCAGAGTTAAAAAGGTAAGAGTCCAGGAAAGCTTGGGGGGAAACCTTTAAGTTTTAAAGATGTATTTAAAGATCATTATGGTCTCTGCCTCACAGATTCAATTGGGCTTGCTCCCAAGTAAGTGGAATTGGGGTTTCACCCTAATTTTTTGTTGTTTTTCCTTCCACTGGGGCAATTGAGAAAATAAATCGAAAGCTACTAGGACGAGTTAACATCAGCTCCACTGTGGACAGAGATGGTTAAGCACTCTCACCCAGCACAGATTGAGTCAGGAAAACAAAGCCCATTCATTTCCACTAGCATTTGAAAAATGAAATGGCTCGTTCTTTTTATTCATTACAAAATGCACCCACCACTACCCTACTCTGTAAAAGTGCACGTTATCTGTATTGTTCCATTGGCTATTGCATAGTTGGAGATTGTAGAGCACGGAAAAGTTTCAGAAAAGGACAGCAAAAATAATCATGAGGATGGAGCAACTCCCTTATGATGAAAGGTTACAACATTTGGTCTTGGGTTTTCTTCTCTCTCTTTTAGTTTACATAAAAGGCAAATAAGAGAAGACATAGTTGTTATTGCTTTTGTTATCTGACTATTGGAGAGACAATGGATAGGAGTGTATAAAATCCGACATGGTGTGAAAGTAGTGGGAAAATGCATGAGGTGGGGAGTAATTCTTCATGCAGTGAATAAACTGTGGAATCAGGGATGACCACCAACCCAGATGGCTTTAAAAAGGGAGTTAAATACATTTGTGGAGAATAAGGCTATCATTAGCAACTAGCCGATATGGGCTACATTTTGCCTGCATTGTTAGAGGCAGGATCCCTCTAAATACCAATTGCTAGGAATCACAGTTGGGGAGAGAGCCCTCTTGCCCTCTTTGCAGGCTCCTCATAACGTAACAGGCAACTGGTTGGCCACTGTGAAAACCAGCAAGCCCAGCATCATCTATGTCAGGGGTAGCAAGATCTACAAAACCTACTGCTCATTGTGTAAAGATTCCGCCAGCTCTGGACCACAATACCTTCCAAGAATGTTCCCTTCCCACCCTCTGCACCCCGATTTTGGGTGGGTGGGTGAGTCTTGCTCTTATCCATAATAATGAAAAAATAAAATAAAACAAGGAGCCAAGCTTTGCGGTAGGCATGTGCTCTCATCTCCCAGGATCCGTCCTAACAGATTTGGCCAAGCTGGTTAACGGTATTTGCGGTTTGCAAGATCCTACATGTCGAAGGGAAATGACAGACGCATTATTATCACCTCTCCGCTGCTATCTGCCCAAACCTGCCCAAACCAGGGAAGGGGGTCCTTGCAGCTGCTTGCTCAGGGAACGCAGAGAAATTAGCAGCCCGGGGCACAATTTTTTCCCCTCCCCCCCCCCCTTGTCTTGCTCCCTCTTTCCAGGGTAGCAGTTTCCTTAGGATCCATTGACTGCTGCATCCCCAAACACATCTGGAGGAGAACTCTAATGAGGAGAATGGAATGCAAAAAAAAAATCCTAACAAAAGAAAAATTAAGGGTGTGGCTTTTTAAGGGGGGGATGAGGATGGGAATGAGTAGGAAACAACAGTAATGGTTTGGATCATTTCCTTTAAGAAAGAAGGAGGACAAACCCCTCCCTGTGCTTTTCAAGTCTAGACACTTCTGTGTCAAAAGCTGATGATAAACGGGATCTTATCAGTTGGGATTCTGTTGAGACACATCCACCTAGCGGTTCCGGACACAGAGTTATTTCTCCGAAGGAATATTTCTGGGCAAGGCAAGGCTAGCCTTCAGCTCTCCAAATACTAAAAGGGGGGGGGGAGAGAGATTCATTGCCTTGTCTCTGCCTTGTCTCCCTCTTTTATTTTCTACAATGTATAAGGAGAGGTGGATCTTGCTATGAGGCAGCCAGAAGAGATTTTGAGGGTCGCAGAGTGGGAGGTGGAGAGATCCGATCTGGCAACTGGGTATGGACTGCAGCTCTAGTGTGTGTGGGAGGGAGCTCAATGCCTTGCATGCAGAAGGTCCCAGGTTCAATCCCCAACATCTTCAGGTAGGGCTCAAAGAAACTTCTTCCATAGCCTTGGAGAGTTGCTACCAGTCATTGTGGACAATCCTGAGCTAGATGGAGCAATGACCAGGCAGTTTTTCTCTACAAGAGTTTCTCCCCAAATCAACTGAGAGAGACTATGATGCCCTAGCACAATAAGCAAATGTTATTAATCTATTTTTGATGGCTTAGGACATGAGATTCTAGGAAAAACAGTGAAGGGTCTACTATGACATATTGATTTGCATCCAACTGACTTCATGCAAGACACCACTTTGGGCCAGGGATGTATCCAATATATAGATATAGGCACTGCAGGAATAACAAAACGATATTCAAAAGAAATCTGTGGAATCCCCTGTCTCTCAAGAATCGTCCAAAGAGGGATACGGGTGGCGCTGTGGTCTAAACCACTGAGCCTCTTGGGCTTGCCAATCAGAAGGTTGGCGGTTTGAATCCCCACGATGGAGTGAGTTCCCATTGCTCTGTCCCAGTTTCTGCCAACCTAGCAGTTCGAAAGCATGCCAGTGCAAGTAGATAAATAGGTACCGCTGCGGCGGGAAGGTAAATGGCATTTCCGTGCACTCTGGTTTCCAACACAGTGTTCCAATGCACCAAAAGCGGATTAGTCATGCTGCCCACATGACCCAGAAAGCTGTCTGTGGACAAACGCCGGCTCCCTCGGCCTGAAGCAAGATGAACACCCCATAGTTGCCTTTAACTGGTTGTAATGCACAGGACTCCTATAAGATGCAGTGATGGTCATTGACTTAGAAATCTTTAAAGGGGGAATTAGACAAATTCATGAAGGATAAGACTGTCAGTAGCTACTGGCTGTGATGGCTATGTTCTGCCTGCATGTCTCAGAAGCAATTGCTGGGATACCAGTTTCTGGAGCTCACAAGTGGGGAGAATGCTGTTCCATTCAGCTCCTGCGTGTGGGCTTCCCATTGGGGCATCTGGCTGGCCACTGTGAGAAAAGTGTGCAGGACTATTCTGAACATTTCAAATTCATAATGCATTCAAAGGAGAGAGAAAAGAAAATTCCTCATATTTGAAGAATCCGAACCTAGTGCCTAATTGCATGGGACATCCATTGCATAAAAAATAGCAAAGCCATCACCTGTCCCTGTCACCCCAACATTGTGTCTTACACCTGGTTTTCATTTTACACCTAGACTAGGGTTTGGCATATTTCAGGCTAGTCAGTTCCACTCTGTTTTTAACAAGAACCCCCAAGATTTTTCCAACCAGATGCAGAATAGGTGTTGTCAGCCATGATACAATACTTCACAATGTGAGAATGATTATTGTTTATTGCGTCTCCTTCACCCTCTTCTCAGCCACAATGTCCACAGCATCAACTGCTGCTGTTGTTTTCATTTCACTCCATATAGGACAAATACCAGGGACAGCTCCTTTGAAAAATTGCCAAATCAAAAGGCCAAACAACAAAGAACACCAGTCAGCTGTAATGATCCTGAAATGATCTGGTCTTTTCTCCTTGCAATAAAGGAATAGGGAAATGGAAACAATGAGTGCGGTTTTCTTTTTATACCTAGACCAGGGATTGACACATTTCAGGCTAGTCAGTTCTACTCTGCCTTTTGCTAGAACCCCCAAGATCTCCTAACCAGATACATAATTGGTATTGTTGGCCACATAATGAGCCCAGTGTTTGTTGGTGCCCCCTAGAACTGGTAGGGTGGGAGCCCAACAGGAGGCGGAGCCAGAGCCAATGACAGGCAGAGCCAACCCATTCCAATTTTGCACCAATGCTCCTCCCTGCTGGGTTCTATAAGAGCAACACTGAGATTAAAGAGGAAGAGGAAGCTGATGGGCCATTCTGCCCCTCGAACTGAAATAAAGACAGGCCATTAGAGATCAGCTAGGAGACCCAGCCTAGTGCAGTGGTTAGAGTATTGGACTAGGAACTGGGAGACCAGGGTTCAAATTCCCACTTAGACATGAATTTTACTGGGTGGCTATGGGTCCCTCACTGCCTCTCAGCTTAACCTGCCTCACAGGGTTGTTGTGGGGATTAAATGAGGAAGAGGGGTGAACTACATAACCTACCTTGAACTCCTTAGAGAAAGGGTGGGATATAAATGCAAAAGATAAACAAAAATAAGAATAGTTGAGGTGTTTGTCCAAATGGACCAGCCTCCACAGTCTGAACATAAGAGTTTTCAGTGAAGTCATTTCGTTGTTTACTTTATTTATTGGATATATAACCCACCCTTCATCTTGAAGGAGACCAGGCTGGCATCCTTTGTTTAGCAGCTGAGAGCCAGAAAGCACTTGCTGATCTGCTTCAAATCACCCAGAGATCCACCAGTCTACTTTCTGCTCAGCCTAGAGTGCAACATAGAAGAACCTCTTCCTCTGATTTCAGCCCACTAACCACTCTTTAATTGGGCCCCATCATTAGTGTTTGAAAATGACGATATAAATCACAGCCTAAGGGCCTCCTTCTCTGGAACTTGTTTTGTTATAGGGTTTCTCGCCCTGGGCAGGTTGCAACAAAGCAAGGGGAAACGTTTCTAAAGCAAAAATGGAACTGCTAACCCAAAACAGTCTTACAATATTGTAGCGACTGGGAACGTCAGACTCGAGGGCCAAATGCAGCCCTCAAGCCCTCTCTAGCCAGCCCTCAAAAAAATCTCCCAGAGCCACAGCCTTCACCAGCTCTGCTCTGCATCCTCCTTGAGCGTCTTGGTCTGGCTGGAATGTGCCCTTGAAATCTGGCAATGCCTTTTGCTTACCAGGCTGATGGAGGACGGAGTGGGGTGCCTGGACGTCTGTGCAGAAACCAGACCACTGTACAATCCACCTCTATTGCTTTGATTACTTTTACCTCTGGCCCCGCCTTCCCCTGGCATGTGGCCCCTGGGAGAATAGGTGGCCCTTGAGCTGAAAAATGGTTCTTGCAATATTGCCTTGTCATAATTAAGGATATGTTATTGTCAACAGCATGGGCCCTGAGAGGGTTAATGGGATCCGGAAAAGCAGGAATAAGCTCCCCATCTGCTCCCAGTAATTTTGAAACTGACTTGCGTTGCTATACTTCCCACCCCTCTCTTTTTCTCTCTCCAAGGGGCTTAGAGGGTCTGTGTTGTCTCTCCCCGATGGCCAACATGTAGTTGGTGAAAGGACCACGGCTCAGTGGAGGAGCCTCTGCCATGCAAGCAGGAAGCCACAGGTTCAATCCCTGCCATCTCCAGATAGGACTGGGAGAGACTCCTGTTTGAAATCCTGGAGAGCTGCTGCCAGTCAGTGTGGACAGTTCTAAGCTAGGTAGAGTAATGGCCTGACTCAGTATAAGGCAGCTCCCTGTGTTCCTATGCTTTCCATTGGGGCAAGGAGTGGGAGGGTCTAGAAGCCAAAGTTGGTGGAGCAATGTCACAAACCATTGGTTGTTTTGTCTATCCTATATCCAGAGAAGAAAGTCTGCAGTTCAAGGATGCATTTCGCTCAGACAAAAAAACAAGAACATTAAGGATGCAAAGCAGGAACAGTGACAGATATGGGCTGGGAAGAGGATGTGTGACCTAGGGAGACTGAAGAGGGATTGCCTGGGGAATCAGGAGGTGCATTACATGTGTACGTCTGTATCCAGCCTTCAAATCCCTACTTGGCCATAAAGTTCACTGTGATTTAGGTGTGATTCTTGCATTGCAGGGGGTTCAAGTAGATGAACATTGGGGGGGGGGCGTGGTTCCTTCCAACTCTGCAATTCAATGATTCACAAGATGACCTTGGTCCAAGAACTTTCTTTCAGTGTAATCTATCTCACTGGGTTTTGGGGTGGATAATGGCCTCATTTGGTTAAATTTTTTCATTTGTTCCTAAACGATCCTTTTGTACATGATTGTAGCTACCGTAAGTGTAGAGCAGCTGCTAGGCAAAAGATCCCAATGCTGATGACCCCAGAGTCAGAGCGATTTTTTAATAGCACCTGCACACACGTTTTGGATGACCTAGAAGGTGCCCTGATTTAGTTGGGCGTCAGACTCAAGCACTTCTAAATACGGACTTCTAAAATGATGTCTGGTAATCTAAAACAAAAATAGAATTGTTTTTTGCTCCAGAGCAGTTGTTTTTTATTGCCAGCCAAATGTATGCAAATGCGATACTAGTCTATTAGTTGGTTACAGGTAAGACTTCTTTAATAAGATAATAGCTGCAATTATTACGCATGTCTGATGAAGCATGGGTGGGCAGATCAGTCTGTTCCTGTTCATTCAGAAACCCAGTATGTCCTGGTTTTCCATTAATCTGCAATTACTTAAATATGCATTTTAAACATATTTGATAGTTGAGAACTGCACCACAAAATTCAGAGAGAGAGAAACCGGAGGCACAAAATCTGGGGAATAACTATGTTCTGGTTGTGCATATTACTATAGAACAAGGGAGGTAAAAGTTGTTGTTTTTTAACCTTCAGATAACAATGCCATCCCCTGCTCTACCCACTTTTGCCTCTGCCCCCACAGACCACTGGCATTTGGGATTGACAAAAGGTATCCCTGCTCCTGTTTCTACAGAGATGGTCTCTTGCTACTCTCTCTTTGCTTACTTCCTCCCTCTAGAAGCAAAGTGAATGGCTTGACTAGTCCTTACATGGCAGGGCACGTTTTTGCTGTCAAAAACATTCCTCCCATCTCCCCACAAAATGCAACCCGAGCACCAAAACAACACGCACCACCAAAAAGTCCCTTAAAAACACCAGCTCACATCAAAAGCTCCCAAGGAATGTTCGTCACCTGCCCAAACATGCCCTTCCAGGTAATATCCCAGGATTTAGAATGTGGTACCTAAGAGAGAAAAGGCAGGTAAAACCTCAAGTTTTGCTTTGCTTACATCTCCATAGTCACTTTGTGGAACCCCATAAGCCTACAAGGAGAGCCCTGCTGGATCAGGACAAAGGCTGGTTTAGTCCAGCATCCTCACAGTAACTAACCAGATTCCTCTGGGAAGCATGCAAGTAGGACTCTCCCTATGCCAGAAAAGCAAGGTTTCCTTCTCTGTGCAATAGTCCTTGCTGAGATGGCAAGGTGCTTTGTCGAAAGAATTTTTGAAAGTCCAGGTAAATACACTATGTCGACCAGATCACCACTATTTATGTTCTCATTGACTCTCTCAAAGAATTGTGCATTAGTCCTTGCTGAGATGGGTACCAATTCTGTAAGTTACCGTATTTTTCGCACCATTGGACGCACCGGTCCATAGGACGCATCAAGTTTTTTGGGGGGGAAATAATGGGAAAAAAATTATTTCCCCCCCAGGCGCTTGTGGGGCCGGCGGCGGGGAGAAGAGCGCTTCTCCCCGCTGCCCGCCTTCACATAAGGTCCGGGGACAGCGGGAAGACGCGCTGCGTCTCCCTGCTGTCCCCGGAGCTTGGGGGCAGGCAGCGGGAGAAGCGCTGCTCTCCCCGCCGCCCGCCTTGATATCAAGTCCGGGGACAGCGGGAAGATGCGCTGCGTCTCCCTGCTGTCCCCGGAGCTTGGGGGCAGGCAGCGGGGAGAAGCGCTGATCTCCCCGCCGCCCGCCTTCACATCAGGTCCGGGGACAGCGGGAAGACGCGCTGCGTCTCCCTGCTGTCCCCGGAGCTGGGGGCAGGCAGCGGGGAGAAGCGCTGCTCTCCCCGCCGCCCGCCTTGATATCAAGTCCGGGGACAGCGGGAAGACGCGCTGCGTCTCCCTGCTGTCCCCGGAGCTTGGGGGCAGGCAGCGGGGAGAAGCGCTCTTCTCCCCGCCGCCCGCCTTCACATCAGGTCCGGGGACAGCGGGAAGACGCGCTGCGTCTCCCTGCTGTCCCCGGAGCTTGGGGGGCAGGCAGCGGGGAGAAGCGCTGCTCTCCCCGCCGCCCGCCTTGATATCAAGTCCGGGGACAGCGGGAAGACGCGCTGCGTCTCCCTGCTGTCCCCGGAGCTTGGGGGCAGGCAGCGGGGAGAAGCGCTCTTCTCCCCGCCGCCCGCCTTCAGATCAGGTCCGGGGACAGCAGGAAGACGCGCTGCGTCTCCCAGCTGTCCCCGGAGCTTGCGGGGCCGGCGGCGGGGTCTCCCCGCCGTCAGCCTCCAAACCACTTCGGGAGACAGCGGGATGGCGGCGTTCCGCCTCCCTCTGTCCCCCGACCTTGTGGGGCTGGCGCTGGGGCTCTCCTGAAGCCTGGAGAGCGAGAGGGTCGGTGCGCACCGACCCTCTCGCTCTCCAGGCTTCAGTGAAAGCCTGCATTCGCACCATAGGACGCACACACATTTCCCCTTCATTTTTGGAGGGGAAAAAGTGCGTCCTATAGTGCGAAAAATACGGTAATTTTTTAAAAAGCAACTCAATTTGAAACAATGTTATTTTGACTTTTCACTTTAGATGTGAAATAGTCTAGAGTCAGCACTGCCTTTGGGGGTTATTGCCTTCACTTCACTTGGATGTGAATTACAACTAAGACATACACACCCCAACAATGACTTGGGGGTGGGAATCTTACATTCCTTTCAGACATGGAATCCTAACAATTATCTTCCTCTTTTTTATATATACTGTAAATGCTATTCTGTCACCACCATGGTGGGTTCCAACTAGCCACAGGTAACAGGAACGCAAGGAGTGAGAAGAAGGGGAGGGAGATACCCCACAAGCCAGTAAATCATTAATTTGAACCAGGCTAGCCAACATAAATATCATACTTTCTTTGTGCAAAATTATGTTGTACATGTTTTGCCTCTCATGGTGGCCCACAAATTGCTGCTGCAGATTGAACATGATAAGAGAAGCATTTAGGAAACTGGATTTTTATGATGTTTTATGGTATCGTTTAAGAAGGCTGACGCAATTAAATCTTTTTTTAAAAAAAATGGAATGATGGGTATTTTATCATTGCAGCATCATGTTCATTAAACAATTGTTAACTGCCCAGAATTTGCAAATAAGGAAGAAGGGATATACAGCTTGGACACCAACAACAGATAACAGAGCACTGCCACAAAACGTTGCAGTGTGAAGTGCTTCTGTCCAGGGTTCCAACCAACCCACCAGCCGGTTGCTCTTACACTCAAATGTGTTAGCAAGCCAGGATGTAGCCCAACATAAACGTATGAGCATAAAGAGAATTATACATTAGACATAACCGCCCTGAGATCTACAGATAAAGGACGGCGTAATCAATCAATCAATCAATCAATCAATGCCTTATGGTGTGCATACTTCTAGACCTGGGGTATGAAAGTGTTTGTTTTTTTAATGCAAGGGCTGCATTCCTTTCAAGAGACGCATCCCAGTGACAGATGGGGCAGAAGACAAAGTGGGTGGTTCTCCCACCCCTCCTAATTTAATCCCCACAATAACCCTGCGAGGTAGGTTGGTTTGAGAGGCAGTGTCTGGCCCATGGTTACCCAGTGAGCTTCATGGCCAGGTGGGATTTTGAACCCTGGTTTCTCCCAGGCGCCAGTCTGCTACTCTAACCAGTGCATGGCCTTATTATACCAATTTGTCAAAAAGGCTCCTTCTGTATATTTCCTCCATCCATACTGACATCAACTAAAGTCTCAAACTCTGGCCCTGCCTGTGAATCTGCCTTAATGTCTCCACTGACCCATTTATGTGAAAAAGGACCATTACTTGGGTTCCAACCTCTCCCCAGTTTCCCTGCCAGCTTCACTGTCCATTTGTGAGGAGTCCAATAATCCCTCCGGGGTTCCCCTTTAAGGAGGGGTTGGGGATTATTGGGGGGGGGGATTTCCCCCTTCCCTGGCCAGGTGTTAAACACATGGATGACTCCTGTCAAAGGATCCCTTTCATGGCCGACATTCCCAGGCACGTCCCCAGCATGTCTGGGAAACGAAAAAGTTCTGGGACAGCGGAGGTGCTTTACGCTAAGCCGCTCAGTACAAATTATCTCGTTATGCCATGTTATGACACGGAGAAGAAACCTTTCCTTGAGCAGCAGCAGCAGCTCAGAGCCTGGGGGGGGGGGAAGCTGCCACAACCCCACACAGACAAGCCTCCTCTGATAACCCCGTCAAGTCCCAACAGCTCCTGTGAGGCCTCCAGAGATTCTTCGAAAACAACAATCCCCTATTGGTGGCACGTGCAAAGCATTGCCGCGTTCGGAGGGAACCTGGATGGGCCACTGGCTGTTGAAGGTGCTTTGGGGTTGATTTATGTGGCTGGTTATTCCTATTGTTTTGCTCGGTGGAGCACGGAAAGGGAACCTCATGTCTCTTGTACATAGAGAGGGAGTGCATTGACAGGCATCGATGGGTGCAAGTGGCCCTCCCAAGTGGAGACTTAACAAGCAGCTAGGAAGGGTCATGCCCACTGTGCATGTTGGGTAGGGGGGCAGGGATGGCCCACCCAAGAGTCAAGGTGAGGTGACAGGATCTGTAGGGGCAGGAGATCCAGCCTCCAAGGAATGCATCGCCCGCTGCTACTGCTTCTGCTTCTGCGGAAGCGACAGCTGCAACATGCTCCTTGGAGACCAGATCTGTGACTTCCTTGGCAGGGACCCCCCCCCCCATGTTGTCTCTACAATGGCTACTTGGTGACTAGGAGGCACTGTCAGTCTCCTCCCACCTGTAGGGAGGAAATGGTGGGGGCTGCCCTCTGGAGTCCTCTGGACTCTGCACTCACCTGGTGTAATTAAAAGTGCCCCCCTCCACTGCAACAGCCTTTGGTTCCCACTTCAACCACCGAGTATGGTTGATTTGATTCCCCTCCCCTTGATCCAGATGTAGATTTTTACTCTATCATCTCTATCTATCTATCTATCTATCTATCTATCTATCTATCATCTATCTATCTATCATCTATTTCTCTCCCCCCCCCATTGTTCCCAATGTAGATCTTAATTTTTCAACCTTTTCCCCGATGCAGATCTTTATTCCACCATAACCCTTGTTCCTGGTGTAGCTCTTCATTCACCCCATTCTTCCCTGGCTGGGAGGCATTTTGTGGTTCGCCTCAGGTGCCAAAATGTATTGGGCTAACCAGCAAAATCCTGTGACAGCCCCCACCTCCCTCACACACTGAAAGAACAATCACCTTATCTCAGCATGTTCAGTAAATACAAGGGATGTGGAGGCCATCAGAAACTGCCCCTCAAACAGGGGCGCCAACTTGAATAAAATACTGGGGGGGGGGCAGGTAAGCCTCACCCCACATAATCGATCACATGAAACAGCAGATGCACACCATTTTATGACAATACCCATCAACTTTGGGGGGGCAGCCCCCTCAATTATTTTATTGGGTAGGCATAAGGGACCTCGGCCCCTAGGAGTTCACTCCTATGTCCTCAAATGACTCCACCTTGAACTCCATACAGAATGCTTTTTCTTTGGCACAAAAGGAGTGGGGGGGGGGAAGAATTATTAGTTTTCATGATAGCAATTATTCAAAATTTACTGCTCTTGTGCAACTTTTGGACTGATGGGCTTGGAATGTGACAAAATTTAATCAGGCAACAAAGCAGGCGAACTGTATAAATTAGGAGGAGTGTCAGTATAAGTTGGGCTTTCCCTTACATTTTTTTCCAAAATCTGAAGTCTGTCTGTGACAGTGGCTTGAACTTTGTGAAGCCCAGAAGATTAACTACCGTACCCCTTAAGCATTGCATTTCAAAGCTGGAGTCTTTCCGCTAGGAAAATGGCATTTGTACTTCCGCTGTGTATTCTGTTGGGTGGCTGTGCTGAGGGTTTAAAAACTATGGACTAGAAGCTTGAAGTTGACAAAGCATGCAGATGCACAATGGGATGAGGAGGAAAGGGAAGGGAGTGGAGTGGAGGAAGAAAGTATTCTGCATCATGGGGATCTCCCTTCAACTGAGTCAGACCATTGCTCCATCCAGCTCAATATTGCCAACACTGACTTGCAGTGGCTCTCCAGGGTTTCAGGCAGGGGTCTTTCCCAGCCCTACCTGAAGATGCCAGGGACTGAACCTGGGGGCTTCTACATGCAAAGCATGTGCTCTACAACTGACCCATGCCTCTTTCCAGATCAATGCAGAGGGGAGATTCGGTTCTATACCAATATCCCACCAGATGTCCAAACATTAACAAGGAGGGTTGCCACTTTTTTGTGCCCTAGAGGCTCTAATAGCAATGTGGCAGGGGTAAGTGATGGGCTGTGCAATCACTTGCTAAATTATCAGTGTCAGGTTGCCATTGTCTTTACCTGTTCAAAGCTCTTTTTCTTTTTTTGGAGCTGGGTATTCTAGATTTTTCAACAGTGAGGTCTTGTTATTCTCGGCTTCCACCTCAAGCCAACTTGTCCCAGCAGATCCATGCAAGGAGCAAACTCAGTGTGAATTTTTGGGATCTCTGAGCAAAGGTGCTTGCTCTGGCATGTTGGAGAAACCCCTCCCATTCTCAGTCCTTGCCATGAAAGAGAGAGAGAGAGAGAGGCCAACCAAATAATCAGGATACCACTGGTGGGTGCAGAGGGGTGTGCCTAATAGAGGCTGGTCCACAATGGGTGGCAAAGTGGGCCTGTGGTCTTTGCTAGGGATGTTTGCATTCAAACAAGAAGCTACCGAATTTGCACTTCTTGGACCACTACATGAACCGAAATGCAGCTGTCATTCAGAATTTGCATTTTGCAAGGCTGTTCTCCTGCCAATGTTTGCAACAGCAACAAAAAAATGCATATATGGGGGGGAATGTGCATTAAAAATGAACATGTTAGAGAAAAATGACATACACAAATGCGTTGTATATGGGAAAATTGCTAGCAGAAGTGTGTACCTGAGTCAAAAGCATTAATTACAGTAGGTCTACTGGGAGCAGGATTTAACTGGATACAACCATGTGCATTTGCACTTTGTCTCATGTCATCTGGTGGTACCTGCTCAGATAGCTTTCTCTGTAGACAGAGAGACAGGTAGATAATTAGCATGAGCTGTGCCTGGTGGTGATGTATCTATTGACTGAACTCGACATAGGTCAGCTTCTCGCTCCTGATCATACACCTGCATGTGGCTATTGAAAACAAAAAGGAGTTCAGCAAGTAGAATTACATATAATTTATTATTTCAAATTTTAATTAGTTATACTTAGTTATACCGCGTTGTTTATACAAAAGTTCAAAGTAGCTTACATTTAAAACTAACTAACTACCCATCAAACTATGGAAATGGTTTAAGCTGACTTGGGCAGCATACACACTATGCAACACAAAAATGAAGTTTTTCTCAATTTTGAGTCATTCAAGCTCATCTTCAACATGCTGCTGAGTCTAGATCCTGCTGCCCACAAGGGTTGGTGCAGTTACTTGATATACATCTGAAAACCCTCCCCTTGATTAGGTTAGCCATGCCTTTTCCTCCTTGCACCTGCCTGAGGTGAATGAAGGAGGAAGTGGCGATTGTGATCTTGGTATATGCCCACAGCTGCACAGTGTCATCGGACGGGTGTGGATGCATCTTCCCTCCACTGCCAGCCCTGCCTACACCTGTATTCTAATGGACATGCTGTGGAGTAACGCAAGATCAATCTGCAACGAGCTTTTATTTTCAGTATGAAACCGATTCCTCAAGAAACATTTGCCCATCCAAGGCAAAAGAAAAAAGGAAGAAAGAAGACGTACTAAATCTAGATTGTGCATGGACAATGTCAATGAAACAAGTACTCAGTCTCCACTGATTCCAGAATAACATGGCATGTGTATGCAGCCTTTGAGAACTTGTCAATCAAATTCTCCCTGTCAAGCATAACCTATTAGCTGATTAGGATCAAGTGGAACTATAACTGGATGGGTGGATCAAAAGAACAGTAGATTGAACTGCTTTGTATCAGAGATCTGCAATTCCTTTTCTTCTATTTCATTATCACTTTTGGGTTTGTTTTTTTAGGATCCTGATTTGTTCCATTATAACTTAACTTAACTTAACTTAACTTAACTTAACTTCACAACAAGCCTGGGAGGTAGGTTAGGCTGAGAGGTTGCGACCAGTCCAAGGTTGCTCAACAAGTGGAGGATTTGAATCCAGGTCTCCCAGATCCTAGCTTAGCCCTCTAACCACTACACCATACTGGTATTAATTTGGTTCTTTGTTTATTTGTATTTCATATTCATTTCGTCAATCATTTCCTCTTTTGTTCTTTTTAAAACAGTTTTTTAAATAAAAAAATAGTTTTATTTTGGAGTCCAGCAGCAAAGCTGGATTCTGGAGCCATTCCAAGAGACTCCCCCCCCCTTTCAGACCACCCCCCAAATTCAGCATTTCTGAAGGGGGGAAATGGTGGGCCCCCACTAGTAGTTGTCATTTCCCCTCTAAAAGAACTATGCAACATCCAGGGCATTCTGGGAGGCAATAAAGGATGGCCACTAGATACAGGACTCAGCTACATTTGTAAAGATAAAGCGCTTTATATGTGTTATAACACTATGACACCGACAGAACTTCCCTGTAGGAAGTTTGCAATGTGTTTAACTGAATTGCTTCTTTGATGTATCTAGATCCAGCCACAATTACAGATGTCAGCTCTATAACTACAAGCACCAAAACAGACCAGTGCTTCCCTTATGCCTCTGATAGGAGAACAAATGGGCATGAGCTGCAGTTCCACATCTGACTCAATAATTCATTCCTCTCTGCATTAATTTCAGAACATATCTGAAAACTGTACTGAGAGGTACACATTCAGCCAAATTTTCCATTTGTTCTGAAATGAATTTTGTAAAGGGCTATAACTCAGTGGTAGATAACTCATCTGCTTTGCACGCAAGAGGTCTCAGGTTCATTCACTGCCGTCCCAGGTAGGGCTAGAAAAAACCTCTACCAGAAGTCCTGGAGAGTTGCTGTTGGCCCATGTAGACAGTACTGAGCTAGACAGACCCATGGTCTGGCTTGGAAGCTTCCTATACAGTCGTACCTTGGAAGTTGAACAGAATCCATTCCAGACGTCCGTTTGACTTCTGAAATGTTCAACATCCAAAGCACGGCTCCTGCAGCCAATCAGAAGCTGTGGAAGCCCCATCAGACGTTCAGCTTCCCAAAGAACATTTGAAAACTGGAACACTCACTTCCGGTTTTCGATCGTTCGGGAGCCAGAACGTTTGACTCCCAAGATGTTTGGGAGCCGAGGTACGACTGTATTTCTTTGAATGCATATCCCTGCTTATGAATGCACACACCTGATTTAGGCATGCTACATAGAATCATAGAATTGTAGAGTTGGAAGGGATGCTGAGGATCATCTAGTCCAACCCCCTGCATGACAGGAATATGGAGCTGTCCCATACGGGGATCAAACCTGCCACCTTGGCATGATCAGCACCACACTCTAACCAACTGAGCTATCCAATGCCTGTCGAAAACCCACAAGCAGGACCCTGGCACAAGAGTGCTCTTCCCTCCTATGGTTTTAAGCAACTGGTATTCAGAAGCATTATGGCCTCTGACCATGGAGGAAGGCTACTGTTGCTAGTAGCCATTGATAGCATTATTCTCTATGAATTTGCCCAATCCTCTTTTAAAGTGGTCCAAGAGGGTGGCCATTGCTGCCTCCTGAAGGAGTAAGTTCCATAGTACTTTCTTTTTACCTGTTCTGAATCTTCCAGCCTTCAGCTTCATTGGATGTCCACAAGTTTTAATGTTGGCGAAACCTTTTCTGAACCCTTTCTAATGCTACAGTATCCCCTTTGGAGGTGAGGTGATCAGTATTCCAAAAGTGGTTGCACCATAGGTTTGTAGAATGACATCATAATTGATTCTGCCACTTGGCAAATGCAAAGGTCAGTGCTGGTTAGGAGGGGAACAGGTTTTCCAAATCCATCTTCCAGGCGGATGGGTTGTCCCCTCTTGGTGGCCGTCCATGGAGAACGAATGAGAAGTTCTAGCAGACCCCCATTCACATTTGCACCTTGCTCCTCTTTCCAGTATTCCCCGTTGCTCAAGAAGCTCTACTGTCAGATTGCGAAGACGTGCCCCATCCAGATCAAAGTGTCAACGCCTCCTCCTCCAGGGACTGTCATCCGAGCCATGCCAGTCTACAAGAAGGCGGAGCATGTGACGGAAGTGGTGAAGCGGTGTCCAAACCATGAGCTCGGGCGCGACTTCAATGATGGTGAGATCAGGTTCAACAGGAAGTGTGTGTTGTTGGTTCTCAAGAAGTTCTGGAATGCATTGGGTTGTCACGAGCTATGATTTATTCAGTATAGACCCACTGAAATCAGTGGAACTTAGTTATCCATAGGACTATAAAACTCTAGAGTTGAAAGGGACCCAACAGGCCATCTGGTCAATCTTTATGTCTATTCATTTCAATGTGTCCACTTTGAGCAGAGCTCACACTGGATATGAACCTCTGCCCCCTTATAATGGGTTGTCCATTGCGATTGGTTCGGCAGAAGGCAGTGAGAGCAACACTAGACGGCACCAGAGCCAATGAGAGGCAAAGTTCATCCCTTACTGATGACAAGACAGCAGGCACATCAGGGCAGACTGAGGTTAGTAAGGCGCATTGCTTCCCCCCAGTCAGAAGGACAATCTTGTTGGCTTACATTATGATGGGTCTTGGCCTCACAGGAATTTCTGCTGTTGATGTTGACATTCCATTGAGTAGCATTTCTTGCTTCTCCATCCAAAAAGGCAACTAAAGGAGCAAATACTTGCAGTTAAGCCTGCTTTTTGTCTTCACAGGTCTCTCGGCTCCTGCAAGCCACTTAATCCGTGTGGAAGGCAACAACCTATCTCAGTACGTGGACGACCCTGTAACTGGGAGGCAGAGCGTGATGGTTCCTTATGAACCTCCCCAGGTAATCTGACTTGCTAATGGGGAAAAAAACAATGTTCGAAGCAATAGGCATAATTTCTCTCTCTCTCTTTTGCGGGTGTTGGGTTGCTAGACCTCTTGAGGTTCAGAGCCAGAGGGAGGAGCCTGGGAATCCACAATGTTGATTGGAGAACAGGGTGGAGCTTTCAGGAAAAGCATGCTTCTCATGTAGAGGCAGCTCCTGGCAGACTGAAGTTTTAAATTCACTATTCTCACCACTGTATGGTAACAGCCAGAGGTTTCACATACACACAAGTCCTGCATTCATCTCTCCATCCAGGCAAACAAAAAGCAGTATATCACAGTCACCTTGAATAAAATATTGGAGGGGCCCAGGTAAACCCTGCCCAGCATAATCGATCACATGATGTGGTGCAGTGCACTATTTGAATGGCAATGCCCATTAACTTGGGGGGCCCTCAAATATTTTATTGGGGGGACCGAAGACCCCTTGGCTCCTAGGAGTTGGCTCCTACGATCGCAGTCAAGAAGGAGGACATAACAGGGCCATTGAGAGCTATTGTGTCAGGATAGGGGAAAGGGCATTGCCTGAGAAGAGTCTCAAGGGCCATATAGAAAGACCCTTGAGGGCCACATCCAGCTCTTGGGCCTGAGGTTCCCCACTCCTGCTGCACAGAGTGCAGCCTCCCACTGTGTGGGAAAGGAAGAGGACACTGGTGCAAATCAGGTTTCTCCACTTGTAAGAGCCAAGCATGTTAAATATGCTTTAAAAGGCAGCAGGGAGGAAGCAGTATTTAAGCTGGCCAGTTTTTATGCTGAAGGAAAAGCAGCTATGCGTGAGCATTGCCCAGTCTTAATCCACCACAGAGGTTGTAGCTCAGTGGCAGAGCATTTATTTTGCATGCAGATGGTCAATCCCCAGCATCACCAGGTAGGGCTGGGAATGTCCCCCTTCCTGAAAGATAAGCTAGTTGGACCGATGGTCTGACTAGATACAATGCAGCTTCTTTAACAGCTCCTCATCTGGAACCATGAGGACTAGAATCTTACTTTCACTTTAAGGGCTGCAAATGTCCCCTGCCTGAAACTCTCAATACTGCTGCCAGCCAGTGGCGACAGTACTGAGCTAGATGGATCAGTATCCTGTCTTAGTATCATTAAGGGCTGCAGCTAAGTTGCAGAGCATCTGTTGTGCACGCAGAAAGTCTCAGGTATCTCCAGGTAGGGCTGGGAAGGTCCCTGTGTCTGAAATCCTGGAAAGCCACTGGCAATCAGCATAGGCAATCTTGATCTAGCTGGACCACTGGTTTTACTTGGTGCAAAGCAAACTTTCGCCTTACCTTCCTTCTGCATTTATTGAACTAGGGATCTGGAGGTATGGCATACGTACTGCCAATGTTTGCAAACCCCAGGAAGAAATACCAAATGTTGGCTGCATCTACATTCAGGATGGGAACACCTACCAGGTGTGCTCTGCATCCTCGCCTGTCAAGAAGCACACCTGTAGCTCCTCGCTCTTTAAAGGATATGCCCACCTTCTACTGCTCTAAACTCACATACATTGCAGCATCTCGAAGGAGGAGAAATGCAGGAGAGTTTTAGGGGGAAACCCAGAAGGAAAAATGAAGACTGCTTATAGGAAGGCTTGGATCTCCCCCTACTGTTAGGCAGAATTATTGCAACTCTGATTCTGCACAACAGTATGTAATATGAGTCAATTTTGGGCATCATTACTGCAACTTTGATTCCACGCTCAGCTTGCAATGCTTCGTGCCTTTCTATGCCAAAGAGCTCAAAGTGGCATGTGTAGTTGTCCCCTTCCCATCTTACAACAACCCTGCAAGGTAGGTCAGGCTGAGAAATAGTGACTAGCCCAGGGAAATCCAGCAGGCTTCATGGCTGAGTGAGACTTGAACCTGGGTCTCCAGAGCCTTTGTCTGCCACTCTAACCACTACACCACACTAAGCCTCTGCTTTCCACTTCAGAAAAAGGTCCGAGACCTCGAAAGGTCACCTACATTGGGGTGGGCAGAAGATTTACTAGTGGAGTTCTGAATGATCTTTCATAGATCAGCAAGGATTCTGACTCCTGTTTGTTTAATGATAGATGCAGCAACAACAAAGGTTTCCCCCTTATAAATTTCATCCTCTAAACTGTTTTTGTTTTTTTGGTGGAGGAAGGAGGCTTGTTTATGGGGTCACTTTAAACCTATTATTGTTGCTGTTGTTGTTGTTGTTGTTGTTGTTGTTATTTACCCTGCCTTTTTCCCTGGCAGGACTCAAGGCAGCTTACAGATAAAAATGAGAACTGCTAAAAACGTAGACGAAACCATCATTTAAAGTGTTCTTAAACCATGCCAGCATATTGGACCTCCACACAAATAATTTTGGGAGACTTAGGACTTAAAGAAGAATAAGAATTGGCTGTTTGCTTTGTGAAATTGTGGACTGAATTTGGGATCCTGCCCTTGCACAGACCTTCCTTTAGATTAGTACTGTCTACAATGATTGGCAGTGCCTCTCCAAGGTTTCATACTGCCTTACCTGGAACTGCCTGAGATTGGACCTGGGGCCATCTGCATGCATAGCAGATGCTGTACTGCTGAGCCATGCCTTTTCCTCAAACCCATTCCCATCCAGCCAATCCCTTCTACTCTTCACCTTTTCCCCTGTCCTCTTCCAGCAAATGGGCCAGATCCCACCCACCTCCAGTTATAATAATAATAATGTTATGCACATCCCAAACATGGCTCACCACACCTTCCTCCCCCTCTTTCTTCTTCGTCAGGTGGGTACCGAATTCACCACCATCCTCTACAACTTCATGTGCAACAGCAGCTGTGTGGGTGGAATGAACAGGAGACCCATCCTCATCATCATCACCTTGGAGACCAGAGAGTGAGTCAGTCATGTGAACACCAGCTCTGCAAGAGGAAATGCTATTCCCTAATGGACAGTCAGATGAGTGGGGTTGATTTATGTTGGGTAGGGAAGGTAGCTGAAGATTGGAGCCATGCCTCTATAGGGGGTATTCCCTTGAAGACAGTTTGGAAATGCATGCGAAGTGCAGCCAACAGGTTGCTTACTGGCACATACTTTTTAGACTGGCCTTATGTCAAGTGCACTGGGTTCCGATCTGTTTCCATGCCAAACCCAAGGTGATGGTTCTTACTTCTGATGTGCTAAACCACGGGTAGGAAGCCAGTGAATCCCTGACCATTGGCCATGCTGGGTGTGTGTTGGCAGAATTTGAATTAGGGGCAAGAGGGAAAAGGTTGGATCCCATCCCCCATTACCCACACCAAGTCAGCCCTCCCTCTAATTGCTATTAACTGAAGAAATAACAGCAGGAGATGGATTCACCAACTCCTGTGTTATATCTAGTTTGGCCCTAACACACCCAGAGTCAGGCTTTGGACCTTCCTCGTTTGTAATCATTCTTCTGCTTCCCACTGCTGCCACCACACAGCAGCTCATGGAAGTATGCAAAGTTATCGCCTTCCCATTTGACAACTAGTACAGTGGTTTAGTGTATCAGCTTAGCACATAGGAGACCTCAGTATCTCCTGATCTGAACCCACCCTTAGATCTCTTCTGAGGTCCTCTACTGGGTTCCTTCTTTAAGGGAGGCTTGGAGGAGGATGGCGAGGTAGAGGGCCTTTTCAGTTGTGGCTCCCAGACTGCAGAACACTCTCCCCAGTGAGCCTCACCTGACACCTTCACTGACATATTGTTGATGCCAAGTAAAAATGTATATTTCCCCACTTCCAGCTTTCGACAAACTAGGAATATTATGGTTTTTGCTGCTAAAGCTTTCAGCAGCCATTGTTTTAGGGAGGGTTTTGAATATTTTTGTGACTTGCACTTTTTTTTAATGAATGTGTTGGTGCTAACCTTTAAAGCCCTAAATGGCCTCGGTCCAGTATACCTCAAGGAGCGTCTCCACCCCCATCGTTCTGCCCGGACACTCACGCCCAGCGCTGAGGGCCTTCTGGCAGTTCCCTCACTGTGAGAAGCCAAGTTACAGGGAACCAGGCAGAGGGCCTTCTTGGTAGTGGCACCCGCCCTGTGGAACGCCCTCCCACCAGATGTCAAAGAGAAAAACAACTACCAGACTTTTAGAAGACATCTGAAGACAGCCCGGTTTAGGGAAGCTTTTAATGTTTAATAGACTATTGTATTTTAATATTCTGTTGGAAGCCCCCCAGAGTGGCTGGGGAAACCCAGCCAGATGGGCAGGGTATAAATAAATTATTATTATTATTATTCTTATTATTATTATTATTATTATTATTTCTATATTACAAGACATTACACTGTATTTATGTTTTTATGTTACTGCTAATCACAGTAACAAGTCTAATAATAATTATAATAATTAAAAACAAGGTCAATGGGTTGCATCCAACCATGTTCTGCTCAGAGCAGACCCCCTGAAATTAATGGACTCAAGGTAGTCATGTCCATAGGTTTCAGTGGGTCTTTTCTGGGTAGGACTAACATTACATACAGCCCACTGTTGGTATAGAGGTTTACATCTGCTGAATTGACATTGTCTTTGCTTCTCAGCGGACAGGTCTTGGGGAGGAGGTCATTCGAAGGCCGAATCTGCGCTTGTCCAGGCAGAGACCGGAAAGCGGATGAGGACCATTACCGAGAGCAGCAGGCCCTGAATGAAAGCGTGGCGAAAAACGGAAACCCAAATAAGCGGAGTAAGTCTTTGGGTTGTGGATCATGGGCAGCATTCAAGGAAGGACAGCTGCCCCCAACCTGCTGCCTGTTACTGAAGTCAGTACTGAATGAGCTGGGCCTATGGACTGGTCTGGGATAAGGCAGCTTCCTATATTCCAAAACTTAAAATGACTGAAGCTAATTGGCCGTAGGATCCTAGGTACAAACAGGGCTTTCAGGACCATGGACAGGTCACTGGAAGCTGCCTATCTATTGCTGCATGAGATAAAAGAAAGTACAGTGGTACCTCGGGTTACATATGCTTCAGGTTACAGACTCCGCTAACCCAGAAACATTACCTCGGGTTAAGAACTTTGCTTCAGGATTAGAACAGAAATCATGCAGTGGTGGCAGCAGGAGGCCCCATTAGCTAAAGTGGTGCTTCAGGTTAAGAACAGTTTCAGATTAAGAACAGACCTCCAGAACGAATTAAGTTCTTAACCCGAGGTACCACTGTACTTCTTCATGCTGCAAATGGTTAAACGGTGGAACTTGCAACCACAGGGGCCAGCAATGACCACCAGCTTGGGTGGCTTTAAAAGGTTAGACAAATTCACGGAGAAGTCTTATTTATAGCCATGATGGACCATTGAGGCAGCAGTGCATTACGCCACCTTGAGCTGCAGGTTCTCCGCCATTTTCCCCAAGATGCCTTTGTGCTGTCACAACCTTGGCTCAAATTAAGCCCTGTCTAATAGCAGTCATTGTTTCCTTCTCTCCCCTCACCCAGCTTTCAAGCAAAGTCCTCAAGGTATTCCAGCACTGGGAGCTGGAGTGAAGAAAAGGAGGCATGGGGAAGAAGAGACATATTACGTACCTGTAAGTAGCACCTGAGACTGGTTTGTGTGTGTGTGTGTGTGTGTGTGTGTGTGTGCATGTGCAATGCTGTACAAGTGTCAAGCCAGTCTAGCACGCTTTAAGATAAACTAGACCACAGCTTTTCAATGTGGCATGCACAGTCACCAGTGAACTCACCACTGCCTCCTATGATGCTTGCAAAAGGTCCCAATGAACATCCCCTCCCCCCCCCAAAAAGACCCATTGCACATTTGAACTGTGATCATAGAACCATAGAACTATTGAGTTGCAAGGGACACCAAGAGTCCAAGAGTCATCTTGAGAGGTGGTGGGCTCTGCTACTCTGGAGGGATGAAAGCAGAGGCTGCAGCTGCAGATCCTGCCCTGAACAGGGGGAAGGTTAGATTGGATGACCCCCCCCCCGGGTCCCTTCCGATTCTTTTTATTCTAACTCGCATCTGTTCTCCTTGATTCAGGTACGGGGCAGAGAGAACTTTGAGATCCTAATGAAGATCAAGGAGAGCCTGGAGCTGGTGGAGTTGGTTCCGCAACAGCTGGTCGACTCCTATCGCCAGCAACAGCAGCAGCTCTTGCAACGCCAGTAAGTCCCCAAATGGTCTTTCCCCGCTTTCCCCCCAAAACAACTTGTAGCACTATTAGGGTGAACAGGGTGCTGGAGGAGGATGGGGACAAAACAAGATTTAGTTGGTTCTGCCTCTAATGCGCTCTGGCACCACCTGTTGTGTTCTCTGTGTTGCAAGCCGCTTTGTTTATATTTTTACAGAAGAGAGGATTCTGTGTTTTCAAAAACCATTCAGCAAATTTCAAATATTTCAAGGATGGTTAACCCTTTGGTCCATCAGCTATTGCAGGATGGCAGTTCTCATGATAGCTCAAGTTTAAATAAGCTGATTAAATAAATAAATAAATAAATAAATAAATAAATGTGTACTGGAGCAAACTTCTCCTACCCTCCCATCTCATCCCAAACTCCATTCCCCATGCAGGACTCACCTTCAGCCTCCTTCTTCCTATGGCCCAGTTCTCTCGCCAATCAACAAGCATCACACGGGAGGGATCAATAAGCTGCCGTCCGTCAACCAGCTTGTGGGGCAGCCCCAGCAGCACAGCTCCGGCGCTGGGACCACCCTTGGGCCGATGGGTAAGGCAAGGCACCTAATGCAAAAGGCCAAGAATGTTTTCTTATCGTCTGTGCAGCACCCTTTCTCTGAATCTTCCTGGTTCCCTACAGACACCCTGTCATTTCATTTCCTGTAGTCAAGTTCAGTGTGCCTGTATTTTGGGCTTCTTGCATGCTACCTGAGCCAGCCTCTCAGGGCTGTATAGGGTGGGATATATAGTTTTCTAAATAAAACGGAAAGCCTCACTCTTCCTTTTGGAACCGAGATGGGGCGATTTGGGAATATGGAAGTGTAAACAGCTGCTTTGTGCTGAGTCAAACCATTGGATCATCTAGGTTACTGTGGAATGGCAGCAGCTGTCCTGGGTTTCATACTCAAGGGGTATTCCCAGCTTTACCTGGAGAAGCCAGGGATTGATCTTGGGGTGGGGTCCTTCATGCAAAGCAGACACTCTACCACTGAGCTACAGCCCTTCCCCAAACTTGTGAGAGCTATTTTGTGGTTCCTTTTTCTTTTTTACAAAACTCCCAAGGTTCTAGCAAACTGGATTCAAGTATAAAATAATGACTGTTAGGGGAGTGGGAAGCCCCTCCAACAGCCAAGAAGAGATGATGCCATCTGGACATGGCTGCCCGTTTTTTGACCACCCTAAATCTCTGTTTTAAAAACAAATAAAATTTAAAATTGCTTTCCTTTCCCACAATGTATTCTTGACTTGTAACTGACCAGCTAAACTGTCTCTGCCTGATGCCTGAGTGAGGAAAATGGAATAGGACATCAAGCTTACACTGAGCTGCAAAATCAATCCCAGTTACCTAGCGGTAACCCCACTAAATTCAGCGGGACTTACTTCTGAGTGAACGTAGATAGGTTTGGAGCCATAGATGGCTTTGAATGGGCTAATGGCCCATCACAAAGCCATTTTTGGCTCTTTGTTGTTTTGGCTGCAAAAGTTCTAAGAGGGAAATTTATTAACTTTGGAAGGGAACATGCAAGGAAAGATTGTGAATATCTGTTGATGACTGTTTTTTTGTGTGTCTATTGTGTGCTACACACACACACACACACACACACACACACACGCCCCACACACACCATTTAAAAATACATACTTGTTGCATCAGAGGATGACTAGATGGAACACAGACCCAACTGCAGCAGAACAAAAATTGCCAGGTGAAAGGGCAAATGAATATTGGAATGGATTGAGGCATGTTCAAACATCCCTACCTGGGTGTAAACCCAAGTGAACTCAATGGGATTTACTTCTGAGTACACACATGCACCATTGTATTGTGTGACTGTCCTCCTAAGCCCAGCATGCGCCTGGGGAACAGTGATACTTACAATCGATGCCTGTGTGCCCACCTTTGCCCACTTTAGAGCCAACACAATGTCCCCGCCCTAAATACATATCTTTTGGTAGCCATTTTTTATCATGCTCCACCCCAAGGCATCCATTTTGCGCTACGCTTCAGCCATTTTGCGGCATTTCTCAACATTCCCTATGATCCCATTGGCCCTGAAGGGTTGGCAGCCCCTGAGTTGTGTAAGGTTGTACCTGGAATGTATTTCACAAACTCACCAGGCTGGTTTGCTGCCATTTCTTGAACCCAGGGCCGGGAATGCTGAACAGCCACACCATGCAGTCCAATGGAGAAATGAACGGCGGGCACCCCTCGCAGTCCATGGTCTCAGGGTCGCATTGCACGCCCCCTCCGCCCTACAACCCAGACCCAAACCTTGTCAGGTAGGAAGGAGGTGGCTCAGCATGGGTCAACTCAGCAACGCCTGGTTTTGTTTTTGTTTAACCACACACTAACCTCTGTAGCAACTGGTTTGCTTAGGCCAGAGCTTTCCAAACTTTTCATGTTGGTGGCACACTTTTTAGATGTGCATTGTTTCGCGAAACAGTAATTCAGTTTTGCTAGCAAACCGGAGGTTAAACTAACCCGTTATGAGAGATACGGGCACTTATCGAGTGATGACACTTCAGCCGACACACTAACATGTTGTGACACACAGTTTGGAAAACTCTGGCTTAGGCAATGCTCTGTTGGGAGGTGGGTGGGAGAGAAAGGCAAGCGCTCCATTTGCAACTTGTTTTCTTTAGCTAAGGGATAACAAGATGTTTAAAGTGGCATCACAGAGTTTTAAATGTTTGGTATGGATGTGGCCTAGATGTTGCTGCCCTCCAGCTCCGGCCAGCAGGTCCAAAGGTCATGGATGATGGAAGTTGTAGTCCATCAACATTTGAAGGGCGCCATGTTGGCTACCCCGGCCTTAAGCCACATTTCCTACCATAGCTGTCCCTATTCTTAAAAATTGATTTCTGTCAGCATTAAATGGGAGCCGGGGCGGGGGGAAGGGGACGTGTTATGGGAACCATTTCCCCTCAATATTACAAAATATCTTATCAGTTATTGGAGCCATCCTAGGATATGAGAAGCTTATCCATTATTTTACCATTCCTAGATTACCTTACTGATAAGAGTTTAATGTACCTGAGGACATTATTCTATTCCCCCCCCCATATATATATCTATATATTTTTCTTTTTCTTCTGCAGTTTTTTAACAGGTTTGGGGTGCTCAAACTGCATTGACTATTTCACTTCACAAGGGTTACAGACTCTTTACCACCTGCAGAACTTAACTCTAGAGGTAAATACCGAGAAGATCTGTCGCTCTGTTTCTCTTGGGGCTGTCACTCTCAAAACAACGTTTTTGGGGATGGGATTGCGGGGGGGGGGGGCGGATCTCAAGCAGCTGAAATGCATGCTTGTCACAGGAGAAATATCTTGACGATGATATTAGTTCAACAATAAAGACAATTACCTAGAGCACCCTTCCCCACAACCTTGGGTACTCAGGTATGGTTGAAAAGGCCAAAAACTCAGTGGTAGAACATCTGCTTTGCATGCAGAATAACAACAACAACAACAACAACAATAATAATGTGACTTTCCCACACAATCATCGGTTGCATTTTTGTTCTAAAAATATGAAGAGCACATAGCAGAAAATGGTGAAATAATGTAGTCAGTTCTGTCAAGCACTGAACAGTTAATGCAAAACTTCATGCAACTTTCAAAATAATCCAGATTAACTCTGTAAACCACATGGAGTCTCTTTTAGGGGAAAAGGTGGTATACTACTACTACTACTAATAATAATAATAATAATATTTATATGCCACCCATCTAACTGGGTTGCCCCAGCCACTCTGGGTGGCTCCCAACAAAATATTAAAAACACAATCAAACGTTAACCATTAAAAATTTCATTGAACAGGGCTGCCTTCAGATGTCTTCTAAAAGTCAAATATTTATTTGTTTGACATCTGATGAGAAGGTCCCTAGTTCAATCTCCAGGTATCTCCAGGTAGAAAATGTCCCCCACCTGAAACCCATCAGTGTAGACAATGGGGAACTTGCAGGATGATACTGAGCTGGATACATATTCTGAGGGAAAGCACACATTTAAATATGTATCCTGAGAGAAAAACGTATTCTGAGAGTGAATACATGTTAGAACCCGTAATCTGAAAGAAAAATATATTCTAAGAGAAAATACGCCTTTGAATATGTGTTCTGAGGAAAAAACATTCTGAGAGAGAATACAATGTATTCTGAGGGGAAATGCACAACTGAATATGTATTCTGAGCAAAAAACACATTGTGAGGAAGAGCACACCTTCAAGCACCTTCTGAGAAAAATGAACATTCTGATACATATTCTGAGAGAAAATGCACATTTAAATATTTATTCTGTGAGAAAAACATATTCTGAGAGAGAATACAATGTATTCTGAGGGAAAATGCACAATTGAATATGTATTCTGAGCAAAAAACACATTGTGAGGAAGAAGACACCTTCAAGCAGCTTCTGAGAAAAAAGCACATTTAAATATGCATTCTGTGAGGAAAACATATTCTGAGAGAGAAAACAATGTATTCTGAGGGAAAATGTACATTTGAATACGAATTTTGAATGATAAACATATAAGAAAGAATACACGTTTAAACACATGAGGGGGGAGGGCCTATTTCAATATGTGCTCTGAGAGAAAACGGACATTTAGATATGTGTTGTGAAAAAAAAATCTTAAATGTGTATTCTGTGAGGAAAACATATTCTGAGAGGATACATATTTAAACACATATTCTGAGAAAAGCACACATTTAAACACATGTTCTAAGAAAAAATATGTAGTTCAGCATGGGTTTTGTGAGGTTTTTGGTTTTTTTGAAAAAATGGCAGATGCAAGGGAATTATAGGAAAAAACATATGAAAGCGGTATGGATCAGAAATCAGGCAGAGTTCTGTATCCCTACCCACTGTCCCCTGAGCAACCTTCCCCAAACCTTCTGCCCTCCTATCATCCTTGCTGATCAGCCATGCTGGGATGGGAATTGAAGTCCAATCATGTCTGGCGGGTTCCAGGCTGGAAAAGGCTGCTCTAAGGGAACCCTACACTCATGTCTGCCCAATAAATGCCACATGTTGCGCAGAACCAAGTCTTCACCATGTCGTATTTTGGTGCCATGCATTGTATGTCATTTTCCGCTTCGGGCTTCAAGCACTGAACAGAAAACCCTCAGAATAAACCTTCCACAAACACCTGGGGCCAGTTGCAGTCTTAGACTGGAATCAAAAGCTACTTGCTGCTTAACCCCATAAAGTTTAGCATTGTGTGTTTGCTTGTTTTTTAAAAAAAGATCCCATTTTTGCATGAAGACTTTCCATGTTTCCTGAGTTATGCCCACACCGAACTCCCAACAGAGAAGCCTTTCATAACTTGCTGCTCTCCAGACATTTTGGGCTCCAACTCTTTTTGTTGTCATTGTTTTAAAAAAAATCCCATTGAGGTGCTGATACTCATTTCTTCATAAACGTTATCTGAGTGCCGGTACAAAATGGCTGGCATCATCAGCAAGAAAAGAAAGGCAATGGTATTCCAACTGCCTGCAAAATAAATCCAAAACATCTGTAGGGCACAAAGTTTGGGAAAGCTGTAATAGAGTATTACAGTGCTTACTGTTTTAACTAAATTAACACTTGCGCATGAATCCATGGTTGTTTTCATGAGTGGGACTTAAAACTGGCTGTGTTATAAATCAGTCTTCTGAGAAGAACATGAGGCTTGTTTGGGCCTCTGTGTCTCCTCATTTCCTCCCCCAAATTCTCTCCTGCATGAATCACACATGGAGGGCCAGAACACTTGCTATGTTAAACGTGTAGTACTTGGGCCTTCCATGTTTGTTTATTATTTAGCTTGAAATAGTAGCCGTGAGGTAGAGAGATCAGGACTGGAAGAGGCAAATCCCTAGAGATGGGTATCGATGGCTATGAGCCACAATGGCTATGTGGAGGCAGCAATGCTTCTGAATGTGAATTATTGGAAAACACTGGAGGGAAGAGTGCTCTTGGTGGGCTTTCCAAAGGCATCGGGTTGACTTCGGTGAGAACAGGATGCTGGGCGAGATGGGCTGTCAGCCTGATCCAGCAGGCTCTTCTTATATTAAGGTTACCAGATGTCCCTGTTGCCTGGGGACAGTCCCCAGATTTACAAATCAGTCCCCATACAAAGTTGGGACGCGGGTGGCACTGTGGGTTAAACCACAGAGCCTAGGACTTGCCGATCAGAAGGTCGGCGGTTTGAATCCCCGTGATGGGGTGAGCTCCCGTTGCTCAGTCCCTCCTCCTGCCAACCTAGCAGTTCGAAAGCACATCAAAGTGCAAGTAGATAAATAGGTACCTTTCTGGTGGGAAGATAAATGGCGTTTCCGTGCGCTGCTCTGGTTCGCCAGAAGCGGCTTAGTCATGCTGGCCACATGACCGAGAAGCTGTACGCTGGCTCCCTTGGCCAATAAAGCAAGATGAGCGCCACAACCCCAGAGTCGGCCATGACTGGACCTAATGGTCCCTTTACCTTTTACCCCATACAAAATCCACTGAAGTTGAAAAGTGTCCCCGGATTCATTGAAAAAAAATCTGGTAACCTGATCTTATATTCTTACAGTTCACACAGTCCTTTTGTCAACCCAATCTCCCAAACACCTTTCTTTGCAGGATCTTGGAGCACTGAAGATCCCGGAGCAGTACCGGATGATTATCTGGAGGGGCCTCCAGGAACTGAAGCAGGGCCACGACTACGGAGCCCAGCAGCTCATCCGCTCCAGCAGCAATGCCTCCACCATCTCCATCGGCACGTCCGGCGAGCTGCAGAGGCAACGTGTCATGGAAGCCGTTCACTTCCGCGTCCGCCACACCATCACCATCCCGAACCGCAGTGGGGCCGATGAGTGGGCGGACTTCGGCTTTGACCTCCCGGACTGCAAGTCCCGCAAACAGTCCATTAAAGAGGAATTCACAGAGGGAGAAATCAACTGAGTGTCTCTAGCGAGGAGCATGGAAGCAGGCGAATTAAGGGCAAGGAACTGAACAATTGGACCTGAAAGGTATTTGGCACAACAGCCAGGCGGAACGAGCCTTTCGGGTAGCCACCGAAAAGTATTTTTTTTCAGAGCTTGGGGCAGGACGTGACAGTTGCGCTCTGGAGCTTAAATGCAGTCCTTTGCGACGTACCTTTTCACGAAGGGTAGCTAATTCGGCAGTTGCATTTAGCAGCAGGACATGCACTGGGTTAAAAAAAACCCCTGTGTTGTGTTGCACTTGGTTGTGTAGCAAACCTGGGTCAAATGTGTATCACAGCATCAGGTACCTTAAGGATATTGTGTATCTCATTTTATCTATTCTCTTCCACCTCGTCAGAAAAGTCTCCAAGCCCCTAACTTCTTTAAGTGAGAACAGGGCTGACCTATCGTACATCGTGGGAGGTCTCCATGGCCAACTGGAACCAAACCACTTAAGGACTTCTTTTCTTTAACAGACTGCCAAAAAAAAAAAAGTGTTTGTTTTTCTACAGTACTTTGCAGAACAGAAAAGCGGCTCTTTATGATTTGATTAACCTGAGGGATATCTGTGTTAGCTGGGTGAAGGCTTTGCCTAGCAAGACAACTTTGTACACACACGTTGTATATACAGTATACTCGCCATGATGTTGTAAGGTTTGTTTTCTGTGTAAGCTATTGTGAAGAGTTCACAGATGGACAAGGTTTTCCCCCCTTCTGAGGGGGTGCAAAGATGGCATTGTTCTTCCCCTACCCAAGAAAGGAAAACAATTCTGCAACTGTTTCTAGAGTCAAAGGTTTATTGCTTGATCAAATCCAAATCATTATTTGGTCTTTGTAATGGATTCCTAAGCAAAACATCAAAAAAGCTATAGTTTTCATCTTTGGGAGAAATGCGCTCTCTGTCATTACACTTCTCCACACACAAAAACACACACAATAATATATAGTTTGGTGCTAGCTGTTTCTTGCTTAGAAGCCCTATAGATGGGTTATGTTCCCTAGATTTCAGAACAAATTCATGCTTAGGTGATAAGGAGCTGCATTCAGCAATGTGTGTGTTTTATTGGCTCGGGTGCAAAATTTTGCTTTGTAAGAAACTTGCTCTCTTTTTCTTTAAATTTTCTTCTTCTTCTTTTGTCACAGCACATTTCAATAGACTCCAGAAAGGTAAGAGGTTTTGGAGGGAGCTTCCAAATGCTATTGGACTCCAACTCTCACCAGCTCCAGGCAGTATGGCCAAAGGTTAGGGATAATGGGAGTCATAGTCCAACAACATCTGGAAGGACAACTGGTTAGTTACCCTTGCTTTAAAGCAACTCATTCCATCAGGTTGGCCACTTTGGGAACAGGATATAGCTACGAACAAGGGGTATATAAATTTTGTTAAATAAATCATCTGGATAGCTCAGTTGGTTAGAGCATGGTGTTGATGACACCAAGGTTGCAGGTTTGATCCTGATAAGGGACAGCTACATATTCCTGCATTGCAGAGAGCTGAACTAGATGAATTTGGTTCCTCATAAGGCTTGGTTACCAGATTATTGATTCCCTTGATTACCATCCTCTACCCTCCAGCTTGGGTGCCTAGAATTGGACACAGTACTCTTATAAACCCTCCAGATGTTGTTATCAATTCCAATTTCCATCAGCCCCCAACCAACACGGCTAAGTGGCAGGGATGATGCAAGCTGTAGCCTAGCAATACCTGGAAAGCCAGAGGTTCCCCATTCTATCCCAGGTACACATAATCGGTACCTCTGGAAACTTCCTCTTGATTCTGACCAGGATTTTCGACATTGACTTTCCTTGTTTCACATTATTCTGCTATTGTATGTTGCTGTTTTCTTGTCTTTGCTAAGAACAGTTTGCAATTCATCCATCCTGTTGCAGCATCCAGGTAGAATTTTAGAGCCCCCTTTTGTGACACTGTGTGATTTTGTTTGTTTGTTTAAAAGCCCCTTGCAGGGCAAGGGGAAACACTTTGATTTGGGTTTGGGTTTCTTGGTTTTTTAATAGGCTTCTTCTGGACTTCCATCCCTTAAAGAGAGGACTCTTTCAGAGGACTGCCCACTGTAAAGCAGGAGACATACCACATACTCCTGCCACTGAACTAGCATAGCCAAAATGCTACAGATCTGTCACTCATTATGCAGCAAAAAAATCCTTCTCCTTTTCTCTCTCACCCACTTTGCATCACTACGCAGCGACTATCTCTAGGGAGCACCCAGATTTGCACCTTGTTAAAGATCCTGTCTGAAAACTGCATGTGTTTTTGTCCTGCAGGGGCTGAGACTTTGGGAACAGCCAAGATGCAATAGTGCTTGTGAAGTAGCAGTGAGTTAAAGCACTTTATGTTGTTCTTTTCCCCACTCTCTCACATCTTCAGTGGTCGCAAAAATGCTTTCCTGGAGCAGTATTACTACATATTACTCTGTGTGTGTGTGAGTGAGTGTGCGTGTGCATCTGCATGCTTATGTTACTAGCAAATTTCAAAATGTTGGGCACACGTCATGAGCAGCTTGAGCAAAAATCCAGAAGCTCTGGAAGCATCCTGGAGTCAGCAGCAGGGATGGGAGAGTACATTTGTTTAGTATGCATGCAAAGGTGAGCCTTCATTCGCACTTTCTAGAAAAATACGAGGACTGAAGCACAGCACAGTAATTTGTACAAACATGCATGTAAAGTGTACTTGTATCTAGAGGTATACAAGGTTCACAGTTTGCAGGAGTAAGGCCTATCATATTTTGTTGATTCATAGCCATACTGGAGAGCTGAGACCCATAGGATGCACAGAGAGAGTGCATGTTGTTGACCTACCTGGGCTTCAGCTAGAATTAGGCCTATATACACCTGCCAAAACCACAGCTTACTCTGGTAGATTCAAAACCATGAAAAGGGAAAGAAAGGTGTTGGCACTCTAGATAACTGTAGGGAACTCTGGAGTGGCATCTCTCTTTCCCTCCCCTTCTCTTTCTTTTCCTGCCTTCCTCCCTGTCCCATGTTGAGAAAGAACATATGAGGAAGGAAGCCAGCACTTACAGGCTTCCACACAGTCTGAAAACCCAGGCTGTCCACAGTGATGGGCTTGTGCCTGTTAGGACTGGAAAGCAGGTGGCTCTGGAGCCAATAACAGGCAGAACCAACTACAGTGGTACCTCGGGTTACATACGCTTCAGGTTACAGACTCTGCTAACCCAGAAATATTACCTCAGGTTAAGAACTTTGCTTCAGGATGAGAACAGAAATTGTGCTCTGGTGGTGCGGCAGCAGCAGGAGGCCCCATTAGCTAAAGTGATGCTTCAAGTTAAGAACAGTTTCAGGTTAAGAACGGACCTCCGAAACGAATTAAATACTTAACCCGAGGTACCACTGTAACTACTTTTGTCCTCCTCCTCTTTCTCTGTGCCGAGTTCTACAAGGGCAGAGCTAAGAGTGAGAAGGCAGGTGAGCTTGGAGGAATCAAGGCTGAAGTTGGTGAGGCAGTGCCCTAATGGACAGGTGTGTGGGGCCCAGCTCCCTATGCCCATAGACATCTATGATGCCTCATTATTATTTTGACTCTGTTTTCCCTGCTGTAACAAGTGGTGCTGAACTAGAGTCCCTTTTGGAATAACCGGGGGCAAAGTTAGATATCTGCTGGCTAATGCTCAGAGGTCCACACTCAGTGCATGGACAACAAGGTATGGGCTCCATACCTTGTGCATGAGTCCAAACCAGTACCATGACCCCATTGCCCCTTCTATGGGTGGGGATTCCTTCTCTTTCATGCACAGGTCTTTCATGCAGTTGTATTTCCCAGATGAAGCAGGGCAAAGAACAATCCATCTACATTGGTTTGTTCTGGAAATGGCCAGTAAACTTTCTGATGTCTGATACGGCAACCTCTGCATCTCCTCCTACCGGTGGCTGCCTGACCCCTCTCAGGTGTGCGTGCCCGAACTTTTTGGGATTCACCTTAACATGGGCTTAAGAAACACAAGTGGAGCTTAAACTTTGTCATGAATTGTGAGGTTTCGTTTCATTTTTATTGTAATGATATCTTTGAGGGGGAGGGGCGGGGAAATGTGTTATTTTTATAGCTTTCTTGGGGTAACACAATAAATGGATTTCAAACGTCGTTTGACTCAAAAGGGAGAGATGCATCGCTGTTGCGCACCCTTCCTTTCATGCTCCTAGTGTGGGGCAAGGGAATTGTTTCAAGCCAAAGGGTTGCATTCCCTTCTGGGGGTCACAAGCAGTGGGGGGGGGGAGTGCCTTTTCACAGAATGCTAGTTTCTACACACATTTTCTCTCCTCCATGCTGGCAAGCAAGAAGCATTCTCAAGAGTACAAGGGCACATTCCAGCCAGGCAAAAACACTTGGGTGCAAACCAGAGGGGGTAGGGAGTGTGGCTGGGGAGGGGTGTGCCCTGGGGAGAGTCCTGAGCACCAGATAAAGAGGCATGGAGAGTCTCCTTCAGTCTCCAGGCCGAAGGGGAGTGACAAAGCATAGCAACCTTTTAAGCACAGCTTAGGCACACTACTGTGAATTACATCATGCTTCCCTCTTTTTTCACTTTAATAAAACTGTCTGGTTTCTGAATTCTATGGCAGCAGCATTAGCGCTGGGGCAGGAATGCTTGATCCTTCCCACTCATTACAGATAGAAGAACAGATGTTGCAGGAGAAGCATTGCAAGTGCCTGGTCTTTTCCTGGACATGCTAACATTTCTACTGCAGGAATTGCTGTTGATCTGCAGACACATTCCGTGATGTGACCCATCCCATCGGCAGCTTGAAATGGTACAGCCTCTGACACAGGCTGTTGAATCAGGAGCGGCCCTACCAATAGGCAGGGTGAGATAGCACCTCAGTGGACACAGCACTAGGGAAGCTGCTGGAGCTGTGAGAGCCACATAGAATTATAGAGTTGGAAGGGTCCCTGAGGGTCATCCAGTCCCACCCCCTGCGGCCCAGGCATCTTTTGCCCAGCACAGGACTCAAACCCACAACCTTGAGATTAAGAGTCTCGTGCTCAACCGACTGAGCCATCCCCTGCCCTTTACCCTCTAAACTAGTCTGCTCCCCTCACGTGCTTTGAAGAATGCTATCCTGTCCACACTGCAGGAGCAAGATCTGTTACCAGTCCGGTTGAGTGCTGTATTGCCACAAGAAGAAGTACCCTGCAGGATCAGGCCAAAGGCCCTTCTAGTCCAGCTTCCTGTTCTCTCAGCACCCAGCCAAAGATGCCTTTGGGAGGCCCACAAACCAGGACCTGAAAACCTATGATATTGCAGGGTAAACATGGCCAATCTGGCTAGGAGCTGCCCATTGCCTTATCCCCCTTCAAAGCCATCAAAGGTGAGTATGCAGGATAGGACTAATCTGTGCTGGACCATGCCAGAGGCTCATCTCGTCCAGCATTCTGCAGCCAAATAGATGCCAATGGGAAGCCTGCAGGCCGGACTTGAATGCAACATAACTCTCCCCACTTGCCACCTTCTTCAACTGGTTTTCAGTCAAGGATAGCCTTACCCTTCAGGATTTGCCTATATCTCCTTTTGAAGCCCTCCAAGTTGGCCGCCACCATTAATTCTTGTGGGAGCAAATTCCATAGTTTAAAGACAAGCTGTGCTCTTTTGTCTGTCCTGAATTTTCCTCCATTTCATGCAGCAAAATGTCTTCTAGGAGAAGGTTGGTCATTTATGATGGATGCATGAAACCTATGCCACCCTGAACACCCCTGGAAGTAGAAGTCCTTTCTGTTTCACAGGATAATAATGATGCTGGGGAAGCCTTGCAAAACTAAGAGTAGAATAGTAGTAGTAGTAGTAGTAGTAATAATAATAATAATAATAATAATAATAATAATAATTTGATCCAGTATAAAAGCTGGGGGAACTTTAATCACATTCATCATTGACCAGTCTCTGCCCTTTGCTGCCTGGGACCAGAAACTCCTCCCATCATCTGCTTTACTGTGGTCTGGGTTCCTCAAATGACCACAGTGCACAGGCCCCTCTACAAACACGACATCTGTGTTCATTTCCAATGACTCTTGTGCACCCGTGCAAAATCCATTAACTGTGGACATAGTCGTGCATGATATTTCACAGGTTGCTTCATTCCAGAGAAGATACTCAACTCCAGGTGTTTCTCAGTGCAATTAATACAGTTCCAAAGTTTTCTTCCCAAACCATTCTTTGCAAAAGTTGTCCACTGGTGCTATTCTTTTCCTTTCCTCCCCCTCCCCCCCCTTTCATTAGCTTCTGGGCACCTAAGAATGGTTCTGTCTGCACTGGCCCCAATTCTCACTAAGCAGTGGCTGGATTGTCCTTTACAACACCATGAAGTTTGGCCCACAAACTGAGAGAAGCCATACTTGGCTGGTTGCTGGTATTCTTCCCACTGCCGCATTGGCCAATGTTTGGGTACTCATTGAATCAGTTTCCCTGTTATTATAGATTCAGATGGTTTGGGCAGGTATTTGCAGTATGCCTCCTGCATGCAATAAATAAATAAAAATGAGAGAGAGAGAGAGAGATGAGACAGAAGAGTGTGTCAATATCCAGACTGACAACATATTGAAAGATTGTGGTGGGGCAGGCACAATCTGTAGGTTGGAGATGCTGAATTTCCTGTGCATTGCTTTAACCTCACCACTGCAATTTTCAGAACAGAAAGCACAGGACATGCTTGTATTTTAAAAACAGCAACAAGAGCATCAACAACCGTGCGGGACAGAATGCTTTTGGAAAGTAGTTTGCTAGTGGCGAAATCCCTTAGCCCCTTCCCTTTAGCCTGCTATCTAAATTAAAACCCTTCCTCCAAAACTGCTACTTGTCCTGGGAGGGGACATGCTAAAACGATTAAATCCCCCTCCACTGGTGCAATGATCCTGATCTGGGTACTCCTCTCCCAGAAGTTGAGCCAAGGATGGCCAAGGGTGATGGGAGTTGTAGTCACAGGTTCCTCAGCCCTGTCTGAAAACATTCTCCTGTCCTTTGTAGCCACGATTTCAAAAACCTGCTTCTCTCACCGGAAATCCGCAAGAGCCTTCCTCGTACCCATGCCCACTGCAGTTATTCCCTCCATGCTGTGGGGCAGGGCTGTTGCACTGTCGAGATCGGCTCACGACTCCTAGTCCACAGGTGATGGGGCAGGGAGTCCAGGATGCCCAGGGAGACCACATTCCATCAACTGAGGCAGAGAGAAAGCGAAGGGTTCAGTTTGGGCTTCCCACTGGCCAGGTCAGCCCATGATATTCCGCTGCCTCCAGACGGTCAGTATTTTCTATGAAATATTCAAGTGCATACTTTAGGTTTGCACAATTAAAGGGAGGCAGGTGAAAGCATCATGCTGAAGAAGCAAGACTTTTGCAGTTAGGAAAGTGATGGGGAAGTGCATTGAAAAGTATGGAAGGAACAAGCGATTTGTGGGATGGTCACTGTGAGAACAGCATGTTGGACTGGTGGGGCTTCATCCAGCAGGGCTCTCCTTCTGTTCTTGTCTTGGGGAAAGGGAATGTGAGAATGTAAGATGAGCCCCGCTGAATCAAACCAAAGACCCATCCAGCAGCCTGTTCTTGGATGCTTTCAGGCAGGGCCGGCCCTAGCATTAGGCAGAAAGAGGCAGTGGCAGCCTCAGGCGGCAGACACTGGGATGGACGAGGGAGTGGCGGTGAAGTGCCCTCTACGTTTGCCTGCTGCCTTCAGATGTAAGAGAGGACCCTGTCCTGTTGCTGGTGTGTTGATGTAAGAGTCACCTGCCAGTCCAACCCATTGCCCTCGCCTTTTAGGAAGAGCTTCACAGCTGGGGAACTCCCTCAAGGTTTCTAAGGATTCAGCATTCAAGCCCAAAGGGTGCCGTATGCTTCTCCCAGCAAGGTCCCCTTCATGCTCGCCCAAGCCCTCTGCAAGATGATGGCTGCACCTGGACACTGGCTGTTGTTGCACATTGCAAGCTCCTCCTTCTCCCCTTCACAAGGCAGGCCCCCTCCGGAAGGAGCAGGGCTGTCGCAGATTCGAATCCTTTTCTTGATCCCAGAACACTTCTCCGAACACATGGACCAGGGTGACCACTCTGACCAATGGCCGTTGTCTAAAGGAAAGAAAGGAGAAAATTGTTCACCAATTCTCTACATCAGTTTTGGACAAGCAGGTTCCTCCTTCTTCTTCTGTGGACATGACTGGTGTTGCACAATAGCCAGTGAGTGGCTAAGTGCATGTGTTTTGAGTGATAGGATCTTCCCAGTTCTGCTCTTTGCTATTTCCTCTGGTTTTTCTCCACCCTGACTTTATTTATTCACAGCATTTATTCCATACCTTTTAGCGAAAAGGGGAAAAGAGAGAGTGTGTCTAAGAGCAGCTGAGCAGCTCTAAGATTCGCAATCTAAAAATACTTGACACACAAGGAAATAGGAATGGGAGGGTGGGAGGAGAATGGAGGAGACTTGAGTTAAACAATAGGGAAGAGGGGATAAAAAGCAGTCAAGTGACAAAGGACATAAGAGGTGCTGTGAGATCAGAAAGAGATGTGTGATCCTCTGACAAAGGGGGAGTAGGGGAGGGGGAAGGGAGGGGCATCTCAGAATAGGTACAGGGCAGAATTCAGGTTTTGTTTGCATTTAAATGAGAAACTGCCTAATTCACCCTTCCTAAAACAATATGCAGAATAACGGCATATATGCAACATGAAGAACAACTGCCCTTCAGAATCTGCACTCCTCTGAATTTTGTGGTGCAGTTCTCCAATAAAACAACACACATTTAAATGCATAAGTTAGGGGAAAGTGCGCATCGCAATGCAAATGGAAATGGGTGTATAAGCATATATTTGCACTGAAAGAATGACACATTTTCATGGGGATTTTAAAAAAGAGAGAGAGAAAAGAAAGAAAGAAATGCAAAGTGCTTGGGAAAGTGGAGGACTGAACTTCAAGACTGGAGAAACTAGAAACTGAGAGAAATCAGAACTGGCGGATTCATCCATCCCTAGTTGCAAGAACAAACCAGGATTCTCTGGGAGAAACCATGGGCCCTTCCAGACTGGTGGTTTATTGCAAGCATACTCTGGAACATGTTTTTGACACAAGAAGAGTGGTGCCACATTACAGATGAATTTATTCTGCTTTATTAATTGTTCTGGGATGCTTCCCCAAGGCTTCCACACGATTGCTGTCCAGAGGGGCTGCAGCAGAGCAAAAGTGAAACAAATATAAACCAGAACATTTCCGGTATAAAAATTTGTGAGATTTCTCAGGAGGAGGTTATGGGACATGCACTAACTGGAAATGAAAGTGTCACACTCCCTTCCCAATGCTTACAAGTACAACTGGCACTGAAATCTGGACTTGCATATGACCACCCTCTTAGCGGTGTGAGCACAACTGGAAGTTGTCTGGTGGCTCCCATGAAGATATAAAAGGAACGTGCTTTTGCAGTGGAGATGTGCCTTTTGCAAGGGATGTCTGCCTGCTCCAGCTTAAGAAGTGAAGGCCAGCTTACGTGGGCAGGGTTGCGTCTTAGGACAGAGCTTGAGATCAGCAGAAGGGCCCACACATCGCATGCCGCTCTCCGGGTGAGTGCACTGCCGGATGCGCATCTGTTTCTGGAGGCCGCAGGTGGCGGAACAGACGGACCACGGAGACCATGGGGACCAGTTGCTTTTTGCTGTAACAGGAGAAGAGAGAGGTGAACACCGGCTAAAAGACACACATGCACACCATGTGGGAGGATGTGGAGCCCAAATCTCAAATGCACGATTGGCAGGCAGTCACAAACAGGGGCAATGCCACCGTGGAGTTTCAGAACCAGTACAGAGGGGACTCTATGATGTCATACCCCCAAACCTGGTCACAGGGAAAAGACAATGGGTTAATCCCTGCCTCTTCTGTCAGGTCACGCACTCATTTTTTTCCTGCCTGCGATGGGGGAGGACGTTTCTTTGCTCTCCTCCAGGTAGCAATCTCCATTTTGAACTATGGATATCTGTAAGGATTATTGCCTGACTGACTGTCATCCCTGTAACATGTTGGATCCTGGCAAGACTTTTGATGTGAGTAAACCTTGTATTTTTCTTGTTTACTAAACAGTCTGAGAGTGATTTCTTTGTTCAGAGGGAAACAAAAAAAAAATGGGAAAAGACAATCCAAGTCTGCCGAAGCATCCTTGGATATCATAATTGTTATAAAAGGTTATGCAACCTTGTCATAATAGCTTATAGAGATAAGATGTGTATGGATGGTGGCTTTTAACTCTGCTGAAATACATATTTGCATTCTCACACAAATGAGCAAGAGGAAGTATAATTACTAAGTAAACTATCCTTTCCTGCTCATTTATAACCATCCAACACACACTTCTCCCATAAATAATCAACTTGTTTCCAGAACAATATCATACGACTAGGAAAGGGTAACAAAGGTGGTCAAGGGAAAGGACATTTCCCTGCCCAGGAAGGCTTTTCAGTTTAGGGATAAAGCCCACAATTATAGGAGGACATGAAAGTCTTAATAATATGAATGGCGTAGAGAAAGCGGGACAGCGGGAGGTAGTTTCATTCTCTCTCATAGTAGCTTGGAGCCATTCTACAAATCTGATTGGTTATAGAGCGTAGGGATGGAGTGGGGAATTCAACTCAGTCCACGTTTAAAGCCAAAGTCAAATTCACACTTCCCCCAAAGAAATATGTGGACCCAATCAGAGCTATCCTTCGAAATTGGCACTTATGGGCAAAGTTTGCAATACGGCTGCTTTAGTTCAACAAAACCACCTTGTTCAGGGGCAGTATATCTCTGAATAATGGTCATTACAAAGGCAAACGATAAGGGATGGTCTGTTTCCTTCGTGCTTTGCTTGCGGGCTTCCTGAAATCACCTGGCTTGTCTCTCTCTGGAAACAGGATGGTGGGTAAAATGCCTATTCCATCTGATTCAGCAGGACTGGTTTTTCTGTTTGTTTGGTTTTTTGCAATCTGTGCAACTTACCTTCGCAGTGAACACCGTCACCGATAAATCCACTTTGGCAAATGCAGAAGTAGGATCCCAGGGTGTTCAAGCACGTCGCGTCCTGGTTGCAGGCATGGGGATCCCTGGTGCATTCGTCTATGTCTAAAATGTGGGGGTGAGACAGAAACTGCACAATGGGAAGTCATGTCTCGGACCTGTTTTTCTCCTTGTCTGCTGGGGCTGCCAGGGATTGAGCCTGGAATCTCTACCACTTCTGCATGCAACGTCAGGTCTACTACACCTGAGCTAGGTAAAGGTAAAGGTACCCCTGCCCGTACAGGCCAGTCTTGCCAGACTCTAGGGTTGTGCGCTCATCTCACTCTAGAGGCCGGGAGCCAGCGCTGTCCGCAGACACTTCCGGGTCACGTGGCCAGTGTGACAAGCTGCATCTGGCGAGCCAGCACAGCACACGGAATGCCGTTTACCTTCCCGCTGGTAAGCGGTCCCTATTTATCTACTTGCACCCGGGGGTGCTTTCGAACTGCTAGGTTGGCAGGCACTGGGACCAAACGACGGGAGCGCACCCCGCCGTGGGGATTCGAACCGCTGACCATGCGATCGGCAAGTCCTAGGCGCTGAGGTTTTACCCACAGCGCCACCCACGTCCCTACACCTGAGCTACAGGCCACCAATTACGGACCAGAAATGGTGGACCTGTAAGTGGTGAGCTGATAACACCCCAGATATTGTTGGACACCCCCCCCCAAAGCCCATGAGCTCCAGCCGGCACAGCCAAGGTTCAGAGGTGCTCTGTTAGCCGGACTGGATTACTGCAATCCACACTGCATGGGACTGCCCTTGAAGACGTGTATACTTCAATGGCTCTAAAATGCCATGGTCAGGTTACTGGGGCTCCATTTGGGACTCACACAGCCCCTATCTTGAAAGAGCCGCAATGTTTGTCCGTTCCAGGCCCAATTTTAGCTGCTTACTCAAGTGCTTAAAGCCCTAAGGCCCCAAGTATCTGAAAGACTGCCTGCCTTCCTACAGGCCCCCACTGGGTGCTAAGACTGGCAGAGGGTATTTGGTAATTCCACCACCCTCAGAAGCACAGGCGGTGGCAGCCCAGGAGAGGGCCTTCTCTGCGGCAGCCCCCAGGTAGTCAAACTCCTCTCCACAGGTATGTGTCTGGAACCTTCACTGTACTGTATGCTAAAGCTGCACCTCTTTACCTTAGCCTTGGGCACTCAAGTTGTATATCCCTGGGACCCACCCTGTTATTATTGTGATTGCATTTTTAAAACAAACAAACTGTTTTTAATGTTGTATTTTAAATTGAGCTAGGACCTTGGGGTGAACAGTGGGCAATAAATCATATTAATGCAATGACATTGGTGGTGAGGGACTCTGCAGCAATACCCAGAGGGGACACACTTTCCCCAGCCCAGCCCAGCCCAGCCCAGCTATTCTTCACAACCAGAGACATTGACGTTCCCTCTACCTATGCAGCTGAGCACGCCGTCTCCTTCCAAGCCTTTTGGGCAGCGACAAAAATATGATCCGTATGTGTTGATGCAGGTTGCTTCAGCCAGGCAATGCACGGGCATCTCCTTCTTGCACTCGTCTATGTCTTTGCAGAAAAGAAGAAAATGAGACTATATAGGAGCATGCTCTATGTACATGTGCACACAGAGAGAGATTTGCCCATCAAGCCCAGCATTGTCTACGCTGACTGGCAGCTGCTCTCCAGCCCTTCCCCTGCCACCTGAATCCTTTTAAATGGAGCTGGATGATGGCCCTTCCCTTAAAAATAAAGCAAGGTCCCAGTCATCATGGTTCTGAATACAGGGGTGATTTAAACAGGGATTTAAGAAGCTGCCTTCCACTCAATATTGTCTACACTGACTGGCAGCAGCACTGCAGGGTTTCCAACAAGGCTCCATCCCAGCCCTGCCTGGAGATGCCAGGAATTGAATCTGGGACCTTCTGCATGCAGGGCATGTGTCCTACCACTGAGCTGTGGGTATTCTAACACAGGTTTTGCCAATCTTTTTGCAGCCTATGGACACAATAGGAATTTTAAGGTAGTCTTGTGGAGCCACACACACAAAATGGATGCTGTGGGGTGTGTGGCATCACACAAAATGGCTCAGTTTGTGTGTATGTCACAATAATACATGCATCAACGCTATATGTAGGGGGGGGAAAGGTTGTTTATAGCAGCATTATGATCATTATGGACTATGCTAAAATAAAGACTAGAAGAAGCAAAGCTCACAATTATTTACCAACACAGTGTATACCATTTCCCTCAAATCCTGGATTGCATTTGCAGTTTTCTTCATCCCGGCCTCCATTGCAGGTTTTGCTGATATCTGATAGGAAACACGTGAATAGCAGAAACTTGAACACAGACACCAAATACCACAACAGGGTCTTCAGATTAAAAAGAGTACCAAGCACGGCCTTACTGACACAGTATTTAGGACTATAGAGGCTGTATATTTATGATTCCAAAATGTTTCAATGATCACATTTCCACTGTGTCATTTGCTTCATCTTGTTTTTCTTATGCTTCTGTTTTATATTTTATTAGCAGGGAGTGTTGCCCAGATATTTTTTGAAATAAAAAAGGATGGCTTTTTTTTAAAAAAATGGCTACAATTTGTGAGTTTGGACGTGTCACACAAAAAATTGGGTGAAGCCAGTCCAAAGTCATGTTTTGGCCCACCATCTTGATTCAAAATGGCGCCTGGAATTCAAACAGTAACGGAGTTTGCCATCCCCACCTCAAGAACCCTTGTGCCAAGTCTGGTGATGATACCTCGAGAGGTGTCCAAACGTATAGAGAACAAACAAACAAACAAACAGGCATACAGACAGACAGACAAACAAACAAACCACTTTCCAAAATATCTAGCAGATGAAGTGAATGGATTGAGAAAGGACACTGGGCTGTATTTTAAACTGGTTGAAATTGTTGTTGCAGGTACTGTTTGGCCACACCATTGTAAGCTGCTCTGAACATACTTTGGCGCAGAATAGTTAATACCTATAATATTAGAGTCAAAGAATTGTAGAGTTGGAAGGGACCCTGAGGATCATCTAGTCCAACCCCCTTCAATGCAGGAATATGCAGCTGTCCCATACAGGGATCGAACCTGCCACCTTGGCATTACTAGCACCGCGCTCTAACCAACTGAGCTATTCAGGCATTGTTTGTTCATTTGTGTAGCCAAAGCTATTGCACGGCGAAACCTGGGATGGTTGGGTATAAACTGACAATCAATAAAAGAATTGTTGTGTATCACTTTAACAACTATTAACCACAACAGGATTTTAAAAAAGAGGGAAGGAGGGTGAGATTCCATACCCCTATTTATTAAGAAGAGTCTCTGAGCGTTTAACACCCTTCCGGGGACATCAGGGCTAAAATCGTAGACAAGTGCTCGGAAATAGCCAAAGTCAGTGTCCCTAAGAGACGAGGAAAGGGATAACAATGGTGAGATATGCTTCATGAAATCTTGAAACCCAAAGAGCAACAATATCTAGAAATGCTCAGTTCTAGACACTCTCATGCATACACGTTCTCTCTCCCACATGTGCATACTCTAATTTAGTTAAAACTTTATAAAATTATGTATGGCACAGAGACAGTAGATGGAGAATTGCTTCTTCCGTCCCTTAGTAAGACCTCCAGTGCAGTTGAATGCTGGAATATTTGGGACAGGTTTTTTAAAAGTACTTTTTCATGCAGTGCATGAACTGTGAATCTTGATCCCACAGGAGAGACAGTGATGGCCACCAACTTTAAAGGAGGAATAGAGAAATTCATGGAGGATATCGAGACTGCTAGCCTTGATGGCTATGCACCGCCTCCCCTGACAAAGGCAGGTTGTTTCTGAATACCAGTTGCAAGAAGGCATAGCAGGGGAGAGTGCTGCTGTGCACAGGTCTTGCGTTTGGGCTTCCCATGGGGTCATCTGGGTGTCCACAGGGATGCTGAACTAGGTGAGCCATTGGGCCTGATCCAGGAGGTTCTTGTTATGTTCTTATGATACACAACGCCCTTCCTTCCGAGAATGTAGGGGCTACTGTGTTAGAAGATCAGGTCCTTACACGTGCAGAACAAAGATCGGTTCTGTGATCAAAGGCTTGTGAATGCTTGTGAATCCCACTTGCTGGAAACCACAGGAGGGGAAGAGCGCTCTCGCACTCGGACCCTGCATCTGGTTGGCCACTGTGAGAACAGGATGCTGGGCCAGATGGGCCGTTCGTCTGATCCAGCAGGCTTTTCTCACGTTCTTGTGTCAGGAGCAGCTGGAACCTGTTCTCCCCAGTGAAGAACCTTTGAATTGCAAGGTGTCAGCCTTCTCAGTGAGGATATTGCTGGACTACAACTCCCATCTTCCCTGTTGGCTATGCTGGATAGTGCTGATGGAAACTGGAATTTGACAACATCTGGAGAGCCACACGTTTCCCCACCCCTGACGCATACAATTTATTACGAAGATTATTATAAATATATATACTTCTTGATAACCAAAGAGGCCTCCTTAAAAGCCTACGATGCAAAAATTAAAATATAAACATTCAGCATTACAATACACCAAGAAGCGATCCCACCCCCCTTTATATTACACTGTGTTGTTTTTTTCATAGTTCCCACAAGATTCTCATGGCAGACACCGTCGAAATAAATAAGCCCTCCCCCTAAAGTGGGAAGTTGGAGGACACCTTTCTGTTTATAGGCTGAGCCTGAAAGCACCCGGATGATGGCAAGCGTACATTAATCCTCTGATCTCAATCTCATCCAGGCCGTTGGCCAATACCACTGCATGGCTGTCCAGCAGCGTCATGGGGCGGGGCTCCTTGATCCACCGGACAAAGCTGGACGGAGGAAGCTGGAGGTATTTTGGCAACTGGATGGCAACGTTGTCCCCTTCCAAGAACTCTCCGACCTCTAAAAATAAAAGCAGCAGAAGAAAACAGAGAGACCTCTCGATGCACTGGGTCGTGAGCTGCCATGTCAAGAGGGTTGACTTGTGGCTATGGGACAGAGGAGGAAAACCTGCAAAGCTCGAGATCAGGGTTCCCCAAGCTTGGGTCTCCAGCTGTTTTGGGACTACAACTCCCATCATCCCTAGCAGGACCAGTGGTCAGGGGTGATGGGGATTGTAGTCCAAAAACAGGCAGACACCCAGGTTTGGGGAACCCTGCTCTAGATGAAGTTGGGCTACAGTTCCCATAACTACCCTTGGCTGTCGGCTATGCCAGCTGGGGCTGATGGGAGCAGGAGTCTCACGACATTTGGAGGGGCACCATATTGGCTACTCCGGGCTTAAGGAGCAGCAACACCTTCTCAGTGAATAGGCTAGTGCAACACTGTATTTAGTGTTGAAATTAACCCCCCACAACTACAACTCCCATCATCATCCCAGACCATCTGGTCATGCCGGGCGGCACTGATGGGAGTTGGGAGTCTGACAACATCTGGCTCCCCACCTCTGCTGCAGGAGCTGGTAGGGCGGAAGGCAGAGAGATGGATCCAGGAGGTGGATCCACAGCCAGTGACAGATGGAGCCAGAGCTAATGGTAGACCAATGGCAAAGCCAAACAATTCCAGGTTTGTCCCTGTCATCCTCCCTGCCTAGTTTTGCAAGGACTAAGGAAAAGGAAACTGCCACACTCTAGACCAGCTATAAATAGGAAGGCAGGTTGTTGGGAGAGTGCCCCATTTGCACCGAGAGCATCTCCTTCCACCCACTGTCCTGTTACATTCTGAGCTCCTATAGCTACTTGTCTTGTGTTTACACTTCTCTCAAAGACCATTTTAAAAAAATAACATCCAACAAAAAAAGGGCTGAATGGCTCAGTCTGCTTTAATTTCCATAACTTGTGCAGCAGTTACATGAATTTGGGGTTTTCATCACTCACCCAACAGTCCAACTTTCGGCAAAATTCAATCAAAACGACAATCGTTCCTTCTAACAGCGAATCTGGCTGCTAATTTGGAATGAAATGAAGCTGGTCAGAAACAAGGTTGTGGTTTCTACACACACAGTGTGTGTGTGGGAAGGGGACCTCCTTCGGTATGTAGAAATATGGATGTGTGTGTGTGTGTGTGTGTGTGTGTGTGTATTCATTCTCATCTCATTGTATGGAGAGGAAATGAACAGGTTTGAAACTTATGTCTGCTGCTATTTTAAGGCAGGACTGACATGAGGAGTGGGGGCATGTTAATGTTATACTATTCTTATATAGGATGAGCATCAGCCTTCCTTCCTTCCTTCCTTCCTTCCTTCCTTCCTTCCTTCCTTCCTTGAGCATATCTGCTGAGCCAAGTTGCAACAAATCTAGGGGAGAATTAAAAAGTTGCCTTACCTATAGGCATGCTATCCAGAGCAAAATAGTATCTCAGATTGGAAGGATTTAACAGCTGGAAGCCTCTCAGGTCATAGGCCTCAACCACGGCCGCCTTGGCGGGTGCTGTGCTCGGTTTCACTTCTGCCCAGAAAAGATTTGGGTAAAAATCATCCTCTTTGATTGAAAGTAGTGTCAGCGCCTGCCCACGTTCATGCACAGCCACCCTCAGAGGCCTGTTCTTCCCAAGCGCCAGTCTTCTCCGATAGCTGCAAAGCAACGTCCATGGGGTAAGTGACGGCTGAGAATGTACCAAATAAGCCATTTAATTTCATCTCCCAAGATACACTCTCAAGCTTTGAAACCATTTCAGCCTTGCCTGCATTCGGTTTCTCAGTGCTTCTCTCTGTCTCTTTCCAATTACATTTCATTAAGTTTCAACATTTTCAACATATACAGTCAAAGCACAATTTAGTCTTTTCCCTTCTTTTTGTCAACTTCTCACCCCTTTCAGCATGGAGTTGTTGTTTCTCCCCTTCTGCTGCAGCCCCATATTCTGTCGATCAAATCACAATATTATAATCTAATTCAGGGGTCAGCAAACTTTTTCAGCTGAGGCCGGTCCACTGTACCTCAGACCTTGTGGGGGGGTTGGACTAAATTTTTTTTTGGGGGGGGGATGAATGAATTCCTATGCCCCACAAATAACCCAGAGATGCATTTTAAATAAAAGGATACCTTCTCCTCATGTAAAAACACACTGATTCCCGGACCGTCTGTGGGCCGGATTTAGAAGGCGATTGGGCCGGATCCGGGCCCTGGGCCTTAGTTTGCCTACCCACGATCTAATTCCTTCTGCTGCTTGTAGCTCAAATCCTGCTTGTGAGTTCATCATACTATAATATTTCTTTAAATAGTCCGAAAAAGGCATCCGATCTTCCATAAAAGACTCATCACTAGATTCTCTTAATTTTGCTGTTAATTTTGCCAGTTCTGCATAGTTCCTTATCTTAACTTATCCATTCTTCTTTGGTTGGAACATTTTCCTTCCATTTCTGCACATGTGGAATCCTAGCTGCTGTTGTCACATACATAAACAACTTTAGCATTTTGGCGGGGTGGGGTGGGGATTTCTGTCCCTATAATCCATAACAGAAATGCTTCAGGCTTTTCGGACATACTCATTTTAAACATCTATTTTATCTTATCATGTATCATTTCCCAAAATACCCTCATTTTCTTGTAAGTCCACCATGTATGGAATACACACACACACACACACATCTCCATCCATCCACCTGTTTACACTTCCAGCAATTATTAGGAACCTTCTTATACATTTTAGATCATTTATTAGATGTAAAGTACCATCTACGCATCATTTTCATATTTTACAGCACTTCTCAACACCTTATATGCTCCTTCCTCAGGCTTGAAATCCATCTGGGAACAGGACTTGGGGAAGGAAATTGACAGAGTTTAGCTGGAATAGGATCTGGTCTACAAAATCTTCTTCCTCTGTCTCAGCCACTATTAAGGGCAAACTGCATGAAACAACCCACAAGACGTTTTTACACTCTGGTTGGATTTGCACATATTCATGGAACGGGCAATAAGCTTTGGGAGCGGAATTACACCTTGGGTGGTCCTGCCCAACAGCCTTTGGGGCTGCAATAATTTCTGAAATCAGTGTCATTGTTGGTGACATTGTACACGTGGTGCCTGCCTTGTGTTTATTGTCTCGTTTCGAAGGGAGCAACTCATTGGCTGTTTTAAAGCTTCTTGTTATTGTTGGAAGTTTCTGTAATGGCTCAGAACTAGAAAGACATCTCAAATGCCATAGTGGTGGACTTGGGGCTTTCAGATTTTAGCAGCAACTGGAGTGATGCCAAAATCCAGCCCCTCCCTGCCTCTTGCTTTCTAAGTCACTGCTGCGCTGCCCCCAAGTCACCCTCAGCTCGGTGCCCATTACGGGCAAACCAGTCATGCTCCCCCAAATCCACCTCTGGTGAACAGCTGCCTTGAAAAGGACAACAGACAGGGCTGCATCTTAAGAGACGCACACCAGATTGTTTTCCGCACTCCACGCATGCATACCTGTAGAATTGTGGGCTTTGGCCAGAGTAGAATTTGTACCACCTCACTTCATGTTGGTGGCGTTTGCCGAAGATGGAGACCGTGATGTTGAAGGTGACTTTCCTCTCTCTTGTCTTGAGGAGACAGACCTGCTCTCCGAACCCATCGCAAACAGATGCGTTGGAAATAGTGATGCGGAACCCAGGGTCTGCATGTAGACAAAGAGTGAGGTCAGTTCAGGTAGGTAGGTAGGTTTTTCAATGAGGCTACAGTATATTAAAGCCAAGGAGAACACTTTGAGCTCTTACTAAGTTAACAATTAACTGATCGTTGTTTCTCTGGTAGCTAACATGTGAGTGTTGTGACTTTAGATTATGTGAGAGGTATTGGGTTGCAAATCTCCATTCTGAATCAAGTTGCCTTTGAGTCTTTTCTCTCAAACTCAATGGAGTGAGCATGTAAACGAAGTTCTCCTGAAGGGAGAGTAAACAGCCTGGAGGCTGGAATGCAGGGTGTGAAGAGACAGAGACAGAGACCTTTGCTTTTAGGTCTGTTTGGATTATTTCATATTTTCTAAAATGTGACTCTTTTTGCTGGACAGCACAATGGATTGTATGGATATTTTGGAGATGTTATTTGATAACATGAGCCTGACCAAACTGCGGGAGGCAGTGGAAGACAGGAGTGCCTGGTGTGCTCTGGTCCATGGGGTCACGAAGAGTCGGACACGACTAAACGACTAAACAACAACAAAATTTGATATATCTTTTTTATTTTAAAAGAGTTCTGTCAGTAAAAGTTTGAATAATATTTTTAAGAGTCTGAACAATGATTTATTCCAAAAGGAGTCGGTACTTAAGCTTCCAATAGCTTCAAACTGGTCAATATTAGTCTCTGCAACACTTGCTATTAATAATATAGGCAGCAATTCTCAGTCGACAAATTTATCTTTCAGTATCTGTCTTTATCTCTTTCTTCCACAGAAGAACTTTGTGAAGGAAGCGTTTAATCATATCCCTCTTTTAAAGATCGGATAAATGGAGGCTGGGAGAGGGAGGGAGAGTGATCAACCAAGACCACACAATGTTACAAAGGTGAGTAATTATTATTCACTTATTTCATTTATGAATCACATCCCCAGAAAAACATCATGAAGCAATTAAACAATAATTAATCACACACACACACACACACACACATTGAATCCAGGTCTTTCCAGTTCCAAGATACTTGGATACTAGAGATACAAGAGAAATTTGTATTTAATTCTCATTTAATTCGCATTTGATTCACATTTAATTCACACAATATGTGAACCAAAGCACAACCTTCCTTTGAAATTTGCAGTTTTCTGAAACTTGCAGTGCAGTTCCGCAGCAGAGTGCAAAAATACATATACTGGGGCAAAGTGTGCATAAAACGAATGCATGCAGGGGTGCCCAAACTTTTTTCAAAGAGGGCCAGATTTGATGAAGTGAACATGCATGAGGCCCGACCAAAGTTGTCAGTTGTTGAGCTTTTTTTAGGATTGAGGTTGCTGACCTTTTTTTTAGGATTTTACCTCAGTACTTATACTGCCACGGAGGCTGGATTAAATCAACCAGCGGGCTAGATTAGGTCCCCGGAACAGACTTTGGACATGCCTGCATTAGTGAATATGACTTACAAAAATCCATATGGTGAAAAGTTGCTCTGTAAAAAATGTGTGTATTAGGCAAAATTGCGTAGAAGCTTGCGTATATTAGGAGAAATCTGCACTAAAATGCTGATTAATTTTCACGAGGACTTAAAAAAAGAATGCAATGAGATGTGGAAATGTGGAGAACCAAACTTAGGATTGGGGAAATGAGAAACAAAAATCGACAGATTCGCCCATCCCCATCACACACACACACTGCACTGAAAGCATTTTTAGGGTTCCTTGGGCTATCTGTGTGCACGAGAGGGAATGTTTTTAACGTGGTATAGAAGACTGAATTCTAGTCACTGCGGGTCTCTGCTGCCCCCCATAAGAGGCAGATGTGCACACAGGTATTAACTTACCTTGGCAATTGTTTATTCCATCCCCCTTGTAGCCTGGCAGACACCGGCAATAGTAATCAGATGTCAGCTTGTCAAGTTGGCAAATGGCCTTCGGGTGACAGAGAATCCTCCTGGTGACACATTCCTGTTTATGTGGATCTAGAGAGGCCAGGAAGAGATGCAAAATTGTTGATCACTGCCACCACCCTCAAAATGGAGGCGCATGGCTTCAGTTGTCAGAAAGGGCACAAATAAATGCTAAATCACCACTTCCTGGAGTGGGACATACTGGGACTTGCCCAGTTCAGAGTAAAGTTCATTGAAAGTTGCGGACCCAGAAGGCAATGTGGCCCTCGGGGTGAAAAGCCTCAGCACCCTCGAGTTTGTGCGCATAGGACAGAATGAATGGATGGGTACAGAGGGGAGAGAGAGGGGGATGAATATCCACAAGGGAATATAGCCCTCAGCCCCAAAAACGTTGCTCCCCCTGTTCTAACGGGCACAAATTATCCCCAAATGAAGAGAGGCAACTAACACAAAAGCTGGACATTCCTGCGCTAGCTGATTTGAAGTCTCCTGGTGATTTCATGAGGACGCTGAACACCTGAGAGACACACTTTGGGGACCCACCCTCGATCATGCATTGCTTTTAACGTATTTTAGCATTTTACCTTTGACATTGCAATAATGCAATCCTGTGACCTTACGGGCAGGCAAGAAATGTTAGTTGTGCTTCCTGCATTGCAGGTGATTGGGTTAAGTGATCCTTCCAATTCTTTGATTCTATGAAATCTAAGAACCTTTTCTTTTTTTTTTTTTACAAAGGCGGTCACAGAAGGGGTTCTGGGTTTCGTTTGTCCCCCGCCCTTCACGTAAGAGTCTTACCATGGATCTTGCTTAGGACCTGTGTGGTGATGAGGCAGAGCAGAGAAGCCAGGAGGCTCACTGGCATTTTCAGTTAAACCCCTCCTTTGTGGTTAGCTCGCATCTTGCTGGCTGCGGGCAGGATTAGGAGGACGGTGTTGGCGGCATGTCTGTGGGTCTGCGGGCAGGTATTGTTATGTCTCTGGGATCTGCAGGCAGGAGGCACCAGGCCCAGCGTCCAGGAACAGAGAAGGTCCGTTTCAGTTCAAATTATCTCAAAGGTTCTGCTTCTGGGATTCCACGGGGCTTCCGATTGTGGACCAGAGTTCCTCGTTCCGTCCTGCAGAGCGGCAGTTTTCAAGCAATGTTCTAGGAGATCCTGCGGGACAGGCTCCCGGTTCTGGTCTGCCTTAATGGAGGCAGCTCCCACGACAGCGGGAGATCGTTAGCGATCTTACTGACGCAGGTCGAAATAATGCAAGGAAATCAGATCCTGCCATGCGTTGCAATAAATCCATGCTTTATTTATTTTAAAATTTCATTTCACAGTTTAATGTTGTTGATATCTTGAACTCCAATTGTGGGTGGGTGGGTGCACCATAATCTTTTCAGGCCTCGGAGCCTCTTCATTTGGCCCTGGTCTATCGTCTATTCATATAAATTAGCCTGTGAAAAGTATACGCAAATCTGTGCCCTCCCTTTCCTGGCAAATCCCTTTCCTCCTTTTGGGTGATGTGCAAGTGATCCGCTTAGCAGGGCACCCTGTTCACGTGGGGCAAAGGGGAGGCCCCAGGCAGGCTTGAGCTGATCATGGACCCTAAAACAGGTGCAAGAAGACTTCCGACTAACTGGATCTATTCCAGGGATGGGTAATCTCAGACCCAAGACACAGCGCCCCTCCTTCCCCAGGCCTCTCTGTATGGCCCTTGAGACTCTCTCTAGGCCATACCCAGGTCACACCAAATTCACATCTGCCCCCAAATCCCAGGAGAAATTAAAACATCACTCATTTCCTAGGTCCCAGCTGTGCTAAACATTTAAAGCAGTATTATATCATTTAAAACAATCACAGTTTCTCTCCCCAAGAATCCAGGGAAATGTAGTTTAAAAAAAAAAGAGATTTATTAAAATTTATTAATAATTTTATTATTTAATATAATTTATTATCAAAACAACAAAGGAAATGTAGTTTGTTCAGAGGTAGGGACAGCCGTCTACATTAATGCTTGGATGCCGCGTGCCATTTTGAATCAAGGTGGCAGAACGAAACATCACTTTGGCGTGACTTTCCCTGTTTTCTGGGATAGGTTTGGCCACCTCTCGAGATACCATTGCCAACCTTAGGACGAAGGTTTCTAAGATGAGGCGTGCATTGATGTTTGAACTCCAGGTGCCATTTTGAATTAAGATAGCGTACTGAAACATTTTGGGTATGACTTCACCCATTTTTTGGCATGGGTTCATACCACCTCCTGAGATATTGTCACCAAACATTGAATGAGGGTTCCCAAGGGAGGTGGCAGCGGTTTTTGTTGATGTTTGGATGCTAGGCACCAATTAAGAATAAGGAAGGCAGACTGAAATGTGTGTTTCTTGTCACGGAACAGAGCAAATGTGCATTTATTTGTGTCTTACTGAACACAGATAATGAATGACCTGGCTTCCTATCGATATTTATTCCATCAATATCAAGGGTGGGACCCAACGTTAGTCCTACTCAATAGCAGACTCACTGAAATTAATGGATATGACTAACAGATCCATTCGTTTCAGTGGGTCTGCTCTGATTAGGATTTAACTGGATAAAGGTAAAGGGACCCCGACCATTAGGTCCAGTCGTGACCAACTCTGGGGTTGTGGCACTCATCTCGCTTTATTGGCTGAGGGAGCTGGCGTACAGCTTCCAGTTCATGTGGCCAGCATGACTAAGCCGCTTCTGGCGAACTAGAGCAGTGCACGGAAACGCCGTTTACCTTCCCGCCGCAGCGGTACCTATTTATCTACTTGCACTTTGAGGTGCTTTCGAACTGCTAGGTTGGCAGAAGCTGGGACTGAGCAACAGGAGCTCACCCCGTCGCAGGGATTCGAACCGCCGACCTTCTGATCGGCAAGCCCTAGGCTCTGTGGTTTAACCCACAGCACCACCTGCATCAACCCTATAAATATATCTCATCTGAACGGTTATTCCTGAGCAATTTTTACACTTGTGTCAGATTGGTGCACAGTTAAAACTTATAGAATTTCTTGCCACAAGGTTATGCCATGAATGCAGACTGCTATTTTTTTTGAAAGTTGCTTGTCTGTTCATTTAGCCACCTCTTAAGATATTGTCACAAATTTGGCACGATGGTTTCTGAGATCAAGGAGCAAGTTTTCTTCCATGTCTGGATACAGCCATTTGGAATCACAATGGAGGACTGAACCCTGCACTGATTTCAACCACTGATTTAAAAACTGCAATGATTCGTGTGTGTGTCTTTTAGAATTCCTGTGCAACACCGGGTACAAGGCCCCTAGCAATAAAATTAAAATATATAACGTGTTTTTGGAAGTAGTTGCTACTGCTGGGTCTTCAAGCTATATTGCAACAATATGACATGACTGCTTTGGTGGTAATGCAAATTATTAGCATCTTACACCACTGGTAGGAGCAGGTTTCTTGCAGAATAAGAGGAAGCGGCAAGTGGGTCAGAGAGAAAAACTAAACATTAAGTGCAATCATTTAATTGGAGTCAGGAAAAGGAATTATAGAAGATGACCAAGAATGGATCAAGCCCCAGTTAGGAAAGAATGTGAAGAGGAGAGACTTTAGCTTTCAAATCTCTATCTGCTGGAACTCTTTTTCTTAGAGGTAGTGATTGGAGGGGGCGGTTCGGCGGCGCCCAGAGCTGGGACTTTCACCCCTTTCTGTTTCAGCAACTGGTAAAAGTCTAGACGGTCTGTTATTATTTTCTGGAAGACAGATCCACAGAGGAGCTTTCTATTAGAAATGGAGGCAGTTATTCCATTCCCCCATCCCGCTTCTGCACTGCAGCCACAGTGACAGTCTGACTTCCACATGGTTGCCTTTACCTGCAAGGACTCTAAAACTTCGTCGTCTGTGATTTCGGCCTGGGGAGACTTGGTGCCAGGGGTGCTGTAAGTTGCCTGGATGATTCTGCTCCGAAACCTTTCAAACTTTCAGTGAAAAGAAGGGTGGGGGAATGAAGTGGACAGTGCCTTAGTTCAAAAATTAGAGAATGTCATTCCTTAGAATCAAAGCTAATGCAGTGAGGCAGAGGTCTCTCCCAGGCAACCAGTCTACATTCGTCCTGATACACGTGCACAAAGATTCCGAGTAGGACCATTGCTTATTCTGATTTCTTTGGGAGAAGGTTGAACGACATTGCACCAAGCAGTCCTTATCGCTCACTTTCCAGTGGATATCCCTGTCATTTTCCTTACAGCAAAAGGTCTGGTTTTTTTCCGGAAGTGGGTTTATTGCACAAGAACACCAAATCCACCTGAGTTGCACAATCTGGATTTCCCAGCACGTGACTGAATCGCACCCCTGAAACAGGGACAATCTGGAAGCGGCCAGGATTCTCAGTTACTCATTTGCGAGAGCCATGTTTCATGCCATTCTCAAATTTTTGATTTGTTTCCGTCTTTCAAAGAGCACTAGAAACTTCAATTCAGATTTTTATCCATTTAAAATAGCATGGCTTACCCCAAGGAACTCTGGGAAGCGGAAGAGGGGCAAATGGGGTACAGCCCCACAATAAGCAGCTCACCCCCCCCCCCACCTGCCTGCCTTCTTGCTTACATCCAGCCCTGTGGATGGCCCTGGCTGTCCAATTCCTTCTCCTTAGCCCTAGCGTTGCCCTTGTGTTGCAGAAAGGAGGATGCAGTCAAAACTAGATCTGGCTCTGCTTGTCATTGGCAGTGGCTGCAGCTGTCACTGGCTCTGGTGCCACGTACTGCCTCCCCACCAGCTCCAATGGGCACCAACCACCAGACTCTGGGAGCTGCCGTTTCGCAGACCGACAGAATTCAGTTCTGTTCCTGAGGTACTAGTTAAAATACTTTGGGCCTGCGTGTGGACATAAACGTACATTCATAACATTACATGCGCATATGCATGTAAGCATGCAAGCATGCATTAAACACAGAAGGTCTTGGGTTCAATCCCTGGCAGGTTGCATTGGGCACAAAACCCCTGGAGAGCCTCTGCCAGTCAACGTAAACCAGGGTTTCCCAAACTTGGGTCTCCAGCTGTTTTTGGACAACAGCTCCCATCATACCTAGCTAGCAGGACCAGTGGTCAGAGATGATGGGGACTGTAGTTCAAAAACAGCTGGAGATCCAAGTTTGGGAAGCCCTGGTGTAGACAATACTCAGCTAGATGGACCAACAGCCTTTGTTTTAACTGAGTTTAGAAGCATATTTTTGCACTGCTGTGGTGAAGGGTCGATAAGAAATGCAAATGGTAATAACGGTAATAACAAGGACATAATAGCAATAACAGGGGTGGTAGTAGTGGTTGAAGAAGCCCTGCGATCTGTGGAGGAGATTACCCTGGCACTGATGCTCTCCAGAGTGACTCTGGTTTGCTGCTCTGCCCGCTGCAAGATCTCCAGCTGCCTCTGCAGATCGTTCTGCCGGCTCAGCTGGTTCCCAACATGGTGCTGATTCAGTAACAGCTCGGCCTGGAGCCGGTTGACGTTGCTCTGCAAGTCGTCGATCATCTGGCTCTTGTCAGTTAGTTTGGATTCCAGATCAGCGAGGTCCTGCATGGCAGGAGAGGAGAAAAACAGAACTGTTAACTAAGAGTAAGGATGGAGGTTTTGATTTTGTTTGCTTTCTAATGGGAAACTACCTAATTTGCAGTTCCTGGACTAAGAAACAAACCGAAACGCAGCTATCCTTTGAAAATTCACACTGAGCCAATTTTTTTCTCCAGCCAAACACTGTGCACAACAATCATTGAAATGTGAGAGGAGAGTGCAAAATGGCTGCTGTGGGGACACGGCATATCAGAAGATGGCTGCTGTCGGGGGACAGCTTGGGCCAATCATTACCTCTCAGTCTAACCTACCTCAAAGGGCTGTTGTGAGGATAAAGTGGAGACACGGATACAGCACCTTGGGCTCCTTGATGGACAAGTGGGATAGAAATGTAGTAATAAATAAAGCAAAAAACAAAACAGTATAATGGCTTGAATGTAAGAGAGGCTGAGGCTGTAGAAACAGGAATGGTGCACAAAAAGCTTGGTCTCTTTCGCAGGTGCCTTAGGAGGTACTGGCAAGCACACAGATGCCCATGGGAACCACACTGGAGACCCACAATTAGAACTTAGGAACCTGCTTTGTGGATTCAGTTTGCATTTAGTGGCAAAGCCACCTTATTTGAACTTTCTGAAATAAGAAATGAACTGAAGCACGGTCCATCCACTGAAATTCACACTTCCCCAAATTTTCCAGTGCAGTTCCCCAGACAGGTAAGGTGTGGGGGAAAATGCATACGCTAGGGTGCAGCGCACCTGCAAATGCATATATATGGAGAAATATCATTTTAAAATGCATCAAATTAGGGGGAAATGCATGCAATAATGGGTATATTAGGAAATATTCCAACGGAAATGCTGAGAATTTCATGAGGACTCCCCCCCTCCCAGCGCAAACTGATGTGGAAATGTGGAGAAGCGAAGTTTAAGACTAGAAAAAATGAGAGAAACCAAAACTGAGATATTCGCCCTCCCTACTGGCAGGGAGCAGCAACTCACCTGCCTGAGATTGTAATTCTCTCTCTCGATGGAGCCCATCATTTCTTCGTGCTTCCTCTCCTCTCTCAAGTTGCTAAACTAAAATAAAAAGGCAAGCATGATAAAGGTACAACCCCATTTAGTATGTTCGTGGCCCGGTGGAAATCCCAGCTGGAAGGTACAGCCCATAATAATACAGGAAGCTTCCTTAGACTGAGCCAGAGCACAGCTGCACCTAACTCAGTATTGCCTTGATTACTTAAACTGCAGAATTTGCTCCCACAGGAGGTGGCGATGGCCACCAACCAATTGTTTAGGGTTAGACCAATACATGGAGAAGGCTGTCGATGGATCCTAGCCACAATGGCCGTGCTCTGCCTCTGTAGTTGGGAGACAGTAATGCTACTGGAACACCAGTTGCTGGAAACCACAGGAGGGAACGAGTGCTCTTGTGCTTTTGGCCACTGTGAGAACAGGATGCTGGACAAAATGGACCACCGGCCTGATCCAAGAGCAGGGCCCTTGGTACGTCCTTACGTCTACTCCCAACCGCCAGCAGCTCTGCAGGATCTCGGGCTGGGGACCTTTCCAGCACTGCCTGGAGATGCTGGGGATTGAACCCAGGACAATTCTGCTTGCAAAGCGGATGCTCTACCACTAGGCCACGGCAACTTCCTCCAAGTGCCACGTGGACCTCCAGCCAGCCACAGACCTGCCATCTCACCATAAGGCAATGAGGATCTTAGCAGCAAACCTGCTAGAAACATGTGGAGGGGGCAATCCATTCTCTCAGCCCTCTCAGGGACCAAGGAAGCCATCTTATGCTGAGTCAGACTACTGGTCCAACTAGCTCAGTACTGGCTGCATGAATGCCAGTGGCTGTCCAAGGTTTCAGAGGGGAGGCTGTTCCAAATCCTTATCTGGAGATAGCGGGGATTGAACTGGATACCTTTTCTTTCTCCAGTTAATTGTTATCCATTTTCACAAATCCATAATGAATTAAACAACTTTAATACAGTACAACCTTTTTTTTTTTTAAAAAAAAGGGTTTCCCAGATGTGCAATAATTAACCCTTATTGTTGCTTGTATTTCATAATTGTCTCTAATTCACAATTTCCCCCTTTTGTCCTTGTCCATCCATTTGTCAATTCCTGCTTGTGCATTAGTTAACATTTCCAGTGTTATCATTGAGGATTGCTTATCCGTTTATCAATCCACATTAACCCATTAATTATTATTTCTGAAACAAAACTTTCATTTCCCTCCATCTGTGTATATAAAAACCTATTCATTCCCACTCTGTAGTTGTTTTCCATTTGATTCTTAAAGGTAAAAGTAAAGGGACCCCTGACCATTAGGTCTAGTCGCAGACAACTCTGGGGTTGCGGCGCTCATCTTGCTTTACTGGCCAAGGGAGCCGGCGTACAGCTTCTGGATCATGTGGCCAGCATGACTAAGCCGCTTCTGGCGAACCAGAGCAGCGCACGGAAATGCCGTTTACCTTCCTGCCAGAGGGGTACCTATTTATCTACTTGCACTTTGATGTGCTTTCGAACTGCTAGGTGGGCAGGAGCTGGGACCGAGCAACGGGAGCTCACCCTGCTGCGGGGATTCGAACCGCCAACCTTTTGATCGGCAAGCCCTAAGCTCTGTGGTTCAGACCACAGCGCTACCCGCGTCCTTATTCGATTCTTAATTTGTAACAAATTCACATCAAATTAATTTGAATTCCCAGGACAAGTGTCCTGAAGTGGAGACCTTCCTTACAGAAAGCAGGGGCTCAAGACCACTGAGAAATGGCCCCCTCCTCACCATCTCATGCATTCAGCTGTTTCAGAGCACGCCTTAAAAAATTGAAAGAATTCTCAGCCTTCCCCGCAATCCAAATCCAGCAGAACTATGTAACCCCGCAATCAACATACTTTATTAGACATGGCTTCCAGCTGAGCTCCCCGCTCCCTCAGCTCCTTCTGCAATGATTCCCGTTCTGCGTGAGCTTTCCGGAGCTGGGATGCCTCAAAGGACAGCTGCCTTTGCAAGGAAGATATCGCGCCTAGGGAATCAAGAGAAAAGCCCATGAATGTGATTGAGGCCGCCCAGTATGGATCGCCAGAAAGTCTCTCCCTTTCCCACCCACCCCTTCTCAAAACTTTCTCCACTAGCATGAACCCTCTGAATTAACAAGGGAGGGACTTGCAAACCAATGTTGCTGTTTCGTTTTCACCTTCTTGCAGGCATGCTCTCGTCCAATGGACAACCAATCCCAATCCCAGGAAACTCCAATCCATTCTCCATTCCCTGGTTTTATTTTCTTTTTTCAACGGGCTACCATGCCCAATCCCAGGAAAATCCATTCCATTCCCCATGCCCTGGTTTTCTTTTCTTTTTCCAACTGACACTCAGCAATCCATGGTTGCTGGGCACGCTCAGCTCTCATTGGGCTCTTGAGGAGGTCACCCGCTTAGGATTCCAAAATGATTGTTTTGCATTTCAACTAACCTCAGGGTTCCACTGAGCATGCTCACAACTCCCTCTTGTTTCTCAGTGGCCTCACCTTAGTTCCATTTCAATCAGCGCCTACAATGGGAGGTTGCCTCCAGAAGGAGTGACTCTTGGTTCCCCAAGGAAAATATTAGCCAACCCGTTTCCATATATAACCATCTCAGCTTTCCAAAGGTACCTGTGGCCATGTCATAATCGCATTTCACTTTCTCCAGCTCGTCGTACAGCTCGTCGTTCATCCTCTGGAATTCGATAAGCTTGATAAAAAGAAGCTCCTCGTCTGATTCTTCCATATGCACTTCTTCGTAAGACCCACTTTCCACACGCATCTCTTCCTCGCCCTCCAAGCGTACCTTTTCTTGTATTTCAGAGTACTGAGCAGAGAGAGCGCAAAGAAAGACTGGGATGCCAAAGTAAGGGCATGGGAGAAAGCCAATTTCGTTCACGTTTTAACAAGAAACTACCCAATTCATACTTCTCAAAGCAACACGTAAGCTGGAACGCAATTAGCCTTTGAAATCTGCACTTCTCCAAATTTTGTGCTGTGGCTCTCCAAGCAAGTAAGGCATGCAAAATATGCATACCCTAAGGAGAAGATTTGCATAGAAATGCATACCTTACTAAAAACAGCATTCAAAAATGCATTATAGTAGGGAAAACTGCACCCCCCAAAAAATGGATGTGTTAGGAGAAATTCACACTAAAATACTGATGAATTCTCACTAGTGTTTAGGGGATGTTGGGTCCCCGCCCCCCAAAAAAGGCAAATTGTTGTGGAAATGTGCAGAACCAAATTTACAGCTGGAAAAAGGAGAAACTGGCCTCTGCTAAGTTCCTCCACCCAAACGTTCCCCCTTCTTCCTCCATTTTCCCTGCCTGGATTAGACCTTTTACTCACCAGTGAGGCACAACTTTAGGGTGCAGGTCCTAGGACCCCACAGAGTGAGCAGGTGGGCCCCCGTTAAATACAGCAGCAGGACTGACCATATTTGGAAGTAAGCGAAGTGACGAGGATGACTTAGGCACATAAAAGCTTTCTTAAACCAAGTCAGAAGCTTGCTCTACTTTGTTCAGCATCGTCTACACTGACTGGCAGCACCTCAACAGGATGACCTGGAGACACTGGGGATTGAACCTTCTAAAGGAGTAGGGTCCTTAAGACCAGAGTCTAAAACCACCTAACTTCACCACTGCCAACTCTGACCCTGATAAGGAGGGTGCCAGCCAGGTCAGTTTGGACACTGGAGAATGAGGTCTTGCTGTGGCCTGGGGGAAAGGCAGAATGGCAAGGGAAAGGGACTCCCAAGGGCCAGGTAGGCAATCCTGGGGGCCACAATTGAACTACAGGTCAAAGGGAGCCCATCTCTAGCTTGGGGAGGGGGCAGGGTTCTGCCCAGCCCCATAGACGTTTTGTACTTCTGCAAATCTTTGTGTGTTCCCCATGCCTGCAGAAACTTCCCCTCTTTTGTGTGGACGGTTCTGTTTCGGCTCTATGGACACCAGAGCTTGGGAAACGAATTTGCTACGAGTGTAGAAAAATTTCTCCCCAACTGGCCTTTAGGCTCACCTCTTTCTCCAGCTGCTCCAGTTCATTCTGATCCTTCAGCAGCGTCTTGCTAAGGAGCGCCATCTTGGAGTCCACCTGTTTGTCTGTCTGGGATAGCTCCAATTTCAACCGCTCCAATTCCTGCCGAAATTCTTCCGGGATGCTCTTCTTCTGCATAACGACCGGCAGAGAGACACCTCGCCTGCGCAGGTTTGGGTCACTCACTTGCACCGTAAGTTTTTCTTCCGGTTCCTTTTAAGGAGAGGGATAAAAGATTCAGAAGGCACTGAAGCTAGAAACTGAGGGTGCAGCCCTCCAGTAACTTGGGCAAATGCTGCTAGAACTTGGAAGGGTATCTCAGAACTGTTGTAGGAAATACTGGGCACAGAGGATGCACAGCATAGGAAGCATAGGGACTCTGCCTGCCATTGGCTCTGGCTGTGCCTGCCACTGGCTTTGGCGCCACCTACTGTTGGCCTCCAGGCCTTCCACCCTACCAATCCCTATAGGCACCAGCCGCCACTGAGGGCGAATCCACCAAACATATCCTCAAGCATTTGCCATTAGCACAGAGGCTGTGCATTCACTTTCCCTGCTCTCCCTTTAGTTAGATTGCAAAGAAAAGAGCCCCTGGGACATATAGAGGCTTACAGAATTACACACAGACAGCCAATGTGGTGTTGTGTGGTTCTTTTCATAGAACTGCAGAGTTGCAAGGGACCTCGTAAGTCATCTAGTCCAACCCTCCGCAATGCAGGAACCAGAGAATCATAGAATTGTAGAGTTGGAAGGGACCATGGGGATTATCTAGTCCAACACCCTGCAGTGAGGTAGCTGCCAGTGGTCCCCCATGGCTCGTATCCACTAGGAGCCTCTGTGTTCAGTGCCTTGGATCCAATTTTTGTGGCCTCCTTTCCAGCTGAGGTCAGGCAGGCCTGTTGAATGTCCAGTGCTTACTGATATTTTTCTTTTCCAAAGATTATGTCAGCAGATTGTCCAAGTGAATGTTGATTTCATAGTTTTAACTCACATTTAGTTAAGTGGCACACAAATTGTTGAAATGAAAATTTAAAAAACAGTTGTTCATGTGTCGAACTAGGACCCGGGAGACCCGGGTTCGGATCCCCACTTGGGTGTGAAGCCTGCTGGTTCACCTTGGGCTGGCCTCAGCCTCTCAGCTTAACCTACCACCCAGGGCTGTTGTGAGAGTAAAATGTGGAGCAGGGGAGAACCACGTATACGCCAATCTCAGCTCCTTGGAGGAAAAGGAGTACAGAAAGGCAGTAAATGAATAAACAAAGAAAAAGGACTGGGCCAACCTTCTGGGCGGGACTCTCCACTGGGGCGAGCTCACCCCCCTGCTGGGCCTGGTCCAGCTGCATCTGCATCACTTCCAGCTCCTCCCGGAGGACTGAGATCACGTCGTCCTTCCGGACGCTCTCCGCTTCGCAGTTGGCAAGGCGGACGAGTTCCGCTTCCATCTTTTGCAAAGTTGTATCCTGGGGGGGGGGGGGGGAGAGATATGAGAACAGCCAGGTTGAGACCTCAAAGACACTTCCTACAGTTGCATGACATGGGTGCCCCACCAGGGCAATAAACACTTTGTCCATTTACATAGCAAGGGTAGGGAACCTCAGACCACAGGCCAAATGCAGCCGCCCAGGCCGCTCTTCCTAGCCCTTGCAGCACTCCTCGGCCATTCCCCCTTACTGGCCCTACTCTATGCCCTCCTTGAGAGATTCTGCCTGGCTGGAAGGTGTCCCAGAGCTCAGTTCGTGCCTCTTACTTGCCTTGGCAGAGTATGGAGAAATGGATGCTTCTGTATAGAAGCCCTACTGGAATGTAGGCTGCTGTGCAAAGGGAAAGAGCTGTACCTGCTGCCCCGCCTACTTTTTGCCTCTGGCCATGCCCCCTGTTGGCATGTGGGCCCTGCAGAAGGCTCCCCACAAGGGAAAGTGGCCTCAAGCTGAAAACAGGTGCCCTTGACTGTTGTATGGGGTAGGGAGGGAAGACAGCCACGCTCAGATACAAGGAAGACTACTGATGTAGCCCAGTATTTTTTACTCAGACAGGCAGAAGATCTCCAGGAGCCAGAGATCTTTCCATCAGCTGTACGTTCCCAAGCCCCAATTCATTATGCCAACTTGGGTCTATAAAGGCCTGTGTAGTTCAGGACCCCTACATCTTTCAGAACGCTTCTCCTGGTGTTGAACCTACTCAGATCCATTGACCTGCACCAGAAGGCCCACTTTCGGCTGCCTCCCTGGAAGGGCACATAGTGGAAATTGTAGAACTGTATATGCTTTGATAAATAGCCTACACATGGTATAAAAACCTGTAACTACAGAAGGATAGCTCTATTACTCTGGCTGCATTAATGTTTGTCTGATGGAGAGCAGGCTCCAATATGGCAGGCATGCTTTCCGCCTGAGAACGGGACTTAGTTTCCATGCACCTGTAAAACTAAGGTGAGGGCATGGCTCTATATAAGCCTGCGTAATTCATAGGCTTGCAGTTTCCACTTTTGCGTTCTCCCCAGAGGCCGTTGCTGTGACCAAGTAAAGTTGCCTTAAACATCACAACAGTGTGGTTATACTGAAGAACTCCACTACAGGCATGAGTCCCCCCATGCTCAGCATCCAGGGTACCAGGATGGGCCTGGCCAGTGCCAGTGCTTTCCAGTAAGCCTTGCACGGCCCAGTTCCCTGCTCCCTTTCCTCTGCCAAGCTGCTTTGACAGTTACATCCTTACCTTTTCCTGCAGCAGACTGACGTACCATGGGATTCTGCTTCCTTTGCGGGTTTGACTTTTCAGGTAGGTGCCGCCTGTGAAGCCCTCGGTGAAACTTTTCCACTTAGGCAACCCAGACATGCTCTGAGTAGATGAGGCCGGACAATCTGTGCGTGCGATGGCAACGAAGTGGAGGAGAGAAAGGCACCGTCAAGGTAGTGCTATGGATCATCTCCGACGCTAGTCCTGAATCTGCTGGGATGCGACTGAAACCCACACGGGTCTAGCAATCGTCTGGAAGCACCCAGGGTGCCATGGGCAAAAGTGGAGCCCTTTAATGATACATTTAATACATTGCCATTATAAAAAGAAGGCTGTCCTGGGATGTACCGCATCGGAAAGCTAGAAATTGTCCAGCTCAGTTGCCTGAAAAGAGGCGAGTTATAGCAGCTGAAACGAAAGCACTGCAGTTTTGTTTAAACATAGCAAAAGCTGCCTGCCCCACACCCCTTTCTGCATAGTCCTGAGATGTAAACTCCGATTTGCAGCAGGAAGGGGAGGGGAGGGGAAGGATTTGTGTGGGAACCAGCGAGTCAGACAAAGGCACTCACATCTGAGGCAGCTCTTTGACTCAAAGATATCTGGTCTCTGAAGTATCAAGTTCCATTCTTCCAAGGAGAGCTGGGAGGACAGACTTATGGTGCTGATGTTGCAAGGCAGGTGGCCTTTGGTTATCTCATTCCCTGCAAGGAGAAGGAGGAGGAGGAGGAGGAGGAGGAGGAGGAGGAGGAGGAGGAAGGAGACGGTTACATGGGTATTTCACACACACAGTGCATGGAAATCACCAACAATGGAGGCACCACTTTTTCAGTTTAGACAGCATGCAGCAAATCGCAAAACAAAACCTTCAGCTCTCAGCAGGTTGCTGGATGATCACAACACCCCTCTTCCCTGACCACTGGCCATGATGGTTGAGGCTGGTGGGAACTGAAGTCCAGCAACATCCTGGAGGACCACTGGTTCTCATGCCTACCCGAAGAGACATTTTGGACGCGAGAAGATTATGGAAGAGGGGCAGGTTAGGGTTACAACAGCACTTAGCAAGCTCAGGAGTCGGTTATCTGGAATGTACGTCAACATCCTGACAGTTCAAGTAAGATTTTCTTGAGTTCAGTTAGGATGCCTTCTTGATTGATAATGATGGATGGAAAGGTGCTCATTAAAGTACTTTGATGACTGCTTGCTCCTAGCTACTGCACACATCTCACCTGCTTGAGTGCAGCCCCCAGAGCAGGGTGGGGAACCTTTTTCATCCCAAGGGCCACATTTCCTTTTCAGCAACCTTCTGGGGGGGCCACATGCTAGTGGTGGGTGGGGCCAGAGGCAAAACTGGGTGGAGCAATAAATTTAAACTTTACTTTTGCAGTAAACTAGTCTCTATAGGCACCCCCACACCTCTCTCTATCCTTCCTGTGTGTTGACGAGGGTGGAGTGTAGGAGTAGGAGAGAGTTTCCCAAACTTGGGCCTCCAACTGTTTTTGGACTACAATTCCCATCGTCCTTGACCACTGGTCCTGCTAGCTAGGGAAAGGAAAGGAAAGGAGATGTTAGCAGAGTACAATGATGCATCTCAGCCAGACAAAAGCACACATGCAGGTACCCAGCAGGGGTGTGGGCTGTGAACAGGATGTAGCCTGGAAAGAGTCCCAAGGGCCCAAAAGAGAGGCTTGAAGAGCCATCTTTGGTGCTGGGCGGAGGTTCCCCATCTCTGCACTACAGAAAAACACTTCAGCCCATTGCTCCACCTAGCTCAGGGATGGGGAACCTGCTGCCTTCCGTATGTTGTTGGACTCCCAGCTCCCACCACTACTTACCATTGGCCATGCTGGCTGGGGGCTGATGGGAGTTGCAGCCCAGCAGTGCCTGGATGGAGAACCATAGGTTGGGGAAAGCTGTCCTCCAGCCCACTACACCGCCCTGGCCTCCCACAGAGACTGCCTCTTCCTCTTGAGTCTTACCAAGGTGAGATGTTGAAGTAGCTCTGTGGCTGTACCTGGGGCACCCAGGGCGCATGAGGAAGGATTTCCGCAGTTCCTCCACCTCGGGCGTGTAGGGAGACCTTGTAGGGCTCGCCAGCTGTTCCTTAGCCTGGGGAAGGAGAGGAATTGAGGTGCAAAGGAGACGAAAAAGGAGGCACCGTGTCGGCAACCTCTGCCGTTAATGGCATCATGCACTGAGCAGGCAGGGCTGGACTAAATGATGGCCAGGGCCCTTTCAAATTCGTGCTAGGATTCTGCTCATATCAAGGCTTTGCCTACCTGCTTCTCATAGTACTCCCTCACTGCTTGGCCTGCTTTGCTGGAGATGGTTTTGCCGCTGGATGGAGGAGTCCACACCGGATTGTTCTGCTGCGATTGCTGCCGCTGCTTCCGGTTGCTCATTTCCTGCAGCACTGTGAAACTCTTCCTCATCAAGGTGTCGCGTCTCTCCATGAGGGCAGCAGCTCAGTTGCTCCCGTTGCAATAAAGGGGTAAAGAGCGCTGCAAAGTTTAAAAGCCCGTTATGAGAAAAAGAGACCTTCTTATTGTCAGATGGGGTATATAGGACTGAACAAAGACTGTGAGCCTATACACACTGTGTCTGTGAATACACCCCCCCACACGCCTACTGAACATGAGTGGGACATACTTCTGACTGAGAAGAGCTTGGCTGCTGGATCAGGCCAAAGGCTGATCCAACCCAGACTATGCGCTTGTCATCTGAGGCCCTTCTCTACATCCCCCACCCCAGAGAAGTTCGGAGGGTGACAACAAGAGCCGGGCCTTTTCTGTGATGGCTCCCCAATTGTGGAACGCTCTCCCTAGAGCCATCATTATATGTCTTTAGGCACCAGGCAAAAACATTCTTCTTTACCCAGGCCTTTAGCCATTAAACAAGCTATAGCCTGTGGAAAGTGTGTGGGAGAGGACTGTGATGATGACTATTGCCTTATTAGGCTGTCTGTACATATGCTTTTTATGTTTTTATCATGGATGTTCTGTAATGTGTTTTTAATGTTGGACATAGCCCTGGGATCTTTTGATAGCTGGCGATATAAAAATTGAATTCATAAAAATAAAAGTCCAAAGTCCTGTCTTTGGAGTGGCCAACCAGAAGCCCCTGGGAAGCCTGTCAACAGGACCTGAGTGAAGATATACTCTCTCCTAGCAAAAGGTATTCAAGAGGTCTACTGCCTTCAACAACAGAGCACAGCTGTCTAGTAGCCACAGGTAACCTTATCCTCCACAAATAACATCACTTCCACTATTAAGACTTACCTTTGAGTAAATGCAGTTATGAACGTGGCATAAAGCGATCTATTTCAGGGCCGCAAGGTTTAGTGGCTAGATGAACCAATCAAACGTTTTTGTCGGTCTGTCTGGAAAGACAAATTATAAAATGGTGGGGCTGAGTCAACAAGGAGAGACCCACATTTATTTCCTTTTCCAGCTGTTTTCGATGTGCTGGTATGTTCTAACAACAGGAAAAGAAAGGGGGGGGGGAGACAAGATTACAGACAGCCTGTCCTAACATGCGACAGCACACAATTTTAAGTATGGGTGGTTAAATTTTCAGTTCAGCGTATATACCAAACTATCTCTCCTTTTTTTTTAAAGCACCTATATCAAGGTTTGATGACGTGCATAGTTATTTAAATTTATCAATTAATCCATTAAAAAGAAGTCAATTTAATATGTTTGGGGTGCTTTAACCCTCGCAGTGGGTTGGACAAGATGACCCTGGGAATACCTTCCAACTACGATTCTATGTAAGCTACCAGCGCACGCATGCGCATCGGAACCCGGCAAGCGCAGAAAGGCGGGGCCTAAAGGGCGGGGCCTAGAGGCAGAGGCGGGGCCTAAAGGCAGAGGCGGGGCCTGTTCTCTTATTCTCTCTCTCTGGCCGCTGTGCTGAAGCTTCTCTCGGCATTTCGCTCCGCTCTCCTCCTCCTCCTCACCTGCCAAAAGGCCACGGCCCGCGCCCTCCCCCGGCTCTCCGGCCGCGCGAGCCGGAGCCCGGCCAAGGAACGCGCTGGCTGGTTCCCCGCCTTCGCGGCCTAATGCGGTTGCTTAGCAACGCGGAAGCGGAACTACAGCTCCCGTAGCCCTCTAGAGCATGCGCTTCGGCGTCTTTTTTTAATACGCCGAGTTCTGATTGGTCGCCTCTCCCACGCTCGTTCCGCCGCTCGCGCCTCCCATACCATCCGGGCACGCATGCGCGGGGCAGACTCTGGCTCCTCACGTGGTTTCCGACCTCCAGGACCTTGTAAGTAGCGTCTCTGCGGTTGTCGCTTGGAGGGGGATCGTGCTCGTGTGAGTGCACCGAGTTGCCTTGCGCGGGTTTGGGGAATGGCAGCTAAGGGCTCAGGCAGCAGGTACAGCTCGCCACGCGGGGGAGAAGCCGGCTGCTTCAATCAGCCCCTTTACTCGGAACCATGTGGACTAGCGCCTTACTTTATTTTGAGGGGAAGGAGCGTAGCTCAGTGGTTGAGCATCTGCTTTGCATCTGGAAGGTCCCAAGGCCGGGAGTGTCCGCTATGTGAGACCTTGCAGAGCCGCTGCGGATAGATAATAACTACTAAATTCAGGGTCGCCGCCTGTCCTGTATAATACAGGATTGTCCCGTATTTCAGTGTAAAATGCTCTCTCTCTCTCTGTGTGTGTGTGTGTGTGTGTGTGTGTGTCTCACTCGGCCAAGTTAGGTATCCTCTCCAAATGCATGTGTTCGAAAGGGTGTGAGAAAGGTCATGTATTTAAGCTGTGGGTAGCCAAGCACAGACAGATTTACAAATTCGTGGATGTGGGTGTGTGACAAATTTCAGAGGCGCCAATAGATTGTAATAGATTGCTTAGAATTCACTTCAGCACCAGCTGGGGGGAAAATAATAATCCCCCCCCCCAAACTGCTCTGCCCCATCCTGTCGTATATTTTGACAGAACAAAGGTGGCAGTCATAAATGGACTGATGGTCTGACTCTATAAAAAGAGTTGTCTACATTTCTGGGTTAGGAATAATTGAGGAATTGACCACAAGGATTCTGTGTTCTCATTCCCTGGGCCTAGCTTCTATTCCACATCCCCCTCTCATTTATTTTAGAATTGCAGAAATTTAGGTAGCCTGGTTCCTCATTTCATAACTGTAAGCTGATGGCGCTGTTTTGTTTGTTTTAAAATGAGACTGTTACTAAGTCTTGGGATCTGATTTGTTACCTCTGTTTCCCCTTCTCCGCAGGAACCAGACATCATGGTTCAGCTGGGTAAGTGGGATTAATAATATTTTGTCCTTGTGTAGTGATGGAACAACACTGGAACCAGTAAGAAAGCCCTGCTGGATCAGGCCAAAGACCTATCAATTCTGGCATCCTGTTCTCGCAGCAGCCAACCAGGTGCCCTTTATAGGAAGATCACAGGAAGGCCTGAGCGCAACAATGCTGTCCTTACTTGTGATTCCTAGGGGCCTACCACCTCCAGCAGTGGAGTTACGTGACTTCCTCCATCTTTATTAACTTTCTGGAGGAGTTTTAAAACCTTCCCATTTACCCAGGCATTTGGTGGCTAAAGAATACTATTCTGGGCAGTCTCTGGATCACTGGGGGAATGAATGCTTTTAACTGACCAGTATTAGGTGTTGTCAATTGTAATGGCTTTTAGAATGTGTTAACTGTACTAGATTTGTTTTTTAAACTCTGCCTCTGTTTACCACCCTGGGCTCCTTGGGGAAGGAGGGTCAGGTATAAATTCAGTAAATAGCAATAACAGTAAATAATAACAAGATAGACATTGTGACCAGTAGCCTTCTCATCCAGGAATTTGCCAAATCCTCTTTTAAAGTTGTCCAAATGGACTGCTGTATGGTTTTTAAGGCATTGGAAGACTCTAAAAGCAGACACGTTTGAGATCTGGTTGTCACAACTCTGCGGCTTGATATTAATGGACAAACTGGCAGCCCTTGTCCGGGAGAGTCGAGCAGAGAAGCAAGCCACTACTCTTCAATCAACAGGGCATAATTTTATTACGCGTGCAACATCGATAGAACCCGTTTATAGACCTCCCAAGAACACATGGCAATTTGTGGAATGGTACCATTGTTTAAGGGACGCGGGTAGCGCTGCGGTCTAAACCACTGAGCCTCTTAGAAGGTTGGCTGTTCGAATCCCCATGACAGGGTGAGCTCCCGTTGGTTGGTCCCTGCTCCTGCCAACCTAGCAGTTCGAAAGCACGTCAAAGTGCAAGTAGATAAATAGGTACCACTCTGGCAGGAAGGTAAACGGCATTTCTGTGCGCTGCTCTGGTTTCGGTGTTCCGTTGCGCCGGAAGCAGCTTAGTCATGCTGGCCACATGACCCAGAACAACTGTCTGCGACAAACACTGGCTCCCTCAGCCTGTAAAGCGAGATGAGCGCCACAACACCAGAGTCATCTGTGACTGGACTTAACTATCAGGGGTCCTTTACCTTTACCTTTTTTTAAACCATTGTTTAAAGACAGAAACAACTTAAAAATTAACTGTAACTAAACAGATATTTGGTACTTCTAGGTGGGGGGGGTGTAAAAACAAAAATCAGCATTTATGAGCTATATATATTGCAGATGAAGAAAAGCACTATGGAGTTGGTGGTCATCACTGCCTCCATTGGGAGCGAGTTCCACAGCTTAACTGTGCTCTGTGTAAAGAAGTATTTCCTTCAGCTTGTTTAACCGCTGGAGGGAAATCTTCAATAAATACAGGGTTTCTGTTGACGTTGCCTTTGCACGGTCTCCCTTCCAGGGCACTGCCTCCTGAAAAAGTACTACAACGCGCATACTGTCATCCGCTTTGCTATGGGTGGCTGCGCCAACAGGCCTTACTTTCGGATCGTGGCCGCACAGAACAAGCGAGCCCGGGACGGGAAGCACCTGGAGCAGATTGGGTGCTACGACCCGCTTCCCAACGACCACAACGAGAGGATCGTTGGTGTGAACTTCGAGCGGCTGAAATACTGGATTGCCAATGGCGCCCACCTCACCAAGCCCGTCGAGAAACTTCTGGGTAATGCCACCTGGTTTCCTTCTTTGGCGGGGGGGGGGGGAATGTTGCTCCTATTTTGTTGTTGCTTTCTGTGTTCCCTTACTTAGATTGACATTTTGCTTGTTGAACAAAGCATTTATACAAAAATTAAATGTGGTTTATACTTTTAATGGTTTCCCCACCATGCCAAACTCCTGCATTATTATAACCTATCCCTGTGGGGTTTTTTTGCTGAATAAAATTCTGATTATTGTACAGTTATCCATTTCACTTAAGTAGTTCCTGATGATGATGATGATTCGTAAAATCATAGGGGGTGTAAGAGGCCCCAGGGCTCCTCCAATTCAACTACCATCAATGCAGGAATTTTTTTCTTAATCTTCCCATTTATTTTTAAGCTGAAAATTTGTCCAGGGGAACAAGTAGAACAGAAAGCACAGTGTGCTTTCTGATGTCACGGGCAACCAGGCAATCAGTTCTTTCACAGCTTTGCGCTTAAGCCTAGGGTTGGAGAAGCTGTATCTTTTTGGATGCCCAACTCCCAGTGTCCCTAGCCTTTGGCCATGTGGCTTGGGTCAGATGAGAGTTGTAGTCTTAACAGCAGCACGCACCCCTGACATATGACTGTGAAATAGTCAGTACATTTTCTGAAGGCAATGAATTCCAGATTGTGTGTGTCCTGACTCTCCCCACCCACCGTGCTTTGCTTTAGACAGTTGACCTCGAGACATAATGCAGGGAAGGAGAGCTTCAGAACCAGGGACCAAATGTGGCCCTCCAGCCCTGTATATCTGGCCCTCAGAATTCTGCCTAAACCACATCCCCTCACTGCTCCTGCTTCACACTCTCAGGTGTCTGGGTTGAACCTCTGATAATGCCCCTTTGCTTTGCTTCCGGGATGGAGGATAGGGAAAGCAGCCTATTGTGCAAAGGTAATAACTACACAAATTGCTCCAGCTGCTTTTGCCTCTGGCCTCACGCACCATTCATACATGCCCCCTGGAAAATTGACTGGAAGCGAATGTGACCCATCAGGCTGAGAGAGGTTCCTCCACCCTTGCCGTGAAGAGTATAGACAGTAACAACAAAGTGCCCTTTCTTTCCCCCACCCAGGGCTTTCTGGATTCCTCCCCCTGCATCCGATGACCATCACAAATGCCGAAAGAGTGAGGAAAGCACAAGCCCAGCAGGCTGAGAGGGCTGCTCAGGAAGAAGCAAGCCCAGCTCGGAATGAATAAAGAGCAAAGTGTGGGGCTCTCACTACCAGCTCAGAAGGCAGTGCCAGGATGAAGGACCGTCTGTTGTGCAGGAGAGGCAAGCAGACACAGGCGCTGTCTCTGCTTGCAACATGATAGAGCCACAGCCTTCTTCAGGTTTGGTGACGTGTGGCCCGCCAGATGCTCTCGGACCCGCCTCAACCCCTGCCAGAATGACCAGTGGGCAGGGATGGATGCAGCCCACCTGGAGGGCTGCAGCTTCCCCACCCCATGGCCTAGCTCACAGCCTGACTCGACATAAGCGTTGTAACACCTGCTAGGAGAGGTACTTCCAGCAACATGGGATGGGAGCCTTTGCAGGACTGCAACTCCCATTATCCCTGTCCACTGCCTTTGCTGCCATTTGGGCATTTATCATCATCCAACCATCCGCAGGTTTCCTGCTCCCATCTTTAAAAATTCAGTTCTTTCTCCATCCCTTGGCCAGTTTTAACGCTTCTCTGGTGTGCACAGTCACTGCTTGTGAGATACTTTATTGGGGGAAAGGCTTTCCTCCTGGACCACTTTGGCAGAGGAATGTTAATGGACTGATGGGAGGGAAGGGAAGTTTTCCATCTACACACCTGCCTGCTGATCTAACTCCTCCCACTAAAAAGGTGCAAAATTCAGCTTTCTGGTAAATAAAAAAAAATAAAGTTTCTAGGTCTTGGTATGTTGTATGTATGAATGTCCGAGAATGCCTAAGAAGAGGTGTGTCTGGCAAAACAACAAAATCATTTGCAGGAGTTAGTGGATGAGATTTGAAGGCCCTGGGCACCTCTTGGCCATGACAAGCAGACTAAACAGTACTAAAGAATCATAGAATCATAGACTTGGAAGGGACCCTGAGGATCATCTAGTCCTGCAATGTAGGAATAAGCTGGTGTCCCATATGGGGCTCAAACCTGCAACCTTGGCACTATCAGCACCATGATCTAAATAGTCTTGCTTTGTGGGTTTCCTCCTCAGTGGTAGAGCACATGCTCACATGCTCTTTTTCTCCCCCCCCCCTTTAATTTCTTTTTTGCATTTAGCAGATCCCAAAGGCAGATCACTCTGCAAAACGGCTTTTATTTATTTCATGAAATTTATACATAGCTTGAATTATTATTATTTTTAAGACCTCAAAGCGGTTTGCAAAAAGATAGAACAAAATCAGTAAAAATTTACAGCTTGGCTTTAAAACATACAAAGATCACAATAGTAAAACAGTTTAAAGTTACCTCAACTTTCTAAGCATCTGCGTAGGCTGGTCTAAACAAGAATGTTTTTATCATATGTTGAATAAAGTGAAGGCTCAATCTCAAAAGGCAGGGAGTCCCAAAGTGTAGGTGCTGCCATAATGAGCAACCGAATTCTTATAAATGCAGAGTCAGACCATTGGGCCCATTCTCTCTACACAAGTATTTCCCAAACTTGGGTCTCCAGCTGTTGTTGGGCTGCAACTCCCATCATCCCTAGCTAGCAGGACCAGTGGGCAGGGATGATGGGAGTTGTAGTCCAACTACATCTGGGGACCCAAGGTTGAGAAACACTGCACACTGACTGGCAGCACCTCTGCAAGGTTCTCTCCCAGCCCTACTGGGAGATGCCAGGAATTCATAGCATCACAGAACTGTATAATTATACCTTCTGCGTGCAAAGCAGATATTCTGCTAGCAGCTGGCAAAGGAGGGGTAGAACACTCAGTTAGAACATAAGAACTTTGCTGATGCAAATCGAACGGGCCCATCTAGTCCAGGGTCCAGTTCAGTCTCCCCCTTCCCACCCCCCCAAGAGGCCAGCTAGATGCCGACAAGGAGGGGATGAATGAAACCATTATCACACAATATTGCTTCCAGGCAACTAGGTATTCGGACACATACTGCCTCCATTACTGGACCTCCGGGTATAGGGCAATGTATAAATTAAATGAATAATTAATAACAGTATATAGCCAACGTGGCTACTAGCCACTAATTGCTTTATCCTTTGTAAATTTGTCTGAAGGGGAGGGGCTAAATTTGTCTGAATGGAAGTTCAGTGGTAGAGAATCTGCTTTGCATACAGAATATTACCGTCAGTGATTTGTTAATCACCTTCTGAAGTGTCTCAATGTGATGTACATGAATGGCCATTCAAAACCAGAAAGTACATTTAAAACAAAACTCAAACCATACTTAAGACTGATACCTGTGGCAAAGACCCATTCACCCTGCTGGGAAAACCAGCCAGAACAAAAATGTCTTCATTTGTTTCAGAAAACGCAGGTGTTGGGCACCTGTTGTAACTCAATGTGCGCTACTCCAGATAATGGGTGGCTGTTGTGATGGAATAACAGTTCCATTGGGGCATTAAATTCAGGTAGGTAGCCGTGTTGATCTGACGCAGTAGAAAAATATATATATATAAAATATAAAAGAATAAAAAAATTGTCCAGTAGTATCTTAGAGACCAACTAAGTTTGTTCTTGCTATGAGCTTTTGTGTGCATGCACACTTCTTCAGATACACTGAAACAGAAATCACCAGACCTTTATATAGTGAGAGGGTGGAGAGCGGTAGGTTTACCACACCTGTCAGCCAATCACCCATTCCCACCATCCTTCTGAGTAATACCCCTCCCCACCCTCTCACTATATATAAAGGTCTGCTGACTTCTGTTTCAGTGTATCTGAAGAAGTGTGTATGCACACGAAAGCTCATACCAAGAACAAACTTAGTTGGTCTGTAAGGTGCTACTGGAAGGAATTTTTTCATTTTGTTTCGACTACGGCAGACCAACACGTCTACCTAGCTGTAATAAAGAACAAACTTAGTTGGCCTCTAAGGTGCTACTAGGGATGCAGGTAGCGCTGTGGGTTAAACCACAGAGCCTAGGACTTGCCGATCAGAAGGTCGGCGGTTCGAATCCCCCTGACGGGGTGAGCTCCCGTTTCTCGGTCCCTGCTCCTGCCAACCTAGCAGTTCGAAAGCACGTCAAAGTAGAAGTAGATAAATAGGTACCGCTCCAGCGGGAAGGTAAACGGTGTTTCCGTGCGCTGCTCTGGTTCGCCAGAAGCGGCTTTGTCATGCTGGCCACATGACCCAGAAGCTGTACGCCAGCTCCCTCGGCCAGTAAAGCGAGATGAGTGCCGCAACCCCAGAGTCGGCGACGACTGGACCTAACGGTCAGGGGTCCCTTTACCTTTTTAAGGTGCTACTGGACAATTTTTATGTGTATTTCTATTGGGGCATTAAAACATCCTTAATTAAAATATCTCATTCTCTGGCATCTTCAGGTAGGAAGGGGAAACGGCAGCTGTCTGAAACTCTGGAGGGGAGCTCCTCAAATACAAGACTGATCAATGGGTAAATTGTTTTATGAAGCACCTTTCCTGTGAGGCGATTTGCAAACATACAGTAAAATCAACGAAAGCAGGTTTTAAGAACTGCAAGCACCAGCTTGAAAACAATAGTAAAAGTAAAGGGACCATTAGGTCCAGTCGCGGATGACTCTGGGGTTCTGGCACTCGTCTTGCTTTACTGGCCAAGGGAGCTGGTGTACAACTTCCGGGTCATGTGGCCAGCATGACTAAGCCACTTCTGGCGAACCAGAGCAGTGCATGGAAATGCCGTTTACCTTCCCGCCGGAATGGTACCTATTTATCTACTTGCACTTCGTGCTTTCGAACTGCTAGGTTGGCAGGAGCAACTGCTAGGTTGGCAGGAGCATTGAAAACAATATGAAACACTTAAAACAGACCTTTTCACGCAGCTGGGAAGAATGATAAATACCAAAACGTTCTGGAGTGTTTCCAAAAAGTGCAAAGAATTCACACTGCCATACCTCAGCAGGGATGCTGTTCCTCAAAATATTGGAAGCCCCACTGAAAGCCCTCCCTCCCTGGTTACTGTTGGGGGCTTCTTAGGGACTTCCAGGGAGAGAAACTCCTGCAGAATCAAAAGTGGGGAGGGCGTGTCTTCCTTGAATGCAAACTTAGAAAATTGAAATACGTTCCTGTAGTTCTTGTGCTATAAAGGAATGATAAGGATGCCCTTAAGGTCTTTGGAATGCAAGCTGTTAACTGCTTCATTTTAAGTATGCAAGCAAGCTGCTCCCTACATCATAAGTGATTCAGCTGCATAGAGTAGCATTAATCATAAACCAGCATAGCAATTGACCATGAGATACAACATCACCTCCCCTATCTTTTTCACACCTCTAGAAGCACAACCCGATTCTCTTTTCTGGATCTCTCTGCTTCAAATACAAGGAGATGAGAGTTTAAGGTGTCTTCTGGACCGGTTCGAATCAGAGATGGGTTATTCTCCTGTTGTTTTTTTCCCAGAGAAAAACAAAAGATGTTTTAGCAAGGCCTGGAGGTGAATAATAAATACCTAGCATTTGTAGAGCCCTTCAGAGTGTTTGAATTCACATTGATTCTTGGGAATCCTTAAGGCAAGCCTATAAGGTGGGTCCTGTTATTAGGTGTACCCATTGTACAGAAGATGGAACTGAGGCTGATAGAAGCTTTACCCAAGGCCAATTCAGAATGTTCCATGTGTACAAATCTGCATTTGCATGCAAAAAAAACAAGTTCTCAGCAATGTTCCAACACACACAAAGTCTTGAAATCACTGCAAGCTGTGCCCTGTAGCTATCAGAAACCAGTGTACACACAGTACAGTCTTTATGACTCTGAAGATGGGTTTGAAAGCATAGTGGGCAATCTCAGACGCAGAGGTGTGTGTGTGTGTGTGTGTGTGTGTGTGTGTGTGTGTGTGTGACAATACAATTCTATACTTATCGGGGAATTAAAGCGGGGTGCATGCGCATAATAAACTCACCGCTACAGCTGAAATGAAACTCTCCATGAGGTAGTAGTCAGCACCGCTATGAGCACTTAAGCACATTGGGACACAGGCTGCTTTATCTGGAGAAAAGCTGCTTATCTTCCTTTCCAGGAAATCATAAATCTCCACTGGTCCTGAACCCTCGCAGGAAAGTTCTCCCTAAAAATAAAAAATGCAGGAAGGTAAAACTGTTTTATGAAGATCACCAGTGTTTAATATGACCAGAGGTGAAACTGACTGAAGGATTTTAATTTTATTCAGTATTGCATGTACACCCCCACCTTTTCTCCAAAGATCTCAAGGTAATGGATGCACTCCCTCCCCCCACTCTCCAGTCTATCCTTACAACAACCCTGTGAGGTAGGTAAGGCTGAGAGACAGTGACTGGCCCAGGTACCTTGGAGATCAGATTGCAGAATTGGGAATTCCCTGGGTGCGGCCTGTGGGTGCAATTTCATGCACAGAGCCCTGCAGTTAAGTTTACCTTTGTCCCATAGATGGTTGTTTTCCTCACGCCTAGTTTGTGTGTGAAGCCAACCATTGTGAAGGCAACAGTGGCTCCACCTTCAAACTCCATATTGACAACCTGAGGAGGGACATGAAACAACAAGTGAAGAACAGTGTACAGAACATGGTAGGGAGCTGGAAGCAGGTTTCAATTTCCATTATTTAAACGGATGCTCCTAGTTCTCAAGACTGGTTTCAAAGCATGCCTTCTGTAAGCACCAACTTGGGCTGATGGAAGTTATAGAACAAACTATCTGAGAACTGCGAGTTGGCAAACTTGGAATAGAAAGACAGAGAGAGAGAGAGAGAGAGAGAGAGAGAGAGAGAGAGAGAGAGAGAGAGAGATATTATACACATACACAAATATATGAAACCTTGAAATCTTAAATCAGGGTTTCCCAAAGTTGGGTCTCCAGCTGTTTTTGGACTACAATCCCCATCATTTTTGACCACTGGTCCTGCTAGCTAGGGATGATGGGAGTTGTAGTCCAACAATGGCTGGAGAAACCCTGTCTTAAATTAGCAAACTAGAGCCGTAACAAACCTTCCCACCCCCAAAACTGACAATGAAAAATGTCACCATTCAGAAGTTTTATGTTGAGCATTGACATTTGGGTTTCAAATTCAAAAGCAAGGCCAGCTTTCATTGGCTTGGAGTCGTTACTATTTTCACCAATCTGAAGGGACGTTTCTGATTGGTTAAATGAAATGATATAAGGAACTGTCCCCTTGCTATTTTGTGTCAGTTGTCAGGAGGCCATCAGAGGTGCATGTCAGATACTGCCACATAGCTGACTGCCCCTGCAGACTCACTGGGAGCCAGCTGCTCTTAAACTATCAACTCCTTGAGAGTTTATGCCAGACTGGACTTTGCCCTTGAACTCTGATTGTGTCTCTTGCTTTCCCAAACGGAAGACAGAGATGTATGTGTGTAGAAAACTGCACAAAGGTCAAATTTGCACTGTTCTGCCTCCTTTTTGCCACCCCGAACATTACCCAGGAGAGAATGTAGCCCTCAGCTTGAAAAAAGGTTCCCCAGTCCTGTACTATATTAAAGTCAAGCAATTCATACTTCTAGAAAATATTCACTGCAAAGGTGCAGAGGATAATTGGAGGGTGGGGAGCATAGGCTAGATAAGAAATATGCAAAATAACTAAACAAGTTTTAGAAGTCAACCCAGAACTTGCCCTACTAAACATCTTCCAAGACAATAATGCTGTGACTTGTCAATTTGGTTAAGAAATAACCGGAGGAGGGCGGCTGGGGAGAAGAGGAAGGAAGGTTTAGTGCAAGGCTGCATACCTGGTGATTAACAACATCATTGTCACACTCGTAAATGCACCTTCCGTAGGGGCCGTGGCGCAAGGCGTCGGTCAGCGATTCTATATCGTACTCACCGCTATGGCAGACCACAGACACTGGCCACCCAAAGTATCCCTGGGATGAAACAAAAGGAAGACTGTGTCAACAGCAGCGTCCCAGCAGGATCCAGCCCATCCTCAACAAGTTTGGATCTTAGGAACGCAAGAAGAACTCCGCTGGATCCAGAGTCTGAAGACTGGATCTCCCCAGCCAGCCCACTAACCACTACACCACACTGCTGCAGCCCAACTAGCCCCACCAAGTTCTGTGGCCATTTACCATATACACCCAATATTGTGGGATTCTCTCCCAAGGGAAGTTAGACTGGCTCCTTCTATCATGCCCTTCCACCAGAAGGTTGAGACCTTCCTGTTAAGAGAGGCCTTTGGAAACTAAGGTGTGGACAGTGCTGACCTCTGGGCTGCTGACCACGGGGCAAACTGTATTTTAGCTTCCGGTTCCCAATATGTCCTGATGTACTTTAATTATCGTGTTTAACTTGTTTCTTTTTATTACTTTGTATTTTAGAATGGTGTTTTTAAATGTCGAAAGCTACCTTGAATCCCAAGTTGGGAGAACGGCGAGATATATGGCTCTGTCACAAGAGACTAGGGTCCTGCGGGACTTGACATCTTTCTGCAGGGCCTGCAAGAAAGAGCTGTTCCACCTGGCCTTTGGTTTGGACTCAGTCTGACCCTTATGTTTCCCTCCCCTAATGTTTTTGATCTATGAGCTACTTTTAAAATGAAGCTGCATTTTAAATTGCATTTTAACCTGTATTTTAAATTGGTTTTCCCCCTCCCCTATTATGTTTTTACTGTGATTTGGCATTAGCCGCCCTGAGCCTGGCTCTGGCCAGGGAAGGCGGGGTATAAATAAAATTTATTATTATTATTTATTATTATTATTATTATTATTATTATTATACACTAAATTACATAGATATAGAAACACACATTTGTGTGTGTGAAATTTTCTTGTTGCAAACTGAAATCATTTTCATAACTTTTTCTAAACTGCCAGGCACTTGCAAATTGATCAATGCACACCTCTACAGCCAGAAGAAAGAGAAAAAAGATCAACTGGTTGGTTTTGTTTTGTTTTTCCTTACTGAGTAACTTGTTAACCTGTGGTGGGGGAATAAATAAATCAACCTATCTCCAAGGTTAGAACCCCGCTCAGTACCTACCCTCTCAGCCTGTGCCAGATAAATCTTCTTTGCTGAATACGGGCAGGTTTCTTCAACTGAACAGTCTAAACAGCGATCTGCGGCACCTTCCGGCTAAGGGAAAGTTGGAGAGAAGTCATTGCTGAGAAACAATGGCGCACTATAACTAATCCAGAATGCGGCAGCTAGACTGGTGACTGGGATCGGCCGCCAGGACCATATATCACCGGTCCTGAAGGATCTACACTGGCTCCCAGTACGTTTCCAGACACAATCCAAAGTGTTGGTGCTGAACTTTAAAGCCTCGGCCCCGTATACCAGAAGGAGCGTCTCCACCCCCATCATTCAGCCCAGACACTGAGGTCCAGCTCCAAGGGCCTTCTGGCAGTTCCATCATTGTGAGAAGTGAAGTTACAGGGAAGCAGGCAGAGGGCCTTCTCGGTAGTGGTACCCACCTTGTGGAATGCCCTCCCATCAGATGTCAAACAGATAAACAACTGTATGAATTTTAGAAGACATCTGAAGGCAGACCTGTAAAGGGAAGTTTTTAATTGTTTGATGCTTTATTGTGTTTTTTTGTTGGAAGCTGCCCAGAGTGGCTGGGGGCAACCCAGTCAGATGGACGGGGTATAAGAAATAAACTATTATTACTATTAAATTCACAGACTGCATCTCAGAACATCATTGTTTCCACAGTATGGATTAGAGGCTTGATTTTATTTCAGGGGCAAAGTTGAAAGCTGGCAGGAGGCTGCTCAAATTCTGCACTCACCCAGTGCGGCAAAATGCACAAAAGACTCTTCCTTTAAAAACATAAAAAAGTACTCATTGGAAAGTTTGACCAACCTTGTGCTCTTTCGTGAAATGGGACAGGTTGCCAAAAGATGACACTTTCAAACATCTGAAAGAAGAATTGGGGAGGGAAGGGGAAGAGGCATTTTGAGGTTTATTTATTGATAACAATATTTACAAAACACCAGCACATTTTTTTTTTTAAGTATCAAGACTTTGTACAATAAAAACATAATAAAATCCAGACCAAAGGGCCAACGTGGAACAAGATCCATTCTCTTTAAAACACTTGCAACTTGAAACAAATGCATTTTTGGCATCTTTCAGGGCTGCAGGGGCCTGTCTGATTTCCACAAGAGCAACGTCCCAAACACACACACACACACACACACACACACACACCCCTGCATATTTTACAAAAACTATTCCAATCATTTCCCCAGTATTACACCCATCAAAGATTATTTACACTGTTGAATTTATCTTAATGCTGCCAGCGTTTTCAGCTGTGCAGAGTTATTTTCCATATATTCTGTCAATGTGCATATTCTGTCAACATAAGTTGCCAGTCTTCTTTAGTTGGGACCTCGCTCCCTTTCCGCCTCTGCAAACAATAGCAGCCTCTTAAGAGAGAAGGGTTCTTCCTTGCGTACCTTCTGCTGCCCATCCAGTAATTGATGAGGTCAACATCGTGGCACGATTTAGCGAGCAGCGAAAAGGTGCTCTCGGCTTCGTTCCGCCAGTTTCCTCGTACAAAGGAGTGGGCAAAATGCCAGAATCCAACCTGGGTGGGGGGCGGGGTCAGGGAGAGAAAAACAGTCCGTGGTTAGTCTCGAGACAGGGAGCAAGAGCTGCTGGAATGGAAAGTATGAAGCGCTAAAACTCAGGTGGGGAACTTGCCTCCCCACAAGCTGCTGGACCCTAACTCCCATTAGCGCTATCAGCCAGGGATGACAATAAAACCTTTTTAGTTTAAACAGACTTTTTCCCAAAGGTGGCCCAACTCTGTACCACGAATAATGTGAACTTTTAATAAATAATAATAATAATAATAAGTATTAGATTTGTTGGTCACTTGTTGGAGGCCCCTGAGAGACTTACAACTTACTTAAAAGCATAAGCAAATTATAACGTTAACATGTTCATGCAATGCAAATCATAAACTAGTATAGGCACACGTAAACAAACACAGCTTTTCTGATGTTTTTTGTGTGTGTTTTAGGACATTCTTTTTTCTTTCTTTTTAAAAAAGGTATACTGTCCAACAGACTTTCATATTTGCACACAAATCTGTGCAAATAAATAAATGCGAGAAATTATTATGAGAGCTTCCCCACCCGCTCAGAAACTTAGCTAAACACTTTTACAAGTAGGCTGGAATAGCTCGATAATGTACCATTTGTCTTTTATTGCAGCATCCACACACATGGTCCTTGACCAAGAATTTGGGGATAGGTACACTGCCCAAAAGGATGACTGGTAGGGTGGAAAGCAGGGAGCCCAACAGTAGGTGGCGCTAGAGCCAGTGGCAGGTGGAGTCAATGGATTCCAGTTTCATCCCTATCCTCCTCTCTGCTGAGTCTTACAAGGGGCAACACTGAGACTAAGCAGGAGGAAGCTGACAAACTCTGCCACTCCCCAGAACTGATATAATTACAAAGGCATGCAGGCAAGTGGCTGAATAAGGGCAGCATGGGGCTAGTGGGGCAAAGGGAAAAGAGAAACAGGCAGGAGAAAACGGGGAGGCATGCTATTACATCATGAGTGCAAGGAAGCGTGTTTCATAGGATTCAGTGTAACTTGGGCATGTAATACTGAAAACGAAGCCTTATGAAAAGTGCTTGAAGGAGCTGGGTATGTTTGGCGTGGAAAATAGGAGACTGAAAGGAGATATGATAGGCATCTTCAAATATCTGAAGGGCTGTCACATGGAAGATGGAGCAAGCTTGTTTCCTCCTGCTCTGGAGGGTAGGACTCGAACCTGGGGCTTCATGTTACAAGAAAGGAGATTCCAACTAAACACCAGGAAGAACTTTCTGACAGGAAGAGCTGTTTGACAGTGGAACGGTCCCTCTTGACAAGTTGTGGACTCTTCTTCCTTGGAGGTTTTTTAAGCAGAGGCTGGAGGGCCCTCTGTCATGGATGCTTTAGCTGAGATGCCTGCATTGCAGGGGGTTTGGACTAGATGACCCCATGAGGTTCCTTCCGACTCTATGATTCTATACTTACAGGTTCCAGGTGCTGAATGTGGCAGATGTCTCCAATCAGTCCAGCGTCTAGGAGTTCCTAAACAAAAATACAGTGGTACCTTGGGTTAAGTATTTTCGTTCCGGAGGTCCGTTCTTAACCTGAAACTGTTCTTAACCTGAAGCACCACTTTAGCTAATGGGGCCTCCCGCTGCCACTGCGCCGCTGGAGCATGATTTCTGTTCTTATCCTGAAGCAAAGTTCTTAACCTGAAGCACTATTTCTGGGTTAGCAGAGTCTGTAACCTGAAGCGTATGTAAACTGAAGCGTATGTAACCCGAGGTACCACTGTAAACAGATAGGGCAGAGAGTTGTCAGAGAAAAAGAAAACGGGAGCAGAAACCGAGGGTGTCTACTCGTTCACCCCCTGCCTGGAAGAGAAACCAATCCAGCGAATGCAGTTGGGTTTCCTCTGTTTATTTGAGGTTTGTGTTCGGTACAGGGTCAGGAGACAACTGCACCCAATGAGGAGGCTGGGCAAGAACTCACAGAGGAACCTCTCAGCCACCTTCCCCTGTGAAAGAAGTGAATGTAATTAAGGTCAAGCTTCTGAGTCACTCTTCAGTGCCTTTTGACTCTCATTAACCATCTCCTTAAAAAACGAAAACTTTGTGCATGCCAGCAGAGGTGTAGAGTAGGGGTCTGAGAAGAGAACATGAAGGAGACATAGAAAATAGATAGTGTGAAGGAAAGCATTTTGTCAAGGGCATACAGGAGGATCCCTGCTGTGGGAGCCGGCTGGGTGAATTACCGCAGCGTTGAACTTTCTACCAGGAGAATAAAGGGCAGGCAAGCCACCTTTGACTCCTGTAAGAACTGCACTGTTTCCTTGCACTTAAAAGGACTGCACCCTCTCGTGAATGAGAGAGAGGCTTAGTATTGAAGCCTTGCGTTAGACGGGTTGCCTGTTGGCTCATCTAAACGCTACCTCTGAGTTAAAAACTCCCGGTCCTCAGTCTCTGTGAGAAGTGGTTCCTTCAACACTAGGGTTGGAGGGGGGAACCCGCTGTGCGGCAGAAACAACCAGCACACCTTCCTTCAGGCCAGAGGGTTTGGCCCTTTATAGCTCTGAGGTTCTCTGCAAGGAGGTGGGGCCGCCTGATTTGCACGCAGAAGGTCCCAAGTGCAACTCTTGGCATCTCCAGCTAAAAGGAACAAGTATCAGGCAAAGAAAGAGGCCTCTCCCCAAGTCCCTAATCCCCCACGCCTCCTTCTCTAGCTTCTCAGTAGCCATCTCTCTCACATCCAGTCCAGTCGACACTCACCGGTCGAGTTTGGAATTAGAAGGGCTGATATTTTTAAGAGTACGTCCTCCCCTCACTGTCTGCCTAGCTGGCATACCTTTATTTTCAAGGACACTGGATGGTAGCGTAGGACGTGACAGACTGCGAGGATGACGTTGTTGGTTTTACAGGCCAGAACTATTTCTTTACAGTCCTCTAGTGTTACCTGATCGATCAAAAGGGGGGGAAATACAATCAGTTTCAGCCAAGGCAACACTGGTCACTTCACCTGGGGATAAGCCAACCTACTGCCCCCCCCCCGGACTACAACTCTCAACATCCCTGGCAATGCCAGCTGGGGCTCTTGGGATCTGTAGTTCAAGAACATCCCAAGGGCACAGCTTCCCTGGCTTTGTTTCCATTGATAAAAGCCAGATCAGCCACTTATGCAGAGACACAGCAGGGAGACTCCTTTCTGGATGGTGCTTCCAGCACGGAGGAGCCTTTAGCCCAGGGATGGGGAACCCAATGCACTCCAGGTATTACTGGACTACAACTCCCATCATCCCTGATTACTGACCATGGCTGATGGGAGTTGTAGCTCAACATCTGGAGGCCACCACCTTGGCTACCCCCTGCTCTTACCTATTTTAAGAGCATAGGGCATTTCCTACCCCTCTAGGGCAGGGGTTAGGCCTCCCAGAGACGCTGTTGGGCTTTAAGCCCCACCAGCGCCAGCCAAGCAGTCAATGGGTAAGGGATGATGGGAGTTGTAGTCCAAAAACGCCCCCAGGATGTGGACATATGGAAACAGTCAATGGAAGAAGATCAGCAACCAGCTAGAGTCACACTTGAAGGCGTTTGGGTCTTCTCAGCAGCGGTTAGAATTTCACAAGTGAGCAGAATGAGCAGGAGGGCTTCCGAAGACAGCAAGGTCGGCTGACTGACCACGCGAGACCATTAAGCCCAGAGACTTACAAAAGAAATGCTCGACTGCTCACAAGGAATTCAGTCAGAGATTCTGGCCTGAGCAAAGAAATTATAGCTGACATGCACACTTTTTGGCTCAGCTGAGTGCATATTTTTCGATCTCAGCCAAGTGCTACAAAGGCAGAGGAAGTGCATCGAAGAGTCAACAGGAAGCAGAAGAACAAACCAAGGAAGAATTCTTGGGAGCCCAGAAAACAGACCCATGAAGGAAAGACCCTCGCTTGGCATGCTCTGAGACAGCTTCTCCTTTCCAGTGGAAAGCATGTCCTTATGGTTCAGCATGCAGCCATTATACCCGTCTTAACCCTGGACTTGCTACTGTGGCCTCAACAATTTCCTCCAGCAAGAGGTCCTGCCAGCACACAGCATTCAAAATTCTCCAGGGGAAATTTTGCGCCTGGCCTTCAGCCAAGTGAAGATGCACCTGGAGGTGCATGCCCGGGGATCCTTGGATCTCGACTGTTTTCACACACTAGCATCACATATAACGAATTCTATCCGTTACATTTTACTTGAATTTCAGGAACCAAAAAGTCAAATTGAAAAATACAACTTTCGAATTGTCTGGCCCCCAAAAGGCAACTAGCTGTAACCCTGGTTTAAGGAGCCATTTAATGCCTAATATATACCGTATTTTTCGCCCTATAGGACACACTTTTTCCCCTCCAAAAATGAAGGGGAAATGTGTGTGCGTCCTATGGGGCGAATGCAGGCTTTCGCTGAAGCCTGGAGAGTGGGAGCCCGGTGCGCACCGACCCCTCTCACTCTCCAGGCTTCAGGAAGCTATCCGCAAGCCTTGGGAGCTCCGCGGGAGTTCCCGTCGGGCTCCCAAGGCTTGCGGATAGCAGCCTCCAAACCTGACCTGGTTTGGAGGCTGGCGGTGGGGAAAGCAGCGCTTCTCCCCACCACCAGCCCCACAAGCTCGGGGGACAGCGGGGAGGCGGAGCATGCTTTCCCGCTGTTCCCCGACCTGGTTTGGAGGCTGGCGGTGGGGAGAAGCGCTGCTTTCCCCACCGCCAGCCCCACAAGCTCGGGAGGCGGAGCACTGCTTTCCCGCTGTTCCCTGACCTGGTTTGGAGGCTGGCGGTGGGAGCTGCCTGCATCCTGAAGCCTGGGGCGCGCTGAGCCACGCGCCCCGGGCTTCGGGAAGATATCCGCAAGCCTGGGGAGACCAGTGCGACTTCCCGCCGGGCTCCCTAGGCTTGCGGATAGCAGCCTATTCTGGGGGCTGGGGTCGGGGGAAATAATTTTTTTTCTTTATTCCCCCCCCCCAAAAAAACGGTGCACCCTATGGGGCGAAAAATACGGTATATGAGAGTTTCTAACACAAGCAACACTTACCGCCATGGGCTTCTCCAGCAAGATGTGGTATCCTTTGTGGGCAAAAGCCACTGCCGGCGCCTGGTGGGGAAGAGACCGCCACAAATTACCATCAAGCAGCTGACATTTCAATGCATCCTTAGTGTCTTGGGAAAGGATTTTTTCTAAATACATAGTTCTCTTTTTTTTATACAGCAACTTAAAGGCAGACATCCTGTTCAGTGGTCCCTTTCCTCTGGAACCGCAAAGACTCCATTTTGGCTGTGTTTGGATGGTGGTCTTCTGGCTTTCAGCAGAAGACAGAATTGCACAGCAACAATTGGCCAGTTCCTGTATCATTCACAATCAGTGGGGGCTGGCCCATCAGGTTGCATGAGGCAACCTCAGCCTGCCCCCACCTTCCTTCCTTCCTACTTACAGCTTAGCCCAGGTGTGGCACAGACTGCCAGCATCCTACTACACAGTCTCGTTGTTGCCCCTGGTAGAACTCAGCAGGGAGGAGGATGGGGACAAAACTACAGTGGTGCCCCGCAAGACGAATGCCTCGCAAGACGGAAAAACCGCTAGACGAAAGGGTTTTCCGTTTTGAAGTTGCTTCGCAGGACGAATTCCCCTATGGGCTTGCTTCGCAAGACGAAAATACCTTGCGAGTCTTGAGATTTTTTTTCGCTTTCCCCCCCCTTTATCTAATCTGCTAAGCCTTTAATAGCCTTTAATAGCCTTTTAGCAGCTAATCCCTAAGCCTTTAAGCCTTTAATAGCCGCTAAACAGCTGATAGCGCTAATAGCGCTAATCCGTCAATGGGCTTGCTTCGCAAGACGAAAAAACCGCTAGACGAAGACTCTTGCGGAACGGATTAATTTCGTCTTGCGAGGCACCACTGTAGATTTCCTTGGCTCTGCCAGCCACTGGCTCCAGCGCCACCTGCTGGTGGGCTCCCTGCCTTCCACCCTACCTGTCTCCATGGGCACCAGCCACCGCTAAGCACAATCTCATAACCCCATCCCTTTCCTGAAGCAAGGTTTTGGGAAGTGGCAACTGGCTGGCCCTTGGATCACTCCAACAGCCTCCTCCTTCAGAACAGTTTTTAATGCGTAAAACAAACTTTGCAAAAACCATACTAAAATGCATGGTGTTTCAGGGGGAAAGGGGTGTGTGTGATATGGCAAAGTGGATATTAGGGAAACTAGGCAGCATCCTTTTCTGTTCTGCCTTGCGCTCGTCACATGCAGCGCCGTTTCTATGCCTCTGCAGTTTGCTTTCTGCCAAAATGGATGCTATTCATCCTGCTGTCAGGAAACAACGTGGCTTAGGTAATTTGCAGAGTTAATTCATTGTGCACAATAAATTGCCGTCGAGTTACTCCACCCCACTCGTATAAACATAAAAGGAAATAGGGGAGGCGGAATGTAACCAATTTCACATCCTTTGCAGTGAATACTGATTGTATTTCTCGACTTGGAAGGAACAAACTGACATTGGCAATTTCCTCTCTGCTTTCCATTCTCCAACATCCTTGGTGGGCATTCCCATGGCTGTATGGGGGACACTGTTAGATTCAGAGGCTGTGTGTGCTCAAGCTAAACTCCTTCCTGTTTCAAAGTATATCCCTAAACTACTTCTACTTTTATTTCTCACACAGGGCTAAACTGAGCACTGCCACCAAAACTGTTTGCACGCAAGCAGAGTCGAGATGACTCAGATTTGATTCAAAAGAAGCCTCGAGTGGGAGAAGGTTAGCAGTACCTTGTGAAGGCTGTCGGGCGTTGCTATGATAACAGCATCCGCAAACCTCTCTTTCTCAGCCGCTGCTGTCCAGTCTTAAAAGAATAAGATTGAACAGTGAAAGGATGAACCGCAAGAGCAGAAAATTACACATATTATGCTGCTGGGTTCTCTTCTCCTCCATTTCCTGTTATTTAGCATAACCTTTAAATGATTATTAGGAAGAAAATTCTAAAAAATATTTATCTATCTTGGAATCACCGTACCCACAAACAGGCATTTATCACAAATGTACATTCTCACATCTTGGGGGGGGACCATAATGGGGTGTATACAACTAATTTCTACACAGACAAAACTCACTGAAATGAATCAACCTACCTTAGTTCAATGGGTCTACTCTGAGTAGCACTAGCATTGGATACAACTCAGTGTGTGAAACGAAGCAAAATAAGATCTCAGCCAATGTTTCCAGAGGCAGGAGAGAGAAAAAACCAAGCCCCAAAACAGTCAGAGAGATGTATTAATTTTTGTTTAGCCTCGCCTTCCTGACAGAGTTATTGTGAGGATAAAACTGGCGGGGGGGGGGGGCAGGGGAGAAATAGCAGTGTGCATGTTGCAGTAAGCTCTTTGGAGATGGGGAGCATATTTACTGGAGAAACTTCTAGCGTCTGTGCAATGTCACAGGGATGTAAGAAGGCACCGTTTTTCTATTCCGCCCTGAATGAAGCACCGTTTCTGTTCCTCTGCAGTTCACCTCTGGCCAAAAACTACATTATTTGTCTCATGGTCCGCTGTGCTGAAATTGAGTTTACATTATTTCCATAAAGAATCACCCAAAATACATTGTCAATGGGTTATCCAGACCCCCCCCCCTTTCAATGCAAAGAAAACACAAGGTATATTGAAATCAGCAGCAACAATTGGTATTTGCTGGGTTGGTTTACTTTTCCAGACATAGGACGAATAAGCAAACATTGGAAGAGAAGAAGAAGAGTTTGGATTTGATATCCTGCTTTATCACTACCCGAAGGAGTCTCAAAGCAGCTAACATTCTCCTTTCCCTTCCTCCCCCACTACAAACACTCTGTGAGGTGAGTGGGGCTGAGAGACCTCAAAGAAGTGTGACTAGCCCAAGGTCACCCAGCAGCTGCATGTGGAGGAGCGGGGAAGTGAACCCGGTTCCCCAGATTACGAGTCTATCACTCTTAACCACTACACCACACTAGCAATTGCCTCTTTCATTTTCACCAGAATTCTGACACCCAGAGGCTACATCCTGATAGTGGTCAATTTTCTCAATTCCCCCCCTCTCCACACCTACATGAATTATGCTGAAGACCACAGATGGGACCCTCTCTGTTTTGGAGCAAGGGCAGGGCAGAGATATAGAGTAATAATTGCATACCATCAAACACATTGTCCTCGTCAATGCCATGAGCTTTCTGGAGCCTCTTCCTCGCAAATGGATGTGGGTCTGCCACACCAATCACCTAACAAAGGGAGAAAGCTGTCAGCATCTCGCAAGCAGATAGCTGGACTATGGCGGTCCAATGCAGGCTATTTCAATACAGGTTAGTTCTCGAACGTTTTGGCTCCTGAACACCGCAAATTTTTGGAAGCCGAATGTCCGACGGGGCTTCTGCAGCTTCAGATTGGCTGCAGGAGCTTCCTGCAGCCAATCAGAAGCCACACTTTGGTTTCCAAATGTTTTGGAAGCCGAACAGATTCCGTTCGACTTCCGAGGTCCGACTGTACCATGGAAAGCATAGTGGTCCATTTAGTTCAACATCCTATGCTCACAGCAGCCAATCAGATGCCCACGGGAAGCCTGAGTGAAAGCAATACTCTCCGCACCTGTGAATAGGACTGGTTGATATATTGGTATACAGTGGTACCTCGGGTTAAGTACTTAATTCGTTCCGGAGGTCCGTTCTTAAGCTGAAACTGTTCTTAACCTGAAGCACCACTTTAGCTAATGGGGCCTCCTGCTGCTGCTGGAGCACGATTTCTGTTCTCATCCTGAAGCAAAGTTCTTAACCCGAGATACTATTTCTGGATTAGCGGCGTCTGTAGCCTGAAGCGTATGTAACCCGAGGTACCACTGTATTGTCCAAAACCAGTTTAAAGTCCATATTGTGATAGCAGTTTCATAATTTTTGCCCTGGCAAAATCATGAATTGCATGAATTGCAAATCATTGGTGTGGGTGTGTGCACTATGCAAAAATCACAGTGAAGAAAAATGGGGCATTTGCTGGGGGGAGGATGAGTATCAAGTGTTTGGTTTGAAGTCCACTGGACCTGGAGCTATTTTAACATCAGTAGAAGGGTGTGTTCACAAGTCTCAGAAGATCCCTGGTCAGCTCTTACCTTCATGTGTGCAGGAAACTGCTGAGCAAAAGAGGAATAATTCCTTCCCCGACTTCCAGCTCCAATCACAAGAACAGTGACTTGGCGAGACATCTCGGTGTTGCTTTCCATCTGCGTCAAGGAAAAAAAAACTTAGGACAAGCTTACAGCTGGGAAGTTCCTGCAAAGTTATGGCTTTATCTGGATTTGACTGCATCCCAGAATTTATTGCTGACAGCTTCAATGTACTTCCAGGGAATCGTCGTCATATTATTCATAGCTTTCTTTTTATCTCCCCGCAATAAGCATGTCTCTGCTCTGCAACATTCTCCTTCTTAAATTGTGAGCCACAAGATGTCAAACATGCAAGGCCATTGTTTGTTTCTGCACCTCTGAAACATTTGTACTGTTATATGTAATGAAACGACTTATTTTTTAAAAGAAAGAAAGAAAATGAAAAGAACATTTGCAGAGAGAATTCAGGAAATGAAACTATCCGCAAACCACAATTTACTTACCGTACATGTCTGCTTTGTTTGCATTTCCTGGCTTCTTTTGCTAATCTTGGCAGAGATTCAGGGAATTCAAGAGGTTGTGAAGCTTCAGGCCTTAATCATCAGCTTCTAAAATGTCCTACAATGTCTCTACAATTTCAAGCCTACTTCTCAGTCATAAGGTCTAGAAACTTGATATATATTTAAAAAGAAGAAGAGGAGGAGGAGGAGGGTCTCACAAAGTAGAATTCTATACTCAATATCAAATTCCAAATTACTCTAAACTAAAGTAGTGATGTATGGAAGTGAGAGCTGAACCATAAAAAAGGCTGATGGCCGAAGAATTGATGCTTTTGAATTATGGTGCTGGAGGAGACTCTTGAGAGTCCCATGTACTGCAAGAAGATCAAACCTATCCATTCTGAAGGAAATCAGCCCTGAGTGCTCACTGGAAGGACAGATCCTGAAGCTGAGGCTCCAGGACTTTGGCCACCTCATGAGAAAAGAAGACTCCCTGGAAAAGACCCTGATGTTTGGGAAAGATGGAGAGCACAAGGAGAAGGGGACGACAGAGGACGAGATGGTTGGACAGTGTTCTCGAAGCTACCAGCATGAGTTTGACTAAACTGCGGGAGGCAGTGGAAGACAGAAGTGCCTGGCATGCTCTGGTCCATGGGGTCACGAAGAGTCGGACACAACTAAACGACTAAACAACAACAACAAATCAATAAAAACATTTTTATTTTATTTTTAGATTTAAAAGGGGCATGTATAGAGTCATGATGTAGAAATGAGTAGTCAATGCTTGCAGGAAGAAGCACCGAACGAGCTTGCAAGAGAGGTTAAAAATAATAAAAAATTGTTTTCTGCAGCTATGTTTGAAGCAAGAGAAAGAACAAGCAAGCAGTAGGTCCTCTGCATGGAGAAGATGAAGAAATGCTATTGGGTGTCAGAGAGAAGGTAGAATTGTTCAACACCTATCCAGGGCCTGCTGAGCTGCGTTCAAGGATTACCAAAGGAACTCACATTTGGAATCTCAGAGCTTCCTCCTCTAACATTTGAGAATTCTTGGGGAACAGGTGAAGTCCCTGTGGGCTGAAACCAGGAAGGTTTTGCTCCCATCTTCAAAAAGGCAACTACCAACTGGTCAGCTTGATGTAGATACCAGGAAAGGTCCTAGAACAGAATTAAACAGTCGGTCTGTGAGCACTTTGAAAAAGATGCTGTGATTACCAAGACCAACCATGGGTTTCTGAAAAACAAGTCACGCCAGACTAATCTTATTTCTTTTCTCTTTTTTTTTAGTTACAAGTTTGCTGGATCAGGGGAATGCTGTGGATGTAGTGTATCTTGATTTAAGTAGAGCTTCCTGGTAAAATGTAGGCTAGCTAGACAATATTAGTTAGGTGGATTTGAAACTGGCTGACCGACCAAACCCAAACAGTGCTCACCAATGGTTCCTCATCATCCCGGAAAAAAGTGAGAAATGGGGTGCCGCAGGGTTCTGTCCTGGGCCCGGTGTTGTTCAACATCTTTATAAATGACTTGGTTGAAGGAACTGGGCCGGGTGCTTGTCAAACTTGCAGATGACACCAAATTAGGAAATGTAGCTAATACATAAGACAGAGTCAAGATTCAAGGATTTAACAAAACCTTAGCAGATTGGAGACTAGGCCAAAACTATCAAAATGGATTCCAATAGGGACAAATATAGGATGGGGCACAGCACATATAAGAAAGTCCTAGGGGTCTTAGTAGACTACAAGCTTAACAAGAGTCAGGAGTGTGATGCAGCAACAAAAAAAAGCTAACACTGTTCTAGGCTGGATCAACAGAAGTATAGTGTCCAGATCAATGGGAGTAACAGTTCTATTCTTATTCTGCCTTAGTCAGATCCTGTATCCAGTTCTGGGCAACACAGTGTAAGAAGGATATTGACAAGCAGGAAAGTGTGCAAGGAAGAGCAACCAAGATTATCATGGGTCTGGAAACCAAGCCTTATGAGGAACAGTTGAGGGAGCTGGGTATGTTAGACTGGAGAAAAGAAGACCGAGAGGTGATATGAGAGCCATCTTCTATGCTTCTGTGAATAAAATGTGTCCAATTTGTTTTTAAAACTGTTTGTTTGGGGTGGCATCCAACATTAGCCGGGCTCAGAGCAGACACATTGAAATTAATAACCCAAGTTATTAATAACCCATTAACTTCAACAAGTCTACTTTGAGTTGAATGTTGGCTACAACACTTTACCTGTATTTTAATAACTTTTGTATCCTTATTTTTAATTTTATTTGTTCACACTTATTCAAAGATATACATAAATACATACTCATTACAAAGTATCTTTTTATATGCTGAAATAAAACCGCTCTTTTTTTAGATTAAGTAGCTAAGTCAGAAGGAGGAAAATACAAGAAAAGGAGAACTCTAAAGAAGGAGAAAGGAAGAGAGATGGAAAATAAATAAAAAGCTATTTTTTATGAACGTTTCATATTATTTTATGTAAACCGCTTACAGATGGTATCACTATTATTAGGCAAAATACAAATCCTGGTAAATAAGTATTTTAAATATTTAAGGCCCACCACCTTTAGGTCCTTGAAGGAAACGTGGGGTGTAAAAGCACTTACTACAGCTTAAAAATGCAAGCCTGCCACATCCCACATAGCGCTGGCTAAACAACAGGAAGAGGGAAGTATATTAACCCTTAAACTAACGACGGGGAAGCTTTGCGGCGATGCTTTGAGACCATCGCCCTGGTTTGTTTGTTTTAAAGTGATTTCCTCCCGCTAACAGCATCCCTTCGTGTTATCAGTTTTATAGTTTGCATTGGGAGAGACTCACCGGACAAAAGCAGAGGTTGTTCTGATCTGATCTGATCGCTGAGCACGATTAACTCCGTCCTTAGAACACTCAGCTGGGCAGGGAGCCACGCCCACTTCCAGATTCCCCATTCACGCGGGGCTCTCCGAACTCAAGCCAATCAATGGGCGCGGATGACATCGCACGGAAGGAATTTTATTGGCCGACAAGAAAAGTTGGGGCGGGGAAATGAGGATGCCAGCTGTTGATTGGTTCTGCGTTTAGACCGGTTAGCGTTGGACTCCAACCCCAATTAGTTAACAGTGTGAATTATGGGGATTGTAGGCAAGAACATCTGGAGCTCACCAGGCTATCCCTGAGCTAAGGAGATGTTCACACAGTGCCTACTCAGAGGTAAGCATCATTGAGACCAGCGGAGCTTACTCACAGGTAAGTATGTGTAATATACACTGTGTAGCATTGCAGCCTCAGCTATCCTTGAAAATAATAATAATAATAATAATAATAATAATAATAATAATAATATAGAATTGTAGAGCTGGAAGAGACCACTAGGGTCATCTGGTCCAGCTCCCTGCAATGCAGGAATCGAACTGACAACCCAAAGATTTAAGAGTCCATATTCTACCAACTGAGCTATGTATTAATCTCCTTTCAACGGATATTTACATGCTGCTTATATCTTAAAAATTCCTTCCAGAAGCACCTTAGAGACCAACTAAGTTTGTTATTGGTATGAACTTTCATGTGCATGCACGTTTCTTCAGATACACTGAAACAGAAGTCACCAGACCTTTATATATAGTGAGAGGATGGGGAGGGGTATTACTCAGAAGGGTAGTGGGAATGAGTGATTGGCTGATAGGTGTGGTAAACCTGTTGATGACTGTTAACAACTGCAATTGGTCTTACAGGAAAAAGCAAGGGGTGAGATGGTTAAAAATAGCTTTATCATGTATAATTTTTTTTATTTTGTTTCGGCTACGGCAGACCAACACAGCTACCTACCTGTAACTACTGCTTATATCTATTTATTCTTAATTATGCAAGTGCATATTGATAATTTTATTTTTAAAGTGTGTGGTTATTTAATTGTATCCGCCTGCCACCTTCCAAGGGAGCTCTTCCTGCTATCAAAAAGTTCTTGGCATCAGAAAATTCTTCCTAATGTTTAGTCGGAATCTCCTTTCTTGTAACATAAATCCCATCTGCTGTATGAAGATAATAATACACACCCCTACCTTCCAGGGCTGCTGTAAAGACTGCATGCATATAAAATGTTTAGAATGTTGTGCTAGGCATTTATTACCCTTATTACAAGTGAAGGGACGCAGGTGGCGCTGTGGTCTAGACCACTGAGCCTAGGGCTTGCTGATCGGAAGGTTGGCTGTTCGAATCCCCACGACTGGGTGAGCTCCCATTGCTCGGTCCCTGCTCCTGCCAACCTAGCACATCAAAGTGCAAGTAGATAAATAGGTACCATTCTGGCAGGAAGGTAAATGGCATTTCCCTGCACTGCTCTGGTTTCGCCAGAAGCGGCTTAGTCATGCTGGCCACATGACCCGGAAAAACTGTCTGCGGACAAACGTCGGCTCCCTCGGCCAGTAAAGTGGGATGAGTGCCAAAACCCCAGAGTCGTTCATGACTGGACTTAACTGTCAGGCGTCCTTTACCTTTACTACAAGTGAGAACCCACAACAAAATGTTGCAGTGTGGAGTGTGCCAATCAGCCAGCCAGCCAGCCATTCCTTCTCCAGGATATTCCATGACAACCACAACTTTCCTCCTTTTTCTTTCCCAAGAAGCACTCATCATCCCAGGCCCTACTGTGCACCCTAGTCCTCGTCGTGCTGTTCCCTGCCCCGTGCCGCAATAGTGCTTTTCCCCTAAAGATTTTTTGTTGGAGCTTCAGGACTCCCTTAAGTATGCTTACAACCTCCTTGCTCCTGAGTGGACCATTTCATTCAGAGTTCACTAGAGGAGGCTGTTATGTGTTTATTGCTTTTTTAATATTAATATTGATATTGATGTGGCATTTATTGGATTTGACGCTGAGCTCCCCCCCCCCCCCATGGCTAATGCTTTTTAAAGCTATTTAGCTCACCTGTGGATTTCTGTAAACTGCTTTGAGCACTGCTGTGATGCTCCAATAGATCACTTCTAGAGGCATATGGCTCTTGGGAAGGAAGGTTCTTTACCCCTGGCCTGCTTGTTTGAAATAGTGGGTTACATTTTTCAAACAAACAAACCAGCCTACTAACCGAGAAAACTGCAGGAGTAAAGTGGCAAAATCTGAAGCGGTATACAGTATACTTGCATTCAGTGCCAGATTTACGTATAAGCTAAACAAGCTATAGCTTAGCGCCCCACTCTCTTGGGGGCCCCCAAAAAATGTAAAGAAAAAAACCCTGGATGTACATTTCCAAAATACAGTGGTACCTTCGATTACAGACGCTTCAGGTTACAGACTCCGCTAACCCAGAAATAGTACCTTGGGTTAAGAACTTTGCTTCAGGATGAGAACAGAAATCACGCAGCAGCGGCGCGGCGGCAGCGGGAGGCCCCATTAGCTAAAGTGGTGCTTCAGGTTAAGAACAGTTTCAGGTTAAGAATGGACCTCCGAAACGAATTAAGTTCTTAACCCAAGGTACCACTGTATAAGATAAAAAACAAATAAAATAAAACCTACATACAGCAACAGTGTTTTGTGTTGTATGGGCTTCTCTGATGTAAGTTATGGGCCCCTCCTGCTAGCCTGTTCCCTAAAATATCACTGGTTTGCTCATTTCTATATATAGGGTGCCTACATTCTGCATGGACTGGTTCATGGCAACATGTGCAAATGGCTTTAGACACCTATTAGGTCCATAAATTACCATATAGCATATATTCAACACAAAAAAGTGACAATTTGTTGTTGACAAAGGACAGCTGGACATATAAAGGGCCCCATTACCTTCAGTAGCTTAGGGCCTCATCAAACCTAAATCTGGCCCTGCCTGCATTCAGTTATCCCTGTTCGCATGTGAGAACAGAACCATGCATGTGTGGAAAAGGTGGAGTAGGGGCAACTTTGTCCAACGACATTCGTTGTTGTGTCCGACCGCACCCACTGTTGTGAATGAAATTTAGCTGGTGACAAGCTGATTTGTTGACAAAAAAGCCACATTTCCATAACACAACAGGTCCCTGCAGTGGGAAAGGAACATTGGAACACAGGACAGAGGTGCCAGCATTGCAACTGTGAAAACCAAGACAACACAGCCCATGTCTGAATGTGCCTGGTGTTGCCGCATTATTGCTGCCTGGAGCCATAGTGCAACAAAATCAGGACAGCCTGGGATATTTGTGATATGAAGAGTCCCAGGATTTCAGTAGGAAGCGAAAGGAAATGCCCAGATTGGAAATGAAGCAGTATGCCCGTCCTAAAGCGTTTGCACATGCAAACGGTATTGAAAGCTGGTTTGCTCAGGTACAATCATGAGCACAAATCTCAGGTAGCGCAATGGGTCAGTGTGCCTGGCTGTTAAGCAGAAGGTTGGTGGTTCAAGCCCACTGAGGGATGGCTGTGGGCAGGATTTGTGCGTTGCCAGGAGTTGGACTGGATGACCCTCGGAGTCCCTTCTGACTCTACAACTGAATACAGAATAAGAAAGATGCCGGGAGGGAGCTGCTCCCTTTTCGTTAATAATTTCTTCACCCCACACTTTCCAATGGATTATCCTGCCGCACTTTCCAACCTACAAAAAAGCTCCTTTTACTTCAGTGGATTTGTCGAGTACTTGAACCCTCTCTTGAAACCTAAAGTTCTGGTCCATGCTTGATTCCCTCTCACAGAGCACTGGCAACCTGGGAGCATCCTTGGACTTCAACCCTAGACCTATTTACTTGGGAATGGGCCCCACTTGCTTCTAAATAGACATGAACAGGATTGCATTTCTTTCACTTAAAGACATCAAAAGGAGTCATGTGTGGTTTGTGTGTGGTTTTTGTTTATTAAGGGCACAGCTCCGTGGTCCCCCCCCCTCCACTGTCTCTCGCACAGCACCGCGGCGCGGGATCCCCCTCCCCGCGCCAGCTTCACGCGCTCAGAATCAGCGGCTGTTGCTCCTCGGCCATTTCCTCGCCCGGCGAGATCTCGTAGACGACGCAGAGGGACGAATACAGGCAGCCGACAAAGGAGACCACGCTGGAAAAGTACATCACCCCGTTGGCGCTGCCCACGGCAGCTGTCAAAGGCCCCATCACTATGGAGACGAGGATCTGCGCCAGGAAATACTGGCAGCTCAGGAGGGAAATGTCCACCCCCATGCCTCTTTTGGTGCCATCTTCATTCGATCCCGCGAACTGTTCAAGGGACAGGGGGGAAAAGCCTGGTTGGAAAACGGTTTCTGGCACCCCTTGGGAGTGGTGGGACGGAAGGCAGGGAGGCCAGCCATTTTGGAGGGCCGCAGGTTCCCCCTCCTTCCTCTACGTCCCTCGACCCACAGTGGCAAGTAGATTTTTGATACCCGTGAGATGGACCCCCCCCCAAAAAAATAATATGTTGCGGGCTGCCAAACCCGAGGCTCACCTTTTTACTCTGGTAGTAGTCGCACAGCAGCGAGTACGGAAGCGTGCAGAGTGTCGAAAACAAAATGCCATAAGTTACGCACAGCGATAAAATGACATAGACGTTCCGCGACAGCGTCGCCAGTCCTGTGCCAAGCCCGAAGGCGAGGTAGGCTATAAAATACAGCGTGCGGATGCTGAAATATTCCTCCAGTTTTTCCAGGGAGGCTGTGGAATGAAAAGGAAGGATGTTGACTATTCTCTTGAGCAAATCCGGTGCGTTTTGCTGTGCCCGAGGGGCAACTCAGGTTATTGTATTTTAGCGTTCTGTTGGAAGCCGCCCACCCAGAGTGGCTGGGGAAACCCAACCAGATGGGCGGGGTATAAATAATAAATTATTATTATTATTATTATTATTATTTAACTTCAACGCTGGGGGGTGGGGGCAGGGGGATGTGGGAGACGCACTAGAAGTTGTGAGGGTCCAACTTTCATCACCCTCAGCCAGTAATACTAACGTTCAGTAATGATGGGAGTTGTTGGTCAGCAATATCCAACATCCCCTCTCCTTTAAACATTCATCTGTTTTGGCTTTTCCTCTACAGTGCTCTCAAGACAGAGGCTGGATGGTCACCTGTCATATATGATAGAGATTCTTCCATTGCAGGGCCTACGTGATCCTCTGGGTCCCTTCCAACTCTAATAATAATAATAATAATAATAATAATAATAAATTTTATTTATATCCCGCCCTCCCCAGCCAAAGCCAGGCTCAGGGCGGCTAACAACAATCAAATAATCAAACAATCAAATAATCCAACATTCTAAAACATCTCATTATAAAAATTAATTAAAATCAAATCAATGGCAACCGTTAAGCAAAGTTCTGTGCAGGTTGCCAGAGGAGGGAGTCAGGCTGGGCCCTGACCAAAGGCCTGGTGGAACAACTCTGTCTTGCAGGCCTTGCGGAAAGATGTCAGGTCCCGCAGGGCCCTAGTCTCTTGTGACAGAGCGTTCCACCAGATTGGAGCCGCAGCCGAGAAAGCCCTGGCTCTAGTTGAGGCCAGCCTAACCTCTCTGAGGCCTGGGACCTTCAGGATGTTTTTATTTGCAGACCGTAGGTTCCTCTGTGGGGCATACCAGGAGAGGCGGCGAATCCTACGATTCAAAACTGCTGCTATTTACATGCGTGTTGGACAGCAGCCTGCCATAACAGTGAGTGGGGAATACAGATGTTGCTTTCAAACATGGGGTGATTGGAGCTGGAGCCCAGCAACATCTGGGGGGCACAGTTCCCCCAGCCCTGCCATCGTGTGGAAGAAATCATTGTTTTGGTGTGGCAGCACCCACCCTTTGGAACTCCCTGCCTATTGACAGAAGTGGAGAGTGGCAAAGCTGGGCTTGCAGCAGCAGGGCACAGAGAGAGGTGGCAGGGTGGCATGGGCAAGTTGCAAAGGTTTGGCAAGAAGAAAGGGGGATGCTTGCCGAATACTCTCCCCAGGAAGGCACGCCTGGGGCCATCTTTCATTCTAAGCTCAGCGGAGTGTCTTTGGTAAGGAGTAAGGGGAGGGGGAGGGACGCAGGTGGCGCTGTGGGTTAAACCACAGAGCCTAGGACTTGCCAATCAGAAGGTTGGCAGTTCAAATCCCTGTGACGGGGTGAGCTCCCGTTGCTCAGTCCCTGCTCCTGCCAACCTAGCAGTTCGAAAGCACGTCAAAGTGTAAGTAGATAAATAGGTACCGCTCTGGCGGGAAGGTAAACGGTGTTTCCGTGTGCTGCTCTGGTTTGCCAGAAGCGGCTTAGTCATGCTGGCCACATGACTCTGAAACTGTACGCCGGCTCCCTTGGCCAATAAAGCGAGATGAGCGCTGCAACCCTAGAGTCGGTCACGACTGGACCTAATGGTCAGGGGTCCCTTTACCTTAAGGGGAGGGGGGCTGTGGGCAGGGGGTTCAGGGGTGGGTGGGAAGGGCAAATTGAGTAGGAGCATCAGCCCCATGTGTTTATGCATTCACATACATGAATGTGCGCAGATGTTACGCAAAGCCATGGCGATGTCCAAAACTAGACAGCATGTGCCCTGCAAAAAAAGCGCTCCATGGCAAAGGCCGGAGAGGTCTTGTACCTGAATAGAAGGCGGCGCTGAACGCATAGATACACATGCCCCAGCAGCCCATGGTGACTCCAGCGTTGTACTTCTGATACTCTGCAGAATCGTGAGGGGCTTTGGGGTCCCCTTGGAAGACCACCTCCCCCATGAAGTCAGTATAGAACAAGAGCATCCCTTCGAAGGAGAGCCAGCCTGGGGGAGGAATCGGAAGACAGTGAGGGAGGCGGCATGGTTTGGAAGGCGAGAAAATCAAGCAGCGGTTATGCAAGGCAGCCTGCTTCCAAGGACATGGCAACCCTGGGGCTATATAGAGAAGCAATGATTTGTATAATTTTTTAAAAAAATTGATTGAGTAACCCTTGCAGAAAGACAGCCTCTGCTGCATGACGCTCTTTGACATCTGCCCTGAAGTTTTTCTGATGGCACCACTACTGTTTGACTTGCAGTCTTACCCATTCCACAATGCTAGCACTGTTGTTGACATTTGCTGATTGATAATATAGCCTCTACTATGAATTAGGTACCAGGTTGCATCCCTAAGGTTCTCCCCACTAGTTCGAAATTGCAAAGCCAAAAAGGCTGTAGATTTTTTTTAACCTTCAGCTCTTTTGTGTGTTCCTCTCTCTTCCATGCTGTCCGGGAAGTGGCTTTTCCAGAACAATCAAGACAGCATGCTTAAACTAAAACAGCCAGTGTCACGCGTCCAACAAATAACTGTGAAAGTGGCAAATAATAATTTGAATGGGATGCAAATAAAAACCAACAAAAAGATAAAGGAGAAACTCAGCTCAGTACACATTTGAAGATGGATCTGCCAAATTATCACTTCCTTAAATAATATGCGAGCCAAAACACAACTATCCTTCAAAATTCGTACTTATCCACATTCTGCATTGCAGTTCTCACAACAATATATACAGACATGCACATATTATGGGAAAGTGTGCATTTAAAGATGTGTCCATTTTTTAAAAAATCATTATTTGAATGCAAATAGCTGCAAAAACTGGAGAACTGAATTTAAGATTGGGGAAAAAATAAGGAACTGAGAGAATCAAAATGGACAGAGCCTCCCATCCCTGTGCTGACAGTTTCAGGTGCCCAGAAAAAGTATTTTGTCCACTACGGGTAATAGGTTTAAAAACACATACAGACAGACACATTTTATCCAGTAGCTCTGTTTGGTAGCAGTCAGCCAAAATCGGGACCTCATCTTGGGCAAATGTTGAAGACCAGCAAGTGGTCCTGCAAAACCACTGCTTTGGAGGCATTGTGAAGTCTTGGGACCACAAATGTGCAAATATAGGCAAAGCAGGAACAACTCACAGGTTTACCTAGGAAGTGATTGATGCAGAGGTTCCTCAAGGGTTTGGGCATCCGGCAGATGGTCGAGCAAAGGAGCTTCATTGAAAGTGGCTGCTCAGACAGTTCGCTCGATCCGTTCAATTCGCTCTCGTACTTGACCCCGTTCAGCAAAATGTTTGCTACCTGCACCGCAAAGAGGATGCCCTGATCGGCATTCAAAAACATACAAGCAACATGGAACGGGAGCTAAGCAGGAAGAGCAAAAAGTCTCTGGCATAGCTCCGGAGTAAGATATTCCTCCTCATCTGCTCATCTTTTTTCCAGATTTGATTTACAGTGATGTTTCCCCAGTAAAATGCACTTGTGCCCCCAGTGTGTCTGCGTGGCAAGTGCTGTTGAGCTTCTCAGGGATACGGTACCCTTAATTAGAAACTTCCTCCATCCACCTTTGGCTTTCAGTGGCTTTCTGTGCAGCTCAGGCCAGCGTTAACTGATGAATTGCCCCTTTATTACCCCATAACTGTCAGTTCCTGTTCCCCACAAGGACAAAACATTTCTTTGCAGGTTCCCTCTCGAGAACAAGAATAATGGAGGAAATCAGTGGTCAAAGCTCCACCCTATGGAGCAGGATTTAACTTATTAAGGATAAGAGAGGAGGTTGATTAAACAGCTGAACCAATCTGGAAACCATTATAGACAGAATCAGCAAGAAGGAAGCTTCTAATTCAAGTTGCAGGGGCCTTTTGCTGAACTTGACTACTAAATAATCATTTTCACCACTCACCTGTTGGCTGAAGGTTACATTCCTTCTCCTACTGCTCTCGGGGAGATTCCCTGTGATAATATCCGGGATGGCTAAAGTCTGCGGTCTTTTCAGGATTCCCGACGACCGTGGTTTTATCGCGTCCAGGGAACCCACCCTCAGGCAGTCTCCCTCTGGCCCAAGCACCCCGACGTTCTCTCCTGCTTCCAAGGCGGCACTTTCGTGGCAGTGGAATCCTTCGGGGGCCCTAGGGAGGCTGACGCTTATGCCCTGCCGGGGCAAGCTAGCCGGGATGCTCAAGTAGCCATCATGCCCTGCCGTGAAGCAGTCGATGAGCACGCTGTCGATATTCGAGGTCCCGAAAGATGAGGCGAATTCACTCAGCCCCGTCAAGGAGTTGTCCCGGCTGATGAGGCTGCCGTACTTGGGCGTGAGCGGGCTGAGTGGGGAAATGGGGCTCGTGAAACTGGCGTACAAACGGACGGGGTTCTGGGCCGCGAGGTTTTCGCTCCCGCAGTCCTCGAAGAGAAGGGGCGGCGAAGGAGGAAGAGGGAAGTTAGGGCTCTTCATCACCTTCTTCAGCTTGCTGAAAGACTGCAAGGGCCTTTCAGGAATACTGACCAAAGTCAAGGCAGTCGCTAGCGTCAGCGTGATTGAGGTAAAAATGTAAATGACCCGGAGCTGGCCCCCTATCGCCCTGCCGAAGCCAGTATGGTCCCAGTTGATTCCTCCCACAACGTAGCCAAAGCCACCTCCGAGACCTGCCAAGAGGGCAGAGGAACAAAGTTGAAATCGCCTCTCACAGGCGCTTACGAAGCTGCCTTATGACAGTTCAGGCCATTGGTCCATTTAGCTCAGTATTGCCTACACTGTCAGGCAGCAGCTCTCCAGGCTTTCAAACAGGGGGTGGACTGGATGACCTGTTAGATCACTTCCAGTGCTATGATTCCATGATTCTAGAGTTCTCTCACAGCCCTATCTGGAGATGCATGCGGAGAGGCAGCGTGGTTTAGTGGTTAGTGTTTCGGACTAGGACCTGGAGACTGGGTCATGCAGTCTCCTTCACAGGGTTGTTGTCAGGATAATATGGATGGGGGAGAACTATAGATACCACCTTTAGATCCTTGGAGGAGAGGTGGGGTATAAATGTAACACATAAATGCCCAGAGACTTAAGAGGCTGAGCTACGATGAATCATAAAATTGCCCAGCTCAGGTATTACCTCTGACATGAATATGCCTTGGTGTCCTTAGACCCACATTTTCTCCCTCTTAGCTTTATCTGCCCATCTGATAATGCATAATAATGCAGACCTATCTTTCAGTGTTGCTGTAAGCAGTGCTTTTTTTCTTTTCTGGGGGTACGCATACCCCTAAACATTTTGAGAATCTAAGTCTGGCCTCATTGTGGGGCAGTATTTCAAATGAGTAGGAAAATGAGAGTACCCCGAAACATTTGTTTAGAAAAAAAGCACTGGGTATAAGGATTATTTAAATGCTCAAGGCAGCATACATGGTTCTACACACACGCAACCACCTGTGAGGTAGGCTCAGCTCAGAGATACCAGCAGACCCAAGGGTACCAAGTGAATTTCATGGTTAAGTGTGGATTTGAACCCCGATCTCCCATACGCTATACTGGCTCACACTTTACAGCAGAATAATATGTGTTATGTCTAAAATCACCAACTACGTTTAAGAGCTTGTCCTCCAGTTTGCTTTTTCCTCCTCCCTCCCATTCCCTTTTTCCTTGCTTGCTGTGATATTTCAGTTTGTGAACCCGAGGGGCAGAACTGTCTCAGCAGCCGCTCTGGGTGTCTTTTCAGCTAGAGGGCCAGGTCTAAATGCTGAAAATGAGCAAATGCCCAACACTGCCATTGCCGATATGCCGAAAACCTCACCAGCTAGCAGCGCATGCATGTTGAGTCCTCGGTCCTGATCCGACGGGCTGCACACGTCCATCATGTAGGCGTGGCTGGGGTTGTCCGCAGAGTCGGCACAGAAGTCCATCAGAATGACTCCGCAGATGGTGAACGCAATTCCCCACTTGTGGTCACTCACAGTGTCGGTCAAGGCCGTGCCCATATCCCTGCCGTTCAGCATCAGCGAAAGGCCCAACAATGCCCCTGAGGAGGAAGGGGAACCAAATCAAGGCAGTCAGAAAACAGCAAAGAATGCTCGGGTTCAAGTTGGTACTTTTTCATGAGCCACAGATTGGTTGTGTTCCCTTCTAGGCAACTTTCCAAGGGTCACATGTCAGTGGCAGACGGAACAACGGTTGTAAATGTTGCCTTGGGTCTGGAAACCAAGCCTTATGAAGAGCAGTTGAGGGAGTTGGGTGTGTTTAGCCTGGAGAAGAGACTGAGAGGTGACACAAGAGCCTTTGCCATGGACTGGTTGGTAGCAGAGGAAGGGTGGGAGGAACCAGCTGTGGAACCGCCAAGGGAAGAAGGCTCAGAGCCCAGGGATTGGTGGGGGGACAAGGGAAGGTGGTCAGAGGGAGACAAGGGAGAAGACTGGGAGGAGGAGGCGTTGGAAGCCAAAGTGGTAACAGGGCTTTGTGAGCGGGGAGAGTCTGTGGCAGAGAGAAGGCCAGAATTGGAAGCTGAAGCAGGTGAGTGAGAGGAGAGAGGCCAAGAGACAGAGAGGAATCAGGTTGGTGAAGAAGCACAGGTGTCTCTCCCTCCTGCTGTGACAAGCTCCCTTCCCTGCTGGTCTCCTAAGAACCAGAAGAGGCATGAAAAGGGAGGAGAAGAGGTTGGCTGCACGCCGGCGCGGTCTCCGATTGCTTGGGGAAAACCCCGAGAAGGCGGGGAATTTCAGTCTCGGCAACTGATTTTCATGGAGGAAGAACACTAGGCATGAGCTGCTGTATTCATTAGGCCTAAGACTCAAGTCTGTGCAGATAGTGTTTTTGCTAAGAAATAGTGAAGTCCAACTTTAAACTGCATGATTACCTGTGAGAGCCATCTTCAGTTATCTGAAAAGGGCTGTCATGTGGAAGATGGAGCAAGCTTGTTTTCTGCTGCTCCGGAGGGTAGGACTTGAACCAAGGGATTCAAATGAGATTCTGATTAAACATTAGGAAGAACTTTCTGACATTAAGAGATGTTCGACCGTGGAATGGACTCCTTTGGAAGGAGCTGGTCTCTCCATCATTGGAGGTTTTTAATCAGAGGTTGGCTGGCCATCTGCTGTCGGGGTTCTTTAGCTGTGATTCCTGCATTGCAATAACTTGGACTAGTTTACCCTTGGGGGTCCCTTCCAAAGGTATAAATCTGTGATTCTACCTTTGTACAACAGATTAGTTTCTGCTCATGCTCACACACCCCTCTGTCTCCCATGCAGGCAAGCAAGAGTCAGCAGAGTTCAAGGAGACATACCAGCCGGGGTAGTGGGGGAATAGTCACAAAGCACTTCACGCACTGCAACATTCTGCTGCAGTTCCCACTTGTTTTGACCTAGAACAGAAACGTATCTACAACTATGTGTAAGTAAATTCCGATATGCAGTGACTGGGAATTACATGGTGCCAGAATGAGGGGGACAGGGGGGCAAGGAGGCAAAGAAAAGGACAACACGGATGCACTCTAAGGGTAGGTCTGGAAGGCATGAGAAGAGAAGAGGGCATCTATTTACCAATTGCCAGGACCAGGATGAAGGGTCTCCTCCGTCCAAAAGGTGAGGTGCACCTGTCGCTCCAGGCGCCCAGCAGGGGCTGCAGCAGGAAACCTGGAAGAGAGAAGAAGGGAGACGGGTCATTCCCCCATATGTGGTGGAAATGTAAAAAAAAAAAGGGGGGAAAGCTAAAGGCTTTTGGGAAATGATATATAATGAAATGAAGAAAATGTTTAAATGGGTTATTGCCAAAAGACCAGAAGCTTTCCTTGCAGGTATAATAGGGACAGAAGTTCCAAAGAAGATGACTAAACTATTTATGTATGTAAAAACCGCAGCTAGAATATTATATGCACAGAGATGAAAAGAAGAGAAGGTTCCGACGAAGGAGGAATGGCTTCTAAAATAATAATAATAATAATAATAATAATAATAATAATAATAATAATAATAATAAATTTATTTATACCCTGCCCATCCGGCTGGGTTTCCCCAGCCACTCCGGGCGGCTTCCAACAAAAGATTAAAATACAATAATTCATCAAATATTAAAAACTTCCCTAAACAGGGCTGCCTTCAGATGCAGAAATGGCAAGGCTGACAGCAAAATTTAAAGATAAAAATGACAAACTTTTCACAGAAGAATGGAGGCCTTTTGGGAACAATTTTTTTAAAATAAAATAAAAAATAAACCACCATGGTCAAATAAAATCATCAGCAGGATTCGAGATAAAAGCAGCAGAAGGAAAATGCCAAGGTAACAGTAAATGGAGAAACTTTTAGTAATAAAGATATAATACAGTGGAAAATGTTTCAGTGGAAACACTGTGGAAGTGGGGATTTATGAAACAATGTAATTACTGGGTATAGAGTTTATTGTGAAAATGTTTGAAAATTTCAATAAAAAATTATATTGCCCCCCCCCCCAAAAAGAGTTGGAAATAAGAGTGTCATTCAGCACTTTCTGACCAGGGAGAGCAAGACAGAGGTCTCAGATAAAGGCTAATCTGTGTCGGGCTGTACCAGTTCAGCCTGTGACTGGGAACCAGCAGAAGGGGATTGCCCTTAGGAACATCGCAAGTCCATGCAACCAAGCCCTGCTCAGAGCAGACCCATCAGAATGAATGGCACTGAGCTAGCTGCCCCCGTTGACTTCAATGGACTGTCAACTGAGTAGGACTAGCGTTGGGACACAACCCGGCCATGGTTCGCTTTGCCAAGTCCCACCAGTTCCCAGAGCAGTTAAGCTCGCTTCCTGAGGATCGGGGCCCCAGCGCTCACCCAATATTGGGCTGATGAACCAGACCATTCCGTACAGCTGATCCGGCAAGCCCATCTGGAGCAAGACAGGCGTCACGTAGGCGGTCTCCATGGCGTAGCTGAACTCGATCCCGAAGAGAATGCACCCATTGAACAACAGTTCCCAGAAGGACCTTTGCGGGTGGATCTCGCCAAAGTGGACCTGGTCGATGGGGCAAGGGGTGTTGGGTGGCGGGGGAGGGGAAGGCCGGATGTGTTTCCTCCTCTTTGGGTGCCGCTTGAAGTTGTTGGCCCGGTGGCTGATGTGGCGAGTGACGGATCCTGCATACCCTGCCACCTGGGACCTCCACAGTTCCTGAGACGACAACGTGGGGAAGAGGGCGTCGCTAGAAGGGCTTGCCGTGGTGGGAGGAATCATCGTGGATTTTGCCTGCGAAGAAAAACCGGCGCTTTACTTATTATTTGCAATGTTTATCAGCTGCTCTAAATCAGACAGGCTTGCAATACAGAGTGGTAGTTTCAGCTGCACATATCTGCCTTCCTGCAGAGCAAGGGGTTGGACTAGATGACAAGTGGGGATCCATCCCAAGTCTACAGGTGGGGTTGGGGGGGTTGTTTTGTTTTGGGTGGGGGTATTCTGCAACGTGGCATCCAAACCATACTTTTAAAGCACGTTGGGTCACAGTCAACAAAACAGCTGCGCTAGCTTTGAGCCAGCACAGTGAGTTCCTCTAGTGCAAAGTTACCCAAACTTGGGTCTCCAGCTGGTTTTGGACTACAGTTCCCATCATCCTGTGGGAATGTTGAGGATAGTAGGAGAGGATATATTGGTTAGTATTATCTTTCCTCACTCTCACTAGTGAGATAGTAGCAGGGCACATTCCCTTGTACATAGCAGGAAGCTAGTTGATAGATCCATTAGAACCTTTTGAGTTAAACAATCCAGTCTGGCTTGTCCAGATTCGATTGTTCCTGGTAAATTCCCTCTGTTCCCTCTTAGAAACAATACAGTTGTACCTTGGATTACATACGCTTCAGGTTACAGATGCTTCAGGTTACAGACTCCGCTAACCCAGAAATAGTACCTCGGGTTAAGAACTTTGCTTCAGGATGAGAACAGAAATCGCACAGCGGCAGCGAGAGGCCCCATTAGCTAAAGTGGTGCTTCAGGTTAAGAACAGTTTCAGGTTAAGAACGGACCTCCAGAAAAGATTAAGTTCTTAACCCGAGGTACCACTGTAATGGCACAACAGTCCTCTTTTCTAAAGTACAGTGGTACCTCGGGTTACAGACGCTTCAGGTTACAGACTGCGCTAACCCAGAAATAGTACCTCAGGTTAAGAACTTTGCTTCAGGATGAGAACTGAAATTGTGCAGTGGCGGAACAGAGGCAGGGGGAGGCCCCATTAGCTAAAGTGGTACCTCGGGTTAAGAACAGTTTCAGGTTAAGAACGGACCTCCAGAAAAGATTAAGTTCTTAACCTGAGGTACCACTGTAATGATAAGGTTTACTTACATTCAGTTCACAGTATGATCCTGAAGGCAGGCTTTAGCTTTTAGTTACAGTTACAGAGAAATGTGTGGTTCATCCTCTTGTGAGGGATGAGCCTGTGTGCTGCTGACTGAGAGCCAGCTCACAGCAAAAGAGCATATCAAGAGAGAAGGGCGAAAAAGGGAAGATGGCTGCGTGACCAGCCCTTTTATGGGGTCTGCCAGGGTCACGCCCATCTACTTGGTCACACACACAGGGGGAGAGGATGTTCCAGACCAGGTGTGACAGGAAGTCCTCCTGGCTGGAGCAACATTCCCCTGTGTGTCCACTCTGGGAAAACAGGAAATGTTGTATTTGGCTGCTTTTGTGATGTTACATCCCACATATCCCTGGCCACAGGTGCTGCTAGCCAGGGATGCTGGGAGTTGTAGTCCAAAAAAAGCTGGAGACACAAGTTGGGGAAACCCTGCAATGGAGCTTTCTCCCGCTCTCCTTGCCTGCATGTCCCCCCACATCCCTGCCCTAATTCAGTTCTGTGGGGTCAGGAGAATCCCCCAAAGCAGAACTCAGGGGGAGTAGAGGGGGAAATGCTTGCACTGACAGAGTGCTGTTGAATTCTGCCCATTGCTTCTGCCAAGGAATTCTGGGAACTGTCGGGAGTGGTAAACTGGATCCCCCAGGATCCTTTGGGGGAAGCCAAGCACTCAAGAAGAAGAAGAGTTTGGATTTGATATCCCGCTTTATCACTACCCAAAGGAGTCTCAAAGCAGCTAACATTCTCCTTTCCCGTCCTCCCCCACAACAAACACTCTGTGAGCTGAGTGAGGCTGAGAGACTTCAGAGAGGTGTGACTAGCCCTAGGTCACCCAGCAGCTGCATGTGGAGGAGCGGAGACACAAACCCGGTTCCCCAGATTACGAGTCTACCGCTCTTAACCACTACACCACACTGGCTCATATACTCAAGTGTATGGTGCAGATGTGACCTACGAAGCAACGATCGTGCACTGGTGGTGGCTTTTCTACTGGTTCGCCCACACATCATTAAACTTTGTTCATCGTTCTGCAATGCTTCATCAAATGATTCCGGGGCTGTGTGCAAAAAGTGTGAATGGAATTAATTCACAGAGATACAACCGCATGTCAGCTAAGCATGATAAAATACACAACACCATTTTATCAAGCCCTTCCCCCAAATACCTCAAGGCAGCTTCCGTTTAATGCCCACAACAGCCCTGTGAGGTAGGTCAGTCTGAGAGATAAGTTACTGGCCCCAAGTCACCCAGTGGCTGAGTGGGAATTTGAACCTGGGTCTTCCCAGTCCTAGTCTCATAAACTCATCATTGTACTCCACTACATTATGCTCAGTCTCTCCTCTTTACAAAACATTACCTGGAATAAATTCTTGACGGTAACATATTTTTAATAATAATAATAATAATTGTACTCTTAACATTCATCAGTTTGTTATCCCAACACCTTTTCACTCATTGATTAGAAGACTGGAAAACCGGGGCAGATTTACTGGGCAACCAGCTGGAATATAGCCCATATATTTCTCTTTTTTATTTTTTTGCCTTCTACCTCTGCAACCAAAGGGACTAGAAACTTAACAAAAATAAAACTGAAAATTCATATTCACTGATATATCTGGGACCAAAAGGAAAGAAACTTAACGGGGGGGGGGGGGAGTAAGCCTGAAAATCAATTTTCCCTTCTATCTCCGGATCCAAAAGAGTAGAAACTTAAAAAAAAAAAAGCTTAAGATTCACGAAAAGAGCCCTGAGTATAAATATGTAGTCTAGACACCCTCATAGGCTAAGGCTCAGTCTAGTGGATTATTCTAATCTGGGGGATAAAACCCTCAGTCACGGCCGTTCTCTCTCTGTGAAAGTCCACAGCACACCTAAAAATTCCACCACATTTCCCTCTCTTAACCACCATCATTCAAACACCCCCCTCCCTCCATCCCTCTTGGAGCTAAAACAGGCAGGTAAGGCGGAGCCCACCCCTTCTCCTTTAGCAAGGAGGGCCTGGTCTCAAAGATCTTAGGAAGCAGGCTGGCAATGATTCAGTAGGAAATGTATTTACCTGTATTAGGATAGATGGTGGAGCATCCTTCCAATAATAATAATAATTAAAAATAATATTTACAAGAATGCCTGCAGTTTTCCCCGGGATCCTTGGACTGACGGCGGCAGGCTCGCTCTCCGTCCTCTCTCTCTCTCTCTCCTCCCGCCCCCCTGCACTAGGATCCTGCGTTTCTGGCTGGGGAGGAGGCTGGGTGATGTCACTGTGTCTCCTGCCCTGCCTTTCCCCCAGCCCTGCAGAAACGCATCCGCCTTCTCTCCACCTCGTCCACCCCGTGCCTTAAAGAGGCAGGAGCCTGGGATACGATTCAGCATCCTGCTGCACTGGTACCCAACGGCGGAGGGCAGGAAATGGATTGGTTGAAAGACGGGAGGGGAGGCGCGCGCGACACACACACACACACACGCACACACAGAGAGAGAGAGAGAGAGAGAGAGAGAGAGAGAGAGAGAGAGAGAGAGAGATTGAAACACACACACGGAAAAGTCTCTGCTGAGGGAGGATCCAGATTCAGGTATGCTTTGGAGAGCACGGAAGGTGTTTGCTGAGAACTGGGTACAGAGGCAATCGCTGGATTGTATCCCTACATAACCCTTTTTCTAAAAAAGAAAAGAAAAGAAAAGTTTGGATTCTGTTGACTCCAGAATCAGTGCCAGATTTGCGTATAAGCTAAACAAGCTATAGCTTAGGGCCCCATTCTCTTGGGGGCCCCCAAAAAAATTAAAGGAAGAAAAAACCTAGAGGTACTTTTCCAAAATATAAGATTAAAAAAAGAAATAAAATAAAACCTACATACAGCAACAGTGTTTTGTGTTGTGTAGACTCTTGAGAGTCCCATGGACTGCAAGAAGATCAAACTTATCCATTCTTAGGGAAATCAGCCCTGAGTGCTCACTGGAAGGACAGATCGTGAAGCTGAGGCTCCAATACTTTGGCCACCTCATGAGAAGGGAAGACTCCCTGGAAAAGACTCTGATGTTGGGAAAGATGGAGGGTACAAGGAGAAGGGGATGACAGAGAACAAGATGGTTAGACAGTGTTCTCGAAGCTACAAAGAGTCGGACATGACTAAATGACTAAACAACAAGCCTCCTTTGCTTTTAATATAACTTTATTAATTTAAAATAAATACATTTATGAAAAACAGGCATACATACAAGTAAACAAACATACAAACAAACAAACAAACAAACAAATAACAGAAAAATCAAACAAACCACCACACTATAAGATATAAGAAGATTAATATAATACAGTGAGATTAATTGGAAGTCAATTTTAAATTTCTTCTCTATAAATTTTGTAATTGTGTTCAATACAAGGAGTATATATGATGATAATTATAATTATACAACAACAAGGCTCCTATGATGTAAGTAATGGGCCCTGCCTGCTAGCCTGCTCCCTAAAATATCACTATTAATATACTTCTTAATTGTATTTCAGTTCAACAATTGATAAAATACATATTTCGTTATGTGCAAATGGCTTTAGATACCTGTTAGGTCCATAAAATACCATATAGCATATATTCAACAGAAAAAAACAGCGACAATTTGTTGTTGACAAAGGACAGCTGGACATATAAAGGGCCCCATTACCTTCAGTACCTTTGGGCCTCATCAAACCTAAATCCAGGCCTGTCCAGATTGATGATGAGGAAGAGCTGTAGCCCAGTGGCAGAGCATCATCTGAAGGTCCCAGGTTTAAGCACCTTCTGGCGTCTTCAGGTAAGTCTAGGAGAGGCCCCTGCCTGAAATCCTGGGCAGTTGCTGCCAAGTCAGGTTGGCAATACTGAGCTAGATGAATCAATGGTCTGACTCAGTGTGATGCAGCTTCCTGTGTTCCTATTATACAGCCCCGCATCCATATGGGGGCTGCCTCATCCTGAAAAGTTTTACCAGGTGACTCGGAATGTATGCTCCTTTTCCATAACAAACTGTGCCAAAAAAGAGTCTCACAAATAAATTTTTAAAACCCTTTCCTATCAAAATGCGTAGCATAGCTGGGGGGGGGGGGAGCTGCATCCCCATAAGACAAAATCAACAATTGAATAACTGTAGAACAAATTCTACATCACCTTGCCAACAAAGGTCCGTATAGTAAATGCTATGGTTTTCCCAGTAGTGATGTATGGAAGTGAGAGCTGGACCATAAAGAAGGCTGATCGCCGAAGAATTGATGCTTTTGAATTATGGTGCTGGAGGAGACTCTTGAGAGTCCCATGGACTGCAAGAAGATCAAACCTATCCATTCCTAAGGAAATCAGCCCTGAGTGCTCACTGAAAGGACAGATCCTGAAGCTGAGGCTCCAATACTTTGGCCACCTCATGAGAAGAGAAGACTCCCTGGAAAAGACTCTGATGTTGGGAAAGATGGAGGGCACAAGGAGAAGGGGACGACAGAGGACGAGATGGTTGGATAGTGTTCTTGAAGCTACCAGCATGAGTTTGACTAAACTGCAGGAGGCAGTGGAAGACAGGAATGCCTGGCGTGCTCTGGTCCATGGGGTCACGAAGAGTCGGACACGACTAAACGACTAAAGAACAACAACAACAACAGAACAAATTCAGTAGGATAGTGAAGTAATCCAGATTAAGCACGTAGGTGGCAAATGTGACATGAAGGCTGGCAACCTGAACCCCGGTGTAGCCACTTGCAGATGATCTCGAAGTGCCTGGAGACAGCCTGGTCGTGCAGCTAACGCAGCAGTTTGACTTCGCCAGCAAAAATGCATGTTCTTTCCATTTCCACAAGGGGGAACATGCTGGCTTTTACCAGCTTTCCTCCCAAAGTCCTTTCCACTTAGATCTGCTGGTCACCTTCTGGTCTACTGGTTCCAAGAAGAAAAGTGTGGTGTGTGTGTGTGATGTTGAGAAGGAAAATTCCTAGCTGAGCGTGGAATGGAGATCCCGGGCATGGCAGTGGCAACAGACACCCTGGTGATGGGACTGGGAGGGCTGGGCTTTTTGCTTCTCGTTCTGGGTGCCGGAGCAGATTGCTGGAGGGTAAGAAACAAATTAAAAGGACTTTAAAGCTGGGAAGGGGGCGGGATGGGGGGGTGGAATCAAAATCTGTGTTGTGCCAAACACCTGCCCTTTGGTTTCATAGGTTGTTTTCATTTTTTCCTGCTTCATCTGTGGGTAGGGATGCACAAACCTGTCTGATTTCAGTTTCCAAAGGCAAACTTCAAGTTCCGAAATGAGATGTTAAGTGCAATGTAGCCAACCTTTGCGCTTCTTCGGATTTTGCAGGGCTGTTCTCCTCCACGCAATGTGTAGATAGTGTACACTGGATCGCAACCTGTAGAAGTCCAAAGCACTGACAAGATTATGGTGCCTCCCCCCCCATGTGCAATTAAAAATAAAAACAATACTGAACCATAGAATAAAATTGTACTATTCGTAATGACACAGAACTCACATGTATGCTGAAATGCACATGCATGTATGTCATTTGTGACACCCGACAGGATCTGATTTCCTCGCATTAGTTTGATCTGCGTTAGGAGGAACACTCCCTGGCTTAGGTGGAGATAAGTAATAAAAAGAGAACAGGAATAATGAGGGGTATTTGTAGTGGAGGGTAAGGAAGTCTAACAAAGTTCTGATTTTCCCCATAATGATTACTTAGAAGCTTTTAAAAAAAAATTATTATTTTATTTTATTACTATTATGTATTTATATTATTATTATTTTGGAAATCTCAAATGTTAAATGACTTCCCAAAAGAAATATATATTTGTGTGTGTGTGTGTGTGTGTGTGTGTGTGTGTGTGCGTGCGCGCACCCCTGCTTTGCTGGTACCTGAAATGTGCTGAATCAGTCCATTGGGCAATCTAGCACTGTGTGCTACAAGATGAAGACACAAAGTCCTTCTGGGAAATTCTTCACCTTGGATCAGCTTCAGAGACATTCACTCATCCCAGCATACAAAATTTTCTTGGTCCCCCTTTCCCTCTCTGAAGAAATTGAAAACTTGCTTGATAGAAGAACTGGAGGGGTGCTTGGCTTGTGCTGTTGTCAAACCCAAGGCCTGGTTGCCATAGCAACGTTAAGCTCTGGGGAAAATACACCGCAGCGGCGAGGGCCGGTGTACTCCTGGAAAGGTCAAACCTGCTTCTGGTGACTTTGATAAAGAGGGGCCAGTGCCCCCAGCTTTGCCCTCACTGGGTAAACACTGGCCACTGGAGCCATCGCCGCTTCTTCCTTTCTTCGTTGCTGAACCCTCTCCGGGTGTTGGATGCACAGGAGCCTGCTCTGTCAAACATATTTGCTAATATTTATAAAAGTGAGCTGCCTGTGTATGTGAAAGATACAGACGGACAGACAGACAGAAGAGAGAGTGTGGGTTGTGAGGATGAGAGTGCCTGAGACACAGGACAGTCAGAACATGATAACATAAGAACCTACTGGATCTGGCCAATAGCCCATATAGCCCAGCCATGGTGGTAGAACACAGCCACCATGGATAGCAGCCATTGATCGTCTTCTCCTCCAGGAGGTTCTCCAATCCTCTTTGAAAGCTATCCAAGTATGGCAGCCACCACTGCCTCCTGCAGGAGCGAGTTCCACAAATTACGTACTGTGTGAAGAAGTTATTCTCAACTGTCCTGGTCTGTGGACCAGCTGAATGGGGTTCATGAACAGCCCGTGGTCTGTGGACCACTGCTTAAGAACCTCAAATTAAAAAAATTGTTCTCAAAGTCTCTCTCCACCCAACCCCCAATCATTCCTCCCCGCTCACCTTCCTTCTTTCTTACAACGAGTCCAGAGTGTAGTCCTGGGTGTCTTCATCTTCCTCCTTAGTCTCAGTGTTGAACTCAAGGGGGGGAATGGGGACAAAACTAGAATGAATTGGCTCTGCCTGCCATGCCCTCTGGCGCCACCTACTGTTGGCCTCCCTTCCTTCTGTCCTACCAGACCTCATGGGCACCAGCCTCCACTGACTACAGTTCCCACCACCCCAGTTCATTAGCCATGCTTGGGGCTGAAGGGTGCTTCAGGGAGTCCAACCACATCTGGACAGCCTCAGGTTCTTTCCATCCTTGAATAGGGGACAAATTCCCTCCTGCCACAATCCTGAGGCTCCAACCAATTGGAGGGGCGGGCAGCCTGGGTACAACTGAGTTAGTCCACCAACACCTTTCTACTCAACTCCATCTCACTTCACGCCACCTGTCTGTACAAAACCCCCAGCGGTGCCTCATTCCTGCACAAAACATTTCTTTCTCTCTTCCCTTCTCTAGCAAGACGCCAAGGACCCCCTGTCTTCAGTGGGGCTGAGTGCCCGGTGCCGGGGGTTGTGGAGCGAGTGTGTGTTTGATAACGTCGCCGACCTCTGGACCTGTGACATCCCGATCTCCTATCTCAGCGAACATCCAGGTAAGGGAAATAAACCAGGTCCACCTGGTTGGAGCAGGTTGCAAAGGTGGACAGGACACACGGGAAGCTGCCCTGTACCATTAGTCCATCTAGCTCAATATTACCAGCACTGGCTGGCAGTGGTTCTCCAAAGTTTCAGACAGCAGTTCCCCCCCAGCCTCACCTGGAGTTTTTCAGGGATTGAACCTGGGATCAGAGGCTCCCAGTCAAAGATGCAGTACTAAGACTCTCAGCTCAGTTATTGCCAGTGGGTTTATTCTATAAGTCACAACAATGGCCCAACATTGGTCAGGTTACAAGGTGTACAAGTCACCAGTCTCCAGGAGGAAATTGCTAAATGTCTGGGAAAATCCAGCCATATGGCAACCCATGTTGGGAGTGAAGTTGCCCACGTTGGGCAAAAGATTCCTACATTGCAGGGGGTTGGACTAGATGGTCCTAGTGGTCCCTTCCAACTCAACAGTTCTATTATTCTAACCCAGAGGAGGTTTTTGAGAGAAAGGGGAGAGATTTTGTTGTTGTTGCTGCCATTATTAAATAACTGAGCATCAGAAACCCCACAGCAAAATTTGCCTGCAGTCTACCATTAAATCTTGATCTCCTTTCAAGGTGCCTTCCATGTTCTAAAATCTTGTTCTCTCTCAATTCTTCACCCCATCCCACCAGCTGTTCTCGTGGTCACTCGGGTTTTGGTGATCCTCTCTGCCTTTCTGACTCTTTCTGCCATACCTCCCTTCATTGCTGGCATGAAATGTACCAAGCTAATGCACGGCAGAGTCCTTCAGAAACAGAAGTTCTCCCTGGCTGCTGGGATCCTGTTCCTCTTAGGAGGTAAGCACAGCCTTGCCTTGTTTCAGGTTGGGGCAGAATAGTACTCGATCTAGACCTTGCCTTCCACAGTCTTGTTTGTAGGGTGCCTCCTTCCTCTTCCTTTTTTACATTAGTCCCACATTAAAGCCTTTAACAGCAGCCAAAAAACCGAGGAACCTTCCAGATTCCCTTTTATTCCGCATATGATTATTTGTGCTCACAGTGGTATTAGGGAGGTTAAACCTGATCCCGCATTTATGACTGTCTGCACCTGCAACTTCTTACAGTCTGAAAAGCTGTAGTGACGAAGCAGTGCAGATTGCTCAAAACAAGTAAATGTAAGTTGAAAGAGAGTACCGTATTTTTTGCTCTATAAGACTCACTTTTTCCCTCCTAAAAAGTAAGGGGAAATGTGTGTGCGTCTTATGGAGCGAATGCAGGCTGTACAGCTATCCCAGAAGCCAGAACAGCAAGAGGGATTGCTGCTTTCACTGCGCAGCGATCCCTCTTGCTGTTCTGGTTTCTGAGATTCAGAATATTTTTTTTCTTGTTTTCCTTCTCCAAAAGCTAGGTGCGTCTTGAGGTCTGGTGCGTCTTATAGAGTGAAAAATACGGTAATATGTGGAAGTATAGGGTTGTCTCCAGCTAAGTCCTACTCAGAGCAGACCCAGGGCCGGATTTAGGTTTGATGAGGCCCTAAGCTAATAAAGGTAATGGGGCCATTTATATGTCCAGCTGTCCTTTGTCAACAACAAATTGTCACTGTTTTTTGTGTTGAATATATGCTATATGGTAATTTATGGACCTTTAAATTTTTTGGAGGGGGCAAGAGAGTGGGGCCCTAAGCTACAGCTTGTTTAGCTTATACATAAATCTGGCACTGAGCAGACCCATTGAACTAAGTTGGTCATGCCCACTATTCAGAGTAGGACTAGCACTGAATAGGACCCTGATTCATAGGATGATGTTCTAGAATATGACGAAGAGATCTTGCCCTTCCAGAATTCAGTGTGACACCAAGGATGGGCATATCTGCCAATTTCGGTTTTTCACAGGCTCTCATTCCCCCCCCCCCCGCCCAATTCTTATGATAAGTTCTACATGTCCACATTGTAGTGCACATTTCTCCTACTATTCACATTTTTTTTTTTACATTTCCAATTTTGCCTAATCCACACTTTCTTTTTGCAGAGCAATTTCCCCCCAATATAATGCATTTGTATGTTTCTCCTTCTTCCCAATATCATATACACTTTTGTAAACATTACTTGGCTCGATCCAGAGAAGCACAAATTTCTAAGGGTGGCTGTATTCATGAATTGTTTTAGAAAGCCAATGTGGTTAAGAGTGTAATGGTTAGAAATGTTGGACTAAGACCTGGGAGACCTGGGTTCAAATCCCTCAGCTCACTGGGTAACCTTGGGCCAGCGACTGTCCTTTAGCCTAAACTACCTCCCAGGGTTGTTCTGAGGATATAATCAGCAGCCGGAGAACAATGTATGCCATCTTAAGCTCCATTGAGGAAAGGTGAGATAGAAATGTAAAAATAAAAATAGGTAGGTTCGCCTTCCAATGCAGATGAAATAAAAATCAACCCCCATCCCTGTATGAGATTGAGGTCAATCTAGTGTCGATCCTACTCAGGATAGACCCATTGAAATTCATGGGCCCAAGTTGGTGTTGTCCATTTATTGCAGTGGTAATAAAAGTTAGCTAGGTGAATACACACCAGCCGAAGGTGTGCACACAGCTTTTTTTTTTTTTTATAAAAAAAAAAAGCTTAAAATTCTATTTATCCTTAGAGGAGATCTTAGAGAACATCTGAAGGCAGCCCTGTTTAGGGAAGCTTTTAATGTTTAATGGACTATTGTATTTTAATATTCTGTTGGAAGCCGCCCAGAGTGGCTGGGGAAACCCAGCCAGATGGGCAGGGTATAAATAATAAATTGTTGTTGTTATCAAGGAAGCCACGGTAGCTGGAAACTCTAATGTGGAATGGTCTCCCTTTCACAGGGCTCTCTGGAGCGGTTGCTTCTCTGTGGTACGGCATCGACACCGTTCAGAAGTATAAGCTTGAGGTAAGTGAGGTAGCCTAAAAGAACATATGAACAGAAGAATCAACTGTAGAGTTGGAAGGGACGTCTAGTACAACCCCCTGCCTTGCCAAAAACTTCTGCCCAACATGGGGCTCAAACCCACCACCCTGAGATTAAGAGTCTTGGGCTCTACCAACTGAGCTGTATGGCAGAAGCTGCCTTATGCCAGAGTCTGCTAGCCCAGTATTGTTGACACTGACTGGCACCAGCTCTCTAGGAAGGGAGTCTTTCCCTGCCCAGCTTGGCGATGGCTAGATTTGAACCTGGGACCTTCCTGCATGCAAAGTAGGCGCTCTACTACACAGTTGTGGCCATTCCCCAATGGGAATGGAGTTTAGTATAGAACGTCTTGGAAGCCACATGGATTCTTTAGGGCGTTCCCCATCCACCTCCTGCCTTGACTGGCTGCAGTTCCCTAGGGTCTCAGCCCTTCCCCAGAAGTACCTGAGATGCCCCAATTTGAACCTGGGGCTTTCTGCCTGCAAAGCCCTACAAGTGAGAATTTTTTTATGGTAATCAACACATGCCTTTAAAATGTGCTGCTCCCCCTGGTTCGATGCCTGCGGTGTGTCCGGGATCGCTCACCATCTCTTTTTTTGTAGTGTTTTTATTGCTTTTCCATTTTCAAAATTTAAACATAATCTTACTATCCACATTGTTTTTTGTTCTTCTGAGCCAAATTGACTTCCCTCCCTCCCGTCTCATGGTTTTCAAAGTTCACCCTTGTATGAACGCTATGATATAAGGGTGAACTTTGAATGGAAGATGCATGATCTTCCATTTTACGTATTTCTCATTCAACTTATCTCCACTTTCAAATAAATATAAAAAGCTAATAACCATTATCATTGCAAGATTTCTTACAACCCTAATAGTGTTGGTAAATGTTTACAATGACCCTTCAAATATTGTACAAATTTACTCCAGCCTTTTAGGAAAGCTTGATCACGCTGGTTTCGGATTTTCCCGGTCAGCTTTGCCAATTCCTCATAGTCCATCGTTTTCATCTGCCACTCTTCAATCATTGGTACTCCTTGTTGCTTCCATTTTTGGGCTTAAAGAGTCCTTGCTGCAGTAGTAGCATACATGAACAATTTATGATTGCGCTTTGGTATTTCTTCACCTACTATACCTAATAAAAATGCTTCCGGGTTTTTTTAAGAAAAGGGATCGCTCACCATCTCAGTTCTCTTTCAGGTTAGCTTGGGCATCCCTGGCGTGACTTACGAGCTTGGCTATTCCTATTGGATGGCTGCCGCGGGCGCCACTTGCACCACTTCCGGTGGTGCCGTACTGATCACCGCCGACTGCCTTGATGCCCAGGCGCCGAAGAGAAAGCAGAACCTTCTCTGCAGCCCTCTGACCTCCAAAGGGCCGCAAACCTACCTATGAAGGAGGAGTACAGCCCTCTCTTCGCTGACAAACCAACCGTTGCCTTTCTAGCAAATGTTGTTTGTAAAGGCTGCTGGGGATTATAGCTCTGCGAGGGGGAAAACTATAGTTCCTGGGCTTCTCTGGTGGAAGCCATATGCTTTAAATGCCACGTGCTTTAAAAGCTATATGATTTAAATATTTGAAGCGGGTGTGACCATAAAGCAAGATTCCAATTAAACCAGAAGCAGCTGGCTGGTTGGATTGCATTGTGTCTTTTCTGCATCATCAGACTGGTCTTCACACTTGATTGCCGATTGGTAGCAGGGCCAACCGGGGAGCAGCCAGAAGGACCACATGGCCTTGGTGTCAAGCTGAAAGGGGGGCTCAGATTTAGCCATGCATCCGTTTCATTTCTGCTGCATTTGAGAAGTTTTGCAAATTTGTTTTTAAGTGCTGGAAGGTGACACGTTATCCTCCCTTGGAGCTGCAAATATATAAAAAAAGGAATTGTGATTTGGCAAAAGACATCCAGTATTTAATGATGGGTGAAGCTGTCCATTTTGGTTCTCTCCGTTTCTCATCTTTCCAGCCTTACATTCAGTCCTCTTTGTTCCCACATCAGTTTTCAATTCTTTTTTAAAGTCCTCACGAAAAATTGTCAGTGTTGTGGTGCAATTTTCTCCTAATATGCACAGGTTCATATGCAGTTTCCCCTAAGAAACACACTTTGGCAAAGCAATCTCCCCCTATAGAATACAGTTTTGAACGTCATTTTCCCCACTAACAGGTGTTATTTTTTTTGGCACCCTATCCCCTGGTAGAGGCATTTACTTGATCGGAGAACCGCATTGCAAAATTCAGAGAAGTGTGAATTTTGAATAATGGTTGCACTTCTATTTAGGGAAGTACAAATTTCCATATGTTTGCCTTTAAATGTGAGATGAAATGAATCCCCCCACCCCCATCCAGCCCTTGTTGCAATATGAGAACCCCACATCTCATCTAGGGGTGCTATAAATATATAGTATGTAGCATCAGGATTCACTCCAAAGAGCTTGGGCCGCACGGCAACCACATAGTGATTCCTTCTGGTTTCCCGACATGTCCCTAGCTGTTAATTTCCACATCACATTTGAGCTTCCGCGTGACAAAGAACTATAGTGGGATGTAGTGCAAGTTTAGTACTCGTTTCCATGCTATTTGCAAATGGTTTTCTTCTTTTTCCTGGAAGCAAGTAGCACATGAATGAGTGCTCAGCTTACACCATATTCTGCTGCATTTCTGGAAGGGGCTTTTACGTTATGTGGAAGCACAAATATAATGTGGAAATTCACAGATGGAGCACGATCAGGAAAATGGAATAAACTGCTGCGTGAATGCCGCCCAGGTGTGGAGAAGCTGTGTTGCGATCAATAGCATTTCCATGCTCTAGGGCACGAGTGTGTTTGTCTGTAGGGCTTCCTTTGCAAACAGCTGCGCTCAATGTACAAGCATCAGAGAGTGGATCTGAGGCAGAGTCACAATATCAGGGATGGGGCAAGGTGGGGCTCCCTATTTCTGCTTCACGAGCAGTCATCTAAGCCACACAGGAGTAGGACTGTTGTTTTTTTTGGGGGGGGGGGAGAAGGCACACACCGCGCGGCTAAGGCCCCAAAGCGGTCTTATGCCTTCCCTCCAAAGCCAGCATAAAGAGGAAAGGCTCGTGAGCAGCTGTTCCAGAGGCAGTTCGCTCGCTGGGACCGCTTGCTTCCGTGTCACACGCGGGAAGCCATGGCATACATTTTGCAAGTGACTATGGGCGAATGGTGTGTCGGGCGCTGAGGTCTCCTGCGGGGGGCACCACCTGCATTGGAAAGAAGAATTGAAGTCACAATATTTAGAAATCGACGTGGCCCTCTCTAGTGCTCTTGGAGAGTGGTGCATACACAGTGGCGTATCGTGGGTTGCCTCTGCCCGGGGCAAGGAACATATTGCACCCCCTAAGCGGCATTTCCATGTGGTGCTGATGTCGCTACCGGACAGAGCTTCAGTGCAGCGGCTGGACATGTGCGTGCACCTCCTTTGGCTGGGGCACCACCACCGCAGCAAGTCTCACTGTCCGCCCACCTCCTCTGCTGGTTGGGGGGGGCACCGCACAGCCAAGGTATGCAAGGGCCCATTCTCTCCCAGCTCCTGCCTGGCGTGCTGTTCAGGTGAGGCAGGCAGGCAGGACAGGGAGCACCTCTGGTTGGGGCAAAAGCTGCAGAGGCACACTCCTAAAAAAAATTGCGCTTGGAGCAATCACCCCGGTAGTCCCACCACCATGCTACACCATTGTGCATACATTATCTTGTAACAGCCCTGCTAGGTTATCTTCTCCCATGCGGGAGAGGGGGCACTGTGACCAGGGTTTCCTGACATCACCTCTAAATTGTCACTGTTGGGTGGGAGGAATTCAGCTAGGGCCCATCATCCCTAGGCAGCATGGCTAGTAGCTAGTAGGGCGGTTGGAACCTGTAGCCCAAGAATATCTGGAGAATGTAAGAACATAAGGAGAGCCCTGCAGAATCAGGGCAAAGGCCCATCTAGTCCAGCATCCTGTGGCCAACCAGATGCCCATTAGGGGAAGCCCCCAAGCAGGATCTGAGCACGACAGCAACCCTGCCCGCTTGTGGTTCCCGGCAACTGGTATTCCAAAGCATAATGTCTCCAACAGTGGAGGCAGAACATAGTGATAACTGGCTAGTAGCCATCGATAGCCTCCCTGAATTTGTCTAGTCCTCCTGTAAAGGTATCCAAGTTGGTGGCTCACACTACCTCTTAGTACAGTGAATTCCACAATTTAACCATGACTTGTGTGAAGAAGTACTTTTCTTTGTCCTGAGTCCTCCTATGTTTGGTTTTCTTGGATGGCCCCAGGTCCTAGCATTATAGGGAGGCACAAGTTTCCTACCCCTCCCTTAGGACAATTGGGGATAGCCACAGTCAGTGATAACTACTATGGTTTTTCCTCTTACACCACCTTTGCTACTGTCTCTGAACTCTTAACTCTTCGTACTGACCTCCTGTGGTGGCAGAAAGGCAGCAAGTCAACACAATGGCCGCCACGAAGCATCCTGAGGACCCCACCATTCCCAGCCAGCAAGACCATCCAAAGTCATAATGGACTCCCAAGAACACACTGTGCAAGACAAGAGTGGTCCTCTCCATATAGATGTCAACGGCATACCAGACAGAGCCCACCAGTCCAAGGACACCTGGTGGGCCAAGAAAACACAATTATCTCAAGAAAGGCATAGGCGTTAGTCCATATGCTGGGCCAATACCCAAATCCCTCCATATATGTTCATATATGTGGCAAACTTGCTCCATATCAACTGGCCAGGGGTCGCAAACCATTTTGGGCCAGTGGGCATATTTGGGCCAGTCACAAAATGGCTGCCCTGAGGTGTGCAGCATAACACAAAATGGCTGCAGGCTGTAGGCATGGGGGCATAACACAAAATGGCTTCCATTGTGAGTCATGGCACAACACAGGATGGCTGTCTTATCTAAAGGAGCAGAAAAGGAGACCTGGATGGAAAACAGTGTGGTCCTGTCCTAGAATCAGGGCCAATGCACCCCATTGTGTAATTATGAGGGATGAGAGAGGTTGTACAGGAGACTCCACTTTCCACCTCAAGGCTTGCCTCAGTAGCTGTCCTGGTCGATAACAACAAAGCCAGACCCCAATGGAAAAGGCGCTTACTTCCGACTCCCAGGACTAATCCTGACGAATAGCGCATCTTCAGCTTAACGTGCAGCTCATCCTTGAGAAACTTGATGCAGTCGAGGCCCAGCGCCAGCAAGACTAACGCGAATCCCGAGAGGATGTCAGCTGTGATCAGCAATGCTCGAGTCACCACAATCTTCACTGAGAAGGGACAGCAAAATACAAGGTAGTTGAAGGTCAGTCAAAGAAGCATCTGACTGGCCTGGCGTCCCCTGGCTGACTCTGTTGGGAGGAACCTTGAAGGTCTGTTTAATACTAAGCCAGGTCATTTGTCCACCTAGACCATCAATGTCTACACCAGTGGGCAGTAGCTCCCCAGGATTTCTCGCAGAAGTCCCTCCCATTTCTCTACCTGGATTAAAATGGGACCTTCTGCATGCATATCAGGAGCTATAACCACTGAGCTAGGTCCCTTTCCTAAAATTAAAGCAAGCTGCCAGATAAAGAGTTGATTTGAATAGAAACATAAGAAGCTAACATACTGAGTCATTGGTGCATCCAGCACATGATGGTCTACACTGACTGGAAGCAGCTATACAGGAGTTCAGGCAGGCATCTCTCCTAGGATACTTGGAGATGCCAGGGATTGAACCTGCAACCTTCTGCATGCAGAGCAGATGTTTTACCACTAAGCTATGGCTCTTCCCCCCTGGTTCTTCCCTGCTCAACCTGGCACCTGGCCTGTCTTCTGACGACCTTGCTGCCTCTTCCTCTAGCTCCTGCTTCCTTATTTACCTAATCTGGTGCCTCTGACCTCCAGTCCATCCAAGATTGTGCCTCCTGTCCCTGCCCCATTTTGCAAACCAGACCCTTCAAGAGTCACCATTTTCCAGGAACAGTTCCAGTTTACAGAAGCCGTCCCGGTTTCTGATTAGATCCCGGAATGCCCCACTTTTCCTTAGGAAGTCTCTATAGTGGTACCTCAGGTTAAGAACTTAATTCTTTCTGGAGGTCTGTTCTTAACCTGAAACGGTTTTTAACCTTAGGTACCACTTTACCTATAGGGGCCTCCTGCTGCCGCCATTTCTGTTCTTATCCTGAAGCAAAGTTCTTAACCCAAGGTACTATTTCTGGGTTAGCGGAGTCTGTAACCTGAAGCGTCTGTAACCTGAAGCATCTGTAACCTGAGGTACCACTGTATTTTCATCAGATAAATGTTGGAGGGTCTGGAGTTACGTAACCCCTGAGCCAAGGAGATAAGTAACTGTACAACCTTTAGAAGACATCTGTATAGGGAAGTTTTAAAAAAACTTTTAATGTTTTATCATGTTTTTATATATGTTGGGAAGCCGTCCAGAGTGGCTGTTGCAACCCACTCAAATGGGCAGGGTATAAATAATAATATTGTTGTTGTTGTTGTTATATAGGACATCCCTATTTTTATTGGAAATTGGAGCACTACACCCGTCCAACTCTAAAAATGTAGGGCAGTGTTATTACAGCTTGCCAAAGACTATTTGCATTGCCACAGATCACGGGCACATTATTATCATCACTATAGGCCACTGGTGGAGAACTGTGCTGGGGCTCCCGATTTGGCCCTTGAGGTCATGCCTTCTGCAGTGCAAGCCCCAATGATCAGACAATGGTCGGGGCCTCAGTGCGCAGCTCTATTTAAAGAAAAGCTCCCCTGATGTCATTGTGATGTCAGATGATTGACAGGTCAAACTTGGCCCATGGAGGGCGGCCCACCAGTTCCGAATCCAGTTCTCCACCCACTGACGTAAGCCTATCCAACCTTACTGCTGAAAGGACTCTCCACTGGTCAACCCTCATCTCTGCATTTTTACTCCACTCCTGGAGGCCTGATCATCAGTTCCAGCCCTTTTAGCAATCTTAACATGCTCGGAAACACCTCCCAGCACCCCCAACAATTGGGGTGAACTGTAGTAGGGGAGGGTTGCAATCGTGCAAAGGCTGAGAAAGCTTGAATGCACCCGAAGATGCTTCAGCCCATCAGCTGTTGGAGACTTACAGGGATGCTCTGCTAAAATGGAGTCGTACTGGTCGCAGGTCCTGATGCCGTCTTGCATGTTGGTGACACACTCCCTCCACAGTCCTCGGCATTTGTGGCTGACCTGCGAAGAACATCATCGGAAGTTTTGGGTGCAAAAAGGGGGGTTGCTTGGGGCTGAGACAGATAGAGAAAGGGACCACCACATTTCCAAGCTATCGCTGTACCTACCGGTATAAGCTTACTGTTTTATCTCATTGTTAATAATAATAATAATAATAATAATAATAATAATAATAATAATAAATTTATTTATACTCCGCCCTCCCCAGCCAAGACCGGGTTCAAGGCAGCTAACACCAAATATAAATACAGTGAAAACATTTTAAAACAAGCAAACAAACAAAAACCAAACAAACAGTTGATTAAAATATAAGTTAGAATACAGTTTAAAATGCAGGCCCTGTGGAAAGATGTAAAATCCCGCAGGGCCCTAGTCTCTTGTGACAGAGCGTTCCACCAGGCTGGGGCCAGAGCTGAAAAGGACTGGATGTTTTAGACTGAAATAGGTTGCATCCTATTTACAACTTCCTCCACCTCCTCTGACTTCTCCTTTGGACCTCAAGATGAGAGGGCACTTTGGGTCTATCCTCTGAGAACAAAGGAGCAAGCATGGCTGCCTTTGTATTGCCCAGATTAATTGGTTAGGATAGAACGAAAAAACTTCCTTATCCAAGTTATGTACTACCTATAATAAACTACTTTTCTTACTCCACAAGCATCTCTGCATGTTGGATTGCAACAGGTAAAGTCGACTCTGCAAGTGGATTCTCAAGCCATATGCTACTCACTTTGCGCAGCAAAGAGCCCCAATAGGTAATTGGGCTCAGTTCCTGTTATGATTAGGGACATGGGTGGTGCTGTGGTCTAAACCACCGAGCCTCTTGGGCTTGCTGATCAGAAGGTTGGTGGTTTGTATCTGTGTGATGGTGTGAGCTCCTGTTGTCCCAGCTTCTGCCAACATAGCAGTTCAAAAGCATACTAGTACCTTTTCCTCACCTATTATTTATTATAGTACTACTACTATTACTACTACTACTACTATAACTAGCTGGTTGCCTAACACAGGGCTGGCTTACAATCAAATTTCATCAAGTACCCCAGGAGAGACGAACACTTTAGCTGCCAACACTTTTGCAGGCAGGGAGCCTGACAGTAGGTGGCGCCAGAGCTAATGACAGAAAGTGTAAAGTAATTCCAGTTTCGCCCCCATCCTCCTCCCTGTTGAGTTCTGCAAGGGGCAACACTGAGACTAAGGAGCAGGGAGCCAACAGGCAGCGCCACCCTCTGAACTTGTTATAAGGAGGTAGAGAGGTGGGAGAGCCTGGCTGAGGGCAGATTGAACTGCCTCCACTGGATGTAAAGGTTGGCCCCAGGTGGGCATGGCCAGGGAAAGCACTCCACAAGCAGAGAAGGGTGACCGCAACCTTTCTTATTATGGAGGGGCCCTGAGGGAAGGGGGATGCAATTATAGATCTGGAGAATAGGAATGGTTGCATATATAGGCAGCAAGGTGGCTACCCCAGCGTAGTAGAACATGCTACCTGTTCCTGTTCCTCGCCCTCACCTCCAAGCTGTCGTCAGCATTAACCATCCAGCAGTCGGTCCATGTAGCCGCGACCAGGAAGAGGGTTGAAATGAGAGCGACGCAGAAGGACATCAGTTGCAAAGCCACCGCCATTGGGAGAACTACGAAGGGCTAGGAGGAGACACACGTAAGGCTCTGGGTATCTCTCCACCCTCACCCTGCCCACAATTGCCACGGCTTCCCCCAAAATTGCAGCAACCTCTGAGCTTTGCTCCCCACAAGGGATCCCAGCTTGTCCCCTGTTTGCTTTGGGTGGGGAAATGGGTGTCGTTTGAAAAAAAAACCTTACAGAATGAAGACACACAAACAATGCAGGAGGTTGGACTAGATGCCCCTTTGAGCCCTTTCCAACGCTATAATTCTATAATTCTATGAAATGCACCTGTGCTCAGAGTCCACATATATGCACTCTGCTCCCAAGAGACTATCAGAATCATATACAGTGGTACCTCGAGTTAAGTATTTAATTCGTTCCGGAGGTCTGTTCTTAACCTGAAACTGTTCTTAACCTGAAGCACCACTTTAGCTAATGGGGCCTCCTGCTGCAGCTGCGCCGCTAGAGCACGATTTCTGTTCTCATCCTGAAGCAAAGTTCTTAACCCAAGGTAGTATTTCTGGGTTAGCAGAGTCTGTAACCTGAAGTGTCTGTAACCTGAAGTGTCTGTAACCCGAGGTACCACTGTATATTTTTTGTTTCATGCTGATTTCCTTGACCAATGGCTTGAGGAAAATCGAGTTAGGCAAGCGGGAAAAGACTTCGACCCTTAGAAAAATAAAAATAAATAAAAATAAAGGGTGAGGGGGGTTGCGCAATAATGCCAATTCCGAGCAACTGAATTGTCCTCTGTGCTGCCAGCTTTGCCACATAAAAAAGGGTTCCCCAAGGAATAAGGTAAGCTGGGAAAAAAAATTAAAAACGGCATACTAATGTAGCAAAATTAACATTTGAGGCTGAAGGAAATCTCCAAGTGGTGGTGAAAAAACAAAGGGTGTTTATTGCTAGCAATAATGGCTCAGTGGAATCACTCTCCAAAAGCTGAGCAAAGCCCAAAAGGGTGAGGCCTGCTTTATATAGATAGCTGTTATCTGTTAAAGCAATACAGTGGTACCTCGGGTTAAGTACTTAATTCGTTCCGGAGGTCCGTTCTTAACCTGAAACTGTTCTAAACCTGAAGCACCACTTTAGCTAATGGGGTCTCCCGTTGCCGCCACGTGATTTCTGTTCACATCCTGAAGCAAAGTTCTTAACCCGAGGTACTATTTCTGGGTTAGCGGAGTCTGTAACCTGAAGCGTCTGTAACCCGAGGTACCACTGTACATATGCATAAACTTCCTCCAATCTAAAGTTACAACACAATACTAATTATACCGTGTATGGTCTTTCCTTCATTACCTATTCATTAGGCAAGGAAACAAAGGACTCTCTCTTGTCAAATGTAAACACTTAAGGATGTTGTTTACAACCTTGGGACTAAAGCTGCTCCTAACACGAGATAAGGCACAAGGCCTCTAGCCTGGCTAGTTAGCTGAGCTTATAGGTCTCTATGTGCATCACTAAAACCTAGAAAGAAGCACACAGAACATCCCTCAAGGGCCCTGGCTTCTTTGGTCCACAGGAATTTGGGTGGGTTTTCTTTTTAAAAGCTCAGTGCTCTCTACACTGACTGGCAGCATTTCTCCAGGTCTTGCCCAGCCATACCTGGACATGCCAGGAACTGAACCTGGGACTTTCTGCATGCAGGTCAGATGCTCTGCCTCTGAGCTATGAATGATTTTAGTTTTCACCTGCATGGCCTGGTTGTGTTTGCGGGAAAGGGAAGGAAAGTAACCAACTCAACTCGTGGCACCAGGGGAAGGAGGCATGATGGAAGGGAGCTGGTGATGTGTTGATGAAAAGGATGACAAAGGATGTCCTGAGATTCTCAGTGTTTTGCAGGAGGGATCCTAGTGCATGGCATAATTGTAGGCTTGTGCAATGAAAACACATCAAAGCCCTCTGTCACCCTTTTGGAACGAATCCACTTTTGAAAAATAAATAAAAGGGAAGCGGACTTCTTTGGGGGAAGGCAGCAAAAAGTCCTGCAAGCACACCAGAACAAATTGCTCACTGACTGCTCATTGTTGTATAACAGCCCCGCAAACGAATCACAACAAACATTCAGTCAAGACTTAACTAAAGCCCCATCTGCACTGCAGTAGCATTTCACTTTCAACACTGATGGCTTTCCCCCAAGGAATCCCGAGAACTGTACTTTGTTAAGGGTGCAGAGAGTTGTTAGGAGACCCTTATTCCTCCCACAGAGCTAAAACTCCCAGAGTGGTTTAACAGCCAATCCCTCTTCCTAGGGAACCCTGGGATCTGTTAGCTCTGTGAAGGGAATAGAAATTCTCTGTGTTTTGATTCAGTGATTGTTTCGGAGAAAGTGACTTTGTTAGGTTTTCCTTTAAATGTGAACTTAATCTGATTCCTCCGCCATTTCTAGAAAAACCCTCCCATCTTTCCAGAAAGAAAATAAGACTGTAATAATTATTAGTATTATTATCCTCCTGCCCCCATCCTATTGGAGGTGGAAACAGGAGACTGAAGGGAAGGCCCTTAACTCAGTGACAGAGCCTCTCTCAAAGACCACAACGCCCTCCCAAGGAAGATCACAACATTAGGAGTTTACCTTTAAGTCGGGTGCACAAGAGCCTCTGCTTCTGACATCCTTGCGAAGGAGATCCCACAGAACGTCTGAAGAGAAGTCAGAAATTCAGGTTAAGTCTTTTCCAGGAGTTTTAAAACGTCAATAAGGTGACATGAGTTTGCACCACCAAACCCAGGAACCGTCACCTGGCAGTACAAGGGGCAGAATTGTACCCCACCTGCCAGTCCTGCCACTGGCCTGTTCAGTAGCAATAGAAACTGTCTCTGGATCAGATTCCTTTAAAAAATAAAAATAAAATCCAAGCCACGTCAGCTGTGCTTTGGGCTTTAACAGCGTGATGGGCTTCCTTGCAATTAAAATGGCTATGGGTCAGAAAGCATAAACAGGTATTGGCATCTTTGGGAGCTTGGCAGGCGATACTGGCACACAGCGGTGTGCCCTCCCTCCAGAACTAAATCCATCACTTCTTCACTGAGGATCAAGGCTACATCAATTATTTCCGGAATTAGAGGTTCCAGTCAACCTCTCCAAAAGAAAGGCTGGGAGCCTTTCCTGCGGGATCCCTGGGTTCCTGGTAGAGGGTTTGTTCAGAGGTCAAGAATGCAATGATTTTGCTAAATCGGACCAAAATCCATCTTAGTCTGGTATTCTGTTGCCAACAGTGGCCAGCGGGATCGGGGGTGGCTGGTGCCCATTGGACAGAAGGGAGGGAGCCCAACAGTAGGTGGCGCTAGAGCCAATGACAGGCAAAGCCAAGCAATGCTAGCTTTCTCCCCATCCTCTTCCCTGCTGAGTTCTACAAGGGGTAACCCTGAGACTAAAGAGGAAGAGCACTCGAGAGAGAGAGAGACAAGATGTCAGGATATCTCAGTTGGTAGAGCAGGCAACTCTTAGTCTCAGGGCTGTGGGTTCGAGATTCCTGCATTGCAGTGGGGTTGGAGAATTGATGCAAACAGCCCCTTCTATGGCCTGTGATTAAGACCACAGCTTTGGTGCAGAAAAGGCCAAAAACCTCTCCCACTCTTCCTGTTTCCCAAGTCTGCAGCTGGAATTGTCACACGTGCTTGTTCCCAGTGCCTGCAAAGTGTGGGTGCCTCCTCTTGATGCTGAGCGTTAAGATAACAGGTTGGAGCTGCCATTGTTGCTGTGAACAGTTAAATCATTCTCAGGGCTGCTTCATTTGCCTTGAGCATCAGACAAGAGGCTGCTTCCTGGGGCCTTCCAAACAGAAGTGCCTGTTAAAGCGGAAGAAAGGGCTTCTGTGTTTGGCATGAAACATTCTGGAGCTCTGCCAGACAGCTCAAAGTCTTGAGGCCGGTTCAGGAGGGCCACGTAGATTGCTTTGTTGCCTGGGGTTCCGAAAAGGTTCAGAGAAGATCATTTATCGGACTTTTCAACCAGGTCCACCCTCCCCGTCCTCTTATCTGGATCAAGCATGGATAAGTCCAAAACCTCCTGCAAGATGAGCTTTGATGCTCAAAGACAGCGCAGTGCACACCAGCTATTTGGGGATGTAAATCTTGAGCTGGGAAGTCTGGCCTGACTCAAATCTGATTTTTCTTTTCATTGCCATGGACTCGCTAGGCGAAGGTTGGCAGGTCACTATTTTCTCAGCCCTGATTTCTTTTGTTTGTGACACGGGAAGTAAGAGCACTTGTAAGTTTGTAAGCCGTTACGTCCTTTGCCCCACAGGTTTAAAACACATGCCTTCCCACAAAGATTCCTGGAAATGGTTGCTTATTATATGTGCTGGCTGCTTTGTGTGGGGGAAAATACAGTTCCCAGGTGTCCTTTACATGTATGGTGGGTATGCAGCAGAGTTCACTTTGGGTATCCTTTGGAGGAGAGCATGCTGCCATTTTTAATACAGTGGTACCTTGGGTTAAGTATTTAATTCGTTCCGGAGGTCCGTTCTTAACCTGAAACTGTTCTTAACCTGAAGCACCACTTTAGCTAATGGGGCCTCCTGCTGCAGCTGCACCGCCAGAGCACAATTTCTGTTCTCATCCTGAAGCAAAGTTCTTAACCCAATATAATATTTCTGGGTTAGCAGAGTCTGTAACCTGAAGCGTATGTAACCCGAGGTACCACTGTATACTGTATGTAATACTGGCTTACATGCCACAGGTGGAAGTGCGATTTTCAGAGTCCTGGGCCAGGGGTCAGTGTGTGCCATGTACAGTGGTACCTTGGGTTACAGACGCTTCAGGTTACAGACTCCGCTAACCCAGAAATAGTACCTCGGGTTAAGAACTTTGCTTCAGGATGAGAACAGAAATCGTGCTCCGGTGGTGCAGCTGCAGCAGGAGGCCCCATTAGCTAAAGTGGTGCTTCAGGTTAAAAACAGTTTCAGGTTAAGAACGGACCTCCGGAACGAATTAAGTTCTTAACCCGAGGTACCACTGTATTTGTTGTTTTGCATGCCATTTTCAGAGGGGAAATGGCGAAGAATGCAGATCATTCTAGCCTTCCATTTGAAAGGCTATCTGGTCCAAGTCTGGTTTAAAGACAGAGAAGCATAAGAAAGGAGATAAGCTAGTTCAGTGGTTTTCAACCAGTGTGCTGTGCCACCCTGGGGTGCCTTGAATAATGGCCAGGGGTGCCGCAGGCAATGCTGGCATCTGTCCCTCCTTCCCTCCCTTCTCTGATGCCCTCTCTTGTCTTCCTCCCAAAGGCTTGCACAGCTATTTGTTGCAGCAGCCCTGGCTACAAGCTCCCCAGGCGAATGGTGCCTCTAGGGCTGACCAGGGGGTACTTCCCAGGTCCCTGTGGGCAGTGGGAGGAGGCACCTCTCTATGGGGCAGGGAGGGCAGCTCAGAGACCGGGGTGGCAGAAGCGGCTACCTGGAGGACTCCCAAAGAGAGGGGAGAGGAGACTGAGGGAACACTCCACAAGGAAGGGTGTTCAAAAAAGGGTGGGAGGCTGCCAGCTCTGCAGGCAAGGGGGGACATAACTGGGCTCCTGAGCCCTATAGTGTTGCCACAGAAAGAATGTAGTTGGTCAAGGGAGCTGTGGACTCAAAAAGGTTGAAAACCTCTGAGCTAGGTAGACTGCAGTCTTCATCTGTATCCAACAGCAACCTGCTCCACTACTGATCGACACCCCTGTTTAGATGACTTAAAGAAGAACTGAGCCCAAACCAGTTCCAGGCTGGCTTGACACCTGAACACATACTGCTTTTGGCAGCTCGTGATATCTTTGGGCCCAGCTGGTTTTTGCAGAGGCTTCTGAAGCTGCCTAGAACTTCAGAAAAGCAGCTCCAATTAGCCCACATTAGGCACAAAAGCCGCAGGGGAGAAGATTACCTCTCCTTTGCCCCCCCCCCTTTCCATGGCATCCTGCGTGTGCAGACGGATTAGGTTAATTAGCGTTTCCTGCATTCATCAGTCCAAAAAATGGGAGGAAAGGTGGGGGAGAGAGAGGAATGAATGATTTGGCTCAGAGTGGCTAGTTACAGGCGGCAGCAAAGCTGAGGCTCCCCAGTAGCAACTGGACGACTAGCAAGTGGGGGGGCGGTTCCATCAGAAGCCAAGCAAAGCAGGATGCTGGCACACCAGACACAACATTATGGGGTCAAGAGAACCAAGCTGGCTGGTGGTGGGAAAGCCAGGAGTTAATTTTGCCACCAGGGATCTGCAGCTACAGCCTTGGGTTGGCTGACTTTATTGGTCTTCCCAATACAGTGGTACCTCGGGTTAAGTACTTACGGTAATTCGTTCTGGAGGTCCGTTCTTAACCTGAAACTGTTCTTAACCTGAAGCACCACTTTAGCTAATGGGGCCTCCTGCTGCCACCGTGCCACCAGAGCACTATTTCTGTTCTCATCCTGAAGCAAAGTTCTTAACCCGAGGTACTATTTCTGGGTTAGCGGAGTCTGTAACCTGAAGCGTCTGTAACCTGAAGCGTATGTAACCACTGTATGGGTTTCCCCTCAAGCTATAGGGATGGGCAAAGCATCCACTTTGCATGCAGAAGCTCCTAAATCCAGTCCCTGGCATTTCCAGACCGGGCTAGGAAAGGGCCGCTGTCCAGAACCCTGTTTTGCCACTCTTGACTAAGCAAGATGTACGGGTGATCTGACTCAATGTAAAGCCACTCCTGTGTTTATATGGCTGTGTACGCACCATGCATTGAAAGCACATTTTTCTCTCTCCCCACCCCCACCCCAGTTCCAAAGAATCCTGGAAATTGCGGTTCATTAAGGGTGCTGGGAATTGTAGTTTTCTGAGGTGCCGACTGCAATTCCCAGGTTCTTGGGCTGTGTCCATGCTAAAGTACATTCAAAGCACCTTCCTGCCCTGAATGAATTTTGGCCGCTATAGTTCAACCCTCAGGGACGTGGGTGGCGCTGTGGATTAAATCACAGAGCCTAGGGCTTGCCGATCAGAAGGTCGGCGGTTTGAATCCCTGTGACGGGGTGAGCTCCCGTTGCTCGGTCCCAGCTCCTGCCAACCTAGCAGTTCAAAAGCACATCAAAGTGCAAGTAGATAAGTAGGTACCACTCTGGCGGGAAGGTAAATGGCATTTCTGTGTGCTGTTCTGGTTTGCCAGAAGTGGCTTAGTCATGCTGGCCACATGACCCGGAAGCTGTACGCCAGCTCCCTCGGCCAGTAAAATGAGATGAGCGCCACAACCCCAAAGTCGTCCGCGACTGGACCTAATGGTCAGGGGTCCCTTTACCTTTACCTTTAGTTCAACCCTCACAGAGTTACAATTCCCAGCAAGCCTTAACAAACTGCAATACCCAGAATTCTTTGAGAGAAAGAATGGGCTGCTTTAAAGGCACAAAGTGGACACAGCTTATGTGGTGGCTGGGATGTTCTTAAAATGTATGGTGCATTCACAGCCTATTACGTTTTAAAGAAAGCAGTCTTCAACTTTTCCCAACCCACATTTCACCCAAACATGCATTTGGCGTCCCATACCTTAATTTGTTACCTTATATTTGCATGGTGGTAGTGTGGCTGTCGTGATCCACCTTAGTGTGGGAGATTGCAGACAAATTCAGCAGTGCACGTTCGTGATAGTCAGCAAGTTTAAGGTAAGGTTACCAGATTTTTTTCAATGAATCCGGGGACACTTTTCAACTTCAATGGATTTTGTATGGGGACTGATTTGTAAATCAGGGGGACTGTCCCCGGGAAACAGGGGAAATCTGGTAACCTTAGTTTAAGGGCAACCACAGAGCTGTATTGCTGATAGGCAGAGACTCAGACCATAGAAAATATGATTGGTAGAGGCGGCTCTGTGTGATGTCATTTCCCCTCCTCTCTGGGGAGGGAAGGAACATATGTAATTTCCTGTTTCCTTCCCCTTCTTTCTCTCTCTTCAAACAGTCATGAGCGCAGACCCATGCCCTGTGCTCGCTCCATTCCCAGACTGGAGACTGTTTTTTGTTTGTTTGTTTACTTTAAATATAAGTATTTTACCTGCATGGTTTTTACTGCTGCTGTAAACCACAGAGCCTGGGGCTTGCCGACCCGGAAGCTGTACGCCAGCTCCCTCGGCCAGTAAAGCGAGATAAGCACCGCAACCCCAGAGTCGGCCACGACTGGACCTAACGGTCAGGGGTTCCTTTACCTTTACCTTTACCTTTAACTGAAAACCAGTACAAGTCTATGTAGTAAGTAAACCATATTTTAAACTTGCTTTCCAGTCTGTTCTCTGATATCTTTGTTAAGCAGAGTAAGAAGGGGAAAGTTAGCCTAATTCCTCTGCTTCAGTTTTGCTGCTATGGGTGGGACTTTTAAAACTCTGTTCAGTCCACACCTGCTTTGCATGCAGAAGGTCCTGTGTTCAATCCCCCGCATCTCCAAGTAGGTCTGGGAAGGTCCCCTATGTGAAGCTCTCAAATGCAGAGAATATTGAGCTAGCCTGGCTGAGTATATAAGTTTCTTTACTACCCCCCTCCCCGCAAAATGTGATGGGTAGTGAACTTGCTGGACCGTTCAGTTCAGCACTTATAAGGCACCCCAGAATCTGAGGAAGGATACAACGAACTTTAGAAAGCTGGCAATAAAAATATTTTAATAAGACAAATGTTTAGTACAAACCATTAGAAACATTTATATATTTTGTTGTTGTCGTTGTTGAAAAGGTAGAACCACATTGTCAAGCAGTATAAATGGTACCATGGGGAAAAGTTAATGCGACCTTTTTACATTTCGAAAACGAGCAACTTTCATTTTCAAAGATGCATTTCTGGTTTTTCATTTTTCTCTCTCCCAATAAGGAAAAGGGGTCTTGGGGAAACACAGTGGGGTGTCTGCTTTGTGTTTGTTTTTTTAAATGTCCTCGCTATAGTCACTTTGGTCTCTTGGATTGAAAAGCTCAGGCCCAGAACCATGTCTCTCTCTTCCCCCCGAAGGCATTACACGGACTGATCTCCCCTTTTTACAGGGGGCCTGAAAAATGAAGGGGAAATAAAAAGAGGGCTGTTAGTTTCAAGCCCGCAGATACACAACAGGTGGGTGGAAAACATATCACGAGGTTGGGACTCCCTTCCCACCGCTCACACGGGCCCATCTGTGATGCCATTTTGCAGAGCTGTGGGTGGGGAAGACGTTCCAAATCCCTTCTTGTGCATGAATCTGAGAAGGAACCAAAAATAACAATAATAATAACAACCCCTGAGATAATGTGCCTCTGGCAACTTGGCCCTCTCCATTCCACAGACATGTAAAGGAACCACCCGTCACTTGTCTCCACTCTTTCTTCCCTTGGGATTCAGACGTACTCTCTAGCCGTGGAAGGCTGCGACTGCCGGTAGTACTGCTGCCCTCTCTCTTCCGGTTTGGGGCAGGAGCAGGACAGGAAGGCTCCGCCCAGCACGGTCAGGCTGCCTGCTGACCACCCCACAAAGAGAGCAGGTCCAAATTCATACCTAAGGCCAAAAAAGAAGAAGAGAAGAGTGCAGATTATAACAGCAGACATGTCGAGGTGTGCATCCTGATAAATCGGCTCCACCTCTTTGCAGGGACGCATTGTGGGTGAGCCGCCAAGCTTCCCCCCTCAGCATGGGAGGCAAGACTGTGTCCCAATCAGTGGCCAATCAGGTGGCTTGGGGGGCGTGGTCGGGGTCAATTTAAACCACAGTGCGACACTGAATCGCCCCTTTTCAGCCTCACACCGCGGATCTCCCGCCCTCCCACCCTTTGGTCAGGTTGCGTCATTGGCCTTGCTATGGACTTCGGTTGGTCGCCGTTGACGGGCCTGGTAGCACTTTTTCCACTTGGCAAATTGGCACTGGCTGCTTGGTTTTCGCCTACGTCACAACTTTGTAAGGTTAGGTGGTTGGGCACTGAAATAGCAATGTGTGGGGGAGGGGAGGTGCGGCCATCACCTGCCCCTCCATGCTCAAGGGTATTCCACTAAAGTATGGGTAGGCAAACTAAGGCCTGGGGGCCGGATCTGGCCCAATCGCCTTCTCAATCTGGCTCACGGACGATCCAGGAATCAGCGAGTTTTTACATGAGTAGAACATGTGCTTTTATTTAAAATGCATCTCTGGGTTATTTGTGGGGCATAGGAATTTGTTGATAATTTTTTTTCAAAATATAGTCCGGCTCCCCACAAGGTCTGAGGGACAGTGGACCGGCCGCCTGCTGAAAAAGTTTGCTGACCCCTGTGTTAAAGGAATCCAGGGGTGTGGATCTCGTTGGAAGCCCAGGGAGGGGCTAGGGCCATGCCACGACCCCAGCGGGAACCCAGGGGATGCTCGAGTCGATCCACATTGGCGGGGCTCCCCCTACTGGTGGTTTACCCTTAAAAAACTCCCTGCAAGGCGGGCAGGAGTCAGATATAGTCTGTTGATGCCAATGCCTAAGCCAATACCACTCACATTCTGTAATCAATGAAGCTGTGGCCTGAATTTTGCCCATTAACATTAACCTAAATTCTGTGTCCTTGTGTCTTCATTCTCCTGGGGTTGGCTTGGGGCTTTGACATGCAAACGCAGTTGCCTCAAGATGGCAAAAAATAAAGGGCCACAGTGGCGTGGCAGAACAACAGAACACCTGCTTTGCATGCAGGAGGTACTGAGGATCATTACTTGGCACCCCCCGGTAGGGCTAGGCAACAACCCTAGTCTGGAACCCTGGAGAGCTGCTGCCAGTCTCTGTAGACAATACTGCGCTACATGGTGTGACAATCAGCTTCCTGTTTCAGGAATTTATGGGAGGGATTGAAGTGCATATCAGAACTTGTGTTTGCACCATTATGGTGGGTTAACGTGCATTAAATCAGCGCTGATTTCCAGCGAGATCTCAGACAGCGAGGGCATGTTGCTGGCCCCGTAGAGATGGGTTTGTGAGTGTGTATCAAAATTAGCCTGGTGTGCAAAGGTAACATTTACATTCATCCCTTTTCTCTACGGTCTCCCACAGCTGGCGTGTGGCCCTCAGAAGGTTGCCCAGAAGGCAATGTGGCCCTTGGACTGAAAAACGTTCCCCACTTGTGATTGAGGGGGGATGATGTACACAACTGGGACAATCTCTCTGGGATTTGAAAGGCACACATTCGCTGCTGTGATTTCTGGTTTGACAGGAGGTGTAAGAAAGCACACTCTGGGTTGGCACAGGCCCTGCTCTCACCTGGCGTTAACCGGCGTGCTGGGATTGAAAAACTCGTACGTCACCCGTGCCGCGTACCATGAAACAGCCGTCATAGTGCACAGACCTGGGAACAGAGAAGACAACACAAATGATCCAGTTAATAGGAATTGGGGGCCAAACTACACATTACACTCACGTTCCAGGATTGGGAGTCATCATGAGAACATTCTGCTGAATCAGACGAGGAACCCACCTAGTCCAGCATTCTCTCAGTCTCTGACCGCATGCCCGTGGGAAGCTTGCAAGCTACACACGAGTGCAACAGCACTCTTCCCACCAGCGATTCCCAGGAGCTGGTATTCAGAAGTGTAATATCTCTGACAGTGGAGGTAGAACATAGATGATGTGGCAAGTAGCCATTGAGAGCCCTCTCTTCCCCTGAATTTGTCCAGTCCTCTTTTAAAGCCATTTAAGTTGGTGGCTTTCACTGTCTCCTGCAGGAGTGAGTTCCATAGTTCACCTAGGGGCTGTGTAAAGAAGGACTTCCTTTTAACTGTCTTGAGTCTCCCAACATTCAGCTTTATGGGATGTTCTAATGTTGTGAGAGAGGGAGAAGAGCTTTTCTCTGTCTGCTTTCTCCATGCCATGCATTGTGTTATAAACAAGGGGGGGGGCGGAGGAGAAATACAAGCAAGCCCAGAAACCCGTTCTTTAAAGTAGTAAATGAACAGCTTGAATTGAATATGTTTAAGAGGAGGAGCAGCCAAACAGAGATTGTCTCTTAGCAGAGTCAATGAGAATGGGCCCTGCAGTCCTATATGTCCTATGGCTGCTGCTGTCTTGTGTCACATGTCTCCAATTCCCCCATTATTCAGTAGTCAATGTACTTCATAAGGCTTATCTGCAGGCACAGGACCAAGGAGAAATTGCTGTGTTGCCTGACCTACTGCCCTTACTAAGCCTCGGAGCAAGCTGATATATCTAGCTTTTTCCTTTACTATCTTGAACACATGCTTGTGTTCCCCGAATCATCATTTAAGCACCAGTATAACAAGAACTTTGATATGCATTTCATGCTCCAAACCAGGATGTGCCCAGAACAGGTGCACCCGATAACCCTCTTATTGAGGAATAATCCACCTCGTTAACTTGTTTCCACAAAGTTGTATTTGTTATGAGCCACTTCGAGTCCACCGAATAAAGCAAGGGTGGAGTGCATTTTTCAACCACCTTCTCTTCTGAGCAACCTTCTGGGGGCTATGTGCCAGTGGTAGGCAGTAGGCCAGAAGCAAAAGTGGGGGGAGCAATAAATATTACTCTCTTCTTACTGTATAATAGCAATGTAAGACTGTCGTCAGGCTGCAGTTCCCTTGGCCACCAGCAGGCGTCACTATCCACTTCAGTGTAGTGAGTGGTGGCAGATAGGCACCATGGGATGGCGCCTCCGGAAAATGGCGGAATTCCCTTCGAACTGAAGGGAACCCGCTGCACGGAGGCTTGGGTCCTGCCGCTACGGCGCAGCGGGGACCCTCAAAAACCACAGGCGGAAGAAGCCTGTGGGCGTGGGACTCGGCGGGCACCGAGAGCGCTCTCTCCCCTTGTACAGGAGCCCAGTAACGGGCTCCGGAGTGGGAGGTGCGTGGTGCTGTGAGTCGACTGCTTCCTCCGTGCAGCAAAGCCGCACTGCCGTTTTCGGAGAGCGCTGCCTTTTTCCTGGACAATTTGGCATCTAAAATCATCTATCCGTGAGTACCTGATCCTGGAAGAGCTGAACTACTTTTAAGATTGGTGAATAAATAAATAACATTGGACTTGAACTTGAAATTGAATTTAATTGGGACTCGGAACGGAAAGGTCTAAACAGGAAGTCGCCTTCCGTTCTTTTGTTACATGAAGAAAGCAAAGACAAATTATACTAAAGCCTGAAAACTAAATTCTGAGAGAACTAAAATTCAACATCTAAGATTTCTGAACCCCCCCCCCTTTTGATTGCAGGAGAAGAAGGGGGTTGTTTTGATCTTTTCAACCCTGCGGAAGTGAGTTTAAAATAAAGTAATTTTCCACCTCCCTGAACCAGGAGCGGGCTGTCAGAACTGACGTTTTGAAGCTTATCCAGCTCGACAGATAGTTAAAAGAAGGGTAACATTTTGATTCTACTGTTGCCTCTTGAATTTGAAAGGGGAATTTTGGATAAAGTGTTTCTGGAAAAAGAAAGATTGTTACTGTTGTTTTTCCCCTCTTAAAAAAAAAAAAAAAAAAAAGGGTTTTCCATCTAGTGGAACTGAGTGAAATTGCAATGCAGAGAGTTTAAAAGAGAAGGACCATTCTCGTGGGAAAGAATTTTTCTGACCTTGAAGGACAATGCTTGTACAAAGGCTTGAACAAGTGTTCCTGGAAGGTTTTGCAAAATTAAGTGCCCAGCTGGACCAGATGCGTCAGGAGTCGACCTTGATGATGACGGAAGTCACCAGAGCACAGCAGCAAACAAATGAAATTCAGTTAAAGTCTATACAAGTATATGAACCTGCTGTAGCGACGGAGGCTTCAGAGATGGAGGGACTTATGGATGGGCAAGATCAGCCTTTGAACTTGATAAATGAACTTGGGACAAACCTGATTCGGAAAGATGAAATGCGGTCAGATTTGGAAATGGGGGGATGGGTTGACACCCCTCTATATGGTTACTTGGACTTTCCGAGTCTAGGGATGGGCCATCAGAGGATTGGAGAAGTCGAAGTCTCCAAGTTTTTTGGAAATTGGAAGTGGTATTATCTGCTGTCTGGCTTGGGTAATGGGTTTGGGATGGACTTGCTGCAAAGAGTCAAAAGCATCTTTTTGCTGGAGTATCCACGACTGAAAGGGAAATATCAACAAGAGTGGCGAAAGGGGCAAGAAAGAGACTTGAGGGCCTCGGACACGAGACAACCAGGTTAAGGAGCCGGATTATTGAGGTTAAAAGGACTGACAATCCCGGGACCAGGGGAGGGAGGCTGGAAGTTGACTGGATTGAATCTGACTTATTATTTTCTTTTTCTTATTTTTAATATTGGGAATGTTTATAAATGTTTGAAGGATGTTGAATGAAATTATATGACTTAAGTAAGAATTGGTAAATGGTTTGTAAAAGGTAATGATGTAAGAATTTGCTAAATATGGAATATAAGCTTTGAGTTTTAAAGTTTTTATATGACAAGAGGGAAAATAGAACAAGGAAACGCAATGATAGATTGTTATGAAAAAACAGAAAGGATTTGCTGTAAAAATTAAACACTAAGAAACAAGAGAGGGGAGGAGGAGGAAGTCTAGAAAGGAAGTTAATGGAGATCGTAAAGGATTTTATATTTCTGTTCTTCTGTTTTTCTTTTTTTCTTTTTTGTGGCTGGGTTTTTTCTTCTTTATTATTTCTGTATTATTTTTGTTTTTGTTTTTTTTTTTGTTTTTTGTATGTTCAAACTTTTTTGGTAATTTTTGTTGTTATTTGTTATTTTTTGAAAATTTAATAAATATCAATTTAAAAAAAAACACAGATAGGCACCATGGGGTGACAGCAAGAGCATGCTGCAGCAGCCATCCAGCTCCACTGGCTCCCCCACCTGCCAGCCTCAAGGGCCTTGCCCCCAGGATTCAGATACCCAGGCTGACCATTGGACTGCTGGTCACCTACCCCCTCTGCATCCCGCCTTGGAATCTGTTACTATTCATTAACAAGAAGAATGACAGGAGGAGCAGACCAGAGAGGTGGAAGATGCCCGGAAACATAGTCTGGCCTTGAATACTGCAGGAGAAGAAGCATAGAGAAGGCACTCAGCAGTGGCAGCCAACCAGCCTCCAGATCTGCAGCACAATCCAGTTTCCACGTGTTGTCATACACACACGTCTGTCCTCCATCCAGGCAAGCAAGAGGGATTCTCAGAGTTTGAGGACACAACCCAGCCAGGCAACAACACCCAAGGAGAGTACAAATAGAGCAGACAAGGGACCAGGGAGAGTCCCCAGGTCAGAGGGAGATGCCCAGAGGGCCCCATTTGGCACCCAGGTTGGGACAAGGCCCACAGGGTATATATTAGCCTTCAGCTTACTTACCTGCTAGTAGGAAGAAGACACCCCCCAACACAGCGATCCAGCTTTTCACCACGGGATTCTCGTCTCCGACTTTGGTGCATTTCATTCCGATCACGCTGACAACAGCCCCCACGAAGCCCAGGAGGATGGAGACCACCATGAGTGCCCGGGAAGTCTGGATATGAACTGGAAAACAAGAAAGTGCTTGTCTTTGGGGTGTCCAAGGGGGGAAAGAGGCAGCTGCAATTGCAGGGTTAAGTTGCTTTAAATGGCCCATAAAGGTAAAGGGACCCCTGACCATTAGGTCCAGTCGTGGCCGACTCTGGGGTTGCGGCGCTCATCTCGCTTTATTGGCCAAGGGAGCTGGCGTACAGCTTCTGGGTCATGTGGCCAGCATGACTAAGCAGCTTCTGGCGAACCAGAGCAGCACACGGAAACGCCGTTTACCTTCTCGCTGGAGTGGTACCTATTTATCTACTTGCACTTTTGTGCTTTCGAACTGCTAGGTTGGCAGGAGCAGGGACAGAGCAACGGGAGCTCACCCCATTGTGGGGATTCGAACCTCTGACCTTCTGATCGGCAAGTCCTAGGCTCTGTGGTTTAACCCACTGCGCCACCCGCATCCCTTCAAAATGGCCCATAGGGTTGCCATATTTTGAAGAGCAAAAACAGGTCACATTTGCCGACTTTTACTTTTAACTATGGATCACTATGATGACTTTACACAGCGGGTGGCGCTGCGTTCTAAACCACTGAGCATCTTGGGCTTGCTGATCGGAAGGTTGGCAGTTTGAATCCCCACAACCAAGTGAGCTCACATGGCTCTGTCCCAGCTTCTGCCAACCTAGCAGTTCGAAAGCACGCCAGTGCAAGCAGATAAATGGCAATTCTGTGCACTCTGGCTTCCGTCACAGTGTTCAGTTGTGCCAGAAGCGGTTTAGTCATGCTGGCCACATGACCCAGAAAGCTGTCTGGCCTGAAAGAGAGATGAGCACTGCACTCCATAGTCGCCTTTGACTGGACTTAACTGTCCAGGGATTCTTTACCTTTACCTTTTTACCTCTACCCATGAAAAAGAGGATGTGACCTGGAAAAAGAGGACATATGGCAACCCTTCCAGCAACTAATTTTTAACAAAGACATTTCATTTCATTTCCAATTAAGAGTGCCTTGTTCCAACCTCTGATGTATGGGCAAAGGGCTCCCTTACCTGTTAAAGGCCTCTTTGACACATTGGCTAAAGGCTCTTTACCACTCTACCCAATGACTCTCACCCATTGACACATAGGCAAAGGGCTCCTTTAACAGTTACATGCAACACTTATGAAAAAGCTCTGACACAGAGGCGAAGAGCTATTTAACCCGGGCTCTACACCTTGAATCAGATCCACTGGCACTCAGGCCAAAGGCTCCATCAGCTCTGAAAGGGGTCTCCGATGCAGAGGATAACGGACTCTCACACAATAACACATGGGCGCCATTTTGAATCCATCTGTCAGGCCCAAACTGTGCCAATTTGGATGCCTCTGAAGATTTCCTAATTCCAGTTTGGCATGATGGGCTCCCGATAGCGAGGAGTAGGTTTTGGTCTATGTTTCTTAGATTCCTGGAGCAACACCGGGTGTACTGCCAGCTAGCTAAATAAATAATAGTTAATCCTCAGCAAGCAGTTGCACCCATGCAAGAACATCACACACACAGTTACTGTTTTAGATCTTCGTTCTGTTAGGGGTTGCTTTGCCCATGCAAAACATTTAGAGAAGAGAGCTGGCAGCAGAGCGATCTGTTGAAGAATCAGCGTCGCTACCGACTGGTAGCTTTTCCCCTCCGGGGGTTCTTCCACAATCAAATTGCATTAGTCAAAGCTGGCCCATCCACGAGGCGAAGCGAGGCGGTTGCCTCAAGACGGCAGGCTTCAGACAGCCACAAGGAGTGGCAGATCCAGCTGCCAGGGAGTGTGCACTGTCAGCTTCCTTTTCCACTCCATGCCCACCTGGCAGGCTGGCACACAACAACGGGCACACAGCAGTGGAGAAAGCATTTCCCACTTTGTCTCTAGCAGCAAAACGTCCTGGCCTGGCCCTGGCATTAATGTTGGGTTTATTCTAGAAAGTCCATACATCACTCCTCTTTACAGTGGTACCTCGGGTTACATACGCTTCAGGTTACATACGCTTCAGGTTACAGACTCCGCTAACCCAGAAATAGTACCTTGGGATAAGAACTTTGCTTCAGAATGAGAACAGAAATTGTGCTCCGGTGGCGCAGCAGCAGCGGGAGGCCCCATTAGCTAAAGTGGTGCTTTAGGTTAAGAACCGTTTCAGGTTAAGAACGGACCTCCAGAACAAATTAAGTACTTAAGCCGAGGTACCACTGTATTGGTTTTTTTCTTCAATGCATCTCCAACATTACTGCATGGAGGGGTGCTCTTGCAGAGCAATGACAGTGGGACTCACCCTCCCACCCTGGATATTAAATACTGCAAAATAATAATTATCAATAGTAATAGTTTTTATCCAGAGTTAGTCCCACTCAAGAGTTAACCGGCTGAAGTTAGTAGACATGGCTAACTTAGGTTCATTACCGCATTGGCCCGAATATAAGCCTCACTTTCCCCCCAAATTCCAACTGTGAAAAGTCAAAGTGTGGCTTATATTCGCAACCTTATGGTATGCAGCCAGGAGCAGCGAGGAATGGAGCGGCTTATATTTGGCTATTTCCCCTTATTTTCTTTTCCCCTCTCCAATTTTAAATGTCTGGCTTATATTCAGGTGCGGCTTATATTCGGGCCAATATGGTAATTGCAATGGGTAGCACTTACTTGGAGGCAGCCCCCAAATAATAAACAGCCACCACTGTCACCCCGAGCTTCCTCTGAGGCAAGGTTCACCAGGGGTCACTTCCAGCACCTTTACATGATGCCAAGGCTCAACGGGGATACGAAATAGCACTAAATGTTAAACAATAATAAATATCACCTTGAGCCTTCCCTTGAGACAAGGCTCACCAGAGGTCACTCACAATGCCTTTATATGATGCCAAGTTTTAGCCTGGATATGAAAGAATATGAAAGCTAATAATGTAATAAAAATAAAAGCAGAAGAGGAGGAGGAGGAGATATCAACTGTGTGGCGTTTTAACATTAAAAAGAACACAAGGAGTCCCGACAATCATGGATTGGCATACCAAGCTACAAGAATTTGCTGAAATGGCACGGCTGACAAATAGCCTGAGAGGCAACTCAAAGCAAAAATTTATGGAAAAGCGGGATAGATATAAGATATATGTTAAAAAATACAGTAAAGGTTCACTATCTATGCAAGCATTCGATTGACGTTGGGGAGAGACCGAGCTGAGGAACAAGAGCAAGGGTACATATTGATATAGGAATGTATTAGATAAAATGTAAAGAAATACACAATAATAAGAGAGCATTCATTTGTAAAAAAAGTAATATACAATGGCATAGACAGGAAGTCCAAAGTGTTGTATATATATATGATTTTGGAGTAAGTTTGGAATAGCTTTTTATTTTGTTTTTTCTCCTCCCCCCCCCCCCCCCCTTTATGTATATAAAGTATACGTACAGGTTGAAAATTGCAGTATAATAAGTTTTGTGATGTAATATGACAATATCTGATGATGTAACGTAAGAACTTTAATAAATAAATAACAACAACAACAACAACAACAACAACAAGACAGGTCTCTGCCCCTAAGAATGTACAATCCAAAATTCAGTGCACTGGAGACAATCAAAGGCAGTTTGTTTTTTTTGCGGAGGGGGGAAGAGAGCTTTTCTTTTCTAATTTAGGAGGAGAGAGAAGCAGAGCGCTCAGCCGCCGCCACCACTGCGTAGCTAAAACCCACCACACACAAACAGGCGGCACATTTGAGTGGGAAGGGGTTCCAGATCCGGGGATGCTGCCATGGGCGTAGCCAGGATTTATGGGGGCGGGGGCGGCAGGACACCCACCTGTCATCAACCTCTTTTTAGCAGATTCGGAATCAAATGTCTCAACAATAGTGGTTTTAAATTTCTTTTGACCCCCCCCCCCCGCAAGTGCTCAGGAAAAAAATCTGTCCAAATCTTTCTACAATGTCTACTTTTAGTAAATTGCTTTAGTAAATTCATTTACAGTGGTACCTCGGGTTAAGAACGTAATTCGTTCTGGAGGTCCGTTCTTAACCTGAAACTGTTCTTAACCTGAAGCACCACTTTAGCTAATGGGGCCTCTTGCTGCCGCCGCGCGATTTCTGTTCTCATCCTGAAGCGAAGTTCTTAACCCGAGGAACTATTTCTGGGTTAGCGGAGTCTGTACCCTGAAGCGTCTGTCACCCGAGGTACCACTGTACTTGATTTAGAGGGGGTACCTCGGGTTACAGACGCTTGGAAGCTGCGCTACATCCCGTCAGGCGAGAGCCCCGCTTCCCGTACCCACCCGCAGGCTGCCTGCTGGACGCCAGCGAGGCGCAACCGCAGCCCCGGCTCTCCCTGTGCGCCCGCTCCCCCCCCCCCCCATGCACCCGTGGGACGCACCGTCGAGCGAGAGCAACGACTCATGGAGCTTGCACTGGACCTGCCCGGTGCTCTGCGAGGCGCAGCTCATCCAGAGGCCCTCGTACAGCCCGACGGCCGTGATGATGGCGTCCCCGGCGTAGGAGCTCTGCTTCCACTGGGGCAGCGCCGACGAGCAGATGGAGCCCACCAAGCCGGCCAGGGCCATGAAGTAGCCCACCAGCTGCAGCCCCGCGCTGGCCATGGAGAGAGGGAGAGGACCACGGGGAGCGACGGCAGGAGGAGGAGGAGGAGAGGGCTCGCCTCTTCCGACGGAGCGAACTGCGGCAGCGACTGCAGCGGCGGCCGACGATGCCAGGGGCCGCCCCCGCGAGGGAACACGCTCTGGCAGCGGACGAGCTCGCCCGCCCGCGCTCCCTTGCTCTTGTCCTCTCTCCCCCCCGCCCCCCCCCCATAGCAAGGCTGGCCCCGGAGCGGGAGGAGCCAGCCCTCGAGTCCAGGCAGTCGGAGCTCCGCTGGGCCCTTAGCAGCGATGAGCAAAAGGCATCGCACAGAACCTCAGAATGGTACAGTGGTACCTCAGGTTACAGACGCTTCGGGTTACAGACTCCGCTTACCCAGAAATAGTACCTCGGGTTAAGAACTTTGCTTCAGGATGAGAACAGAAATCGCCCGGCGGCAGCAAGAGGCCCAATTAGCTAAAGTGGTGCTTCAGGTTGAGAACAGTTTCAGGTTAAGAACGGACCTCCAGAACGAATTAAGTTCTTAACCCGAGGTACCACTGTAGTTGGAAGGGACCACCAACCCCAAGGCAGCAGGTTCTAAGTCCCAAGGGATGTGAGTAAATTTGTAGAGGATCAGGCTGTAAGGAAAATTTTCACGCACACATAGAATGATGCCTGAGGGCTTTCCCTCCACAGATATGCATCAAAAACTGGTGCATGCCAAGGGTATCTATTTGAATAAAATATTTGGGGGGCAGGTAGGCATGGGCGTAGCCAGGGACTGGGGGGGCAGGACACCCACCTGTCATCATCTTGCTCTGTCTAGCAGATTTGGAATGATAACGGTTGTTTTAAATGACTTTATTTTGCCCCCAAGTGCTCAGAAAAATCTGTCCGAACCTTTCTACAATTTCTACTTTTAGCCAAGTTTTTTTAAATATATATTTTTTTATTTGAATGTGGTGCTGTGGTCTAAACCACAGAGCCTAGGGCTTGCCGAACAGAAGGTTGGCGGTTTGAATCCCTGTGACGGGGTGAGCTCCTGTTGTTCGGTCCCTGCTCCTGCCAACCTAGCAGTTCAAAAGCACATCAAGTGCAAGTAGATAAATAGGTACCGCTCCAGCGGGAAGGTAAACGGCGTTTCCGTGTGCTGCTCTGGTTTTGCCAGAAGCGGCTTAGTCATGCTGGCCACATGACCCGGAAGCTGTCTGCGGACAAATGCTGGCTCCATTGGCCTATAGAGCGAGATGAGCGCCGCAACCCCAGAGTCGTCCGTGACTGAACCTAATGGTCAGGGGTAACCTTTACCTTTTTACTGGGGAGGGTGAGGGGCAGTGCCAGATTATCAAATTAGAAGAGTAGGCACCGTCCTATGGACCCCACACTTTTTGAGGGGCCCCACAACAAGAGATTGAAATAATGTTGATTTGATCTTGAAAGAAAATTACAGTCAAACCAAGTAGAAGCTTTGAGATAACTTGCGAGGGGCCCCCTGAGATTTTGACTGCCATGGGGCCTCCACAGGGTTTAACCCAGCACTGGGGGGTGGCAGGGCTCTCAAATATTTTATTAGGGGGGCCTGGCTCCTGTGGTACATGGGCACCATTGCAGTCAGCGTCAGGTGCCTAATTTAGCAGGATCAGGGCCTCTGAACACAATGGCATTTGCAAAGTTTGACCTGCCCCACTCTCATTTCTTCAACTCCTGCCCTTTGTCTAGTAAAGTAGCCCTGAGCTGCATGCTAATGAGCATAACCTTTCCCTCTCCTTGTCCAAAGGCTCGCTTTGTGCCTAGGCCCCGTACGTGGGGGGCACTTGGCATTTGGGCTGGAATCCGGGTGGGCTCCGTCCGTAAACAAAAAACCTCATTGACACGAGACCGTTGGGAGTGTTTGGCTTCCTGCTGATTACATTGACTCTCCCCACCCTGCAAGTATGTGTGTAAAAGAAAGAATGCTTAAAAAAAATAAAAATAATCCTGGTGAAAAAAAACAAAAACCACAGTCACAAACAGACTATATCTTGCAGTTCAGTGCACGCAGCCTCTGCTGCCCCCAGCATGAATCCTGGCCCGAGGCCAGAACTCAATTTGCGCCCTGCGCATTCCTGCCTAAAGCAGTTTGGAAAATTGCTCTGCAGGGTTGCCTTTGAGAGAATTGCTGGTGCGCTCCACCAAGACACATGATTTTTAGAAGTCAGTAGAATTATGTATGGAGTAGAGAAAGCAAAGAGCAAAACGTTTCCCTCCCTCTTCATTAACACCAGGACTCCAATAGACACCGGATGAAGTGGAAGGTTCGGGGAGGGATAAAGGAAAGCACTTTGTTGTGCAGCGCTCAGTTAATCTGTGGAACTCCCTCCCACAAGGAGGCAGCAATGGCCAGCAACATGGGTGGCTGTAAAAGAGGACCAGACAAATTAATAGGAAAAGGTTATTAATGGCGACTCTCCTGCCAACCTAGCAGTTCGAAAGCACGTCAAAGTGCAAGTAGATAAATAGGTACTGCTCCAGCGGGAAGGTAAACGGCGTTTCTGTGCGCTGCTCTGGTTCACCAGAAGCAGCTTAGTCATGCTGGCCACATGACCCAGAAGCTGTATGCCAGCTCCCTCGGCCAATAAAGCGAGATGAGCGCCGCAATCCCAGAGTCGGCCACGACTGGACCTGATGGTCAGGGGTCCCCCTTTACCTATTAATGGAGACTAGCCATGATGGCCACAATCTGCCTCCATGGTTGGAGGCAATAGTGCTTCTAAAACCAGAGAAGGCGGAGAGGGCTCTTGTGCTCAGGTCCTGCTGCATCTGGTGGCTACTGTGAGAACAGGATGCTGGGTATAGGAGCCATTTGCCTGATCCAGTAGGCTCTTCTTAATGTTCTTATGCGCAAGAGGAAGGCCTTTTGGAGAAGCCTCAACGTGGGGCTACCCTCTAAGATCACAGAATCATAGAGTTGGAAGGGACCACGTGGGTCATCTAGTCCAACCCGTCAATGCAGGATTTTCTTCTGCCTAAGGTCAGACTCGAACTCGCGACCCTGAGATTAACAGTCACATGCTCTACTGACTGAGCTGTTGCAGATGGCTTGGAAACTTCAGCTGACGCAGAATATATTCATAGGCTAATAGGTGTGGAGAGGCAGGTTTTCTGAAGGCCCGTTTCACATGTTCTTGTTGTGCATTCTTCCTGACCTGCTTGCACACAGCTTATGCAGAGGTTAGTTTATATCCAGTCTTTGTAGAGCATTCGTTCAGATAGATGTGCGGGGGCAGTCATGCAACCATGAGCAGTTGCATTCATGCTCCGATTCGCTTGTGGGGCGTTTACACGTTCAGTCATTGGTTCATTCCAAACTTTTCAGTGCATTCCCACCCCCACCCACCCCATTTCACTCAGGGCCACTTGCTATAGAGCAGTGGCAGAGAACTCCTGCCTTGCACGCAGAAGGTGAAATCCACAGAATCTCCGCCGAAAGAGGATGGCACGTTAGCAGGCCTGGGGAAGAATCTGGAGAAGCAGTAGACAAAAGTGGGCGAGATATCATCGGAGTTGATATAATGCACAGCCTGGTATCCTTCCTTGAGGGAGGGGCATAGTTGAGGAGCAGGATACCCACTTTGCATTCAGAAGGTTAAAGGTTCCACCCCTGGCATTGCCATGTCCTTTACCTGAAGCCCTGGAGAACGCTTGCCAAAAGCACTCAGCTAAGGGGACCTGTGCTCTAACATGGTACAGTGGTACCTTAGTTACAGATGCTTCAGGTTACAGACGCTTCAGGTTACAGACTCCACTAACCCAGAGATAGTACCTTGGGTTAAGAACTTTGCTTCAGGATGAGAACAGAAATTGTGCTCTAGCGGCGCAGCTGCAGCGGGAGGCCCCATTAGCTAAAGTGGTGCTTCAGATTAAGAACAGTTTCAGGTTAAGAATGGACCTCCAGAACGAATTAAGTTCTTAACCCGAGGTACCATTGTATAAGGCAGCGTCCTTAGGAGCATACATGGCTCAAAGGAAGAACACCTGTACTGAGTGCAGAAGGTCCCATGTTGCAACAGCTTGAGGCAGCTATGTTCCTGTGAGGGAGAGGGTTGTGTGGAACTGTGTGTGACACTTGTGCAGCTGGAATACAGTCTGTGGCCACATTTAGAGTCGTATCAACTGACCTGCCCACCTTTAGCACCCAGCCCATGTCCACCCCTGGAATGTGGCCCCCAGACTGTTCTCCATAAGGGAATGTGGCCCCTGGGCTGCAAAAGCTCCCCACTTCCTTAGAGCACTTGGATTCTTCTCCTTTCCTTTTTTGCAATGTTCCCGGTTGTGAGCTTATTACTTTTGGGGGCCACCAAAATATCACGCACCCAAAAAGCTGTCGAGGAGACTCGAACGGCAATCTGATTCCCCTTCCCCACAGCTGAGAAATGGCCCCTGGCCGAGAGTTGCCCTCTGGGCCTGGTCCTTGCCTGCCTTCCTCTCTCTCCTCCACCTCCGAGCTGCAAATATTTAACTCTCCCCGCTCATTAGCAATCTGCTCACGCTTTGCAACCTGGCTTTCACCTTCTTTCCTCACAAGGAGAGCGCAACGGGTTCGCATGTGCTATGAGGACATGATATGAGGTTTATAGAACGGTGTCTGGCTTGGAGGAATTGGAAAGAGATTCTCCCCACACCCTTGTTCATTTGCAATGCCCAAAGCGGGCAGAGGACAGTCAGAAAGGCAGAGGGGCTGTTACTCTATATTTGAAGTGTGGTGAGGTCCAAATCCAGCTTAAAGGTAAAGGGACCCCTGACCATTAGGTCCAGTCGTGGCCAACTCTGGGGCTGCGGCACTCATCTCGCTTTATTGGCCAAGGGAGCCGGCGTACAGCTTCCGGGTCATGTGGCCAGCATGACTAAGCCGCTTCTAGCGAACCAGAGCAGCGCACGGAAACAGCGTTTACCTTCCCGCCGGAGCAGTACCTATTTATCTACTTGCACTCTGATGTGCTTTCGAACTGCTAGGTTGGCAGGAGCAGGGACCGAGCAACGGGAGCTCACCCCGTGTGGGGAATCGAACCGCTGACCTTCTGATCGGCAAGCCCTAGGCTCTATGTTTTAACCCACAGCGCCACCCACATCCCTTAGCTTAAAGGTAGAGAACCCCAAAAAGGAATAGGAGTGAGCCTCACAGATGCTTTCCATAGCTGGCACCTGGTCGGGACACAGAGGATGCCTGGACACAGTTTCCCCCTATGTGGTACACAAGAATCTGCCTTATGGAGTCAGACCGCTGGTCCATTTAGTTTATTATTGTCTGCACTGACTGGCAGGAGCTCTCCAGGATTTCAGACAGGGGACATTCCCAACCCTGCCTGGAATGCCAGGTGCATCTGAGAGCAGATGCACTAGCCCTGACCTCTGGTCCTTCCCTTAAACATAAAGATTTTGGTCCTCCTGTTTCTGGATAAAGGCCTGATTTATATAGGAAGCTGCTTTCTGTTAAACAAGACCACTGGTCTGTGTTTAGATCAGTGTTGTCTATGTTGTTTGGCAGCGACTCTCCTGAGTTTACTCTCACAGCCTTACCTGGGAGAGTGAACCCAGGACCTTTTGCACGTGAACCACTTGCTTTGCTGTGATAGCCCCTTTGTAACTGAAAGACAAGGGACGCAGGTGGCGCTGTGGGTTAAACCACAGAGCCTAGGACTTGCCGATCAGAAGGTCGGCGGTTCAAATCCTGCGATGGGGTGAGCTCCCATTGCTCGGTCCCTGCTCCTGCCAACCTAGCAGTTCAAAAGCACGTCAAAGTGAAAGTAGATAAATAGGTACCGCTCCGGCGGGAAGGTAAACGGCGTTTCCGTGCGCTGCTCTGGTTCGCCAGAAGCGGCTTAGTCATGCTGGCCACATGACCCGGAAGCTGTCTGCGGACAAACGCTGGCTCCCTCGACCAATAAAGCGAGATGAGCGCCGCAACTCCAGAGTCAGTCACGACTGGACCTAATGGTCAGGGGTCCCTTTACCTTTAACTGAAAGACATCACATTCCTCCTCTCTAGGCTCCCATTGGGCCTTGTTCTTTCCACTGCTCTCTTCGCTGTCACTGCGTCTATTGTCCTTTCTTCTCTTCACTAGAAACATCCTTTTTCTCCTTAAGAAAGCGCTTCTCTCCCCTTCATCTGCTTCTACAGACCCTTTGTGTGTCTCTAATCTTGCAGACCGCCTCCCGTTTCGTATAACTGCTTATTTTCTGCCGCAGCGCCTTAATTACGAAATGACATTCCTTCAAATATCCCCACCGCTCCACCTAAAAACTACTTTTGAAGAAACCTCCTAGAACAGGGCAGTCCAGCTTTTCATACCAAGGGGACAGCAAGAGTATTTTGGCACAGAACCTACGGGCTATGGGCCGAATTAAATTGTCCCTATTGTAAATTGAAGGGTTTGCAATATATTTAAACTCATTTAATATACACCATGTATTTAATTAAATACATATTGAAATACAAAACTAATAAGATTTAATTGTTAAACAAATTTAATACGCAGATTGCATGCCCTTTTGTTAATAGTGCATGACATAAAAAATAAAATTTTAAGGCTTTAAGGTTATTTTTTTCTTGAATGTTGCCGTGGGCTGCCAAAAAGGCTGCAGATTGAACTGCCCTGTCCTAGGACATACATTTTCCTCCATCTTGCTGAACGTTCCCCTTTTTTGAACTCCTTTTCCCCATTTCGTGCCAGCCCATCATCTCATTTCCTTCTCCCTCCACTGTTTAGTTTCCTCTTGTGTCATGTCTGCTTCCTACAGGAAGAATCTTTTGTCTACTTCGTTTTACATACAGTGCCCAAGCCACTGGGGGACACTCAGAATCATAGAATTTTAGAGCTGGAAAGGGCTTTGGAGGTCATTCCGGAATTAAAACCCCTTTGCTCAACGGAGGACTCAACTGCAGCGCCCCTGACGGCCATCCAGCCTCTACTTCAAGGTAGGGAATATTTTTTTCAAGCCAAGGGCCACTTTCCGTTCTAGGCAACCTTCCAGGGGCCACATGCTCATGGTGGGTGAGGCAAGAGGCAAAAGAGGGCAGGGAACTAATGCAAATTTTACCTCTGTATGAAGACCGGTTTCCACCTACACGAGACACTTACTTCTTACGGAGCAGGAAAGTGGTATCCATCTTATTTTATTTGGTACATTTGCATCCCACTCTTCCTCCACAGATCTCAGGGCAGGGCCTGTTGGGCTGCCCCTGCTTTTATCCTCACAACGACCCTGTGAGGTAGGTTAGATTTGGAGATGGCGACTGGCCCACAAGTCGCCTGCTAAGTTTCGCAGCCGAGTGGAGATTTGAATTCAAGTCTCTGGGCAGCAGAGCTAACCCTGCGACCCCAAAACTGGCTACCCCTCCGGACCCTTAAAAAAATAAAAGGAAAAAGAAAACGCAGATGGTGGTGTGGCCCCCTTTGGAGAAACAGAACATCAGGGGAGGGGGAGAGGCAGGCAGAAACAGGAAGCTTCCCCCTTCTCCCCCCAAAGAAATCCTCCTGGGCCACAGCAACCATATGTAAGGCACTTGGGTGGTGGTCATGTTCAGTCTTGTTTGTGTGCCGGACGAGGGTCCCAATCCATAGGCTGGCTGGTCCACTATGCTTCTCAGTGCCCCAAACGTTCTGCCTGTTGGTGCCTCTCGTTGGGCTCTCTTGGTTGTGTGCATTTGTGTGTTGGCGTGTGGGAGATTACAGCTCGTCTTTCCCTAAAGTGGCGTCTTGCTCGGGGTCTTCCGCTGGGGCTGGCGTGGAACTCTCTGCCATGATTTCCTTCCCTGCCACGATCTCCTTCTCCACCACGATCTCCTTCTCCGCCACGATCTCCTTCTCCGCCACGATCTCTTTCTCCGCCATGGTCTCCTTCTCTGGAGGCAACTCTGTTTCCTCCGTGTTGAACAGCATCCGCACCAGGTCGTCGGCCTGGACTCTCTCCTGCGGCGGATGAGGAAGGGGACTTAGTTACAGGGTGTGGAGTGGGATGGCGTTCAGCTTTCATTATTATCTGTCAGGGCACTGCCATCGGAACAGGGTAGGGAAGCAGAGAGGCAGTTGGGTTACAGGGAACCTCTGAAAATCTTGCGAAGCAGTTCCTCTTCCTGTGGTGAGGAAAGCCTCACCTCCAGTGGGAAAGAGGGGAAAGGACCAGAGGATGCTGCTGGGAGCCTCAGCACCGCTCCTGGCCAAGCCGCAGGGAGGGAAGCACGCCCCTTCAGTCGCCCACCCTGCGCAGAGGTGTAAAACGCAAAGAAGGAAGGAAAAGGCTGGGGTGCCGAAGCTCTTATGTTGGGGGAGGTCCAGGAAACAACCACTCCCGGATTCTGCTAGCGATTGAGGCAGACATGAACTTGTGGCTCTGCACTGTAAATAGTTTTGCACCAAAATAAAACCTGCAAAAGACAGGTTGGAGTCCTGACTGGTTACTCACTAGCAACCACCATTGCTACCTGACATTATCGATTCTACAACAGGGGCTCCCAAAATGTGCTCCGCCTGGGACCTTCTGCGTGCAAAACAGGTGCTATGACTGCAAAACTGCAGCCGCACCCAAAGCAGCTTCCCATTGTGCAGGATATTTAAATGCAGTCCAACCAACGACTCATGTTTTGCCAGAAGGCGCATGAAGGGGCTGAGGGTCACAGAGTGTTCCTGCAAAATTGCTAGAGAGAACTTGGTGGTCCTGGCAGGAAGAAGGCATAGCTATATATCCTCTTCCTTGCCTGGGCTCATCCTCTTTCCACCCTTCTCAGCCATGAGAATACCTGCAAGTTCAGGCTCCATCTTAAGCTAGGCTTTAGCATGTTTTAGTAACTGAATTGCCACTTTAAGCCTGTCTGAACAAACCAGCTGCATCTGTTATTCTTCAGGAGGCATATTGAGTGACTCGTGTTATTTTAATTTATTTAAATTAATTTTGGGATGCATTTTAATCGATTGCTTGCTTGCTTGTTTTTATGCATATTGTATTATTTATATGATGTTAGCCGCTCTGAGCCTGGCTCTGGCTGGGGTACAAATAAAAATTATTATTATTATTATTATTATTATTATTATTATTATTATTATACTTAGACATTGGCTGTTAGATTCATTCAAAGCTTGTCTCCTTAATTTTATATAAGCAGCACAGAATTTAGCCACTTTGAAGGTAGGGTCTGGTTCCCTGTTCTCTATTAAGTATTTTAAATAATAATCATCAGTTCTGCTTGGGGGTTTGCTGCGTGACTGGAGTGACAAATATAGAGTGTATAACCTTGTAGTAATGACAGCGCAGTAGGGCTTGAGTAGCAGTTTCAACTTCCTTCAAACCACAGAGGCATGTTCGCTCTGAATACAGTTTGCCTTCAAATCTGCCCTGCTGGTGGAAGGACATTAAACCCGGCAAGCATAAAAAGCTCTTCTAAATTTGGGTATTTCTATTTTGGATAAATACCTCGCTTTGGATAAACCCCCTCCCGTTATCTTTAATTTCTGGATACCCTGTCATTTCAACTCATGTGGTATCGCAGGTCAACATCCCCCTATTCGTTGCTTAATTGTGGATTTAGCTTTTTCATATCCACAGGTTATCAGAGCCTGTGGTGTGAACCCTACGTTCCTATTGGTTCCTCTTGCAATGAGGATTTCCACATTTTTGTTTCACATGTGTCTGTTAAAGTTAAGGGTGCCAGACCCTACCGGGAAGAAAAAATACCGGTAGTTTTAGCCAATGATGGATCTTCAGAATCCACATCTGGGACCTAAACAGTTCTTGCCATCTAGCAAGTGCCTCCAAATGCTTAGCCAAAAGATCTGCTTTGATGCGGCGCCTAACCACTAAGCTTCCTTGCTCTGCCCTCTGCGTAACAACCAGGTGTTTTAGAAAGCCCTTCCCTGGGAGAAAGGGTGGAGGCAGAAAACTTGAGGCCGAGTCGCCTGCAATGCAGAAGTGAAACCCAGCAAAACCCTCTCTTTTTTTTGCAGATTTTTTCACACAGGCCTTGATTTGGGGGCAGGAAAAAAAGAAGGGCATGGCGGGGTTGAGAAAGGAGGAGTGAGGCAAAGCGACAGCCATTCTACATACCCGTTCGCTGTGACGGGGGTCCAGGGTGAACCACAAGGCAATGGCGCAGCGCTGGCCCTTGGTCACGGCTTTCACGCCATGCGGGTTTTCGGAGCCTGATGAGAAACCCACAGCCCGGCCACACTGGGGCTGAACCTCTGCCTGGAAACCAACAAAGGGGATAATAATAATAATAATAATAATAATAATAAATTTTATTTATACCCTGCCCTCCCCAGCCAAGACTGGGCTCCTCAGGGCGGCTAACACCAGGTATAAAAACAATTGATTAAAATACAACTTAAGAACAAGATTAAAATACAACGTTAAAAAAATGATCAGAGGACCATTTTGATTTGGACAGCACACCCCAAACTGAATTGCTCCCCACTGGGTGGCCTTTCTAGGCCAGTAGGCACATTAGGATTCATTAACAAATAGGACTTGCCAATCAGAAGGTTGGCGGTTTGAATCCCCACGACGGGGTGAGGTCCCGTTGCTACCAGTCCCTGCTCCTGCCAACCTAGCAGTTCGAAAGCACGTCAAAGTGCAAGTAGATAAATAGGTACCGCTCCGGCGAGAAGGTGAACGGCATTTCCATGTGCTGCTCTGGTTCACCAGAAGCGGCTTAGTCATGCTGGCGACATGACCCGGAAACTGTACGCCGGCTCCCTCAGCCAATAAAGCAAGATGAGCACCGCAGCCCCATAGTCAGTCACAACTGGACCTAATGGCCAGGGGTTCCTTTACCTTTAAGTTAGCAAAAATGTATAGAACAGGTACAAATACCTGCTGGAAATATAAAGAAAAAGAAGGTACCTTTTACCATATGTGGTGTAAGAAAATAAAAGCTTTCTGGGAGATGATATATAATGAAATGAAAAAAAATGTTTAAAATAACTTTTGCGGGGGAAAAACAGAAGCTTTATTATTAGGAATTATAGGTACCGACATCCCAAAGGAACAGAAAAGACTTTTTATGTACAGCCGCTCAAATGTTACTAGCCCAGAGATAGAAGGAAGACAAAGTCGCTACCAGAGAGGAACGGCAAACTAAGCTGAAATGGCAAAGCTGACTGGAAAACTCAGGAACTAAGAGGAGGAAAACTTTAAAAAAGAATGGGAAAAATTTATAACTGATCTAGGAGACCACTACAAGCAGATGGAAATGTTAGCAGGATTTTAATCTCACTTGTAATGTAAGAGATACCATGGATAATTTGGACTGATATGAAATATAGAGTATGGAATAATATGCAGTTGTAAATGTTGATAATACTAACATAGGACGCATGGAGGGGGTGGGGGGAAGTTGCGAGATTCAGAGTAATATCTCCATGTGGATATGCATTTGGAATGTTATAATTTTATACAGTCATACCTCATGTTACGTTTGCTTCAGGTTGCGCGTTTTCAGGTTGTGTCCCGCAGCGACCCGGAAGTACCGGAAAGAGTTACTTCCGGGTTTCGCCGCTCGCGCATGCGCAGATGTGCAAAATGACGTCACGCGCATGCGCAGAAGCAACGAATTGTGACCCACGCACATGCAGACTGCGTTCTGCTCATGTTGCGAACGGGGCTCCAGAACGGATCCCGTTCGCAACCAGAGGTACCACTGTAAAATCAAATAAAAAGGATTTTAAAAAGAAAAGAAAAAAGGATTCACCCCCACCCTACCACTTCTGGCCACTCCCAGAAAAAGACACAGATCTGAAGGAAGTGGGAAAGAGCGTGATTTTTCCAACTTCCTCCTTCTAGGAAGGAGATTTCAGGGGAGACAAAGCTAACCACCCACACCACCTGGCAGCTGAGGGCCACTGGGTGAGTGGGAAGGAGGCTCAGAGACCTCGTGGGAACTCAGGGGGGCAGCGTTGCATCTGTTGGTGAGCCCTGGTATAACTGCTAACGTTAAGCGGAAGAGACAGAACCACGACTCGGCTACATTGGCAAAGAGAAATCCGCTTTATATGCGTTGGTTTATGCATTCTAACACCGTGACACCAGATGGCGCTGTGGAGTTTCGTTTTTGCTAACCCGATTTCTTATACAAAGCTTGCAATGCATTGAACTGAAACGCTTCTTTGATGTGTCCAGGTCCAATTATGCTTATTTGCACAATGCACGAAAGACGTCAGAATCCAGCAAGGAAGGGGCATAGCCCCGCTGAAACGAATGAAATCCACTAACTTCAGTGGGTCTACTCTGAGCAGGGCGAATATTGGAGGCAATACAGGGCTGGCTCATTTGCACCAAGGGTCACACACAGACTGTGGAGTCTAGCAAAGATGACCTCAGGGGGGATTCCCTTTGCCCAAAGACACACGAAAGCGCACAGAACATAAAGAGGAACAACCGACTCACAGTCACCGTCGTGGCATCCAGCTCCGTGAAGTAAAAAGCTCCTCCTTCAAAGTCACCGTTTAGGTAGAGAATAGCACTAGAATTAGCAGAGGAGAGGGAGAGATATTATGTCAATGCTTTTCCTTCTGGTGGAGCAGAGAAACACACAGACGAACTTTCACCTGGTTTGTTTTGAAAGTGTCCTTAAAGGACCCTCTTCCCAGGGGCTGCCTACGTTTTTTGGCCACGGGGCTCATTTGCCTTTTTAAGAGAGCGTCGTGGGCACATCCACAGATCTGAGACTTGAAAAAGGGCACAGAGCTGGAGGAGGAAGAGGGAAAGAGCATCACACTTCCCCTTTCAGCTCTATGTTCTTCTCAGGGGAGAAAAAAGGTAATCGGTCTTTTGCTACCACGTGGCCATGGGGTGGGGCCCTCAGAGGCTCTACAAACACCAGGGGAAGACCACAGGGGCACCATTGCGCCCATGGGCACCACAATGGCAACTGCTGCTCCAGACTCTAATTTGCGGTGCATTATGGAGCAAAGGCAGACTCTGTTACGGTGCAGGGAATATGCATCAGAACTGCCTACCCTTCTCGTTCTTTCTTTCTTTCTTTCTTTCTTTCTTTCTTAAAAAGAGGGATTCTAGTCCTCATTGTTCAAGATGGAAATTGGAAACCCTGCCAAGTCCTTCTGAGCAAAATGTATGCAGATAGGTGAACAAAACATGTTCCCTTGGGTGCCAGCGTTGCGACCCACAGAACAGAAAACAAGGTTGTTATATTGCTCTATCCTATCAACCTCTCAGTCTCCTCTTCTCCAGGCTAAACATACTCAACTCCCTCAACCGTTCCTCATAAGGCTTGTCTTGCAGACCCTTTATCCTCTTGGTCGCCATCCTCCACACATGCTACAGCTTGTCGATATCCTTCTAAAACTGTGGCACCCAGAACCAGACAAGTTGCTATTTCAAGAATAACCTGGCAGAGGTTGGCCATCTGTGCCTGATATGTCTTTCCTATGCTGTTCTTTTGATAGGCTGCTCTTATATTATTTTAAATAGGTATTTTAATCACTTTACTCTCATGCTGGGTGACATGAGCCTTTGGAGCGGCTCTGAGGCCCCCTGGTGGAAAACCCCGGGATAGACACTTAAAGAACATAAGGCAGAAGTCATGACATGAGCCCAGTCTCTCTCTCTTTCTCTCTCTCTCTCTCTCTCTCTCTCTCTCTCTCTCTCTCTCTCTGTGTGTGTGAAAAGTTTTGCAGGGATAGAGGGAGTGAACTATGCAATCCTGCAACCCCCCCCCTTGCTGATTGACCTGGCCCACCACCAGAAAAAAGGGTTCCCCACCACTGTCCTAAAAGGGTTGGTCCTTCAGGCAGCTAGACCTTGCCAACTATCTTAAGAACAAGGCGAGAGACTTTTGACCTTCCAGAGGTTGCTGAGCTAAAACTCCCACCTCACCCCTGACTGCTGGCTATGCTAGCTGGGGCTGATGGCTGCTGCAGTAGCCCAGCAACATCTAGAGAATCCTCAGGTTCCCCATTGGCAGAGCAGCCACTCATGCAGGGACACAACACACAGCCTCCTTTCCAGATGGTGCTCCCAGGAGCCTTTAGCCCAGGGATGAGGAAGCTGTGGCCCACCAGATGTTATAGACTATAACTCCCATCTTCCGTGACCAGCGGGTGCACTGGCTGGGGTTGATGGGAGTCTTGTCCAACTACATCTAGAGCAGCGGTGCTCTACCTGTGGGTCCCCAGATGTTGTTGGACTACAACTCCCATCATCCCTGAGCTATGGCCTTGCTAGCTAGGGGTGATGGGAGTTGTAGTTCAACAACATCTGGGGACCCACAGGTTGAGAAAGGCTGATCTAGAGGGGCACAGGATCTGTGCCGTTCCTTAAGAGGTCAAAAAGCTGCTCAGGAGCACAACCACCGCAGTGCCTTGCTGTTGTCAGTGGAGAAGGAATTTTTCATCCTCTCCACTTCCTCACAGCCATTACCTGTAGTCCCGAAATGTGTAGGCTGGCGGCTCTTTGACACACACTAAAGCCTCTGCGTTAAGGATGCAGTTGTCCACGTGTACAGGGTGGCTCGGATCCGCCCGGTCTTCCTGTTTATCTGCACGGGAGACAGGCAGCGCTGAAAGTTTGCACCACTGCGGCCAGCCTGCCACACTCCGCAGCGAAGATTCAATTACCCAAGCACCCGGCTTTTGAAAGAAAGCAGCCCTTCACATTTCTAGTCCTCATGGTGCGTTTGGAAAGGCAAACTCCAGGCAGGCAAGAGGCCTGGCGAGAGTTGGAGGGCACATTCCAGCCAGGCCAGAAACACCCAGAGAGGTGCGAGGCAGGGCTGGTGAGGGGGTGTGGCCTGGTGAGGGGTGTGGCCTGGTGAGGGGGTGTGGCCTGAGGCAGGGTGTTTTGCGCTAGAGGATGTGCAGAATGCCCTACTTGCCTTCAATAGCAGTGCGGCACACCAGGTGGGAGTAAGAGAAGTGCAGGGGTGTGTCCAGGCGGAAATAGGACTCCATCACTAGCCGGACCTTCTCGGTCACGTTGTAGTAGAGGTAAGCACTTTGCATGGGCACTTTGCCTTCCTGTCCCAGCTGCGGAGGCATAATAATAATAATAATAATAATAATAATAATAATAATAATATTTTTTATTTATACCCTGCCCTTCCCGGTTCAAAAACCGGGCACAGGGCAGCTAACAACAAATTTAAAACACTTTAAAACACTGAATTATAAAAGCAGCATAAAATACAGTATAAAAACATGAATAACAATAAAAATCAAAAATCAATTAGATAATCCCCAGGGCTAGCTGGCTGAATTGGTCCTACTTGGGCCAGCGAGGAGGCCAGGGGAGAATTAGCTGTGGGGTCTCAGAGCGGGTGATCTTCATAAAAGGGGAGGGGGAAGGAAGAGAAGGGAAGGGAAATAAAAGATCAGTCTGAATTCAAATTAAAGGCCAGGCGGAATAACTCTGTCTTACAGGCCCAATGAAAGGAAGTTAAATCCTGAAGGGCCCTAGTTTCATGGGACAGAGAATTCCACCAGGTCGGAGCCATCACTGAAAAGGCCCTGGCGGAGGATAGTCTGACTTCCTTAGGGCCCGGGACCTCTAAACTATGGAACTTAAGGTCCTCTGCGGGGCATACCAGAGAGGCGGTCCCATAGATACGAGGGCCCTAAGAGGCACACAGAGGAGGTTCAAGTCCCGGATAACAACAACAACTTATTATTTATACCCCGCCCATCTGGCTGGGTTTCCCCAGACACTCTGGGCGGCTCCCAACAGAATACTAAAAACACGATAAACGGTCAAACATTAAAAACTTCCCTAAACAGGGCTGCCTTCAGGTGTCTTCTAAACATCAAATAGTGGTTTATTTCCTTGACATCTGATGGGAGGGCGTTCCACAGGGCAGTTGCCACCACCGTGAAGGACCTCTGCAAGGTTCCCTGTAACCTCACTTCTCGCAGGGAGGGAACCGCCAGAAGGCCCTCTGGGCTAGACCTCAGGCTGAATGATGGGGGTGGAGACGCTCCTTCGGGTATACTGGGCCGAGGCCATTTAGGGCTTTAAAGGTCAACACCAACACTTTTAATTGTGCTCGGAAACATACTGGGAGCCAACGTAGGTCTTTCAGGACCGGTGTTATATGGACTCGGCGGCCACTCCCAGTCACCAGTCTAGCTGCTGCATTCTGGATTAGTTGTAGTTTCAAAGGTAGCCCCACGTAGAGCACATTGCAGTAGTCCAAGGGGGAGATAACCAGAGCATGCACGACTCTGGTGAGACAGTCTGCCAGCAGGTAGGGTCTCAGCCTGCATACCAGATGGAGCTGGTAGACAGCTGCCCTGGACACAGAATTGACCTGCGCCTCCATGGACAGCTGTGAGTCCAAAACGACTCCCAGGCTGCACACCTGGTCCTTCAGGGGCACAGCCACCCCATTCAGGACCAGGGAGTCCCCATACACCTCCTGCCCCCTGTCCCCCCAAAACAGTACTTCTGTCTTGTCAGGATTCAACCCTCAATCTGTTAGCAGTCATCCATCCGTCAACTGCCTCCAGACACTCACACAGGACCTTCACCGCCTTCACTGGTTATGATTTAAAAGAGGTAGAGCTGGGTATCATCCGCATACTGAAGAACACCCAGCCCAATCCCCCTGATGATCTCTTCCAGTGGCCTGTCCTGGTCCCTATTTCCGTGGGCTCACCGGCTTTAAAAATGGACTACTGCCCCGAAGACAACAGGTCCTGTGCTCCATCTTCCCTGACCCAGGCACCTGGGTCATTTGTTTATTTCATGACATTTCTCAGACTTGGATGGGTCTCCAAGGGTCATCTAGTCCAACCCCCTGCAATGCAGGAATCTTTTGCCCAACTTGGAGCTTGAACCCACAACCCTGAGATTAAGATTCCTGTGCTCTGCCGACTGAGCTATCCTAGGTCTGCCGCTTGATGGTACACACACAGCAAAAACAACCATCTCAATAACTATTTACAAAAAAGACAAACGGGGAAGATCTGGAATCGGAGCGGCGAACTGTTTCAAAAGGACTGGAGCAAATTTATATTTTATATGAAAGAAAATTGCAAACATTTGAAAACGTTTGTAGGTTTGAGTTGGAATGTTTTGTAATGTGAATAGAAGGAGCTGATTTACATATAATGAGGTGAAATCTTAAAGGGAGATAGAAAGTAAAAAGGGGGTTATAGAGATGCTAAGAATTTAGTAAACATGTTTGGAAGTCAGAAAGAGGGAGGGAAGGAGGTCAGTGGTCAGTTGAGCAATGTTTAAGGTTATTGATGTATGTAACAAAATGTGATTATGATAAATATGGAAAACTCAATAAAAAATATTATAAAAACAAAACAAAACAAAAAAGACAAATGTTTATCGGTAAGAAAAATTAACAGCAACAATTCAAAACTCCCCAAAAGTTGAGGGAACAAATGGCCATGGCTTATTATTCTGCAGTAATGTTGGGATCTAGCTAAGGAGGCCGCAATGCTTTCTGTGTTTGTTACAGCCCAAACATCACTGAAAGCAACTTCCGTCTGAGTCTTTGATGACAAAGACAGAGATTTACACAGGAAACAGTCCCATTCAAGCAATTCGTGTCTACAAAACTGCACCATTGGAGGCAGCGATGCTTCTGAATACCAGCTGCTGGGAACCACAGGAGGGGAGAGGGCCCTTGTGTTCGAATCCTGCTTGTGGGTTTCCCATGGTGCGAAGAGGATGCTGGATTAGGGGTGCCATCGGCCTGATCCATCAGGGCCCCCCCCTTACATTCTTGTGTCCTGGATTCCCCCCAGAAGTCTGAGCCCAGCTTTTTGCTCTTTCAGAGGCTTACCTTGAGTGCTTTATAGACGGTGACACCATAGAAAGTTTCGCTGGGGGTGTGTGGGGAGGTCTTCCCGCGGTAGCCATCCCCGGCAGAGGCAGCTGCCTGCATTGGGAGAGGGTAGAGAAGATATATATATATATATATATATATATATATATATATATAACTGAACATTTATCTCTCTCTCTACTTGTGTGTGTTAAATTTTGTGCTTTACAATTTAGAATATTCATTTATACAACCTTAAAATAGCAATGACTTCCCTTCTGTCTCCATGGTTCATTTTACATAGCATAAATCCCTGCATATTTTATATAAACTAAACCATTCCGTATTCTATTATTACTTCCATCGATACTTATTTACATTGTTGGATTTATCTTAATGCTGCCAATGTTTTCAAGTGTACACAATTCCCCTCCCTGCCATGTATTCAATAAACGTTTTCCAATCTTCTTTAAACGAATGTTCTTCTTGTTCTCTTATTCTATACATTAGATCCGCAAGCTGCGCGTATTCCATCAGTTTAAGTTGCCATTCTTCTTTGGTTGGGAACCTCGCTCCATTTCCATTTTGGGGCTAAAAAACATGGGCTGCTGTAGTGGCATATAAATAACCATTTTTGACACCTGGGAATTTCCATCTGAATCATCCCCAACGAAAAGGAAAGGTGCTTTTAAACATTTTTTTCCAATTCATTATAAATTATTTCCCAATACTCTTTTACAGGTCCACCACACATGAAAGAACGTACCCTCAACCTCATTGCATCTCCAGCACTTATCTGATTCAGTCTTACACATCTTAGCAAGTCTACTCCAAGTAAAACTGAACATTTCAATCCATTTTTTCTTCTGGGGTTGTGTTGAAAACCCCAAGTAAAAAAAGAGAGTAAAAGACCTTTGGACGTTTAAGTCCAGTCAAAGGCGACTATGGGGTGCGTTGCTCATCTCGCTTTTCAGGCTGAGGGAGCCAGCGTTTGTCCACAGACAGCCTTCCGGGTCATGTGTCCAGCATGACTAAACTGCTTCTGGCGCAATGGAACACCATGATGGAAACCGGAGCGCACGGAAATGCCGTTTACCTTCCCGCCACAGCAGTACCTATTTATCTACTTGCACTGGCGTGCTTTTGAACTGCTAGGTAGGCAGGAGCTGGGACAGAGCAACAGGAGCTCACCCCATTGTGCAGATTTGAACCGCCAACCTTCTGATCGGCAAGCCCAAGAGGCTCAGTGGTTTAGACCACAGCGCCACCCGCGTCCCTCAAGCAGGACTCATCTCAGGCCAAATGGCAGAGCTTGAGAACAGCCCCCTCGTGGTTCAATCCCTGTGCATTTCTAGGGTCAGACAAACAGCTAAGGCAGCTGAGCTGAGAAAGAACCACCCTGGACCAAGATTCTAGAGTGAGCTGCAGCCTCCCAGAGCATCCACAGTGCTGTGTTGGGACCTGAGGGGCAGCTACTCACATTGGTCAGCCTCTGCAGCGTCCGGCACTCCTCTTCGGACAGAAAGCCATCCACCACCACACGCTGGGAGCCGTTGAGCAGCTTGGAGTTCATGGTGATGCCAAGCCCGTCGTACACCAAGGGGCCTCCTGTGTGAGGCAACAAGAAGCAGTCAAGGCGTTATGGAACCTAGAGGCCCTTCAAGATGCTGCTGGACTCCAGCTCCCATCAACCCTCAACTGATAGGGATGCTGGGAGCCGTAGTCCATCGTCCTCTGGGGGAGCGAATTGGCCGCTGGGTGCAGCTGGAGCTGGGACTAAGCCTTGTCCTTCCAGTCAACAATCTCGAGCTCTGTCCTAGCTTCAGTTTAGGAGCTGTCTTCAAGGGCAGCCCCATGCATAAGTCACTGCAGCAGTCTAACCAGAGAGGAGGCGGCAGAAGCTAGGTTAGAGGCATGTCAGGGGTGTGGCCCCTCTGGATGCTGCTGAAACCTGCATCATCTCCAGTCAACATAGCCAACGGTCAAAGTTAAAGGGAGTTGGGAGTCCTTATGGAGGGCCGCAGGTTCCCCATGCGCGAAGAAATGGATTAGACCCTGCAGTTGGGACACAAGAGCTGGAGACACAGCTGGAGCCATGGGAAGAGACCCCTTTCCCTTGGCCACCAACAAACACCCAGACTGCCCTGTCACCTTCTCGCACGAGCTTGTTCATGTCCGTGGATTCCTTCGTCTTCTCCTCCACCAGGTTCTCAATCTCCTTCATGAGGTTGCCTATCTCTTCCGAGATGCGGGCTGCCGTCTCGCGCTCCACCCTGCAGAGAATGGAGAGACAGGGCGGCGTCATCGGCTGGAAGGTCAACAGCAACTCACTCTATGTGGGGCTGCCCTTGAGACTGACCCAGAAACTCCACCGGGTGCAGAATGCCATGGCGAGACTCCTTACGGGGTCCTCACTGCGGGATCACATTCACCCGGTGCTATACCAGCTGCACTGGCTCCCAGTGGAGTACAGGATCAGGTTCAAGGTGCTGGTTTTAACCTTTAAAGCCCTATACGGCCTAGGACCCCTGTTCCTACGGGACCGCCTCTCCTGGTATGTCCCACGGAGGACCTTACGGTCTTCAAATAAAAACATATTGGAGATCCCAGGCCACAGGGAGGTTAGGCTGGCCTCAACCAGAGCCAGGGCTTTTTCGGCCTTGGCCCCAATCTGGTGGAACGCTCTGTCACAAGAGACTAGGGGCCTGTGGGACTCGACATCTTTCTGCAGGGCCTGCAACACGGAGCTGTTCCACCAGACCTTTGGCCAAGGTACAGTCTGACCCCCTCCTTCGGTAATCCTCATAGAACTCTAGCCCAATGGCTGCCATTAATTTGATTCAGAATTGATTTTAGAATGAACTGATTTTAGAATGTATTTCAATTAATTGATTGTGATTTTATGTAAACTGTGTTACTTTTACTGTTGTTAGCTGCTCTGAGCCCGGCTTCAGCTGGGGAGGGTGGGATATAAATAAAAATTTATTGTTACTATTGTTGTTGTTGTTGTTGTTGTTGTTGTTGTTATTATTATTATTAACAGGTAGACCTTGGAATGGAGCCAATTGCTGGCCTGGGCGGTGCGGTTGGGGAGAAGAGTTCCCATGCAGATGTGGGAAGGAGAGCCAGGTTCAAAAGCCTAACTCCGAGCTATAAGGCAGCCAGGGAGAACAAACAAGGCAGAGACATAAGCAGAGAGCCAGCATGGTGTAGTGGTTAGAGTATTGGACTAGGACCTGAGAGACCAGAGTTCAAATCCCCACTTCGCCATGAAGCTCTCAATGGGTGACCTTGGAGCCAGTCCCTGCCTCTCAGCCTTGGAGGGCTGTTCTGGGGATTAAATGAGGAGGGGAGCCATGGAAGCCACCTGGGGCTCCTTGAAGGGAAAAGTGGGCTATAAAAGCATTTAAAAAGGGCTGGGGAGAGAAAGTCTATTGAAAAAGGCGCTCACTTCTGCTTCTCTTGCAGCCTCTTAGGTATCACCTCTTCCGGCGTCCAAGTGTCCTTAAAAACAGGGGGAGAGAAAAAGAACTTAGCGCAAGGAATTCCCCGAAAACTTACAACCAGGGGTGGTGGAATTCTCGGCCTGCTGAGCTTCCTGGTCTCAGCTGTCCAGTCGTTGTGGTCAGAAACTGGGGATGATGGGAACTGTAGTCCAATAACATGTAGCTATCCACAGATCCCTTCCTCCTTGACTCACGCAGTGCCAGCTCTGTCACCTCCCCACCTCAAAGCCCGAGGCCCCACACTTTGCACCTTCTCCTCGTCCGCCTTTCCTTAAAAAAAAAGGGCAAAACGGAGCGGGTGCCAGGCCGAAGGAGCCGCCTCTTACCGGGTCCACGAAGGGGATCCCAAAGACGTCGTAGGCGAAGAAAAGCTGCTCTTTCTCCAGAAGGCTGCGTCTCCAATAGAGCTCAACATCCTGAGCGGAGAGGGGAAAAAGGAGGGCAGAAAAGTTAGAAGCGGGCAAATCAAACAGATTCCTCGATTAGCCAGCACAGGGGTGTTTCAGCTGAAGGACCAAATCTCCCTCAGCCTGGGGTCTGAGATCTTCTAGGGAAGCCTTTCTCTCAATCCTGCCACCCTCCCAGGCATGTTTGGTGAGAGAGAGGGGCTTAGTAGCTTCTTTCCACAGGGAGCCTAGGCAGCGTGTTGAATTGTTTCAACTTTCGAATATCAAAAAAGGAGGGGCGCTAAAAAGTCGTAACACGACTTGGGAATCTGAAACATATTTTGGTTGAATTGATATAATCTACTTTTGCTTAGTAAGCGAAACGTGTGTAAAACTGCATAGAAATAATAAAAAATGGCTGCCAAGCACTTTCAGTTACATTTATGGTTACCTGACATTTACAGAAGGTAAACTTAAGATTATTTGGTTTCCGAAAGCAGTTTATGTGCCTCTTCATCAAACATAGACTTATCAAGGTAAATGTTGTCCAATCAGAAAAAGAATAGCAGGTTTGAATTCCTCACACCTCAAAGCATATTTTTAAGACCCCACTCACTGAAGAAATTTACAAAAAATAAGCTTCACTCCATACTAGGATGGTCCCCTCTCTGCTTTCCTCTTGCTGGTAGGCAAAGACTTTCTTTTCTTTTCTAATATAAATAGGATAGGCAGTAATAAAAAGATATAAAACAAGTAACGGCAGAAGGGAAGTTGAAGAAAATGAGGACTGTGGATTGATGTAAAGATTTTTTTTTAATTTGGCAAATATATGTAAAATGGAAAAAATAACATTTATCTAAGAATCCCTGTGGGGGAAAAGACTTTCTTTTCTTGTTCAGACAGGTCTTTGGCCATTAACTGGCCACTGTGTTGCGGCAGGCCTTCTGTGTGTGTATGTGTGTTATGCATCCCCCCTCATTCTTGTGCTGTTTTTTATAATATGCTCACTTATTTATTCTTGATATTTATTGTGTGCTTTTCGTTGTACCCGTGGGCCCCTGTACTGCACCCACCAGGACACCCACCTTTCTGGGGCGTACAGGCGTGGCCAGGTTGTCCCCCAGCACAGCTGTGTAGTAGGCCAGGTTCTGTTTCATCACTTCGTCGTTAGGGAAGAAGAGCAAATAGGTTTTGGCACACTCAATGGCCTTCTCGTAGTCGCCGCCTGGAAAAGGGGAGAGAACTAGCATAAGGACGCAAAAAGAAGACGACGACCTGCATCTGGATCAGGCCAGGCACCCATTTGGTCCAGAGGGGCAGATTATCAGATCCCCCAAGGGGAATCCTGCAAGCAGGACCTGGGAGCAACAGCAACTGCTATTCAGAGGCAAAGCAGTGGAGGGAGAATGTACCGTATTTTTCACTCTATAGGACGCACCCGACCATAAGACACACCTAGTTTTAGAGAGGGAGAACAAGAAAAAAAATTCTCTCCCTCTCTGCGCAGTGCTCCCTCAGCGAAACGGCAGGAGAAACGGAGCCCCTTCCATTTCTCCTCCCGCTTCGCTGAAGGGGCGTTACTTCCGGGTTTCGCCGCTCGCGCATGCGCATGATGTCACGCACATGTGCGGAAGCAGCGAATCGCGACCTGCGCGGGTTACATTCACTTCAGGATGCGAACGGGGATCCAGAACGGATCTCATTCATATCCAGAGGTACCACCGTACTTGCAAACCGCTTAGAAGCCTCTTTGGGTGTTACAAAGTGTATATATTAACCCATTATCTAGGCAAACACATTTATTGTATACTGTACAATGTATGGTGCGTTTTAGGTATGTGATATCATGAGGGTGAAAAAGGATAATTTTTCCTGGAAAGGGGGCACAGAGTAAAACAGCTGACGGGGGAAGCAGGCCAGTTTCCTACCACAAAAATAAGAACCATTGTGCCTGGACCTTTTCTCTCTACTTACTGTTGTAGTAGGCAAACTGAAGGTAGTTGAAATGAGATGGGAGGAAGTCCTCAATGGGCTTCTCAGTTCCGGTTTGAGATGCAAGTTCTGTGACGCAACCTTGCTTGCAGCTCAACACTTGTGTGTAGTGATCTGGCAAAAAAACGATGACAACAAACCAGTTTCTTCTTAAGAACAGGACCAGAGAGTTAGAGGGGGTTTTGCAGGCCAGAAGCAGGGAACCTACAGGCTGTGTGCCATATCAGACCCAGGACAGACCAAACCCTGGCTACCTACCCCACACCTGATATCATATGTGACGTCAGGTGTGGGGCAGGAAAGGCTGTGGCTACAAGGAACAATCCTTAAAGTGAGCTCCTGACTGTTCCTTTGCAAACAGGACTTGCCGTTCAATGCAGACAGCTTTGCCCCTTTGCAACTGTGGTTTGGATTTATTTTTCCCAGACTGCATTGGCAAACCAACTCCCATCCCTCTTCACTTCGTATGCTCCTGAGTGGTTAAAAAGAAAAGGGGGAAAAAGGTAAAGGACCCCTGAACAGTTAAGTCCAGTCAAAGGCGACTATGGGGTGCAGTGCTCATCTCGCTTTCAGGCCGAGGGAGCTGGCGTTTGTCCGCAGACAGCTTTCCGGGTCATGTGGCCAGCATGACTAAGCCGCTTCTGGGGCAACGGAACACTATGATGGAAATCAGAGCGCACGGAAATGCCGTTTACCTTCTTGCCACAGCAGTACCTATTTATCTACTTGAACTGGCGTGCTTTGGAACGGCTAGGTTGTCAGGAGCTGGGACAGAGCAACGGGAGCTCACCCTGCTGTGGGGATTTGAACCGCTGACCTTCTGATCGGCAAGCCCAAGAGGCTCATTGGTTTAGACCACAGCGCCACCCACATCCCCTGCTCCTGAGTGGTGCAGTCCAGCCACAAACTGAATGGGGCGCTTCGGCATTTAGAGAAAAGAATTCATGGAGTTTCTTTTGCTCGTCCACAATACTCAGGCCTCTGGGTAGGGCTCACCAATGATAGCTTGGAAAAGATCCGCGTTGTACTCGAGGTAGTTGTAGCCTTCGTAATCGTACGGCCCCTCGCAAAGGGCTCGGCACTCTGTGTCGGCGACCCAGTAGGCTTCTAGTGCCTTCTCCAGGTGCAAGATGGCCGCCTGAGGCTTCTCCTCTGTGTAGTAACTCACGCCCAGGCGGAATTCTTCCTACAAAAAAAAGGGGGCATGGGAAGCAGTCAGAACTTGTGTGAGAGATGGGAAGCACAGATTGGAAGCTAGTCCACCAACCTCAATCTTAGCTAGACTGCACATAGCATATGCTTGGAGGAATCTTGCTTTCTCAGACTTTATTAAGGCTCATGGCAAAGACCCTTTTTATCTGGCTGGCAAAGCCTGTCGGAACAAAATTGCCTTCAGTTATTTATGGAAAGCGCAGAGGGTGCGTGCCTGTCGGATTCCCCAGAATGGGGCACCCACCTTGGAGGCCCTGCTGCAGGTCAGTGCGGAGAGGGCTCCTGGGATCTTTGAAACTGGAAGGAGATACGTAAGGAAGCAGGCTGTCTCTCAGGTGTACAGTAAGAAGCACCGTGCCTTATACGTCAGCGCCTCAAACTTGGCCCAGTTGCAGTTTGGCCACCAGTGCGAATCCCACAAACAAGGTGTTATATGCTGGCAGTAGTTTGGCTCGACAAGCAATGTAGCTGCTCTGGTCTGCACCAGCTCACCCCATTGCTCCTGCCACTGTCATCAAGAATGAGGTGTTCCAGCATGTGGTGTTGCCACTCATCCTGCCTGCCCCTGAGCAGAGAACTCGAGCTGCAATGCTTTGGGGAGAACCCTGGCTCTTGCAAGAACAGGGAGGCTGCGGGAATAGAAGGGGAGCGGGCCAGCAGCAATTGCTGTTTTGCCTCAGGCGGTGAAACAGGATTTGCCACCTCTAGGCCCTGTGGTGGGAATTTTCCAGTCAGGAACCCAAGCAGCTGCTGTGGAGAGCACCAGTCTTATGGCTGGAATGACCGTGTTTGAATATTGAGGGATGCCAGAATTTATTTATTTTTTTGTGGTGAGGGGGAGGGTTCTGCCTCCCCTCCTCATCACAGGTGTCACCAGGTTTCAGGCCTGGGCAGGATTGAACCCTGACACCTACTTGCTAAGTCTCCTCTGCAAAGCCACACACATACACGGTCCACAGAAAGACCCATTTGGAGACCACATTTGTGGCTCAAAATGTGGAATTTCTGTAGCCCAGGCTAGATCCTGGACCACCTTAGGTAGTAATTCATAGGCATAATCAGAGGCGCCATTTTGAATAAAATATTGGGGAGGGGGGAGGTAAGCCACACCCCTCATAATCAATCATATGATGTGGTGCGCGCACACCATTTGAATGGCAATGCCCATCAACATGAGGGGGATGGGACAATCCCCTCAAATATTTTATTGGGGGGGGGCTGGAGATCCCTCAGGCCCTAGGATTTGGCTCCTGTGGGCAGAATATGGACTCTCTCTGTGCATATGTGTTTATGTGTGTTGGGGGGAGAATCTGGGCGTGGGGACGTACAGTGGCCAATGGCGTTCTCACCATGTGCGGCTTGGCCTCCAAGTCGACAAAGTCAGAGTCTTTGACGCCAGCCATCATCTGGTAGTAGTCCAAGTTCTGCCGCATCTCCATGTGGTCAGGGTTGGCCACAAAGAACGTGTGGGCTGCGGCCACGGCTTTGTCGAGCTTGTTGATCTGAGGGAGGGAGGAATAAAGACAGTGTTGAGTGCATGAGATGAAACTTGGTGGACCAAAGGTGGGGAGCCTTTCACAGTCTGGGGGGTGGGGTGGGGCGGTCTCATTCTGTTTGAGCCAAACCTCTGTGGGTCGGGGAATATGCTAGTAAAGAGTAGTATCAGAGGCCGAAGTGAGCGAAGCATTGAAAATAATAATAATGATGATGATGATGATGATTAGGTGTCTCAAAGTGCACAACAAAAACAGACCTAAGAGACATTAAGATCAGATGCAAACACACCAGCAAAACAAATTGTTCTTTTTAAATATATATCTTACCCAAGTTCTCCCTACCCCACTTTAAAAAATGAGCATGAAAACAGCCAAGTTACATCCAAGTGACCTTCCCAATTAAAAACCAAGAGCCTGGGCAGATAAAATGTTTTACTTTTGTATAGCAGTCCAGTTTCTACACATGCAGAGGTGCTGAACCTGAGATTACCAAAATTGCAACAAGCCCTGCTGTTTGAGAGTTTCAGGGCCAGCCAAAGACATTTTGCTGCCCGAGGAAGAAAAGGCTGCCCCTCCCTCACCCCCTTCTACCACCATTCAAAGCCAACCAGAGAGGCAGCTGAATTCTACAACAACGCTGGCAATACTGCAGTCACCTCCATGGCACCTGAGGGCATTGGGCTGGCTTGCCCTCGGCGGGCAATCTTTTTACTCTGATGGCCAGCAGGTCGCACTATCTGCCATCCCTGAACAGCCAAAAAACACACACACCAAAGGCCCCTCCAAATTGCTTGTGTGAATTCTGCAAGAGTCCACACACATGCTTTATTCATGGTTCTGTGATGCTTCCCTAGGGTTAGCCTATTATTGCCATCTGGAGGGGCAATTCTGGAGCTACAGCACATCAAAGCAGGAAAAAAAAATGAATGAGATTTGTTATGGCCACTCCATTCAAGTTTGCTGAGAGATATAGACAATGAAATGCTTCCAACATTTGTGCTTTAGAAGTAATCTTAAAGAAGCTGGCCAGATCCCTCTTAAAGGACCTCCCCTATTTCTTAGTAAAAATTTTCCTGTTGCTGGGTTTTTAATTGGTTTTATTACTTGGAAAATGATTGATATATTTTAATTTTTAAAAGATATACATATATATATTAAAGGGCTCTTGGAGGAAAAACCTGATTGCTGCTGTTATTAATGCCTGCGTAGTGATTTGTTGCTGTTTTAATGGATTGTGTTTTCTAAAAACAATAAAGCGTAATTGAAAATAAAAAAACCCAAGAACATTTGCGAAAAGATTCCAGCAGGAAGTTTTGGAACACGCATCACTCGGAAAAGAAGGCGTGTGTCTGTGCAATGCATCTAACCGTCCTGATACCATCATGAGCACAGCTTTGCACAAACGCACAATGAAAAGGATTTCTAGAGAGGGCCCCCCCAAAACTAACAGGAAGACATGCAAACACCCCACAAGCAGTTCACTACGAAGGCAGATCAGCCAACTGGAGCACATAAATCACCCTATCCGATAGATAGCAATAGCAGGAGGATTAAACTGCGAGTTTTCGCCTTTTAAGAATGGAGAGAGCTTAGGAATCAGCCACAGAGAAGCCAACGGGGTTTTGGTGGGGGAGAAAGAGAGCCTGGCTTTTTCCATATTTGCTTTCTCAACTCCAGTTGTTGAATTGGCTCTGAAACCTGAGACCACGGGGGAAGGCCCCCCTCTTTTTCGTCTTCCTGCGCAGCCCCTCTATGGACGTGGCACATCGCCCCTCCTAAGGAAGTAGGGAGGAGAGAGAGACGAGAGAGGAAGGGCTGAACTTCTGGCCGCAGGGGAAGGAGCAGGAAAAACGCTTTCTAAGTGGCTGGAGTGAACATGTGGCAGACAAATGGATGGAGACTATAAGAGAGACAGGCCGGGTCAACTCTTCAGAACTGGAAAAGTGATTAAAGGCAAAACCCTTTCTGCAATAACTGTCCCTGAATCCAGGCAGCTCAAACTCATCAGCTCCTCCATCCCTGCTTTGTTCTCTTCAGATATTGCAACCGAGACCCAGGGCTTTCTACAAGGCTGCTTCCTATATAAGGACAAAGTATTCCTTCGTTTTCCAATTGTGCCACTGGAAATCTGGACCGACCTCAGATTTCCAGTGCCAGATTCAGTTGTCCAACTTTTCCCAGGCTTCCAACAAAGGGGAGATACTTCCAGGACTCGGGCAAAGTCCAGGCATTGGTCAATGGCATTGCAACCGACCCAGCCACTGGTGCATGAGGCAAAAGAGAAAGCCCATAAGTTCATCCATGGGGGCAGCGGCAGCAGGATTGGGGCTGAAATGAAGTGGCAGGTCCAGTCCTAAGCATGGATGTGAGACAGATCTGATGCATGCTGGACCAAGGCTTGTGGCCCACCTGGTCCAGCATCCTTCTGTCACAGTGACCAATCAGAAGTCTCAATGGGAAGCCTGTATGCTAGACTGGAGGGCAACAATGCTCTCCTTGCTTGCGATTTCCAGCAACGGCAAAACCATTTCTCCGATAATGGATGCTTTTCGAGATGCAGATGGTGCTGTTTTTTGCTTGCTCCCAGTAATATTATTTTCACCCACAGCTACAGTTTATTACACAGATACGATTAATAATATGTTCAACCTCTGTATGGCACTTTTAAGCACTTGGCGTATTTCAGATACATTTATCTAGCTGTAATCCTTATGAGCTTGCAAGATAAACCACTATCATTATACCCGTTTCTGCAGGCGGAAATGCGAAAGAGTGTGCAGATTTTCAGCTCTGTCTCTTAGCGGCTTTGCAATTTCTGTTTTCTTCCTCTCTCCTTCCTACAGTACCTATAGCCTGGTTTCTCCGTTTCTTTCCATAGAACCTATTAACGTTTCTTCGACCTCAACCTACACGATGTCAGATGGCAAGGAAGTGTTTTCTCTACTGCCAGGACTGCCTAGTGGAGGGACGGGGACTCTTCTTCAGCCAGGGGACAGCATTCCCTGCTGGGAAATCTTCTGAGGGCCATGTCCTAGTGATGGGGAAGTATCTGGAGTGCAAAGCAGAGTCATCAAAAGGCCTGGGGAGATTTCCAAGGGCCAGATAAATGGGCCTGGAGGGCCATACTTGACCTCCTGCCCTAGCCACTGAACTTCAGCATCCTGTTTCTCCACAGTGGGGGGGGGGGCGCTTCTGGGAAGCCCACCAGCAGGGCATGAAAAAAATGTGTTTTGTGCTAAACTGCCTCTGAACCTGGAGGTTCAACTTAGGCATTTTGACTAGTGGCCACTGACCTTTTTCTTTCAAAAGCCCACCAAGTGGCAGTGAGGTCCATACAGTGGTGCCTCGCAAGACGAATGCCTCGCAAGACGAAAGAGTTTTCCGTTTTTTTAGTCGTTCCGCAAGACGAATTTCCCTATGGGCTTGCTTCGCAAGACGAAACGTCTTGCGAGTTCGTTTCCTTTTTCTTAAAGCCGCTAAGCCGTTAATAGCCGCTAAGCCGCTAATAGCCGTGCTTCGCAAGACGAAAAAACCGCAAGAGGAAGAGACTCGCCGAACGGATTAATTTCGTCTTGCAAGGCACCACTGTACATACAAGCCCTTTCTCTCAAGCTTTTTCCCTATTCTCATTGTTTCCCTTGTTTCTCAGTTCCATCTTTCCTAAATTATCCCATTGCTGTATCTTCAAAATAAAAACTTTGAGGGCTCCTCTTCAAAGGAGATTTCTTGCCAAATCAGAGTAAAAGTCCATGTTGCCCAACAATCTGTCTCCAGAAATACATTGAATGTATTGAAGGCCACAAGCATGGGGAGAGAGACTGCCATTGCTATTTAAGTCCCATCATAAGAGAAGGTATACTGCTCTGAACTGGGGAGGCTTTGCTTTAGCTACCACAAATGCTCGTGGCATTTGTATTGACTTTAGGTTGTGTCCTGAACTTGCTATTGTTTTTGGTCACTGAAAGGCCACACAGCTTACTGTTCAAGAAGGAAAATACCAATTTCTCGCCCTGCATGCCTACTCAGAAGTAAGCACCACCATGTTCAGTGAGGCTTAAAGTGGCAGTGGTGTGGAGACAGCACAATTTTGGACATCAAAATGAATGTTGGAAAATCAGGGATCGACAAAAGAAAAGTACTTCTTCAGACAGTGCATGAACTCGCAGGTACGTCCAACAGGTAGATCGTGATCTACTGGTAGATCAGTGGATGTCTGTGGTAGATCACCAGTAGATCACTGGCTCCCCCAAAGAAGTCAAGAAGTCTTGCTCCCCTAAAAAAGCTCAACCTTTTTGCCCTGTGCCTCCTCCTTCAAAAAAGCTCAACAACTTTGACCTGAACCCACAAAAAGGGGGTAGATCACTGCTAGTCTTTAACCCTGTGAGTAGATCACAGTCTTTTGGGATTTGGCCAGCCCTGGGGAATTCAGAGGCAGTGATGGCCATCAACTTGGACTGCTTTAAAAGAGGATTAGCCAAACTAAGGCTATCAATGGCTACTAGCCCTGATGGCTATGTTTCTACCTCCACTGTTGGAGGAAGCAATGCTTCTGAATATCAGTTGTTGGAAACTACAGGAGGAGAGAGTGGACACAGACGACGCAGGGCCTGCTTGCCAGTTTCCATGGTACGGAATTGTAGAATTGTAAGAGTTGGAAGGGGGATGCAGGTGGTGCTGTGGGTTAAACTACAGAGCCTAGGACTTGCCAATCAGAAGGTCGGCGGTTCGAATCCCCGCGACGGGGTGAACTCCCGTTGCTTGGTCCCTGCTCCTGCCAACCTAGCAGTTCAAAAGCACATCAAAGTGCAAGTAGATAAATAGGTACCGCTCCGGTGGGAAGGTAAATGGCGTTTCCGTGGGCTGCTCTGGTTCGCCACAGCTGGCCACATGACCCGGAAACTGTACACCGGCTCCCTCAGCCAATAAAGCGAGATGAGCGCCGCAACCCCAGAGTCGGCCATGACTGGACCTAACGGTCAGGGGTCCCTTTACCTTTAAGAGTTGGAAGGGATCCTGATGGTCATCTAGACCACCCTCCTGCAACGCAGGAATCTTCTGTCCACTGTGGGGCTCGAACCCACGACCCTGAGATTAAGAGCCTCCTGATCTGCTGACAAAGTTGTCCCAGTAGGTATCTGGTTGGCCACTGTGAGAAAAGGATGCTAGACTAGATTTGAGCTCTTCTCACATTCTTAAAAGGAACATTAAAATCAATTAGGGTTCCAACCAGCAGCATCAAACCATCTCTTCCAACCCCCTCTAACTTTTGCTAAAACTGAATCCAACTGAATTCAACGGGGCCTACTTCCCGGGTAAATACGCAGAGAGGATTGGGAGGAATCCAAACCAAGCTGGATAGATCCCCCAGAGGGGCTCCCGTGACTCCTTTCCTCCCTGAGAAGGTCCCGATCCATTTGAAAAGATCCTCCCCCACCCCCCAATCCTATCGCCATCAGTCCCCGATCCAAGTGAACAGGCTACCTTGAAATAAGCCACTTGGAGATAGTTGTACGGACTGCGCTTGCGGAACTCCAGCTCCGTCTCCTCGCCGAGCTGGTAGCGGGAGGAGCCGTCGGGGAGGCACTTGCGGAGGCAGCCGGCGCGGCGGAGGAGCTGCCCGAAGAAGCGGAGGTCGTCCAGCGGGCGCCGCTCTCCGACGGCGGGAGGCCCCGGGTGCTGCTGTTCGTCCTCCGCCGGGCGAGGCGGGGCTCCGTCGGTGCTGTTGGCAGCGCAGCGCAAGCGGCACTGGATCAGGCGCGCCCGGTGCGCCTCCCGCGCCCGCAGCGCCCTCTCCATATGCAGGATGACGGCGCTCCAGTCCCCGCGGGCATAAGCCTCCGTGCCCGCCGCCAGCAGCATGTCCGCGGGAAGCGAGGAAAGGTCCGTCTCGGCCCCGACGGCAGGGACGGAGAGCTGCGCCGCCAGCACCAGGAGCCCAAAGAGGGGCCGCGCAAGCAGCTCCCGGGGCGCCATCGTGGCTCGTTCGCCGGCTGCGAAGGGGCGCGCAGGGAGGCTGGCCACGCCCACCCCGACGGGGAGGAGGCCCCGCCCTCGGTAGCAAATAGCCCCGCCCATCTCCCGGAGGCCCCGCCCCCGGGATCTCTTCTGCTAGGGACTCCACCCCTCCCTGCAGAGACGTACTCCCAGTTTTGTGCATAACCACGCCGAAGTTTTTTTATGGGTGCTCTTTATTTTTAATGCTCGGTTTAAATTGTGTGTGTGTGTGTGTTCTACTCTCCTGCAATTCTTATTCAGTTATTTTTATTTGTTCATTGCGAAGCTTGATGCGCTGCTTTGAACCTCGAAGTGGTTTATAAAAAAAGAAGAAGACTCAAGATATAAAAAAGAAACTCTCAGAAGCAGCTGTTTAAAACATTCAAGATTCAACCATCAAAAGCTAAAAATCAAAACACACGTCCGTGATCTGTTGGATGGACTTAACAAAAATGTTCTTGGTAGGTGCAATGCTAAGTCCACTTACATGGGAGTAAATCCCCTTGAATTCAATAGCCTGCTTCTGAGTGGACACGGGTAGGGCTGCACAGCTACACCGAAGGCAGTGAGATTTCTTTCCGATTGCGCTTCTTAAATGTCACAAGCGAAACAAGACCTGGATCAGAAAAAGGAGGGACTTTCTCTCGCTTGGCACTTTCCGCCCTGACTTTGTTAAGTCACAGCTAACCTTAAAACTTTGGATTTCCCCTTGGGGGAAAGGGTGGGGGGAAAGTTCTGCTGATTCCCGCTATACCACTTCAGAAGCCTAGTGGTGGTCTAAAATTTTAGCAAGTCTATGCACCGCTCCCAGAAGCTCCGCCCATTTCCTGCCTTCTTTCTCAAGAGGGGCCCTGAGTGGCCACGCCTACAAAAGGGAACCGCGCCTCCAATCTCCTGAGGCTCCGCCCCTCAGCGGCTCGTCAATCCACCCCGTTCCCCCGTTCGTGGCCTCCCTATTGGCGGAAAGGCTGGCTCCGCCTACTCCGTTCTGTCCCCTGGGTGCCCCGCCTTCTTTCTGACGTAAGACGATCGGAGGCCAATGGGCGGTCGAAGGGGGCGGAGCTTGTGCCACGAGGAATGGCGGCCAGGGCGGAAGCGGAGTCCGAAGCCGGTGCCGCTGTTGAGTCTCCGGCCGCCTTGTCTCAGGGGGCGGCGCTGGTGGAGTCCAACTTCCAGCTTGCTCCGTCTGCGCGGAAGGCTCGTCCTTCGGACTTGGTGGCTCTAGCAGAGCAGGTGCAGAAGGTGAGTGAGGAGGGTGCCTCTGAGAGCGTGCAGAGCGCCTGTGTTTGATGAGCCTCCGGGCACGTGCAGAGTGGGTTTTTGTTGTTGTTTATTAATGCCTGATTGAATGTTCGGTGGTTGTTCCGTGGGCCTTGGCAATGGTGGCCTCTGGATGACAGCTAGGGTGAGCATGTCAGCGTGTCCCCCAAACTGCATTTGCCGGTTTCGTGTAGTGTTTAGAATGCTGGACTTGGACCTGGGACACCGGGGTTCACATCCCCATTAGGCCACGAAGCTCTCACAGGGTGACCTTAGGGCAGTCACTGCCTCTCAGCCTAACCTACCTCACAAGGTTGTTGTGGGGATTAAACTAGGAGGGGGAGAACCATGAACTCTACAGCAGCCACGAAATTAGAAGATGCCTGCTTCTTGGGAGAAAAGCAATGACAAACCTAGACAGCATCTTAAAAAGCAGAGACATCACCTTGCCAACAAAGGTCCGTATAGTAAAAGCTATGGTTTTCCCAGTAGTGCTGTATGGAAGTGAGAGCTGGACCATAAAGAAGGCTGATCGCCGAAGAATTGATGCTTTTGAATTATGGTGTTGGAGGAGACTCTTGAGAGTCCCATGGACTGCAAGAAGATCAAACCTCTCCATTCTGAAGGAAATCAGCCCTGAGTGCTCACTGGAAGGACAGATCCTGAAGCTGAGGCTCCAATACTTTGGCCACCTCATGAGAAGAGAAGACTCCCTGGAAAAGACCCTGATGTTGGGAAAGATGGAAGGCACAAGGAGAAGGGGATGACAGAGGACGAGATGGTTGGATAGTGTTCTCGAAGCTACCAGCATGAGTTTGACCAAACTGCGGGAGGCAGCAGAAGACAGGAGTGCCTGGCGTGCTCTGGTCCATGGGGTCACGAAGAGTCAGATACGAATAAACGAATAAACAACAACAACAAAATAAATAGGGTCATTACTGCTACTCACATATGTCAAAATGTTTGAGCACACTAATGTTGGTTACAACCCTGAGTACACACCTTGAAATTAATGGCCAGGACTTAACTTATTTCCATTAATTTCATTGGGTCTTCACTGATTTAAAGTGGATTATTATTGTTCATTTATGAATGCCCTTCCGCGCAAATGTCTCAAAGTGCTGTACAAAAGCCACCCTTTAACTTTTGTTGTTATATGGAGACTCAGACTTCCAATCTCCTTTAAAAAATATTCCTGTTTCTGTTCTTTTCTACAGGCCGATGATTTCACCCGAGCAAATGCCTGCAACAGACTGACCGTCATAGCAGAACAAATCCGGTACTTGCAGGAACAAGCCAGAAAGGTAAGTGTAGGGAGGGGTAGAACTCCGTTATTAAAAGCTTGCACAGTTCTAAAATAATGTACCCTAAAGAGATTTTTTTCTCTACTTCTGTTTTCTCTACTTCTGTTTTTACTTACCTGTTTTATCCTCACAGCAACCGCATCTCTAACCACTACAGCACACTAGCCAATTGGCTGATTTGCTGGCGCCTTCAAAGCCAAATGCAAAGAGGTCCACAAGATCTCTGCAGGCAAAAAGAGTCCCCTGAAGTGATTGCCTGGGTGATGGGCCATTAAGGGGGAACAAAGGAAAAGGACTCTGTGTGAGATGGCAAATGTGTGGGCCCCCTTCCCCAGCACAGGCTAGTTAGAAGGACAAAGCCAGAATTTAGAGTTGAAAGTTGCAGTGATGTGATTTGGGAGGAAAGCAGCAAGCTTGAGAGAAAGAGCAATATTTCATAGAATCAAAGAATTGTAGAGTTAGAAGGGACTTTGAAGACCACCCTGCAATGCAGGAATATGCAGGTGTCTCATATTGGGATCGAACCTGTAACCTTGGCGTTATCAGCGCCACATTCTAGCCAACTGTTTGTATCCAAGACTCTTTTGGGGTGTTGATGCGTGCGCTCTCTCTCTCTCTCTCTCTCTCTCTCTCTCTCTCTGGTGTTTTAGGTTTTGGAAGAGGCGAACAGAGATGCTGATCTGCACCACGTTGCCTGCAACTTTGTGAAAAAGCCGGGCAATGTCTACTACCTGTACAGGCGGGATAGTGGCCAGCGCTACTTCTCCATGCTTTCTCCTAAGGTACTGAGCCCTTCTTTTAAAAGGGTTTTGAGTTTAGAGAAAAGGCAAGTAAGAGGCTCGTAAAAATAATGCCTGATGTGGAGAAAATGAACAGAGGAAAGCTCCCCCCACCCCGTAAGACTAGAACTGATGAAAATCCAATGAAGCTGAATGTTGGAAGACAGATAAAAGAAAGTACTTACTCACAATGAGTCTATAGGTAATCTATGGAACTCATTTCCACAGGAGGCAGCAATGGCCATCTGCTTGGATCGCTTTAAACATGGATTAGACAAATTCATGGAGGGCAGTGGCTACTAACCCTGATGACTATGTTCTACTTCCACTGTCGGAGACTTCTGAGTGCCATTTTCTGGAAACTGCAGGAGGGGAGGGTTGCAACTGCGCCCAGCTCCCGCTTGTGTGCTTCATAAGAGACATTTGCTTGGCCACTGTGAGAACAGGGTGCTGGATTAGATGGACCACTGGCCTGACTCTCTTTACAGATTGTGTCGGAATAAGAAAAAAAGTATCTTGTTTGTATTGTACTAGCAAAATGCTTAGCATCACTTTGTAGCAATGCAGATCTGTCTGCTTACAGAACGTCCCAATTCCAGCCCCTGGCTTCTCCAGGTGATTGAGAAAGACTTCTTGCCTGAGGCTCTGGAGACTATGGCCTGTAGCCCTTTAGATTTTACTGTACTTTTGCTTCCAACATCCCTGACCACTGGGCATGGTGGCTCAGGGCTGGTGGGATCTGGAAGTCCAGCAATGTCTGTAGGAACTCAGGTTCCCAATCCCAGCTGGAGACCTTAGACCCTGGAGAACTGCTATCATTCAGAGTAGGATATGCTGGGACCAGTGTACTTAGAGAAGGCTGCTTTAGGGGTCGGCCAACATGCTTGTCATAGCATAGTGCAGGGTTCTTCAGGCTTGCACCCCAGATGTTTGTGGGCTCCCAGATCACAATCATCGCCAGCCAGTGTTCAGGGGTGATGGGCGCTGTGGTCCAACACTAAGGACCCAAGCCTGAAGGACACTGGCCTACTCGTAGAGAGCATCTGTTTTGCATGCCAATTTTCAGTGATTTGGTGCTCCATCAAGAGCACAGTGTAGACACTTTCTGCTGGCATTCTGGGGACTTGATAAGTGTTTCTTTCCTTCTCTCTCTCTCCCCCCCCCCCTTTCATAGGAATGGGGGACCAGCTGCCCAAGCGAGTTCCTTGGTGCCTACAAACTGCAGCACGACATGTCCTGGACTCCTTCGGATGACATTGAGAAGCGCGACGCTGAGCTCAACGTTCTCGAGAAGCTGCTAAACCAGCAAGCGGCGCTACCCCCCTGCAGCGAGCCCAACTTCCGAGGCCTTACTATGTAATGGTGGACCTAGACCAACTCCTCCTCCCAACTTGGTGCCTTCCACACACTTTGGGCCACAATTCCCATCACTTCCAGCATTGTTATTGTTTTTTTGGACTACAACTCCCATCAGTCCCAGCCAGTTCTACTTTCTGGTGCTGATGGAACTTGTAGTCCAATATATCTGCAGTGCCCCAGGTTAAAGGAGCACATGGAAGGCTGTAGCTGCATACCAGGTCAATCTTACTGCTGAACAAGGAGGCTCCACCCCAATATCATCATGACTAATTAAAACAAAACCAAGAAACCACAGAAGAATTATCCTGCTATATCAGGGATGGACAGAAGACAGATCAGGATCTGCTGGGAGATCTGCAATAGCTCAAGAGGTTCTGACTCCTTAATTTATTTACAGTGAATGCAAATAAGCTATCCTCTGAACAGATCTGATGAAATTAATAGCAAATCTATTGAAACTAATATTCCAGTATTATCAAGAGAACTCTTGGGTTGTATCCAACTAAATCCTATTCAGAGCTATGTTCATCTTCTTCCATGGGTCTGCTCTGAGTAGGACTAGCATTGGCTACAACTCTATGACTCCAAGGTCTTTTTTCCTAGTCAGTTGCTTCTAGTTTGGATCCTGTCAGGGTCTGACTTTAGAGGCGATGATCTGAACTGGAGGGCAATCTTGCAGCGCAGGGTTAAAACAGGGGAATTCATTCCAATGGGAGGCAGTGATGGTCACAACTTGGATGGCTTTAAAAGAGGATTGGACAAATTCATGGAGGGAGAAGGCTATCGGTCGCAACTACCTATGATTTCTATGCTCTGCTGCCACAGTTGGAGGCAGCAACACTAGTTGCTGGAAACTGCAGGAGAGGCGAGTGCACCTTTTCTCGATTCTAGAATCTGGGTGGTAACTGTGGGGACAGGACGCTGGACTAGCTGGGCCACTGGCCTGATCCAGCAAGGCTGTTAGCTCTATACATAAGGCTGCTGTAGTGAGTGATTCCTCCTACAGAACATTTGGCTGTTGTTCAAAGAGGGAACACAATTATGTTGTTCTTTTTGAACTAAGAAGTTCAAACTGTGATGATGCTTGGTGTTTTTCCCTCAATTAAAAACAAATGCTTGCAAAAGAGGACCGACTCCAGCACATGCATTAGGAAGTGGGTTTTTGACTCCTCCCTGCAAGTTGCCTACAAAGGATATGCAACACTCTCCGGAAGAGTTCTGGTACTTACCAGGCAGAGCTGCCCCGAAGCTGAGCAACTGACTTGGGTTTCTTTTCTATCACACACCTTGGTCATAAAAGTGTCCTGTGGTTAGGAGGCTTGACTCCCAATGCGGATGATGTTTTACCATTGCAAATATTACAGCAGGGTAGAGAGCCTCAGGCCTGGGGGCCAAATGTGGCCTTTTCAGGACTCCCAAGGCCCCATCCCTGCTTCACAACTTCTTTGCCAAGCTGGAATGTGTTCTTAAAGTGTGCTTACTTGTATTGAAAGGCAGATGCGTATGTGTGTGTGTGTTTGTAAGTGCATGCAGAAACCTTTTGTGGATGGAACGCAGAAACACAACAACAACAACAACAACAACAACAACAATAATAATAATAATAATAATTATTTAATATTTATACCCCGCCCATCTGGCTGGGTTTCCCCAGCCACTCTGGGCGGCTTCCAACAAAACACTAAAATACAATAACCTATTAAATATCAAAAGCTTCCCTAAACAGGGCTGCCTTCAGATGTCTTCTAAAAGTCTGATAGTTGTTTATTTCTTTGACATGTGGTGGGAGGGCGTGCCACAGGGCGGGTGCCACTACGGGGAAGGCTTTTTGCCTGGTTCCCTGTAACTTGGCTAATAATAATAATTTACCCCTCCTGCTCTGCGCGCCACTGGCCTACTGCCTCCCTGAAACTGAAAATGATTTCCCACTCCTGTCTTAAGGTACTGAGGAGCGAATCATAGCGGCAGCAGTTCTAAAGGTTGCATGCTGGGAACTAAGTCTCATAGACCCAGTGCTGTTTCTTAATGAATTAGAAAAAGAGATGTTGGCACTCATATCTTGATAAAATTGCTGTGGGTGGCTGCAAAAAATGGCTGCTAAGGGCAACAATTTTTTTAAAAAAGAGGTGACAGGACTCCATACCAGTGAATACAGTCATAAAAAGAGCATTGCGAAGAGTTACATTTTAAAAATGTTATCAATAAAAATGGACACATATTGATCAACTGAGATTTGACACCATGATAATGCAGAATAAGGAAGCAAACTATTGGGTGTTCCACTAATGTTTGACGAAGGAAGAAAAGGGCATCATGGGGACAGTGCCATCACATATAAGAGCCTCGACCAGGACAACCTCTCCAGTACTTGGGACACAAAGCTGGATTAATGTAACTTAATTTTTTCCATAATTGATTTTTTAAATTAAAAAACCCCTTTACCGGTAATCAATCCATATCTTAAGTATTGGGAGGCCTAAGTGGAAAGCATAGTAGTAATATCAGCAAACATGCTCAAAAGTTGTTTAGTGACCACTAAAGTTATATCCAATTAAGGAGATGCTTACTGTGAAGAGTGTTGCCAAGTGGTTCCAAGGAATAGGGAGAAATAGGGCAATAATACCACTTGGCATGGGGACCAGGAGGGGGTAAGAGAAGGGCACCTGGTGGGTAAATGGACAGACCCTGGTGGGACTTGGTTCTACAGAATGGAGGACTGGGGAAGCTGATCGGCTGAGAAGCATCCCCTGCCAAGCCAGGCAGAAATTAACCTGCCCAATTTACTCTTACCGTGCTGGTGCTGTTTTTATTGTAATTATCTCTGTGTTTTTAATAGATAATATATAGAGAGTTTTAAGTCTATCAATGATTATTTTTCATTATTTCCCCTGCTGTATTTCTAGCTCTTCTTAACTTTATCCGAAACCACCTTTAGTCCATAACAGGGAAAAAGGCAGGGTATGAATAAATATAGTAATAATGTTTTATTTCGTAATAATAAATACCATTTGCTCAGACTTCTTCTGCCAGAGATGCTGAGGAGGCTAAATCCTGAGTGTCATGGTCAAACTGTCTAGATCTGCCTACTTCCTAAGTCCAAGTCCAAAATAAATAATAGCCAGGACTCTGCTTGCTGCAGATTAAATCAGGCAGGCTTAAACTACAGTTCCTGGGAACTGTCTGGTATTTGACCGTAATAAAGATGGATTCGTTGGTTGCAGTTCCCAGGACTGGGACCTGGGAGAGAGGAGCAGAGTTCGGATTCCACCCCTTCAGCCATGAAGGCTCTCACCGGGTGTGACCTTGGAGTCAGTCTCAGCCGACCTCACAGGGTTGTTGTTGTTGGGGTATTTAATTGAGGAGTGGGGGAGAGAACCGCGTACACCCCCTTGGAGGAAAAGGAATGCCCTGTCAACGCCATAAATAAATAGAAATAGGCTCCGCTCGTCCGCTCCCCCTCCCACCCGAAACGACGAAGCCTCTGTTCCGTTCCCGGAGCCCCGCCTCCTGCGGAGCGCGGTGACGTCAGCGCGCACGCCCCGGCCCTCCTCCCCCTCCCGCCCTTGCTGCCCAGGCGAGGAGACCCCGCAGCGAGCTGCCAACGCCCGGCGGAGGAGAGCGAGAGCGCCCTGCGTGAGGTAAGGCGCTGGTGCCGCCGAGGCGAAGGCGGACGGGCCCGGGTGTGTACGGAGAGGGGTCGCGGGTGGAGGGGGGGGACGTTTTCTTTTTGGCGGTGGGGCGGAGGCGGCGCGAGGGGGGAAGACGCCGCCGCTGTCGCCCTGGTTTTTTTTTTATCCTTTTCCGCTTGATTGACGGGGGGAGGGGAAACGGTTTCCCGAGCGAGGTGGGGGAGGGGCGACCGGAAGCTCCGTGAGGAGGAGGAAGAAGAAAGGAAGAAAGAGGGGGAGGGGGGCTACTGGCGGAGGATCGGGGGCGTCCGTTAGGCTCTTTATCCGCGCGCCCCGTTTATGAGGAGACAGTTCCTCTTCTCCCTACCAGCACCATCCTGAGGGCGGACACCGGGCCGCCTTTTCGCCGGCTTCCCTTATCTACCGGCTGGCCTCCCGCCTCCCTCCCCGCTCGGTCTTTTTCCCCCTTTCTTCCTGTCTCGGTTCCCCCCTCCTCCACCTCCCTCCTTGTATATCCCCGCCGCAATCTCTCCCCCCCCCCCCAAGCTGGGCGTGGACGGGGCCCTCGCCAATGCAGAGGAAGGGGAAGAGGGAGAACAGGGAGGGGGCCTCCCGGGGACAGGTCTCTCTCTCCCCCCCCCCCCCAATCCAAGCCTATATGGGGCAGGCCTTTTCAGTCTGCTTCAGACCCGCTTGAAAGAAAGAAAGAAAGAAAGGGCTCCCCCAAATGCAGGTTTGGGTTAAAACGTGCATTTCTAATATATAATTTTTTTTTTTGCAATATATATGTTTGAGTGGCGGGCGGTGCTCCTGTTGGATCAGGCCCCCGACCCAGCACCTGGAGACAATTCGTGGCCGGATCTAAGGGGGGCCGCCACAGGAGCCCCTGCTGCCTCACAAATATGTATGTGTGTGTGTATATAGTGAAAAGAAATCGGTCCCAAAATGCATGTTTGGGTGAAAAGTGTGTCCTGGGCCTGAAAAAGGCAGAAGAGACCTGGTCTCTGGCCCACCAGAATACAGGGCAGGGTGGGAGGATCTTTCTTGAGGTGGTGGGGATGTCCCTTTGCCTCCCCGCTGGGAGCAGCACCCTCCCCCATGAAAGGCGCTCTTAATGCAGGAAACTGGCAAGAAAGAGGCAGGAGGAGGGGGAGAGAAAAGGGGGATTCTATTGAATATGACCCTGCCCCCCCAATCTTGTGAGGGGTTTACGGAGCAGATGGGAGGACAGGTTCCTTACCCCTGGGAGGGAATTGGGAGGAGACGGCAGACCCCTGCTTCCAGTGGGCTTCCAGTGGGCTTCCAGTGGAGCAGAGAGGCTGGAGGAGGAAAGGGGATGTCTGTTGGCATGCCCCTGCCTCTCACCCTTGCCCTCAGGGGAGGGGGGTTACAGAGAGTGAGAGAAGAGGTCTCTGCTCCAGAAGGGATTACAGAGGATAGGATGGTAGGCTCCTGCCTCTTCAGGTCTGTAATGTAGGATACTGGCAAGAGAGAGATGACAGCGAAGGGGGTCCCTGTGGAAGAAGTCTCTTCTTCTGAGGGGCTTGCAAAGGGTGACAGGTCAGGTCCCTGTATTGCAGTACAGAAGGAGATACGTCGAAGGGAGAAATGGAGTTTTGTAGACAGGTTGTTGTCACTGAGAATCTAGGAAACTGAAAAGAGGGAGACAACAGGGGGAGGAAAATGGAGGATGGAGGGAAAATATACTGTATAGTTATTTTGTATTCAGGCTTAGCTAAAATAGGGGAAGATAATAATGCTGATCTCTTAATTAGGATTGCAGACAGTTTATGTGTGAAGTGCTGTGAGTTCTAAATGCTATGGATTGCATGCAGTTTTGAGTATAGTAGTTGCATTGAAATCCATGGGACAAGTTAGTCATGATTTGCCTCAAGTCCTGTCGATTTCATTGTGAGCTACATGCAGCAAACGTAGTCTGAACCCAAAACTGGTGTAATATATTTCCCTTCTCTGTAGTATGAAAACCATAATCACTCCCTACCCACCCCACCCCCACTCTAAAGCTGGTGAATCAGTAGAGAGGTTTAGCTACTATTCAGGAAGTATTTCTCTCCTTTCCCTTGTCCTCTACTGCCAGAAACTCCATAGGTGGGCTTAGATAAGGCATGGGGAACCTTTGGCCCTGCAGATATCACTGATCTACAACTCATCAGCCCTAGCAAGTATGGGCAATGACCAGGGTTGATGGGCCTTAGATGAAGCTGCTCCAACCTAAGACTTTACCCATCTGTGATATTTGGAAGAGGATGCTAATACTTCTGGCCTATTTCATTAGACTGTTGCCAGGGTTGATGTAAGTTAATGTATATTGAGTACCTTGAACATCTTTATTGGTATTCTTTCCTGCCACCTGCAGTATGTGAATTAAAATACCAGTAATTCAGTGGCTAGGAGACTGGAATTTGCTAGGTGACACATAGACAAGCCACCCTTTCTGTCTTAGCCTCCCAGTCAGATATACTTTGCTATCCATGTATAAATATGTTTATGGAAGCTTAAGGAGACAGATTGCTGATCTTTAGTGGTACTATATCACCGCCTTGCATTAAGAAGATCCTCTGACTTTAGACCAGTGTTTCTCAACCTGTGGGTCCCCAGATGTTGTTGGACTATAACTCCCATCATTCCTAGCCAGCATGACCAGTGGTCAGGGATGATGGGAGTTGTAGTCCAACAACATCTGGGGACCCACAGGTTGAGAACCGCTGCTTTAGACACAAAGGGATCCCATGCATCTGGGTGAGTAAGTGGGAGAGGACGGACTCCCCCTGCCAATCTCTTTCATTTTCATGTTGGCTGCGAAGAAGGGGAAGCCTCCTTGTTTGTGGCCAGCCTGGAAACTAAGCAAGCATTTTTAATTTTATAGCCTGCTAGAAGGGCCACTAGCTTACATTTTTATGTTGGCTGAGGAGAAACACAGCCCACTAGCCCACTTAGTAGGCAAGTTTAAGTAAGGCTAGAAACTTTAGAGACTTATTTATGAGACTGTTGTTCCATGACAATAATAAGAGCAGAATTGAGGTTCTTAATGCTATTCTTGAATCTATAACTTCACTGTGCCTGGGTGTTCACATTTTTTAAACCAATCTTAAAATTTACCACACAGAACAGAATATATTACAGTACTTTCACAGAATAAATTGCATGTTGCAAACAATTGGCATATGGAGCTGCCTTGTACTGAGTCAGTCCACTGTTCTACGTACAGCTGGTGTTGCAGAATGGCAGAGAGCTATCATTTGAGAAAACCCTGATTCACATTTCAGCTCTGCACAAGTGGGCCTTAGGAAGGGTACTCTCTCTCAGCATCAGTCCTCTTCTTTCGCCTGCCCCCAAATCTGCAACATGGGGATAATACAGCTGCCTTAGAGCAGCTGTGGTCAACTTCTGACCTATATGTTGTTGGACTTCAACACTCTTCATCCCTGACAACGTGCCATGTTAGCTGGACTGATGAGAGTTGTAGTCCAGCAACCTCTGGAAGGCTTCAGTTTGCACACCCTTGCTTTAGAGAATGGTTGTAAAGATTATTTGAATCACTTTGAAGACACTATAAATTCTCAGATTTTATTATCTGTCCATATTGTGGTCCCTGGAGTGTAAGAAGGAATTGGCCAGTGGGGTGAAGCTAATATTATCATGATCAAAGATGGTGTTAAGTGGAATGAGATTTTGTTGTTATTTTTTTTGCTTGCAAGTTTATTAAAGGGGAAAACAAAAAGACAGTTTACTTTCACAATACAATAAACATCCATCTTAATTTACACACACAGTTTGATACATGTTTTCTCAATAGGTACCAAAATGAAGTTGGTGTTTATAGAAAGTGCACTCAAATGTAGCAAGGTTTTGAGATCTTCAGACTATTGCCTAGTAGTCACCTACACATCTGTGTATGTGGCTGCCAGAAATAATTGAGCCTTCTGCACAACTAATTTGAGGCCTTCTAAATGCAGATTTGTTTTGTTGGTTTCATTGCAAAGTGAGGTGGTAATTCCTTCCCACTAGCTAATACTTGATGGCTAGAACATTGGCTTATAAGAACATAAGAACCTGCCTTATACCGAGTCAGACCATTGGTCCAGCTAGCTTTGTACTGCCAGCGCTTAACTGGCAGTGAGTGGTCTGCCAGGGTTTCTTGTAGGGATCTTTCCCAGCCCTGGAGATGGCAGGAATTGAACCTTGGACCTACTACATGGAAGGCAGATGTTCTGCCACTGAGCTACAGCCTTTATTATCAGTCTTACTGCTGTGTGTTAAAGTACAGTGAGTTATTGGGTGACCATGTATTGAGACCACCAGAAGCATGCTTTTTGTTAACAAATATTGTAATGGAAGAATGTTCACAGAAATCTTGTGATGGAAACTCCTTAGGTTGTTTGAGCCTGTATGTGTGACATGAGATGTATGCAATACTAGGATAAGTTATTTATTCCAAGCGTGGACACTAAAAGGACAGCCATAAAAGCCATTTTACTTTGTAATTAAACTCTCTGCATATGGCTGCAAACTTGTCTTTTCTCATAGTGTGCTTGTGCATGTGCTAATAATTAGATATTGATACATGTTGACTAGTGTCCAGCATAGACTGAATCATGTAATAGTACTTTTTGGTGTAGAAAGCTCCCTACAAAGCTTCCTTTATGATAAGAAAGAAGCAAATGGTAACATGGTACTTTCTGTAGTGGCTCTCTGTTTGTAGTCTTCTTTGGCTAGGAATTGATGCACTTAATCTGACCTTGAAGCTATGTACTGCCTGTTAGCTATAAATCAAATCCCCTAATGTATGTGTCCAGAGAAGTTAACCCAGATATTTCTTGTGCATTTATGCAGACAGATGATAGATGGTGTTAGAAATATGTCAGCCATGTTCACCCAGAATAATTCTCATTGATTACTGTAGGGCATTTGGAGGACTTTACTGTGGGTTAGTAGCCACCTAGGGAGTATGTGGGCAAATCTCAGTTTACAGAGAGAGTAGCGCCTCTTTACAATACAATTCGTTTTAGAGGACAATGTTTCTAGAAAGATGGGACAAATTATATACTGCTTTAACTATTGTAACACTTTAGTTGAATTGTGTCTGCAAAAATCGTTTATTTGTTTGCTTAGCAAAGCAATCAGCAAGCTGTTCTTTTTTAAATTTAGTTTTTAGTGCTTGTTAATCTAACAGTTTCCTTTCCCTATTGCTTTTTATCTCCATTGCATTGCATAAACTTGAGGTTTCTATCTGAGGATGGGGTGTGTGTCTGTGTCATTGACATGAATCTTTCGAAATAGTGCTTGCAAGAGTTCTACTTCATATTACTTTTCCCATGCAATTGTTTTCAGGTTTCCCAACCTTTCTGGGTCCTGGGAGCATTTGGAAATCTAAGAAACTGTGGTGGGCACCACAGGATACAATTTTCAGAGAAGAAAACTGGCAGTGCTCAGACTGTGCCTTCAGCAGGCAGAGCATGTACATCCCCACAAACCAATAAAACACAGACAAAAGAAAAAGACTCTTACTATGCATACGAAGGACAGGCAAACCCCCCCCCCCCATTACAACCCCAAAGCTTAAAAATAAACCCGCATTTTTTTAAAAAACCCCCCATAAAATAGAGATAGGCAGAGGGCCTTGGCAAGCATCAGTGATGTGTCTGAGAACACTGTGGTGCCTATGGGTGTTATATTTATCAATCATTTTTTAAGAAAAGGTTAAAAGTCATGTCCATTATGCATATGTGAATTTTTGATTCATATCTTATCAAAGCAATGCATTCAGTTGTATTTAGCATGTTGTTGAGGTCTTTTATTTCGATGGAACCTGGATCCAAGAGCTCGATGAGACATTCCTAAATTAACCTGTTATATTGGACTGGTAGTATCATACTTGCCTACTTTAAAGATCTTGACTATACTTTATATTTGTCATTTTAAATCAGGGTTTCTCACACTTGTGAGTCATGATGCATGTGAATACTAACAGGTTCCTGTGTGGGTCACACAATGAATAGCTATTTTCATTTTGGGGGCTTCCCTCCCCTTTTTCTGCTAGACTGATTGCTATCTGTTTATTATTTATTTGTTGCATTTATATCTCACCTCTGAAGGAGCTCAAGGTGGTGTCAGTTGTTCTGCCCCTCTTCACAACAAATCTGTTGAGGTAGGTTGGCTGAGAGGCAGTGACTGACTCAATGTCACCTAGTGAGCTTTATAACTGAGTGGGGATTTGAACCCTGCTCTCCCAGGTTCTAGTTTTGACACTGTAAACCAGGCATCCCCAACCTTCGGCCCTCCAGATGTTTTGGACTACAGTTCCCATCATCCCTGACCACTGGTCCTGTTACCTAGGGATCATGGGAGTTGTAGGCCAAAACATCTGGAAGGCCGCAGGTTGGGGATGCCTGCTCTAAACACTACACCACACTGACTCTCTTGCTATTATGTGGTTCCTTTAAGACATAGGCTTGCTTTCCCCTGCCTCTGTCATGCTTAAATTCTACTCAAATATATTTAAAGATGAAAAATTAAAAATGTAAAATTTGTTCAGTGTTAACTACTGATGAGGTAGTCTTCATGAAGAACTTCTTTAAACCAAGCTATAACAATGCTCTCTCTTTTCTGTCAGTGTGTGTCAAAAGAAATTAGCATAGTGAGTTTAGGAAGAGTGCAGCTGGTTATTATTTGTGTGGAATTCAGGTAGCTTCTTAGATTTCAGGGCACCAGTAATTCTTTTCATCAATAATCCAGGGGTCTGTTGACTCTATTGCTAGGAGCTTCTGTGAAGCAAAGCATTTGCTCAGTGCTCTTCATCTCCTTGTTTCTAGTGTGTTTTCTGCTATTTGGAATATGTAATCTGAACAGGGTGATGATGTGTGTGGGAACATGTTTTTCATTTCACCTCAAAATTAGGAAAACAAATACCAGGGTGAATACTAAAAAAAAAGGCAGGATTGTATTTTTTGTTTTCTTTAAAAGGTATCATCCAGTGCTTTCAGGTTTAAAACAACAGTTGAAACTAATATACACCTAGTGTTAATCTCTAGAAACTCACTCCATACTTTCTAAAATATTTTTCTCATGCTTTTACATGTAATGAAATTAGAGAAAAATCTACCTTTGGGCATCAAAGCATTATAAGTATGGTACAGTGTTTGTCATCTGTATATTGTGGGCTTGATACTGGGATTTAACAGTAGCCCCACTCAGAAAAGAATTTATTACTGGTGTTCAGATTCCATCTCTGGTTCACAAAAATAATCCACTGAGCCTACCTATATGACCTCATATTGTTGTTTTAAGCCCTTTAACTATCTAAATTTTGCATGTATGACCACTTTCAGTTAATGTTTGTGGTTGTGCTAGTCCTTGTTCTGGAAAGGTAATCAGAGTCAACAAATTTTGGCTTATTTGGCCAGCTAAAATGTATTATCGTGGCCCTGCCCCACCCCTTCCAGGAAGGGGCAGGGTCTTCTAACATTATGTTGAGTGTTGTTTGCCACAGCTGAGGAGAGGAATGGAGCCATGTCCCCATTCCATTAAACTTCAGAAAGCAGCAAGACGTCTTGTGTCTCAGGCTCACCACAGGGTCAGGAACAGCCCTTACCATTTCCCAGTGCTGCTGAAGTCAGACCTTCATGTTTTTCCAAGCATCGAAGAATACTGGAGAGTCTTGCTTGACCATGGGCTCTCTCCAGAGCAAAATATGTATTTTCAGGTCAGGGCAGTTGTGGATATGGACTGTGTTAGTAAAGCTTCTTATTTACTCTTATAGATTAAAGGTTGTACATGTGTTTGACCACTTACGGCAGATTGTTAGTCTATAGTTTGGTTTACAAAATGGAAACTTCATTTAAATTAGTCATAGCTGCATAATTGTTTGAACCAGGCCACCCTGAAAATGATCAGTGGATTTTCCTTTTAGTTTGCTCTTCTGATCTGAAGGGTAGTATATGTAAGATTAGAAGAGCTACCTATCTTTCTTTGGTGGCTGGTATGGTGAAGTCTAAGAATGGGTAACATTCCTGTTGGTTGACTTTTTGTAGGAACACTTTGTGAACTAGGTAAAATGTGACACTTGTGAGGGAAGGAAAGTCAAGAAAGCTCTACTGAGATTACATCTCACAGTAAGGTGTGGCTTGTGTTCAAAGTGGGTGGGCGTGCATCAGAAGGCCCTGTTAAGTAGTTGTGCTGCCATAGCTGAGCATCAGCATAAGGACTCTACTGAGTGAGGTATGCTTTGATGAGAGGGTGTTAACAAGTGTTAGCAAAGCTTTCTAAATAATGCTTCTTACCTGCTAAAGGCAAGCTAGATGTTTGCCCTCCCACCTTATCCAGTATTCCTCAGTACTTTTCCAGTCCTACTTCCGTGTTGGTGTGTCTCTGCAAAAGAGATAGTAAAGCACACAGAGGAAAGGAACAAGGCAAAGTACAGTGACTCAAAGGAGAGCACACCCAACAGTAGGAGGGAGCTGTGACCTCATCGATCAGTGTGTATCTATGCTGTTAGAAGTAGGAACAATGTACGTATCTAGATGAAGGAAATACAGTGATACCTTGGTTTATGAACTTAATCCGTTCCGGAAGTCTGTTCTTAAACCAAAGTGTTCTTAAACCAAGGTGTGTTTTCCCATAGCACCGGGGGACTCAATTTACAAATGGAACACACTCAACAGGAAGTGAAACATGTTCTTATTCCAAGGCAAAGTTCACAAACCAAAACACCTACTTCCGGGTTTGCAGCGTTCTTAATCCCAAGTTGTTCATAAACTAAGCTGTTCTTAAACTTTGTAGCTAGCTTAGCATTTCAAACAGTGAAAATCCGGACAGAAAAGTCTTTGAGCTATTTTTAACGAAAATTTGCAAAAAACAACACTGCCAACATGGCTTGCCATATGTCTGGATTTTCCCAGACACTTATTTTTTTGCGATTTCTACCCGGACGTCTTCCGACTGCAGTATTCTGGGAAATTCTGGACACATGGCAACCCTAAGGTAGCTGTACTAAATGGGGCTTTTTAAAGGAAGTGGGCAGCATACATATGTATGCATATGTAACTTGCTGAAATGTTTCATCTTCAGAAAAGCGCATTAACCTCTCACCACAGTAATAGCAAAAAGAGCTGCATCTGATTTGTATTTCCTTTAATAACTGGAAACTGATTTAGAGCACCAAAGGGCAGAATTAGATGTCATGTCAAGCCATATTTTGAAGGGTTCGTTTTAATGTTATTGATCTCAAACAGGCCAAAATGTGTGGTGCGAAACGTAGTATTTTTCCTATGTAGTAGAAATTGTTTCAGAAATTAAAATATCAATTGTTTAGTGTGTGTCTTTGGTTGGCTAGGATGTCATTGTTACTTCTGGGTGTCTACTTGCAAAACAGGAAGGAAAGGGCTTGTGGTTAGAAGGCAGATTCCAGCTGTGGTACCGGATATGTAGGCTGGAGGTCCCCAGCTTGGCAAGAGGAAGACATTTAAAGCTTGTTATTAACTTTGAAATTCAGATTAGATAGAAATTGAAGTGTGTTGAGATGTATGTCTATATCACATCATTTCTTCATAGACAAAATCATACAAAATGCACATAGATCATACAGAAACACTTGCTGCTTTCTTGTTCCTAACCTTATTTGAAAGTAGAGGAGCGTTAATGTGTGAATACCTTTTAAATAATGTGCCAGTAACTTTTTAGCAATGTTTTCTCCACCATGTAGGCCCTTTGAACTTCCATGAAGGTTTACTGGGTTTCCAAGTGATGAGGAAATAAAACTAGAGCCCAACTTGAAATTATTCTGTAATCAATTGTGGTTCCTTATCAGATGTTGAGAAGGAAAATAGATTCCTCCTGAAAGTCTCTTGCCTCTGAATTTTTTGTTTCAACTCTTTAGCTGCTTCAACTGTCATAGACCTGTTTGACTAAAGTTATTGGGGTGCTGATACAGAAGCTGTAATAGTGATGAAAAAATATTTCCCATTGTACAAAATTATAAAAATATGCAATTGTTTTCTTTTGTTCTTTCTAGATTAATCTTGGACCTGATAAAGTAGCAGACTTCAGCTATGCAGACGATTAAGTGTGTAGTTGTGGGTGATGGTGCTGTTGGTAAAACATGTCTTCTAATTTCTTACACAACAAATAAATTCCCCTCTGAATACGTACCAACGGTGAGTAAAGAGTAACATTTCCATATTTTTCTTTTCTGTGCAACGTGGGGAATAGGGAATCTTAACCTTGTCAGTTAAATTACATACTGGTACATGTATATCATTAGTTGATTCCTGTATTTTATGTGTTTTCGCTTTTAGCGATATTGTGTATACATGATGTGGCTGTGGAATTGTATTTTTGTATGTTTTACCATGTTTCTGAATCCATATTTTGTTTGAGGGATCAGTATTTCTCCTAGCATGTAGATATGGTAATTTGCAGACTCCTTTGTTGAGGCCATTGGTTCTCAGTTCATATAGGTAATTATATAAGTCTCTAGTTTGCTCTGTCAACTATTTGATCACTACACAGGTGTAAAATTTCTGGATTTTTTAAAATAAAATTTGAAATATATGTAGTACTTAATCAGACTTTAAAGACCATAAAAAGTATATAGCACATAAATTGTACTGTTTGGTAACAGGTGCATTTATGACTCTTTAAATGACAGAAGCCTTAGTTTTATTCAAACTGTAATTGCAGATGTATCCAGCATTTGAGATGGAGTAGCAAGCTGATGGGGGTGGGGGGACAGAAAATCTGCAACACCAGAGGAGGCAGGGGGATAAGCATATTCATAAGCTATAATCCCTCTTTCAGAGAGGTTCCAATTTATTTGCAACAGAAAAAGCAGAACTAGAGACTGACTAACTTAAAAGGTCATAGTATTGATGGTGATGATGATGATAATTTATTATTTGTACCCCGCCCATCTGGCTGGGTTTCCCCAGCCACTCTGGGCAGCTTCCAAAAAAAATTAAAATACATAAAAATGTCACACATTAAAAACTTCCCTAAACAGGGCTGCCTTCAGATGTCTTCTAAATGTCAGGTAGTTGTTTATCTCTTTGACATCTGATGGGAGGGCGTTCCACAGGGCGGGTGCCACTACCGAGAAGGCCCTCTGCTTGGTTCCCTGTAACTTTGCTTCTTGTAGTGAGGGAACCGCCAGAAGGCCCTCAGCGCTGGACCTCAGTGTCTGGGTAGAACGATGGGGATGGAGACGCTTCTTCAGGTATACTGGGCCGAGGCCGTTTAAGGCTTTAAAGGTCAGCACCAACACTTTGGATTGTGCTCGGAAACGTACTGGGAGCCAATGTAGGTCTTTCAGGACTGGTGTTATATGGTCTCGGCGGCTGCTCCCAGTCTCCAGTCTAGCTGCCACATTCTGGATTAGTTGTAGTTTGCAGATTACCTTCAAAGGTAGCCCCACAAAGAGCGCATTGCAGTAGTCTAAGTGGGAGATAACTAGAGCATGCACCACTGTGGTGAGACAGTCCGTGGGCAAGTAGGGTCTCAGCCTGCGTACCAGATGGAGCTGGTAGACAGCTGCCCTGGATACAGAACTGACCTACGCCTCCATGGACATCTGTGAGTCCAGAATGACTCCCAGGCTGCGCACCTGGTCCTTCAGGGGCACAGTTACCCCATTCAGGGCCGGGGAGTCCTCCACACATAATTAAATATGGATGTTGAGTTTTGCTTTTTTAGTTTCAGAAAAAAAATGATCAGCTTGAATGTTGAGTTAAATTACTAAGTAGTACAGTGTTATAAATTTCTAATCACAGCACAAAGTAAGTGTAGTAGTAATTGTGGTCAAAATTAACCACATGAAAGCCACATGCCACTTTAAAAAATGTTTACCTATAAATCAGGCATGGCCAAACTTGGCCCTCCAGATGATTTGGGACTACAGTTCCCATCATCCCTGACCACTGGTCCTGTTAACTAGGGATGATGGGAGTTGTAGTCCCAAATCACCTGGAAGGCCAAGTTTGGCCATGCCTGCTGTAAATACTAGCGTCACAAGCTTTTATTTATTCAGTAACAATGTCTGGAAGACACTGAAATTCAATTCTGAATTCTTATTTTACTTCAATAAATTTCAGAAACTGAAGGTTTCAACAGATTGAAACAAGCCTTTCTACTCTTTCTTAATTTTGGTATTCGTAAATATAGACAATGTTTTCACTTGATGGAGAATCAGGGAATTTGAGAGCTCTCCATGTCTACAGTATGCTAAAAGTAGAATTACTTATCTCTTACCTTAAAGAATAATTACATGATTATTGGAAAGCATTTTGATAGTGTAAAGATAAAATAGTATTTTAAAACCTTGCCTTAAACCTTAAGGCTTAAAAGTATTTCCTTCATTCTGAAAAAGACATTAGTTCAGAAGAGGGTTTTTTTCCTCGTGTTTTCCCCTATGTCTCTAATTTTTCCATTGGAAAACTTAAAGACTTTGGCAGATTATTTTTTCCCCAGTTGTCTTCCATACCTTCACATCTCTAACCCCAACACCTTAGCAGTTAATGGATCTTCTGTGCTCTACAGTAAATCCTTGTATTGACTTATTTTGTTCTCACTTACCATATCAAATCTTAAGGATGTGAGCAGCTATGCTTTGAGCTGTCTTCTTTTGGCATTCCTTTGATCTTCCCTTCAGGCTATCACATCTTGGTCCTCATAATAGCATGATAAAGCAAACCAGGGCTATCTGGTGTAAAAAAAGTTCCTCTAGTTTTGATAAGAGCATAGACCCCTTATAAGTTACTGTGGACTGCTGCCTAACTAAAGGCTTATCTTTAGATCAATATAGTATCCCTTTAGGGCATTCCCCCCTCTGCCACTGAATTGGTTTCCATTTAGCAAGCATGTATCTTTATAGCTAAATAAAACATAAAAGTGAGTTGCTACAAAGTCATAATCTGAAGATCCTCACTTATCTCATTTGATAAAGGAAATTCTGTTGCAAGTTGGGGTCTGCAGAATAGACTGCCCAGACACCCTATTTCATACCAAATATCTTTGAAATTGCAATTCTTTATTTCAATTAGCATCTGAGAGAGGCTGCTGCTGTACTGCTTCAGCAGTGAGACCAAGACACATTGGCATGATACAAAGCATTATTGTATGGTTTGCTAAGCATGGGAAGCTTGCAGTTAAGATGTTCTGTTGGAAAGGATTGTGTTCTGTGGATGTTTGCTCGCACATGCATGTAGTGTAGTAGGTAAAATGTTCAGCTTTGACTATTCTGCTACACCATAATCAGAGCCCTGAACCCATTTTTCACTAGTTGACCAATGTGCTACCTGCATTAAGATGTAAATGTTAACATAAACTGTTGTCTATAACTTGAACCTTTTTAAGATTTCAGTCTTAATAAAACTAGCAAATTGCTTGTTCGGCTTTAAAAAAGAGAGAGCGAAAGAAAACAATTGTGCTATTTAATTTAACTACTTGTTACAATCAGTTTTTTCACTTGATTTTCAGTAGACAAGAGTGGGCTATAGTTTTACTGTGTTGCTTACTTTATGCTTTGTACTTCATAACAGTGGCAACTGTAAATTTAGAAGAATATAATAAGGTTTTTGTAAGGTTTTTTTTATTGGCAGGTGTGCCAACTTCAGTGTCGTTGTGTCTAGTGGTGATAATTGAACTCAGTCATCTGATAGGTCATGAACACAAAGTCACACTTCTCTTTTGACTGTTGGTTTACCTGCCTGCATATGGCTTATGTTTGGAAGGTGATGTTTTCACTCTGCCTCTTCTCTCTTATTCCCCAGGTGTTTGATAACTATGCTGTTACAGTGATGATCGGTGGAGAGCCATATACCTTAGGCCTCTTTGATACAGCAGGTAAGCTCTCTTTTGAAATTAAACCCATGGGGAAAGCAGGTGACTTGATTTCCTAGCTGCTTACCTAATTTTTCAAGACTGGCTCTTGATTTTTGAAAAAACTTTCAACCATCAAGTATACACAGAATTGCAGGATATGACTGTATTATGTGGTCAAAGCAGTGTTTTCCAGTTGGCCCCCAGGTGGTGAAGCTCAATCTCTTGTTATCCTGCATCTGTAACTTCTTAGGCAGCCTTTGAGCGCAGACCGTTTTGTGAGGGTGTGAAAGGGATTTAAAATATAGTGGAGAGACTCTTGCTCTTCTTGTAAAAGTAGCTGTTTCAGCTAGAATTGAGAACTAACCTGGCAGGCACTTCTCTTGGGGGACTAGAGAAGGAACAGAATGAAGATGAACAGGACAGTAAAGGGAAAGAAGTAAAGAGGAAGAAGCCATTGTAACAGGAAGAGTAGAAGGGAGGATGTAGTATACTTTGTGAGAATCAGGAAAGGTTTATTGTATTAGTTCATCTGAGGTGTATGAAATAGCATAGTTCACACTTTGTGGCTATGTTATGCAGTATGGTGTCTTAAGGATTGTGTGTGCACACTTCTGTTTCCAATCCAGGAATGCTACTTTGGCAGCACTCTATCCTTTCTTGCCTTTAGGCAGGGTGGACATTGCCATTCATACAGCTTTCATGATGTTTCACAGTATTTCTTGGTTGTGAAATTAAGCACAGAGGGTGACTAAGGCTTCCAGTTCTTGCCTGGCTGGGATGGGCACTTATGCCTAGATGGTGTAGTGCATGTGAGTAAGCGCTGTGGCAGATCAGCAGGGAGGAAGGATGGTTCCAGTGGAGTTGCTGCTTGCCAAATTCTGGTCAGTGGAGAGCAGTGTCTACTTCTCACAGGGTGATTTGGCAATTTGCAATGTGCATGGCAGTAATAGGCTGCTTTTTCTCTGGATGAAGTGGAGAATTGCTGCTGCTTATCTGCCTGACATCAGAGTAAGTCAGACTCATGGCACCTGTAGTATTGGTATCAAAAAATTCTTCCTACATGGAACTGAAAATCTCAGGCTGAATTTCTTAGGGTATTTATACCACCATTCTATAAAACAATCAAGGTGGCTGCTTGATCTGGTTTCTGGTTGATAAATTGATATACTAGATGAAAATTATGCAGGCATAGATAGGTGCAAGGAAGATAAGTTGTTTGGGGTGTAAGAAGTTATTAATCTATGGTAGTATTCTCCCCGCCCCCCCCCCCCCCGTATGCCTGCATAGTTATCTGAAAAAATGACACATTTATAAGGCCTTCCCCCTCAATATAGGCTTCTGATGTCATTTTTTAATTTAAATAGGACAGGAAGATTATGACAGATTACGGCCCCTCAGCTATCCACAGACAGATGTGTTTCTGGTCTGTTTCTCAGTGGTCTCGCCATCTTCATTTGAAAATGTGAAAGAAAAGGTGAGTATGCTTTGACCCCCAAACTAGTTTTTGTCAGGCTTTGTAAAAAGTGTCCTGTGTTGTTGGATATCCTGATATTTGCATTATGACCATCACATTTTATCTTCTCTTCAGTGGGTACCTGAAATCACTCACCATTGTCCAAAGACTCCCTTTTTGCTTGTTGGGACCCAAATTGATCTCAGAGATGACCCTTCAACAATTGAGAAACTTGCCAAGAATAAGCAGAAGCCTATCACTCCTGAGACTGCTGAAAAGCTGGCACGGGACTTGAAGGCTGTCAAATATGTGGAATGCTCTGCACTCACACAGGTAAGGCTTCTCATTTGTGGTGTTCTGGACTATTTCTTTCATAGTAGAGTGGAATAGCTAAACATGCTCTTTGGCAAAGTGAGTTCTTTATGGTTCATTCTAGCTGCATGAGAAGAATTTAAATGTTTTTCACCTGAAGATACTAGAACTAGCTTCAAAAATTTATCAAGTATTTTGCACTTACTTTCTTGAGCATTTTTTACTGCAAACAAATTATTTTCCTTACACGTGTTTATCATTGAGCATATAATAGAACAAACACAAATTTTGTCAGGATGGTTAATTGTTATGAAAAACGGCTAAATTATAGTCAAATAAAGTTGTGTATCTTATCACCGTGGGTTCTGATATTCTGTAAGGGTTCTAGGTGATAGTGTGAGTGATTCTAATGCAAGAACACTAATTAAAACAAGTGGACCGGTATGATTGACAATTCAAAACCAGTCCTATCTAACACATACAGAACTGAATGAGTTTTTCACCTACCTTTGATGCATAGGGAACACCTATTAATAAAAATAAACTGATATGTGAGATAGCATACTTTACAGCTAAATTTAATGCATGTATGTTGGTGAAACATTAGTGGTGTTACGGAACTGCAATAGTAATTATACCTAATCAGTTGATTTTATGCATGAGAATCATGATGAACTTGCAAAATAGTAAATGGCTTAAGGTTTTGAGTTACTTTTTCCTGCATATTACTGGCACTGCAGCAAAACTACAACACCTTTTCAGAAATTAGGCTTTTTCAGGGAATTGTGACTTTCCACAAATCCCTTTCCCAAATTCCAACCAACACATAGTTGGACATGGAACTGTAATATCATCAAGCGTAGGGCTGGAAATATTTCTGCTTATAATTCTGTGAATAGCATTAGGGCTTTACCTAAGTTCTCATTATCACTTGGTGGTATATGCAAGTGGTGAAACACACTGTAGTTTTGAGCTGTGACCACCAGGTGCTCTCACCCATTGCTACAGCAGGCCCTTCTTTCTGAGATTTCATGGATTCTAACTAGAAATTCCAGCCAAAATCTCCCACATAATTCTTCCTAGTTAAGGCAACCTTTGCCAACCTGGTGTCACCAGTTGTTTTGGACTACAACTCCCATTCGGTTGGTGGGAGTTGTAGTCCAGACATCCAGAAGGCTGCATATTGGTGATAGCTAAAGTAGGGAATCTCATTACTGTATGCTGTAGCCTGTAGTTGTCTCAAATGATACTATTGCTTTTGGCCTTTTAAATGTTCCTAAACCCATTTTAGGCAAGAATTTATAGAAAACAGTGAATTAAAAAAACAACCTGTTTTTGTGAAATGGCTTTTCAAAGGCTAGCCTGTCACAAATCTAAAACAAAGTTAACAAGCATGTTAAGCTTGAGATTGTGCTTAGAACAGTTGCTTTCACACTCATAATCCAGGATCAGCTAAATTGCTTTTCTGTATAAAGAACAAAGCAAGGGAGAAACTGCTGCTTTATGGTGCAATAGATTATACCAGTACACTACTTTATTATTATTACTCTGATACTTGTGTAATGGAGCTGGCAAATGATTACAGCAGGCACTGGGATGCAGTCCTTGGTTGCAGGAAATCCCTTCTGTGGCTCTCCAGAGGATATTCAGCTGAGCTTACTCCATGCTTGGGTGATCATGTAGGCCTATTCCATGACGTCAAATCGCTTAATCACTTACATCATTTTTTTCCACGAACCCTCTGTTCAGTGCAAGATTTTTTATCTAAAGCAGACAGATAAATGAAAAATGATCTGTTTGGGGGTGGGGTGTTTGTGCTGGTAAGATGTATATTTGCAGGACCTATTTCTTTCACTCTCTGGGCTATTGGTTGCATATAGCGCAGTAGATTTAGGCGAGTCCAGTGTCTTCAGTTTCAGTTGCAAATACTTAGCTGTCAGTTTGTGACAGTGGCAAATCTGTTACAGAGTTGCTGTTCCTTTTCTTAGAAATCCTGTTGCTGCAGATCATTGGTTTGTGCATTGATGTGTCTGTTGTAGACAGAAACGTTTGTTCACTTGGTGTTCAGAACACACAGTTGTCTAGAGCTCCCATTTCTGATTTATTTTACCTGTTTTAGTGACCTCAGGGGCCATAATTGCTGTTGTTGACACAGTAACTGGAGCATACCATTTTATAAGCTGGTGTGTGTTCATGCCAAAACCAGTGTTCGTGAGCTGCAATAATCCTTGCTTCCCTGGACTTTATGGCAACCCCAGAGAGGTGGTGTGGAGTTGTCTTAACTCTTAACATGGTCAAGACAGTACTGATTTTTCCCATTCATTGAGAATTGCTGAAAGATTTGTTGATAGTCAGTCCTCCCGACTGCTTGTGAACATCACTTGAGCCTACATTTACATGCATTAGGTTCTTCTACAGTTGGCAGAGCATGTTGTTAAACCATGAAAGTGGGTGGTGAGTATTTTGCTACTCATGAGTAGCAATATGAAATTGGAGAGCAGCAAATGAATTCCTGGAACATGCCACCCTATGAGGGTTCTAACCTCACCCATCCTTTGCTGTAATATCAGTAAGTTTTAAAATAACTGGAGGTTACATTTGGCCAAAAGTATTGCCTGTGGTGCTCTCCCTTCGTAATGCTCTGTGTAGGTAGGTGTTGCTGCTGAAATGAACTTGACAGCAGCAGATGGCCACGCAGAGCAAGTGCCATCAGGATGTGAAATGGGAGGGACTGCAGCTGAGCAGGGCGTACCCTTAGATAAGCAACTACCTTGTGATTTTCTTGGCAGTGGTGGTGGCAGTGCCAGGAATGAGCCTTCCTGAGTAGATTTTGTTTCATTTTGAGAGGGACATGCAACTTTGAGGTGTTCACTAACACAACTACTTTTCAGCTCTTCCTTTTAACTTACAAAGCTCCTTTTGGAAAGAGATACGTTACAATATTTCACTCATAGGGTAAGAAAACATCTACAGTATCCAGGTAGCATTCTTGCTAAGCCTCTGCTGTGCTTGTCTTGTTTCCTCTTTCCCTCAAAGATCTACTTTGTTACAAAGTAAATCTGCTTTGCTGACCACCTTTATCCTGAATGCTCTTTGTAGCTGCTTGTGTGAGTGTGTGTGTGTTTGTGTCTCTCTCTAATCCTCTAACCTGGCTACTATTTTTTTCTCCTTCCCTCTGTCTTATAGAGAGGTCTGAAGAATGTGTTTGATGAGGCTATCCTAGCTGCCCTCGAGCCTCCGGAAACTCAACCCAAACGGAAATGCTGTATATTCTAAAACAGTTTCCTCTTTTTTTCCTTTCTTGTTGCTGCTTCCTCTGTCCTGCTGCTGTAGAAAGTTGGTTGAAAAACAAATAAAACCATCCTGATTGAAAGAAGCTGTGTCTTTACTTAACGTCTTAGAGCAAACTCTGTATTAGCTTTTGGATTGGAAACTGCTTATACAATTCGTTATGGCTATGGAACATGAACTGGACTCGCTTAAACCTTTTGCTTCTTGGGTTGCTGGATCTTTAATAGCTTTATAAGTTAGGTTGCTAAGGGACTGAAGGTCTATTTCAAAAGTTAAACTTGAGAGGAATAAGTGAAAACCTGGTTAAGAGTTTTTATATCCAAATGAGAAGTGATGTGCAATTCATTTTCTCTCTTGTGGCTCTGTTAACTGTATTTGCATGATGATTGTACCTGACATAGTGACCTGCAAGTGATGCTGAAATGGTGAAGGATTTTCTGGTTTTCCTCTGTGCAGTGGGGCTTGCTGTTGCTTTGGCTGTTTGTGCTGTAGTGGAGTATTTGTTGGTCCTCTAAGTGGGAGGGGAAGGAAGTTTGGTGTACCTGCTACTGCTTGACAGACGTCTTAACTTCTGTTTTCAGTGACACAGTATCACTTATTTTTACTCATTCTCAAAACTTGCAACTGTAAAATGTAAAGCTTCTTTAAAACAAAGTCATACCATTTGGCTTCTGTTGTCTGAAGGAAGGAAAAGACATACAATTGTAGTTCTTTACATTTCAAAATTAAAATTAGTTGTTTGTATAAATGCCTGATGAAGCATTATTCCTGTCTGCATTCATTTGCTTCAGTTTAACATTTATACACTATAGTACCAACCTGTTCATTTTTCCATTATCGAAGTCTACTACCATTCCTTGCTTCCAAGTCTACTTCTGCTGCTTCAGTAACACATGGTACGTCACACGGCTTGGCTGATTTGTGCCAAAGGATTCGCCATTCTTGCTTGCTTGCTAATCTAACCTGGGTGTCACTTGCCCCCTTTCCTTGGATCATTACTTCTTTTTCAACACAGGGGATAATTCATTGTCATTAGCATGTGAGTTGTAATATTACTTTTACACACACACACACACACACACACATACACACATGGTCCATGGGAATTGCTTTAGTACATATACTTCATTTCTTGAACTATTGAGACTTGCTGAAAATGTCCTCAGGCTGTTTTATGGGCTTAAATGTTGGGTGCTCTGTATTATTATTATCATTTAAAAAAAACCTGATAAACAAGGTTCAAACACTCGGAAAGGAATATTGCTTCACTGCAGGATCTTCATCTCTACTCAATCCTTAACTTTGTCTTTGTGGGCTTTTTAAAACACGGTTTGCTTTTAATAACCCAGAAAATGAGACAGCCCCTTTCTCTTTGCCCCTTTTCAGAAAGGCCTAAAGAATGTATTTGACGAGGCGATATTGGCTGCCCTGGAGCCTCCGGAGCCGAAGAAGAGCCGCAGATGTGTGCTGCTATGAACATCCCTTCACGGCCCCCTTCTGCAAAGCTGGTGTTGATGTCATACTAAAAGCAATGTTGAAATCAAACTAAAGATTCAGATTTTCCCATTTGTTTTTGCAATAATGACAAATGTCGTGCACCCTCTTCCCATTCGCTCCCTGTGTGAGATGCAAATGTTAGTGCTCTTCCTCCAGTGCCCTTCAGTTAGTTGAATTTTTTTAAAAAAATAATAATAATATTGTATTTCAGCAAACACTGATCAGTACTAGGGTTTTTTGTTTGTTTACTGTTTAATTTCTTTGTTTTTAAAATTCAGGCATGCTTGTGGTGATTTTTCTCTGTAACAGACTAACTTTTAGGCTCTGGCCTCCAAGCCTTTCCCCATCATGCTAGGCTGGTGCTGCTTGGATTCTTTGATCTTCTGTGGCCAGCTTGCAGTCTAGGGGGAGCAGGTTTCAGTCCTTGGAACATATTCTGGAAATGAGAATGTCCCCAAACTGGTGCTCCATTGAAGAGGGGTGTAGTTCATCCTGCACCTCCTCTGAAGTTGCCTTCAATCTGTTTCCCTTTCTTTTCTCCAAGCAGGTCAGAAATTCCCATCTTGCCCTTTAAAACATGAAATGTGTAAACAAGTCTTTTGTTTATATATTACGCCAAAAGCTCTTTTTTTGGGTGTGTAACGCACACACACATCTACACAAACCCCACCTAACTTTGCCAATTACTAATTCTTTTGTAGTTAGTTTTCAAAACTTGACATTATTAGGCATTAATTGAAAGGGGAGAACTGCATCTTTTTAAAGTTAGTGCAGTCCATTGGATTTGCTAAACAACCAGCCTCTCTCTTGGCAAGCAGAGGCTTCTGATCAGCCACATGAGTGAGATTTTGAAACCCACTCACATGGCCTTTGCTTGCTGTAATGGAGGGTTGAAGCTAACCAGCTGACTATGCCGCAAAACGGTTTAGCGTTCTCTTTGACGAGGGGGAAGGAGACACGCCTCCATCAGGAGAAAATATGGATGGGAAAGATGTTCAATACGGCACCTTGGGGACCAGTAGAGGAATTACCTTAAAAGTGCATTGTGTGTCAGCAGCTCTTGCCTCCCCAGGTTGTTGCTTAGTATAACACACCATGTGAGGGTCTTTGACTCCAGTGTTAATAGGGATCTTACTAGAACTATACTCTGGCTTAATATTTCTCAGTCTTCCCAAATTCTAATTCTTATAGTCTCGTTAGTGTTGAACTGATGCTTTTTTCCATGTCTAAGTTCTTTGTATATGCATTTTTCAGATGTATTAAACATAAAGTATCTTCACAAGCCCGACTGAGAATACTTTTATTTTCCCTGAGTGATTTATGTCTAAAGAGTTGAATCCAGCTAAATATTACTCACTATAGACCCATTAGAATTAATGAACCTTAGCTCATCATGTCTATTAACTTCAATGGGTCTACTCTGAGTAGGACTGAGATTGGAGACAACATATAGCCTGTGTGTCTTTTTAAATAAATAAGCACACTTTCCCTCCCTGAACCTCTTCTTGAGCTATGAGTTCAGGACCCCCCCTTTATATATATAATTTTTTTCAGGACTCACTTTTCAACAACTAGTTTAAAACTTCCCTCCATGCTCTGCTGACTGGAGGCTTCTTGGCCAGTTTTGAGATTTATATTGCCTTGTAGGGAGGATTTTGGAGATTTTGTTTTTACTTTGTGCATTCCAGAACCCTGTAGCTTAGAAGAAAATGTCCATTGATTACTTTGTGCTTGTGGTTTGGATTTAATATCCAAATGTGGTGCCTTTCCTCAAAAGAGAAGTTTGTTCTCTTGTTGTAAAATAACGGCAAACAAATAAACTTTTTGGGATGTCCATGAATAACCTCTTGCACTGTGAGCCTCTAGCTATTAAAGCACACCTCAAAGCCTAGTTGAAGTAAAACATCTTCAAGAAATTCCTAGAGTAGTAGCACCCTGAGAATGGGTCACAAATGAAATATGAGTGTTGGCTTCTAGCGTCTACTATGAATTTTGTGAGTAGATTTTTTTTAGTGATCAGTTATTATGATGTACTTGGCTTACAGCAGTGTTCTTTATATTTTGGACAAGTCTTGGCATCTGTTCATTCAACCTGTGAGTTGATCATCCTCTGATACAGCAATTTCAATTCTGGATTTTTCATCTAAGTGTGCTCTGGTATGGACCCTTGCTAGACCTGATGCTTTAGTCCAGGGGTGTATAACATTTGGCCTTCCAGATGTTACTGGACTGGACTACATCTCCCACCCTTCCTGTCCATTAGTCCTGTTGGTAAGGGCTGATGGGAGTTGGCATCCTCCATCGTTTGAAGGGCCCATAGGCTAGTCATCTGTGTCCTGTTTGGCCTTACTATAGTAGTTCAGTTTAAAGTATGTAACGTTTAGCACTGCAAGATCCATACTTCATTTAGAGGCTGTTTTGCAAACAGGAATTGTTATTCAATAAGCAGAATGGAAAAGAGAGGCCGCTAAATGTTGCTTTTTTTGATCGGAGGATTTCCTGCCCTCGCTCCTGATTTTTGAGCCTTCATTGGGCATTGTCCGCATGGTTTTTAAAAGTGATTTGAGACTTCATGGTTAAAAGGGAGCTGGAAAGGGCAACCTGCCATATTCCCTATCATACAGTTCTGGATGACAAAGTGATTACTCTTTTTTTGTGGGGGGCAAGCCTCTCCAACAACAAGTATAGCTAGTGTGTACATAATTGAACCATATACTCTGCAGGTCTGAATGAATTCCCAAATGGAAGGGTGTACCTACCTGGACTTTCTTGAGTTTCTTGCCTTCAGTCCAGGCTGAAGAAAAACAAGAGTTTTTCCTCAACCACCAATCAGCAAGGTGAAAAAAGAGCTAGTGTTCTCTTTTGTGTGTATATATGCAATATCAGAATATTGCTAGGCATTCTTTCTTCTGTCATGACACTCTGTATTAGTACAGTTGTGTTTTGTCTTTCAGCTTGGGCTAGAGAGGCTTTTGGGGGGGGGGGTGTCCAGAAACTTCTAACTGCATTTAATTGCTGTCTGTCAGTGCACTTAAGGTAGCCTGCAGTTTAAAATACTGAAATAGGACAGAACAAATAAAACAGAATTTTCTCAGGCCACTAGTCGTCTCTTCAGCAGCTGATAATTAATTCCTTGGCCTGTTTCTTCATCTGCAGCTCCCAGGAATTATTTGTGGGGCCCGTACTGAATGAAAGATTAACAGAAGGCAGCTGTGGTTTTTATATGCATACTCCGCTCTCCCCCCTCCTCCCTCTTGTAATATGTATTAGAATACTTATTCCTGTGATCCTGTATTCTGATCTTTGGAATCCTTTGGTCCCAACTTGAGGAATAGGACCTGTGTGTTAGGTGAGACAAAGCCAGGTTTTCCTGAGCTGGTGTTTTCTACAGTGGTACCTCCGGTTACGAACTTAATTCGTTCTGGAGGTCCGTTCTTAACCGGAAACCGTTCTTAACATGAGGTGTGCTTTCGCTGATGGGGCCTGCTGCTGGCACACGACTTCTGCTCGCATCCCAGGGCAAAGTTCACAGCAAGGAGCATCTACTTCCGGGTTAGCGGAGCTTGTTACCCAAAGCGTTCGTAAGGAGGACGGTATGTAACCCAAGGTTCCACTGTAGTTGTTGCTAGACTGCAACTCCTATCATCCATAACTATTGACCATGCTGGCTTCCAATAGCATTTTGTATTAAGTAAGTAGTACAAGAAGGTTTCCTTTAGAAAATGGAACTCAATCTAAATAACAAAAAGAAGCACAAACTTTGAAAAAGAAATGCAAGATATTGGATGGCCCTGCAAGAACACCTGCCTTGCTCGGTAGGTAAGAGTAGTTGCGGCATTCCTGGACTATAACCCCTGCACAAGATGTGATTGTATTGTACTAGTTGTTGGAAACTGTAGGAGAAGACAGTGCTGATGTGCTCAAGTTCTGTGGGCATCCAGATGTTTCTGGGCTACAGCTCATAATTTATGACCATTGATTGTGCTGGTTGGGACTGATGAGAGTATTAACAGCAGCTGGAGAATCACAGGTTCCTATCTCCAGAAGTAATGAAGGGCTTGCGGTATGAAATAATATTAACCCCTAGCCACTGGAACAGTTTCTGGAGAATACTGTGCACCCCTTTAATATAAAACTCATTCCCAGCATACAGCCTTTGTTGTGTACCAACCCATATCATATTCAGAGCTGCAAGACCTTTCAGAGCCAGATTGGTATACTTTCTGCAGGAATTTAGGATGGAACCAACCTCTGCGCACTTCTGCGGGGGGCCACTAGATGGTGAAAGTGGACTGCCTTTGCCAGCAATGCTGCTCTGTTGCTTCCCCGCCCCTCCCCAGAAAGAGGGAAGGCTTCTGTTACAAGATGTCCACGAGAGGCGTGACATATCCTAGCAATCTCCTGCTGGGGTTTGCATGCAGTCATTCATGTTTCCAGCGTCTCCGCGTTAAACTCAGTGCTGGCTGCATGGAGCGGACAAGCTGCCGAGCTGTTTACAAATGTGCTCCAAAGAGATCAACAGAGATTTCACGCGAAGAGCTGAGCAGCTGGGCCCAGGCGTGTTGAGGACCAGATTCTGCTCCAGAAAGTCTGCATGGTACAACTCATGTCCGCATCCTACTGGTTCGTGCAGAAGTGTTGTCTCCTCTCTGACGGGCAAATGACTTTTTATTAAAGAGACAACGGTGTCTCCAAGGTTGCAGGCTGCTCCATGGGCAGTTTGAGAATATCTGGAGAGCTACCTTGGACAGCTGCCCACACCGCAGTTCAGCATTCCAAGTTTCACCTCATCCTTCCTGTTTCTAGAGCTAGCGTCACCCGAACTTTCCCATTCGTCTTCCTTGAACGTGCATTTTGCCACTAGGAAAAGTAAACTAAGTCGAAGAGCAGGCTGTGGTTGTTTTTAATTTTCTCTTTTATAACCTGGGCTTTTAAACATCCTCTTGTCTAGCTGTCTCTGTTGAGTAAGATTGGTTTCCACGAGACACGGCGGGGGTGTGGGTGAGGGGGCAAGTAACCTGTCGATTTTTCTGCAGCTCTTTAAAACAGTGGAAAAAGAGAAAGACTTGGAGAGCCTAAAGTCTTCCTCTGAAACCTGAAGTGTGTGACATTGGCTGTATGCACACCATACATTTAAAGCATGCACATGCACACACTGGAATCCTGGGAACTGTAGTTTGTTAAGGGTGCTGGGAATTGTAGCTGTTTGCGAGTTAAGATTCAGTTCCCAGGATTCCTTGTGGGGAGCTGTGCTTTAAATGGATGATGTGTATGCAGACTGTTGCCACCCCCAAAGTACTTAGGTGTGTGGGCTGCCTTTCAGACCACCATGCAGTTATTGTAAAGTCTGTAGAGGTTTATAAATTGCATTTGGTTGATCCCTAATAAGACAGGATTTTATTACTCTCTCTGTGTGGGAGGGGGAACCTTTCTATGTAGCGCCACATTCTCTCCTCAGTGATCTGCCAGGGGACACCTACAAGCAGTGGTTCAGGTGAGAGCCAAAAGCAAATGGACCACATCCATCTCTGTTTTTCTCTTTGTGCCTTTCTCTTTCTCCCTCTCCCTTTTTCACCCCATTTTTCTTCTTTACCACTTATATGATATTAGGCTGAGGGCCACAGGTTTCCCTCTCCTGTCCTTGCAGTAGACATGGGTAACCTTTGGCCCTTCAGATGTTACTGATCTACATCAGCCATAGGAAACATAGCCAGGGACGATGACAGTTTTAGCTCCCCATACTTCTGTTACTGCCTTGAACGTGTTATTTGTTTCTTTTACAATTTACGTTGTAAGTTCTGCAGCGTAATCCACAAGGCTGTCATACCACCGATGCACTTTGAGGAGAAGAGCAAGGCCAGCTAACTAAGATCTTGATGTTTCCATCCTATAAATCTGCCTGCGAGAGCCTTGTGGCTATAAACCCTGAGTCATGTGATCAAAACTATTTCCAGCAGGTGGAGTCCAACTCTTTAGAACTGCTTCTTTGTTCTACACAGCCGGCCAAGGTCCTCATCTTTGGTGAGGAAACCTGTGCGGCAACTTTCCTCGATAGATCTCAATTCGCCGGCCACTCACCCACCCCGTGGCTTGAGCAAGTAGATGAGCAGTCACCAACTCGGCACTTGTGGGGGCAGTGGGGCCCTTCTGCTGTTCTCATGAGGCCTGTGAAGTTTCTCCACTTCTTCCTCCATCACTTCCCCCTTAGCCATGAAGTGGTGATGGGTGGTTGCCTTTTTCTCCCTTGAAAAGCCCATAAAGGCGAAGTTGGAAGGTTGACTCTCATTCCCACTTCCTCTTTCAGCTCTGTGCTTTCCAAGGCTTGGGTTAATTCTACTAGACTTTCCCCCATATCTCTTGGGGAAGTGTGTGTGCACATATTTTTAGTCTTTATGTTGCGGACTGATCTGAAGGTGTGAAATGACGAGAGGAAGTGGTGCCCACAGCATATCCAAATGTGCCCACGGGCCTAAAAAAGTTAGCAAGCCCTGAAGCACAGCCTTTATGGAACTCATGGGAAGCCCGCACCACCTAAGTATGCATAGTTAGGAGAGGGGGAAAGAAATTTGTGTAGAAAGCAGTTCTGGCGAGTCACAACTCTGCTTACGAAACACTCCCGAGCAGGACACCTTGCTTTGTTCGAGCAGCTCAGGGAGAGCTGGTGCTTTCCCACTCCCCAAGTGCTTCCTGGCATTGGGTCCTCACGTTGCTGTGCTCTACTGCTCCTTCCCAGTCTGGAAGCTGGAAACGCCCTTGGAGCTCCCTCCCTTCTTCTCTCCCCCCCCCCGGCCGTTGTTGTTTCAGCTGTAAGTGTTGAAGCAGTGTTGGCCAGCACGCCTGGGTCTCTTGCCCACACAGGTGCTGTTTGCAGAGTATTTATATCATCTCAATGGAGCTCTTCGAAAGCCGGAGCTGTTTTGAAACCACAGCCACGGCCTTGCATCGCCCGTCCTTCCCTTCCACCTTTAGTCGTGACGGGGGGTGTATGTATCTGGGGCAGGGGAAGAGTTCTCCATACACAGGGCCTTGTTTCCTCCTCCGTCCTCTTCTTCCTTGACCCCAGGCCCTTGGAACACAGGCTGCCTTTCTGCCGGTTGCTGAGTGGACTCGTGTGTATGTTTTTGTGTGTGTGTGTGAGAGAGAGAGAGTGACTTGCTGGCCGGGCCGCTCTGCCCCTCCAAGGCCGCCTCTTAACCTGAAGAAGCCCTGAGTTATTTGTGTTGTTCTTGGCAAGACCGGCCTGGTCCTTTTCAAACACAGAGGTGAGTGTGCACAGAGGTGCCGAGTGGGAGCCAGCGCGTGCTGTTTGTGTTGGAGCTGCGGTGCAGGGAATTAGTTCAACTCTGCTGCTAATTGCTCCTGAAGTGCAAGGCTCTGTGAAAACACACAATAAGCGTGTGAGAGAAGGCGGGGGGGGGGGCATTAGCGGTGTGCTTTGTAAGCTATAGCAATTGCCGGGTTTCAAGTTGGGATGGTGGACTGCCGAAGCACTCTGGCCGCAGCCAGAAAACCCTCTTATAGGGGTCCCAGAGTTCAGCTTGGGGGTCTATGGCCTGCCCACTTCATTGCTGCTTGGTTCACATGCAGCTGCTACCCTATGGCAGGTGCCATAGATTTGGAAGGGTCCCCGAGGATCGTCCAGTCCAACCCCCTACAATGCAGGAATGCCAGCTACAGAATCCCCAATTTAATCTCTGTTTAAAAACCTCTGGTGAAGGAGAGTCTGCCGCCTTCCATCTTGCCCTTCTGTTAGCTGAGGGCTGGAGAACCTAATCCTGAGACTCTTTGTTTGGCCCTCAGGAATCAGCCCAGGCTACACCCTCCCCATGCCCCGCTCCTCCAGTCTCCCCCTACCCTCCTTGAAGCTGGGATGTTTCCTTGAACAGCAATAATACCTCTTACTTACCTGGATATATAAATTTCGATGCAGAAGAAACCTCTGACCATTACATAGCTGTAGTACAATGATAAGAGGCACAATCGTTGCACCACCATCTGCTGCCATGTGGCCCTTGAGAGGTTGCACACTAGCAAACTTGGCTCGGGGAAAAGTTCCCTACCCCTGTTTTAGTGTATATCAGTTAGATGTTAGGTTGGCTATTCCAAGAGGCTTGAAAGCCATTCTTACTGAATTTCTGTGGCTGTGAGTGATGGTATAGACTTGGGTGAACATCATCAGGACAGGGAGGTGTGCAAGATGAAGGGGGGCATTTTAGATTGAACACTGTGAGCATGCTAGTAGATTGTCCTCTGCTGGTGCCTTGTAGGTTGAAGTGTGCCAAGACGGGACCATTTTAACCTGGTTGTCAAAAGCATCAGCTACAGAGTCCTAAAATATATATGCTTTTTTAAAAAAAATCCTTTTTGCAAATTCGTAAAAGAAAGAGGAAAACAATACAAAGAGAATGACACGCATACCCTTCCTGGTCAGCTCACATTCACAATACATTTCAACGTCAGTACATTGGTCTCAGTTTACACATACAGATCAATATAGATGGCATCCAAATATATGAAGCTGGTATTTATATGAAGTGCAGTCAAATTTAGCAAGGGTGTTGAGGTCACCAAGCCATTGCATTATTGACGGTGGATATTTATGCTTCCAGGCTTGAAGCAGAAGTGTCTTGGTGACCATTAGGGCACATAAAATCCATTCCTCTTTTCCTGCTGTTAATTCCGGTACAGCAGGAATATGCTTTAAAATTACATGAAGATCTGCAAATATCAAGGATA